GAGAGAGATCCATGCTAAGGTCATATGGCAGGCACATCAGCAGCATGAAATAAGTGCTCCCCAAGCTTTCAGTTGGTGGATTCGTTAGAAGTTATGAAACCTAATGCAAGAATTGTGGTCTCCTGAGGATTTATAGAAGCAACAGAAAGGGGGGGGGCGACAAATAGTGCAAAGCAATAGCTATCCCAAGAGTCCCAATGCATTGTGAGCTCTTCCTCAGGAGAGTCATGCTTAGTTATAGAAGATTCAGAGCATCATTGCAAAAAGTCTGTTAGCTGCAGAATGGAACACCAGCCATGCATCTGTATGTCACTGTGTAGCTTGACCAGAGAGTCTAGCATCTTTCTTGCTTGGAACTAATGCTTAACTATCTGAGGCAAGGTGACCTACTCTAAGTTTTGTTTTCCCTTTTTATGCAAACTGCTTTGAGCGCAATTTGAATCATGAGTGAAGGGCCCAATTAGCGTTGGTGCATTGCCAAGACCTTGGCACGATATGCACTAGAGCCAATTAGATATCCAAATAAATAATATATTTGTGGGAAATGGGGTATATAAATAAATTGACTAAGACTATAGCCCCTCCTACCACAACTGCACAGGACAGAACAACAGGAATTATATTCAAAATGCATTTCCCCACTTCTATCAATACTAATAGCACTTTTCGTAAGCCTTCCATGTCTTTACAACAGACATGGAAGGTAGGTTAATATTATCCCCATATTACCGGGGGTGGAGGGTTTGGGAAGGGGGTAGAAGAGGCCAAGAAATAGGATTTTACTTAGAACCCAGTGAAGTCACAGCAGAAGTGATCCGGGACATTCCCACTATAGGCTCAGTCACTTGATCCTTGTAGTATGTCAGATGCAGAGTTTCCTACTGAAGTTCCCCTTTATATGTTACCAACAAGTGCCACAAGCTGATTTTTTATTTTTGGGGGTGGGCGAACACAAACACCAAGCTGGCAGCCCTGATGAGTAACATCTGAAGCCACTCGAGAGTCAGAACTTCCTTTTAGAATATATCACATAGTGTACAGCCTCTAAAACACGGCTAGTCCATGTTTTTCCTGTATCTAAAGAACAAAATATTGAAGACTCAGTGGGAAGCAGAAAATACTTTGCTGCCTATCCTCACTTGACACCAGGTGGTGATGTGGGGGAAGCAGAAAGTTTGGTCACATTAAGGGAGAAAGAGCATTTAATTAATAAACTCACATTTGATTTTTTTCAACTACTGATGACAGCAGATTGATGTGTTTAAGCATAGATCTGACCCAAAAATCTAGAAAGGTGGATTTCTTTTTCATAAAAACAGTGCACGATTACAGAATGACTTCCTGCTTATTTCCCACAGGTAGAAAAGAAATTTTCCAAAAATCTTAATACTGAGCTTATCTGCACACTGTTTCTTTTCCAACTCTCATCCCACTCCTTGATCAGTAAGAAGAGTGGGTTTTTTTATTTTGTGCTTTAAAATATCATGCATTTAATATTTTATGCACTCCAGGCTTCCTAAAGTACATTGTTATATGCCACTGCATAAAAACACACATATTATACACATGCTTCTGTATATAATTTTATATATACTTAGGCTTTTTAGAAAACTGACAATGCACAAGCAGCTTGGGTATAAGTGGTTACTTGTTGCAAAGAGGTGGTCCAAAGCTTGATCGGGTCAGAACTGCCAATTGTGTTTCTAAATCCATTCAAAGCAGATTCCTCCTCCCACCCTACCCCACAGCCTGTCTCTACAGACACTTTTCTTCTAGCCAAGCACACATTGCTACTAGAGTTCAGCTGAGGAGAAAAACACCACAGGAGGACAAACTGTGATGAGGCAGGCAGGCATAGGTTCTGCACTTATCCACGTACTCCATTTGCTGCTCAAACATGAATCCCCAACACCCTTCATTCTGTGCGAATGGGGGAGGTAAGTGTTTAAGCACATAGATCTGCCATAGTCACAACTAATTTGGGCCTTAACTTTTCAATGAAAAATGTTACTTGGATGCAGAGAAATATTCCAAGTAAAGGCAACATGGAGAACATTCAGATAGCGATACCAAACCACTCCCAAATTCAGTGCATGCCATAATAATAATAATAAAAAATGGGTATGAGAGGGAAAGAAATCTACTGTACAGTCATACCTCGGGTTGAAGTAGCTTCGGGATAAGTATTTTCGGGTTGCGCGCTGCAGCAACCAGGAAGTAACTGAGCGTGTTACTTCCGGGTTTCGCCGCTCGCGCATGTGCAGTCAAAATGACGTCACGCGCATGCGCAGAAGCGGCGAATCGCGACCCACGCATGCATAGACACATGGACGTGGGTTGCGTTCACTTCTGGATGCGAACGGGGCTCCGTAACAGATCCCATTCGCATCCAGAGGTACCACTGAATATACTTATCACCACATAACTTTGCATGCAGAAGCTAGGAAGGGTAGTTAATGCTGGAGGCAAGCCTAAGGAAAGGTCCTTGGGACGAAGCAGCGTGAAGCCTAGATTGTAGCCAGGCAAACATATGCAGCATGCAACAGGTTCCACAGTACTTTTATCTAGATTTTTTTAAAATAGTAAAGTTGCTGTAGCCTTTTCCTAAATATTATCCCCACAGAAATGTGTGAAAATAATCAGTGGGGACAGTGGCTGCAAACGTATGAGCACCTAGCGTAGGACTGCCATTTAACTTAGTGGGGCGCACTCCCAAGTAGACACACACAAAGGATTGTGCTGTTTAAGCCCTTTAGAAGTTACAAAGATCATTTAGACGGGTAGAAATGTATTTTGTTAAGGGTGCTGAGAATTGTTAGGAGACCCCCATTCCCCTCACAGTGTTACATTTCTCAGTGTAGTTTAATAGTCAATCCCTTTCCCTAGGGAACATTGGAAACTGCAGTTCTGGGAGGGGAATAAGGGTCCTCCTAACAGTTCCCAAAATTGTCTGGGAGAAACCATACCTGTTTAAAGTGGTTTGAAGTAGTGCAGATGGGGGCCTTAGACACAGGTTCTCTTTCATGGAGCCTAAATATTTCACTCCAGAATGTATTAATTATATGAAATAAACAGGTCAGCCCATTTTGAGGAGAACCAGCGTATCCTTTTAAAAAAAAATGCTTTACTTTTCCTGGCTGCATACCTGCAGCTCCCTTCTCTCAGAAATTTATCGTTTCAGCAATCTAGCACCATGCCAGGAACACAATTCATTTGGACTTGGTATGAATTACACACCAAATATTAAATAAACAGTGTCCACAGAGAATTCGCTTGCATTATTAAATTACATGAAGTAATTTATAAGTGTGTGCGGCGTGCGCATGCATACACTAGCGTGAGACAGGGGTGGTTTTTCGCCACCCCCACCCCCCTTCCCTTCTTTCACAAATTCAGGATTTCACATTACTACAGTAAACAAGCCAAACAAGTCTCACTTCAAAAGTCATTTCGCTGCATTCATTTCGACATATTTGAAGTGGGGGGGGGAGGCATAACCCTCACACCACACCGCTGCCACCCCTCAGAAGAAAAAACCCTGAGAGAAGTCTGATGTAATATACTCTCTCTTTCTACTTCCAGTTTTCTCAATGGCTTTTAAACTACACACAAACACATACAAATTGAGATATGATCAGAACCCCAAAGGGAAACTAATGGAGAGAGAGAGAGAAGATATATATATATATATATATATATATATATATGAGGGGAAGCAGTCTGAAGGTAAACAGGCAGGGCTCTTGCTAAACCCATGAACCATTTCTCCCCCACCCAGCCAGCCACTGCTGCCTCCAGACGTTCACAGAAACACAGGGAGGGCTGTAGAAGAAGATACCCTTACAGACACACCCTCAGATCGGAGCAGACGGAATAGCCACCGTCCATTAAACCCCCCACCCCACCCCACCCCAGGCGCTTCAAGGGAAACACAGCCCCGAGGTGGAGCTGGGTGGGTGGAAGAGAGGAAGCCCTCGTTTGGTTCAAAAGTTTAAAGGGAAACGCCGAGGGATTGGACTGGGGGAGGGTCGGGGTGGAGGGGAGAAGAGGGCGACACCATGTCTCGCAGCCTGGGCTGGGCGCTACAATGTGCCCGGAGAGGCTTGCCCAGTGTCTGGGCTGGGTGCTTCTCTCCCCTTCACAACAGCCCTTGCCCACTTCCTGTGTGTCTGTGTGCGTGTTTGTGTGTTTGTGCAAGAGAGCGAGTGTGTGTGTGTGTGTGTGTGTGTGTGTGTGTGTCTAGGGGAGGTCCTCCCCCCCTCTTCCCCCTGCCGTGAAGGCGAAGGGAGGCGACTGGCTTCCCCCTCCGCCGCCGCCCCAGGAAAGGCAAGCGAGGTCTCCCCGCCGGCGCTGCCTTCCCTCCTGCCTACCTGGATGTAGTTGTTCTCGCAGTAGTCGGCGACCCTGGTGAGGTTCTGGTAGCTCTCGAGCAAAGCCCGCTTGCCAGAAGGGATTTCCTCCTCTAGTAACATCTGCAGCTCTGCCATTTTCCACCCCTCCGCATCGCTTCCTCTTGCATTAAAGAGACAGCGGGAGCTCCGCAAGCTCTCCAGCCAGCCCGCCTGGTATTGTGGGATTCCTCCTCCTTCTCCTCGCCTCGCTCTCGCCACAGAGACTTCGCTTCCCCCCGCCTCCCACCCACACCGAGCCGCTCTCGCTCTCGCCCGTCCCTCGCCTGCCTCCTTTTTCGCCCGCCTTCCTTCTCAGCCGCCGTCCCCCTCCCCCCCCGCCCCGCAGGAAAAGGCGATCGCAAGGCACGCCGGGAGATGTAGTTACGGCTCTTTCGTGCCTCCCTCCCTCCCTTCCTCTTTCCCGCTTTGCTCGGTCTATCTTAGTAATAGGACGCGGCCGCCGTCATCTCCTTGCGCTCTGGCAGTGGCTTCGTTTCCCTGGGATCCGCGCGGGCGAAGCCGGCAGGGTTTCCCGGGGATGGGAGAGTGACTTGGAAGGGATCCTGAGGGTCATCCAGTCCAACCCGCTGCAATGCAGGAATACGCAGCTGTCCCGTGCGGGGATTGAACCTGCAAACCTCGGCATTATCAGCACCGCGCTCTAACCGATTTAAGCTGCCCTTGAGAGGCAGAAAGCTTTGAGTGCTGACATGCGCGTGCCGGAAATACTGTGGTTTCCCCACCCCCCAAGCCTAGCAAAATATAAATATTAGCCTCCAGCCCCATCCCCCCACAAACTGGACACCCGTCAGGAATTCTTTAGCTGTAGTGCCTGCAGTGCAGGGGGGGGGGTTGGGCTAGATGACCCTCTGGGTCTCTTCCGACTCTGTGATTCTGTTGTGAACCGCCCGGAGATCTACGGATGAAAAGAGATACACAAATTTAATAAATAAGAATAATGATGATTCTATATAGAGAAGATATATATATATGATTGGGACACAGGTGGCGCTGTGGGTTAAACCACAGAGCCTAGGACTTGCCAATCAGAAGGTTGGCGGTTCGAATTCCCGCGACAGGGTGAGCGCCTGTTGCTTGGTCCCAGCTCCTGCCAACCTAGCAGTTCAAAAGCACGTCAAAGTGCAAGTAGATAAATAGGTAACGCTCCGGCGGAAAGGTAAATGGCGTTTCCGTGCGCTGCTCTGGTTCGCCAGAAGTGGCTTAGTCATGCTGGCCACATGACCCGGAAACTGTACGCCAGCTCCCTTGGCCAGTAAAGCGAGATGAGCGCCGCAACCCCAGAGTCGTCCATGACTGGACCTAATGGTCAGGGGTCCCTTTACCTTTAGTCCTTATGATTACAGGGGGGGAAACAGCAACGTGTATGATGTAGACAGCCAGGTGCACCCACCCAAACCTCCAAAAGTGAAGTTTCCACAGTACACAAGCGGGTTGGGCAGGACTATGCAGCCATAGTTGCAATTCATACAGAATTTGATGGGCCTAAGCCTCCTGACATCAGTGGGCTTTCAGGACATCTCATTCTGCAACAGAGATGGGAGTACAGCTAAATAAAAATATTTGGGACCTATGAGATAGGTGCCCAGTCAACCACTTTGATCAGCAGTTGGCACTACTATAGGTGCCACATAATATCGGCTCTACGTTTGTGCAAACTCGGTTGTTTGGTGTGGCAACACCCACACTTTGGAACTCCCTGCCTATTGAAATCAAGCAGGTGCCTTCACTACAGTGGTACCTCAGGTTAGGTACTTAATTTGTTCCGGAGGTCCGTACTTAACCTGAAACCGTTCTTAACCTGAAGCACCACTTTAGCTAATAGGGCCTCCTGCTGCTGCCGCACCGCCAGAGCCCAATTTCTGTTCTTATCCTGAAGCAAAGCTCTTAACCTGAAGCACTATTTCTGAGTTAGCGGAGTGTATAACCTGAAGCGTATGTAACCCGAGGTACCACTGTATACTCTTTTCGGTGACATTCCTGTTCAGACAAGCCTACTCATATGCTTAGGAAGTTGAGGTAATTTTAGTCTGTTTAGTAGTTTAACATGTAAGTTTAAAAGTAGAATTGTAATTTTTTCTTGCTTTTACTGGTTTATCTTTTGTAAACCACTCTGTTATTATTATTTTTTACAATCAAACAGTGTACAAATTTTATGAAACAGCTATATACATGTATGTATATGATCTCTGCAGTGGTTTCCAGGCTCGCCCCGCCCCCAGCCACTTGAAAATTGCTGAGAGTCTTGGCAGGTCACAATTTTGCTACTGCTTGTAGCAATTGTAATGCACTGGGCTAGATGCTGTGTGATTTTTAATTGTATTTCTATTGCTACTTTTATTTTTTATAGTGGGTGTCATTGTATTGCAATCTAAATTCCATAGAATTCAAACTGTAATACAATAAAATGCAATATAAAGATAAAAGAATCAATAGAAATGCAGTTAAATAATCAATATGAATATTTATTACAGACACACCGTGGATCACCTGAAAGACACTGTGGATGTACTGCAGAAGGCTAGTATGTGAGAAGGGCAGAAATAATAGTACGAATATGTAAAATGTTATCTTCGTGAAAGAGGAAAGCACTGAGGATTCTGACACTCACATCATTATAGGACTTTATAGCAAAGCATCTCCCTTCTCCATAGCTGGCACAAATGAATTTTAGGATGGAAGCCTTGATTATGAAACCTCACCATCTGCTTTGCTTATGGCTTCATGCTGATTGATTTTCATATGGAAAGAACATCAAAGGGATTGTGACAGGACATTCCGTTTCAAGGCAGTCCCAGAATCCTCTGCTGCTGCTTCTTTTCCTGCAGAAGTCACTAGCAAGAATGCCAATTAGTGCCAACTGCAAAGATGATAATAATGTGTAACATAGAGCTCAATGTACCCTCCTTAAACGTGGCAGTCCTAAAACCAGGAATATCATTTCAAATTGTAGCTGGTAGGTGCCACAGCACCTACTTTAGGGATGGGTGAACAACCTTACTTCCTTCAGATTCACATTTTTCTGATCTTAAGTTTGGTTTTCCACATTTTCACATCAGCCTTGGTTTGTATCTTTTTGGGGGCGGGGGAGGGAAGTTCTAATAAAAATCCAGCAGCATTTTAATGCAAAATTCTCCTAACGTTTGTTTGCAATTTTTCCTACTATACGCATTTTTGCAAAGCTATTTCTCCTACTGTAGTACAGTCTAGTTACAGGTAGGTAGCCGTGTTGGTCTACTGTAGTCAAAACAAAATAAAAAAATTCCTTCCAGTAGCACCTTAGAGACCAACTAAGTTTGTCACTGGTATGTGCTTTTGTGTGCATGCACACTTCTTCAGATATCTCTAAGGTGTTACTGGAAGGAATTTTTTTATCTAGTACAGTCTGCATGTTATTTTCACTAATAGATGCACTTATATATTGGAAAACTGCCTTACAAAATTCAGACAAGTGTGACTTTGGAACCATGACTGTTTCTGTTCACGTATTGTTTCGGGAAGTGTGACAACTAGGTGGATAAGGTAGGTACAGATTTTGGCAGTGTGCACCTTACCAGCTGCCCAGTAGTGCTGACCCTTAATGCTGACCCAGGGTAGGGAAACATTCAGCCACTCAGAATGTAAAACCAGTGGCATTTTAGAGATACAAATAAGAAGTTGTATCCAGCTATGTTCTGCTCAAAGTAGACCCATTGAAATGAATGGACCTAATTTACTTGTGTCCATTATTCATTACAGTGGGTCTGCTCTGATGATGAGTAACAGCGGATGCAGCCCAAAATTGACAACTTTTGGCTGGACCATGCAGCTTTGCATTTTAAGGGCGGTTGGGATTAGCAATTATGATGCTTGCTTCCAAATTGTAGAAAGCTTCATTGGGAGGGGAGGGGCCAGCCAGGGGGCAGGAAGTTCTGCGGGGCCTCCAAGGAGTCTGCCTGCCTCCTCCAACTCAGCCACCCTACAGCTGAGGGGGAGGCCACGGGCGGACCGTTTGGGGCAGTGTGGAGCCTGCGGGCACACAAGCCACTGCGTCACTCCCAGGAGAGACGCGTGGCTCGGGCGCACTGCAGGCCCCGCGTTGAGTGCCGCCTGGCATTTTGTCACCCCCCTCAGTGGTGACACCTGGGGCGAACCACCCCCACCGCACCCCCCTTCCTCTGCCCCGATTGTGCCGCAGTTAAAAGCACCACTGTGGGGACTAATGGAAAAGTTGGCAGCCCTCCTAGATATAGGCACTCATGAAGCCTAAGCGCACATGGCCTGAAACACAGGTACTGTCTATAGCTACACCCTGCTTTGCTTGACAGTTGAAACCACAAACTTTGGTGTGCTCCTGAATTACTGCCACTGAAATATATAGTCTGGAAAACACAGCAGTAATTGAAAGGTGTGTTGATACCTGCAACTGAACTAATTAATTTCTTACTGTCACAGATCAGTAAGATTTGATCTGTGCAGAACACAAAAAGAATACAAGAGAAATTTACAGGGGGGGTTAAATGGGAGTTCTCAATGCTTTATATTTTCACTCAAGATAGAGGGAATTTAGCTGAACGTTACTAGAATAATAAAGATATCCATGTTTCAGTGGGTCCTCCAGTTAGAGTTCATAATAAATGAAGAATCAGTCTCTTCCCCTAATAATACAAATTGCAGTATAAGAGGGCATGAATAACAGATATAGCTCCAGTTTCACAACAATGAAGGTCACTTCCAGATGACCTGTTTATTGAGCGTTCATTCTGATTAGTTTGTGCAAAGTTTGCGGGGAGGTTAGATGAGATTGGCTATTTATTGAACATTCATTCTTATTTGCTTGGGGGAAGCTGATACGATGTCGCATCTTTTCATCCAATAAATGCTGCAGAACAGGTATGTATTGGTAAGGCAATCAGTTCCGTCTGTCTCGTGTGTGTGTGTCTCCAGCCCCAGGGCTTTAGTGTACAGAGATTTGGGTTCTAGTTCAGTAAAAAGCTTCCGCTTATTCAAGGTGAGTTGCCAGCCTGGGAAGTAAAGGAGCCCACCTTTTCTGACTTCCTGCTGGGTGTGCTTTCTAAATGGGCAACGCAGCCCACTCTGATTGCCTGTTGCTAGGCAGCCTGTAGCATTTTGCAGTAGCAGGAGCAAGCACACTCCAGCCAGGCATTGCTAGGCAGCCAAAGCTGGTGGGGAGCCCAAATATAAATGCAAGATTGCTGGTCTGAGAAGGAACAAAAAACAGAAAGGACAAAAATAAGCTGTGTGACAGCGCTTCATTATGTAACTTGCCCTATCTCCCCTAATCAATGAATACTGCAATTGTTTGCCATCTCTGTACCAATCTTTCCTTTTCCTATCTTTTCTCTTCTATATTCATGCCTTAAAATAAATAAATATAAGTCTAGACACTTCTGGGTTTTCTTCCACCCCCCTTTTCAAATATGCTGTGTGGAGGAATGTTATCTGTCTACAAACGCCATGTCAAGAAGCGGATGAGGTTCCATGCTTTATTACAAAACAGGGACAGTGAACCATCCCCCCCATGTTGATGGACTCCAATTCCCATCAGCCCCAGCCAGCACAGCCAGTGGTGAGGGATGATGGGAGTTGCAGTCCAACAAAATTCTGGAGGTCAACAGGTTCTCTGTGCCAGTAAGTCAGATATAGAGGAAAACAGAGATTAAGGATTCATTTTTATCAGAGGTAAATGGGTTGTTGTTTTTTTTAAATAAATTGGCATTTCTGAATCATGCTTCTGCCAGGTTGAAGGAATTTGGTAAGTTTAGACTGGATAAGAGACAAGTAATATTGCATATTCATAAGGGATTTGATTTAGATTGTATCTTACTGGCCCGGTGATTTTTTCTACTTTCTTCAGTTTAAGCTTGAATTTTGCTATAAGAAGCTGATGATCTGAGCTACAGTCAGCTCCAGGTCTTGTTTTTGCTGACTGTATAGAGCTTCTCCATCTTTGGCTGCAGAGTCATCTCTTGTGTTGTTGGAAAAGCGTGTTTGTGATGACCAGCTTGTTCTCTTGACAGAACTCTATTAGCCTTTGCCCTGCTTTGTTTTGAACTCCAAGACCCAATTTGCCAGTTGTTCCTTTTATCTCTTGACTCCCTACTTTAGCATTGCAATCCCTTATAATGAGAAGAACATCCTTCTTTGGTGTCATTTCTAGAAGGTGTTGTAAGTCTTCATAGAATTGGTCAATTTCAGTTTCTTCAGCACCAGGAGTTGGTGCATAAATTTGGATTACTGTGATGTTAAAAGGTCTGCCTTAGATTCATATCAAGATCATTCTATCATTTTTGAGATTGCATCCCAGTACAGCTTTCGCCACTCTTTTGTTGACTATGAGGGCCACTCCATTTCTTTAATGGGATTCTTGCCCACAGTAGTAGATAATGATGGTCACCCGAACTGAATTTGCCCATTCCCATCCATTTTAGTTCAGTGATGCCCAGGATGTTGCCATCTCATTTTTGACCACATCCAGCTTACCAAGGTTCATGGTTCTTACATTCTAGGTTCCTATGCAATATTTTTCTTTACAGCATTGGACTTTCCTTTCGCTTCCAGGCATATCCGCAACTGAGCGACCTTTCGGCTTTGGCCAAGCCGCTTCATTAGCTCTGAATCTACTTGTACTTGTCCTCTGCTCTTCCTCAGTAGCATGTTGGATGCCTTCCGACCTGAGGGGCTCTTCTTCCAGTGTCATAACTTTTATATGCCTGTTGTCTTTGTCCATGGAGTTTTCTTCGCAGGTATACACAGTGGAAGTGAGGAACAGGTTTAAGGATTTAGATTTGGTGGACAGAGTGCCTGAAGAACTATGAATGGAGGCTCGTAACATTATACAGGAGGCAGCAACGAAAACCATCCCAATGAAAAGGAAATGCAATAAAGCAAAGTGGCTGTCCAACGAGGCCTTACAAATAGCGGGGGAGAGAAGGCAAGCAAAATGCGAGGGAGATAATGAAAGATACAGGAAATTTAATGCAGATCTCCGAAAAATAGCAAGGAGAGACAAGAGGGCCTTCTTAAATGAGCAATGCAAAGAAATAGAGGAAAATAATAGAATGGGAAAAACCAGAGATCTGTTCAAGAAAATTGGAGATATGAAAGCATGAGTCTGACCAAACTATGGGAGGCAGTGGAAGACAGGAGTGCCTGGCGTGCTCTGGTCCATGGGGTCACGAAGAGTGGGACATGACTGAACGACTAAACAACAATAAAATATTGCATATTCATTGCATATCCATGTAGGTCACCATTATGCACCTTCAGCAGTACTGGAGACCTTGCAAGAAATATCTGAAGTGGATTTTCAGAAGAGTGAGTGTGTGTGTGTGTGTGTGTGTGTGTGTGCCTTTTTTATCCCACTTTCCATCCAAAAGAGGCTTCTAGAGTGGCTTGTAATTGCCAGTTATATGGCAGTTCCTGCCCTCTGGCTTACAGTCTAAAAGACATCACACAAAAGGAAAAAGGAATGGGAGAGAGGAGGAAGAAGAAATAAAGCTCACACCCGGTATCTTTGTTACAGAGTGCACTTCTTGCAATGACCAGCGGGAATGGAAAGATTTCAAGATGAGGCGGAACCAAAAGTTGCTTGTCTTTCAGCATTTTTCCCAAGCACCTTATGATCATAAACAGTTACTAAGCAGAACAAGAAAAACAAAGGAGGCCAACTGGTAGAATACAAAGGAACGAATCTCTCTTGTGTTTGTGTTTTGCTGTAGCTGTATAATAAAGACACTCATTTGTTTCAGAATTCAGCTTCTCATCTCGGCCAATATTGCTTCTTACAGCACAGTGTGAAAGTTAGAGCTCTTGTCTTAATTACCATGAAAGGATTCCTTGTGCTTAAAAGGTTTATGGCTCCCTGGGGAAAATATAATGGTTGTGGGGAAGCAGAAGACTCTGGTTCATTCCTCAGATCACATCCATTTCTTCAATACTTTTTTATGGTGACTAGCCAAGGGCATTTTGATACCTGAAGCACAGAATCCTAAAGTCAATCCTTCCCACTAATAAAAATTTCCATTCTTTGGAAATAATTTGTGTTTCCTCTCCTGTGCAAGGGTAACACATATAGCTGCTTTTTAAAGGGGTTCAAGAGCAGCATGGCTATCCTTTCCCCCCATATTGATGGAACATTGCTACAAGGGATTAAGCTGGACTTCAAGTGATAATGCACAAGCGGCCTTTTAGTATAACAGTTCTACATTCCAGCTTCTCTTCTTTCACCAACGCTATCTGCATTTTAAGCATACACTGATCACTGTGGTATCTGATCATCAGCACAAGATATCTTTGGCAGTCATGTATATTTATTAGAAATACCTCTGCAATACTTGATTAATGCAGCAGGTTTAGATTTCAGTTTCGGTATAAGTATGAAAGGGAATTGGATAATGTTGATATAGCATAGAAAATGCTTGTGTTTGGATATGAACAAACAAGTTAATATGCTTGAGAACAGCTCCTGTTTATCAGTCAGCCTCGATTTCCTGTCTTTGTTCCTAGTAAATAACTTTCTCTGTTTTGTTGCTAAGGATGACTTGTTTTAATGTTTGTGTGAGTCGCTGGAGTTATAATTCTACAGGCTTCAGTTCCCTCCCTTGGGGTCTCCAGAAGTTAAATCTTGGAGAGGAATAGATGGCTGGATGCCTCTTGTCTAAAGTGCACACATGCCTATTTACCAATGTACAAGCATGAACACTAAGGCACCACACAGAGTATAGCTTTGCTATTTCACAAACTGCAGGTGCTAAGCTGTTGATGATAGTGCAATGATTATTTGTTTAGAAAACTTATACACTGCCTTTCCAATGCAACTGCTTTGCTCAAGGCTGCGTACAATTAAAAATAAAATGATCCTACAAAGAAATAAAGCAACAGTATAAAAATGGAAACAGGCTCAACAAATGCAAACCTTCTAAAATGAGGGTCTCCTACTTTTAAATTTTTGTTTTTTTTAATCTGCCTGGTAATGTTTTTAACCAGTTAGTACAATTGCTAGTTGAGAGCCAGTGGCCATGCCCATCTCTGGCTGGCTTTAGATTCACTCCACTAACCTTCATCCATCCCATAACCACCTTCAGACATTTGGTTGTGGATATCAACAGCTTCCCTCATATCAGAGAAAAAGGAGAAATTATGTTTCCTTAGAATTTCTTAATAAAAACAAACACCTAGCTTTTTTAAAAAAAGCAGGTGAGAAACAAGCTATTATACACTTTATAATGAAGACACACTTATATGTGGAGTTACCTTATTTTTACAATTCCATATTTGCTGTATCTTATTGATTTAACCAAAGTATAATCAGATCATACAAGTAAAATGTATCTGAAATGTTCTATTAATATTTAAATTGTGTGACTTCTCTTAGTGTTGCCATCGTTAAGCACAAAAAGCCACAATATACCCATAATGAGGTCTTTTAAGTTTTACAGTGTGAGAGGTGAAAGGGTATGAGAGAAAACCAATTAACTCCGAGAACAGATTCATTCTCCAGCTGCATTTGCTCCTCAAAGCCACTTGGTGGCGCTTCAATCTTAAAGTGTACCAACAAGTAAAGGCCTTGGGCAATTCCTGTAATTCCAGAAGACGCCCCAAACAAGATGCATTGATGTGGATTTCATCTTGTCTTGAGAAATGCTCTAAGAAGCGGGAAACAGAAGATCTGACAGGTCGCAAAATACAGGCATCTCATCTGCTCTTAGCACATGGACGTTGCTAGGCAATAGGAAAAGGTCTAGGACCATGACACAAGTTTGCCACTGGCAAATTAAAGATGGCCTGTGGCTGGGATCTCAGTAGCGCTGCATTCTTCAGCACATTCAGTCACCCTGGGTGAGTACAGTTTAAAGAAACTGTGGTTAAAGGGGGGGGGAGAGGTATGTCCCACCCCCAAAACACCTCTGAGTACTCACCTTATTTTGCTACCGCCTGTAGCTTACAGAATCAAAAGGCAGAGTCACAAGGAACAACTTTTTATTCAGCAGCCTTCTTTGACTATTTTTTACCCAGAAAGAATGGAAGATAGTGGTCCAAGCAGCAGATCCCTCCTGATAGGGAGAAAAGCATTTAGACATGAGAAACAGCACCGTGCCACAGCTCATGAGCTAGGAAGCAGAAAGTGCCTAGTTCAAATGTCACGTCATTCAGCCCTTCTCTCAGCTGGTGTCACAAAGCACACTGCAGTTTTCAATGGGAGAAAGCAGTAGAATTCCAGACTATATCTCTTATATAGAGATCATCTTATTTATAGCCATCTGTGTATACGGTAGGAACGCGGGTGGCGCTGAGGGTTAAACCACAGAGCCTAGGACTTGCCGATCAGAAGGTCGGCGGTTCGAATCCCCGCGACGGGGTGAACTCCCGTTGCCCGGTCCCTGTTCCTGCCAACCTAGCAGTTCGAAAGCACGTCAAAGTGCAAGTAGATAAATAGGTACCGCTCCGGCGGGAAGGTAAATGGCATTTCTGTGCGCTGCTCTGGTTCGCCAGAAGTGGCTTAGTCATGCTGGCCACATGACCCAGAAGCTGTACGTCAGCTCCCTCGAGATGAGCGCCGCAACCCCAGAGTCGGCCACGACTGGACCTAATGGTCAGGGGTCCCTTTACCTATGTATACGGTAGGGACGCGGGTGGCGCTGTGGGTTAAACCACAGAGCCTAGGACTTGCCGATCAGAAGGTCAGCAGTTTGAATCCCCGCGATGGGGTGAGCTCCCGTTGCTCAGTCCCTGCTCCTGCCAACCTAGCAGTTCGAAAGCACATCAAAGTGCAAATAGATAAATAGGTACCACTCCGGCGGGAAGGTAAACGGCGTTTCCGTGCACTGCTCTGGTTCGCCAGAAGCAGCTTAGTCATGCTGGCCACATGACCCGGAAGCTGTACGCCGGCTCCCTCAGCCAATAAAGCGAGATGAGCACTGCAACCCCACAGTCGGTCATGACTGGACCTAATCGTCAGGGGTCCCTTTACCTTTACCTATGTATACGGTACTTTGGAAAAAAACAGGCATTTAACATTCCCATCTTTCCCAAGTTCAAGGTGGCTTATGTAAATTACAAAAGCACATTGGAACACAATATGAAAAACAAACAATTACCCAACAACTAGCTGCTGAAACTAAGTAAGAGCACAAGAAAAGCTCTGCTTGATCAGGCCAAAGCTCCACCTAGACCAGAATCCTGATCTCATTCTCATAGTAGCTAATGCCTATCAGGAATTAAGTGCAACAACACTCACACCAATTCACAGTAATTGGTATTACAGTCTCCAACAATGAAAGTGAAACATAGTCATCATGATAGCCTCATCCTCCGTTAATTTGAAAAATTCTCCCAAAAGCTAGCAAAGAAGGGGGTGGCTATTGATATTTTGTTTTATTAACCACCTTCACCACCCTAAAGTTCCAAAGTAAATAACAGCATTTTAAAACACAACATTAAAAACGGTTTAAAATAAATTACCAATCAGAGTAATAGGGTGGGTCCTAAATGTGTGTGTGTTCTCTAGTTGTAAAGAGCTGCATCTTCAGATTACCACAAAAATTGTATAATTCCTCTTGGGGGGGGGGCAAATTGCAAAACTAGGAGGCTGCCAGAGAATGCTCTCTCCTGGGCCACACCCCCCCCCCGGCCTCCTCTGTTGATCTTAACACCTAAAATGGTATGAATTAGGCCCAGAAGTGAACTGCCAACCAATGCAGCTGTTTTAAAGGTTAGATGACTTCTAAATGGAAACCTAGCCAGTAATCTGCATTTTTGGACAGTTGAGGTTTCTAAATAGTCTTCAAGGGCAGGCCCACGCAGGACACATTGCAGCAATCCAGTCTGGAAGTTACATGGCATGAGTGGAGAGAGGTACCATCTCACAGCCTTTGAATGCCCTCTTCCACATGAGCCTGCTGTTAAATCCCCCATCATCTTTAGAAACCCTTCTCTGATTGTCCTTGGCTCTCTCAGAGATCAGGCAGCTGGCAACTGTGACGCTTGCTTTTATGTTTTGTGGCTCACTCGACACCCACTCTTATGCCATTCCAATGTTAAGTAAACACAAAGGTCATTACCTCATTTTCCAAGGCCTTTTCAGAAACTGTTTAAATATTTTTTACTTTATTTCTCTGACATTTATGTTTCCAGTGCTCTGCTGTTCATATTGTTTGATACATCATTTTATTTTTTAAAGAAACCTTTTGTATATGATAGCTAGCCATCCCGGGAGGAGCAGTTCTAAACAGTGTGGTCCGATTTATTTAAAACAAACTGCTGTAAAGGCCCTGACAGAGCAGACCTTGCTGATACTTAGGAACATAGGAAGCTGCCTTATCAGAGCATTAGTGCCATCAAGCTCACTGTTTGTGCGCTGACCAATAGTAGCAATGCAGAGTTTCAGATGGGGTCTGTTCCATCCCTACTTAGAGGTGCTGGGGTTTGAAACTGAGACAAAACAGATGCTCTAGCATTGAGCATGCTCCTGTTTTAGTTGAAAATGGTTAGGCATAGGTTTTTTAAGATGCCTTTGGCAAATCTTTATCTGGAAAGGTAGCATGTAATTCTTGAACATAAATGTACTAAATATAATTTTCTATAGTAGAGATTCTAAGGGTTGTTTTTAGATGGGAGTAGCAGGTGTGCAAATGTGAAAAATAATACAGAACATATAATATGAATATGAACATTCAATAACTAATCCCTGAAGTATTGCCTTGATGATTTTAAGTGTGTGTGGTAGTAACCGTGTTTTGATCATTTTGAATAAAACCCTGATGTTTCTACCTATTGCGATAAGAGTATAAATCATTACTATTCCCAAAGGAGTCTAAAACTGGTATGTTTATTCACTGAAAACAGAAAGAGCAAGGTTGAGCAGGAGGAGGGAGAATTCTTTCTTCTTCTTCTTCTGGTGAGCCACATTTAATGTTCCAGCAGTGAATTACTGCCTCCCCTCCCCACACCCCTGACTTTAACCTGTGAGAGTTTCTTCCTGAGAGAGGAGGCAGAGGAAGAGGAGGAGGAGGAGGAGGAGGAAGGTGGCTGGAGGAGAGTGAAGAGCTCCCCAGCACTATTTGCAGGTGCTCTCAAGAGGCGGAGGAGGCCGAGAAGGGCAGAGAGGAGGAGGACGAGGAGGACATTAGGCTAGTAGCCGTGTTTCCTCATGATCATCAGAAACTCCTGCTCGCTCACTTCCCCGTCTCCATTCAGGTCCGCTTCGGTGATCATTTCCTGCAGTTCCTCGTCCGTCAGCTTCTCCCCAATCTCGGAGGCGACGCGCTTGAGGTCTTTAAAGGCGATCTTGCCCCTTTCCGGGTCCTCGAACAGCTTGAAGGATTTCAGGATCTCCTCTTTGGGATCCGTTTCGGACATCTTCTTGGTCATCACGGAGTAAAAAGCGTCGAAGCCGATCTTCCCCGAGCCTTCTTTATCCACTTCGCCCACGATCCTCTTGATCTCTTCTCTGGTGGGTTCAAAGCCCAGGGCCCGAATGGACACCTTCAGGTCTTTCACGTCGATGGTCCCGGTGCCGTCGGAATCCAGCAGGTCGAAGGCATCGCGCATCTGCTGCTTTTGAGCGGGGCTGAGCTCAAGCTTAGGGCCTTTCTTCTTCCTCTGGGACCACTTGCTCCTATAAGCCATCCTTCGGGGCCCTCAAGGCAGCGCCGACCGGGCTCCTCAAGCTGTTCTGCCCGCTGCTACTGGCTGCTCCTCGCAAACGCCCGGAGGGAGAATGCTTCTGCCGATGGGGAGAAAACAGTTGAAGGTTGCCATGGCAGGGAGGATCATGGATGTCAGAGACCGGAAGTAGTAGAGGGACGGACTACATTTCCCAGCATGCTCCTCGAGGAGGCGGAGCAAGAATGAGCTGATCGCTGCTGTTGGGAGACATTTAACAGGAGAAGCCTGAGCCTTGGGCAAAAAAAGGTGAGCGAACCTGTCACGGAAGGTAGGAGCGGGGAACAACTTGTGCTGTTTGTTCTGTTTTGTTATTTGGGAAATGAGGCGGAAGGTCAGCTGTTCTTCGGCGCCGCCAGCCTTCTAGGCCGTGCTTAGGGATGACGCTTTGCTCTCAAAAAGTTGGAGGAGAAAAAACATTGTATTGTTATTTTTGTCCTTGCAGTTGTCAGGTTCTGTCTGTAATTGAGGGAATTGGGACTAGATATGTGTTGCTGGGAAGTCTCGCCCCCGATCCCCACCCCAAGAGTGTGTAATAATAGATGCCTAGTAATAATGGGTGGGTGTATATCGTTGTGTACTGGGAACAGGAAATCACTGGCGCTGAGGCTGGCTTTGCAAAGCTTATCTAAAAGCCCCCTGTGAGTGAGGATGGGGTGAGTGTAGATAAAAGTTGTTGGGAAGTTTTGAATTGCTTGTTTAGCTGTTCGCCAGGGGTGCGTGATGTCGCACTTGTCAGGTCACAACAGACGTCTAAGAAAGGAAATGACAGGTGCTGTTAAGTCCTGGGAAATAGCAATGGGATGGCCTGGAAAAAGTGGAATTTAACGGAGGACTGGTGTACGAGTGAATTCAGTGTATACCAGCAGTTACTCCAATACAGTCTTTTAAAATCGCTTGTTCGAACTTCCTGATCAGGCTGGCGAAAGTAGGGTGAAACGATTAACCCCCATCCGTCCAAATCCCTTTTCTTTTAGCGCATGTTGCTAATGACACCTCTCATCCACTTTGAAGACGAGAGTACAAAATCTAGAGGATATGACCCATTTAGGCTGCAATTCTGTGCATGCATATATGGGAGTAAGCCCCTCTGAACCCGGTGGCATGAGCGCAGCCAGGATTTTTTTTGGGGGGGAGGTGCTTTTGTTAGTGGGTGCAGGACATAGTTTGCTATGTATTTTAATTTATTTTTATTGATTGGGGGGGCAGCTGCCCCTCTCTACCCCCCCCCCCCGCTACGCCCATGCCTAGTAGTATTTACTTCTGTGTCAGCATTGGGTTACGAATCGTTAACCCCCCTAAGTATAATGATTTCGGAGCAAGCCCCATTGACTTCTCTGGGGGTCGGGCTTAAAAGCATTCAGAAGGACAGGTCACGCGAGCTATGTAATTGGGCCGTAATTGGGAGATGAACCTACACAAGACTTGAGCGAAAGGAGGGTAGTAAACACCCCTTTCCATGGCGCCTTTGGCACAGCCCTTTACTCCCAATTCCATACTGTAACTGGGGGGGAAATAGTTTATTATTCCCCGTTGATCCTTCCTCCCCTTCCTGTTCGCTGCCTCGCGTCTTTCATATTGTAAGCCTCTCGGGGCAGGGACCTGTTTTCTTTCCAAAGCTGACATTATATAAATCAATAAAGATTAAACCGACAAGTTGTGTGCTGTAGAAGGGTGAAGCCGGGGCACTGTAAGGAGTGACAATCCAGGGTGGACTTTGGGTTTAGTTAGTTTACTTATTTCTTTTCCACCACCACGCCAGAGTGGGACCAAAATAGGCAAGCCTCAAAACCACAGGCGTACGCCTTATTATTATTATTATTATTCCTTCACTTCGGGCTGTTTTACGAGGGAGCGAACACCGTCGCCTCCACGACTCCTTCACGAGGCGACCGAGGGGCGACTGGGGCCGAGGGGAGCCCATCTTCTGTGGGGCTGGGGCGACTGGGGCTGTGAGGGGAGCCGCAAAGGCCTGTCCTGGCTTTCCTGCCTCTCCTTGGCTGAAGGGGGCGGAGGCAGCCGCGGCCCTCGCGTCCCCTCCGCCACCGCCTCCTTCGACAGACCCCCGTTATGTCCTGCGTTCACTCGGTTACAGGGAACTCCTGGGCGAAGGGAAGAAGCGGCGGCGGCGGCGGCAGCGCGATTCCGGCGGCCGACGCGACAAGGGGCCCATTGGAGGGAAGAGGCGGGACATGGCGGAGACGGAGGAGAGAGGCGGCGGCGGCTCGCTGCACGAGACGCGCTTCGAGGCGGCCGTCAAGGTGATCCAGAGCCTGCCCAAAAACGGTGAGTGAAGCCCGGGAGGAGCGAGGAGACGGTTCGAGGGCCAGGAACCGGGAAGGTGGGGCAGCGAAGGCGACAGAGACCCCGAGGAGAGGGTGGGAAGCGCCGCCTCATTTCTGTGCCTCTTCGCGGGGCGAGGAGAAGGGTCCCCCTGAATTGGGGTTTTTCTCCATCCCAGCCACGCCACACCCACAGGAGCCGCTGCGAAAGACCTGCATCTTTTCTCTCCCTCCGCCACCCCCCTGCCTTCTCCTGCCAACCAGCTCTATTATGAATTCACTGGCCAATCTTGAAAATTTGCCATTTAAAAGACGGCCAAATTTAAGATTGTCAGATTTAAAAGACAGTTAAAACTGTTTGGAAAAACCGGCACAATATATTGGGGAATGGCCTTTCCTGGCAAAAGCATTTCTTTAGCAAGAACTCTAGTGCTCCTGGCTCTTTTTTTCTACCTAGGCAACCATTTTAACTTGTTTACCTTATTATTTGGAGGATTTGTATTCCACCCCTTGGGCCAGCTGACTGGCAGAACAGCTAGCATAAGATTTCTCTAAAAGTCTTTATGGTACAGTAGTTGGCTACTTAAAAGCAGCAGGGGGAAGAACCTGTAGTCGGATAAAAAGGCATGCATGCAATACCAAGAATCTAAAAGCAGGGAAGGTTGTCCCTTAGCACTGGTAAGGAGCAGTTGGAGCCAGGCAAACGTCTCTGGAAAGTACATTCTGGCTACCGCAACTCAGAAGGCCTTATTGTAGGCCTCTTTCCACCTTGTCTTCTAAAGGTATCAGACAAATTTTAATGGCCTGTTGGGTTGCTGAGGGAATAGGTGGTCCTTGCAGTTCTGTACATCCCTACTCTGAAGCCAAATTTGAGTACTTATACACACTTATGTGTATATAGAACTGCTGCCTTGATGCTCATTGTGCATATTAAGTTCCATACAAAATTGTTCCTTTCCCCAAAATGAAACATTCTGCAATCTCTGTGTGTAATCCTGATACGTAGTTTAATATTTACAATGAAAAGTTGATAACCTTAAATTGAGAGCAGAACTAAAAATAGTATGTCCAAAAAGAAAAGCTTCCATCTCTATTTAAGAGAGCCAAATACTCAGCCAACTCTGCTCCAGAGGTTTTTTTTAAAGCCTTCAACTATTTTCTTTTTTAAAAACAACCATGTTATCCCAAGCACTGCAAGCAAGGAGGGGTTTGCCTTGAGCGTGTTATGTTCATACTTGATTTTGCATTGGTAACAGCTTGTGGGTGTAAATGGTGTGATTTTCAAATCCCTTCTCTTTCCCACCCCACCCTTCTGTGAAATTGGCGGAGTCGCATAACACTGGAAAACTTAAGCTGCATTCGCTTCATACTTAAGAATGGTGTGAACATTTGAGACAGCCGTTGCACATGTGCAGATGACAGTTTCATGAATAGGAGCTTGGGGGATGGGGTTGCAGGGATGGAAAAATCAAAATGGCCATGCACACATTTGAGTGAATACACCCTGCTCTAATGTTAACAACACTATGCAAATGTGGCCTGAAACACAGTGGGATGAAATGACCTCACTGTGTTTTAAGTCGCCAATATGAACATACCCATAATATTAGAAAATGAGAGGTGTCCTTCATAGTGTGCATGTTATAAATGTTTTTCTGTCTCACTTTAGTAACAGAATCTTTAAAAAATGTATCAATCTAAAATTTTGAGCTTGTGCAAGTTCCATTCTAAGAGCTAAGGATTGGCTGGTGGTCAGGTACACCAGCCATGTATAAAGTGGTAGCATAAGCAGTCAAGAAATCTTCTCCTTACCTGGTTTTCAGTAGGGCAGATAGTATTGGGGTAGCCATGGGAGCAGGGCCTATGATAGAAACTGCTTGAAGCAGTTTGACTGGAATAACCTAACCATTGATTTAGGTAACCATAGTGGGGTAAAATGACTTTGGGGGTTTTTGTCACAGGAGGATCTGCTGTGGTATTTTAATCCTTGACAGGGTTTTGAATTTCTATAGCTTTTTTTCCAGTACTACAATATGTCTTCAACACAGGATGTGTGTGAGCTGCACTACAGTAGGGACAATTCTACCATAAAGCTAGCATGAGAAGTATCAGCAGTCATGTTTTTTCTGTTTGTTTGGACACATTACTTTCATTAATAGGAGAATCAACAACAGGGATGATATAATATAAAGGTGACTATGTTTCTTTGCACAAGTATACTTTACTCACTAGAGTATCCTTTCTGATTATAGAATGAAAATAAACATAGAAGGTGCAATCAGTTGATTTTTTAAAATCAGAAATTGGTGTGCATAAAGTCTTGAGTTTAGTCCTTGTTATGGGTGTACTTAGTTCCCAGTAGCCTGGTACTGTAAGTCATGCAGTCATATTCTATTTATTTTGGACTGGATCTTTAACTTTGAACTGGATGCCTTAACTTAAGTTAGTTGAACTTTGGTCTCATTGAATTCAGTGCGAACAATAAGTCATGGTTTAAGTTATGGCCCCTTGATTTCAGTGGAACTTCAGTTAAATTAACCACGTGTGAATCTAACCCTTTGAGTTGGTACAGAAATTAGGTGTTTAAAAGTATCTGTCATTTATGGTGTTTCTCACTCTAAGATTATTTTCTCTAGGTTCATTCCAGCCAACAAATGAAATGATGCTCAAGTTCTATAGCTTTTATAAGCAAGCAACTCAAGGACCCTGCAGTAGTCCAAGACCTGGATTCTGGGATCCTATTGGTAGATACAAATGGTAAATATGATATGCAATAGGTGTTTTAAGTTTGTATGTACACAAGCCCTGCTGTAGTGGGGGGCAGCAGGAAGGATGAATTACTGACTACTTTTTTTTTTCATGGGACACTGCTACAACTCACCAAAGGGTAGACCAAAGGGTTTGCATGCAGAACGTCCAGGTTCATTTTCCTACATCTCTAGGTAGGACTGGGAAAGACATCTCAAACTCCAGAGGACCACAGCCAGTCATGGTAGACAATATTGAGCTAGATGGACCAGTAGTGTGACACTGTATAAGGCAGCTTCCTGTGACAACTTGCATATGGAGAAAAGCCTTAGTTATAAAGAATATAAATGTGCACCAGATCACTGGTAGTAGGGGATGTTCTCAGCCTCTCTTTTTAAAAAACCAAGGCCTGGTATCATTTCTGAGATTTATGTTCCAGCTATTTTACCTTTGTTACCTGGGGAATTGACATGTGCATCCTGCTCTGCCTAGCACGCCATGATTACCTGAGCACTGCCACCTTCCCAGCTATTTCTGTTTAAAAATGTACCTAGTTCAGGAAAGAACTCTGTAGCTGTGAGGGTGCAGGCAAGATTAAGATAGAGATAATAATTGCACAAAGAGACTTTCGGTACAGAAAATGTTTTTTCTGAAACTTTAAGAAGGTTCATTGACAATTGTCTACCAGCAGACTGCAAACTGAATTTTTGCAGACTGTCTCTGCTCCTCATGCTGGTCTCCCACTATTAGGAAATATCTTAATAAAGATGGTGGCAATGTACATGTAAAATTGGTGGTCAAGCTGATGGAAGTGCAATGTTGCCCCCATTCTTGTGAAGCATATGTTGGAGGTGGAGGTAGCCGGGTTAGACTCTGCAGTTTGGCTCTCCCTAACAGAGACATTGTTGCCTGTAAGTACATGTAATAATTTCTCTCAGTTTACAGAGGTTTCTTGTCAAACAAGTTCTGCATGTTTTTGAAGCTCAAGCATTTTTACCCATTAGCTATAATAGGGCAGAAATAAAAAATATGTATATGTAAGAGGAATCTGTATTTTTTTAGTGACTTTTGGGAAGTATTATAGAGCTATACAGACCTCAGTAAAAAACGACGACGAAAGAGTTGATATTTGTTTTTTAGTTGCTGTTATTCTCAGTGCAACCCTCCAGAGGTGTTCTTTTTTAAAAACTTGTGTTATAATTGATATTCACAGCAGATTAGCAAAGTACACTTTTTATTCAGGCAAAGGTTAAATCAAATTAAGTGCTCATTCTTGTCTTTGGAAAGGGGAAATAATAAAGATAATAATAAAGATAATAATAAAGATAATAACAATAATACCAGGAAGTAAGGTATTGTGGGAAGAGTGCTGCATGGAGACAATGCAATCTTGTGAACTAATATTTCTCTTAATATTTTTTTAAGCTTCAGGAAATCACTTGCAGGGATATTTGGCTATTTTAAGAAGTAAACAAAACAAAACCCCAAATTCTAAAACTGTATTTTTTGGGGGAAGGCAAAATAAGTCAGAGGAGTGTGTCATAGGTCCTTGATACATCTGGAAGGTTTCTGTGACACTTGTGCAGTTTGAGGCAGGGAATAGGTATTGGGCAATTGCATTTTTGCAGCAGCAGCAGTGTTTTTTGCTCCAGAGCTGGATAATTGTCCCCCCCCCCCCCGGTGACTGCTGTGCTGTCTGTGACTTTCCCACACAGAGATTTGACTATGCACACAATAGACAAACTTATTTGAAAAGGCCATCTGGGTTATTGGATCCAGCTATTTATTTACTTGTTTACGTTTTATATCTTTGACTTACCTGTTTCTCAAGCCTATTGCAAAGAGTTAGTACAAGTTATATATTCTGCAAAATGTTGTGCATTTTGAACTGGGCACACAAGCAGAGTATAAATTACTCATAACTGTGACCTACCGTCAGACAAAAAGTGAGAAGGAAAAGATGGAAACGAGGCCATTTATTAAATATTAAAAAGCACATTGTTTGAAGACTGAGAAACCAAGCCTATGTTAAATCTCAAACTTAGAATTTGTGTTACTCTACAGACAATGAGCACATATTTATGTACACAAAACTAGATAGATTGTGGCGAGTTCTGTCATTGTAGAATCAAGGGCTCAGTAAGAATGAGCCTGTTGAATCTTATAGGAATTATAATTTTAAATGTCTTGAGGATATTTGTGATATTTATTGTAGGGATGCATGGAGCGCTTTAGGTGATATGCCCAAAGAAGATGCTATGATTGCCTATGTTGAAGAAATGAAAAAGGTAAGAGTTGCTAGGTATGTCGAAGAAAGCAAATATTCCAGAATAATTTCATTTCTAGGCACATGAAGCTTGAAACTTGATTAGCTTCTAGCCAAGCTTCAAAAGGAATTGCTGCAAATTATTTGATGGACTTTACCCTAGGCAGCCTAGCTGTCAAAATGCTGAGAGCTTTAGGGATATTGCTGCCATGAAAGAGAAGTGAGCAATGCTTATGCAGTGCATTATGGAAGTTTATGGTAAGCAGCCTGCAGTGAATCACTGGAACTGGAGCTAATTCACAGCAAAAACAGAGATGGAGAGAGGCAATGGGCTGTGCAGGCTCTTTTAAAAAACACTTGTACTGTAATATCAGTTGGAAGAGTTTCAGCTCTTCTGAGTATTTGATAAAAGGAATGCATTACAATAGTACTAGATGACTCAGAACTGAAACATGCAAAAAGCTAAACCTTGGGTACTTGTATACAGCTTGCACCAAGATTTCCATTTTGCTGTGTATTTTTGATTATGTGGGGTTAGGATAGATGACAGTACTCTTTATATATTGGAAATCAATAGAACTATCTATCTGTCAATCTATAAATACTTCATAATAGCTAACAAAAATAAAAACACTGAAAACCTGCTTAGAGTACAAAGTCAGAATTTAATATTTATGCTAATATTATAGTGAACAGTAAACCCTAGTGTTAAGGCCATTGGAGGGTGTAGGAAGGTTAACAGAGATGGCAATCCTCATATGGGGTGAAGGTGCTGGATTGAGGACATAAGGAAAGGAAATTTCTGATGGGGAGAAAGAAGAGAGCAGAAAGCACGGGGAGAGCATGTGTAGGATAGGAGAAGGAAGGAAGGGCCCATGAGCGATGAAGGGGTGCCTAGAAGAGGTGCTGCAATAGCCTGGCAAAGGATCTAGCTTGAGGCTGATGGAAGCTCATCAGTGAGATACTCATCAGAGGAGATTGCGGTGTGGATTACACAGAGTCTAGAATGTTAAGGTGTTGGCAAATTCTGATTAATTTTGAGATTTGCATGGGAGCTTTAAATATTTTTTAGGGCATTGTGCAGTTCATATTTAACTTCAACATGTGATTTGGTAGTATCCCAAAGCACATAATAAAAAGAAAATATACACACTGTTGTTGTTTTTTGCCATGGTAAATGTATTACTATTTCTTCATATCTGAATCATATCATCCACTTTTGGTAATCAGTATTGCTACTCTGAAGTAAGTAGGCTGGGTATTGGAGTAAGCTGGTTAGAATAGAAATTGAGTAGGCTTGAGCCTAAAATGAAAAGAAACATACTATACTTAAACTACTAAATGTAATTTGGGGCGTTGTTAGGATTAATGTAATACCACATGTGTTGAAGGAGCTTCTGATGAAATCATTCCAGTTAATGTGTTAAATGTTTCCAAATAATTGTTGCTACAATATATTATATATTGCCTAATTTTTCTTTTGGGAAAGCATCTTTCATGCATAGATTTAACAGGCTTAAGCAAGATAAAGCTGAACCTCTGCCTGCCTTTCTGAGAGTAGTAGATAATAGAATGGAAGACAGCAAGAAAATATATCAGAATACTCTTATCTGCTGATGAATTTAGTTTCTCTGTATTTCCTGTACTGCCTGTTTTGTGGCGTCTTTATTCTGATAAATGTATTCATTTTGTAAAGGAGTTATAAATTATGAAAGAATATGCTAAGAAAATGTTGTAATATTTTTATTCTCAAACAAAATCTGCTTTTGGCACAAAACCATGTGCAGAGTTACTTGAAAGTAAGTCCTACATTTGGTGGAACTTGCTTGTGAGTAAACAAGGATGGAATTTGGTATTTAAGTTGTTTAACATGTTTGAGCCTAGAAGTTATTTGGATAAGCTCTTTGCTGCAGTGGCAAACATGATTCGCCATGCAGAGTTATTGGGAGAAACAACAGGAGTTTTGTTGTAGTAGTATTGCCTTTCTCATTTTCTTCAAAGGAAATTTATTTTAATAATTATGAGTGTAGCTTCCTTAGCCAGCAGTCTGCATTCTCGCTTAGTATTCATATCCTTTACACAAACACATAAAAATGACAAATCAAGCCTGTTTATATTTGTGAGATTGGGCTGAATATACATAAAGAGAGGCAGTGATATTTGATAATGATATTTATTTATTTAAGGATTTATAAACTGCTTCCCAATGAATGTTTCTAAAGTAGTGCAATGTAGAAATACCGAAAGAACAACACATATAGTAAAAATTAAGTATACTTAACAATCTATAAAACACTATCTTAAAAGCACTAAATTACAAGGTTCTGCATAGTATAAAGAGGCAGTCTTCAGGGAAAGGCTTCTTAAATAGATACGTTTTCAAACAGCTGCCTAAAAGTTAAAATGCTAGTTGCTTGACTAAGTTCACTGGGAAGCTGATTCTATGGAGCTACAATCAAAATGCTAAATGTTTGGTTTGATGCCAGACATACCTATGGAGCATACAGAACAACACCCTATCAGAGCAAAGGAACAGTTCTCAGACAGACAGCTGTATGGGGCAAAGCAGTCCCTCTGGTAAAGTTGATGTTGCAATTAAAGGGTTTCAAAATCCTCTTCTTCTTTGGCGATCACTCGTAGCCGAGTAAGATTGCCTTCCATGAACATGGTCTTCTTAACAGTGAGTCCATAAGTGACTGTGGAGGCCAGTTCTGGATCCACACGTCCTTCCACAGTGGGGACATAGGTTTCCATGAGGGAGTTGATCGCAGTGAGGGTTTGCCGAACATGCCTTCCTCTTAGCACGTTTCTCCCTTTCATCCTGAGTTTGAGCATCTTCAAAGTCCATGATGCCTTTGGTAAGGCTGTTCTCCAGTTGGAGCGCTTGCAGGCCAGTGTAGGTGGTGCAGAATTTTTTATTTATTGTGATGCTGTGTTCTTGTGAAGTATTGCAATATTATTAACTGATAAGCAATTCATAAATGTTTTGTATTCCTACAGATTCTTGAAACTATGCCAATGACAGACAAGGTTGAAGAACTCCTACATGTAATAGGCCCATTCTATGAAATTGTTGAGGATAAAAAGAGCAGAGGATCTGGCATAATAGCAGGTTGGGATATAAACTCTACTTATCTTAATTAACTGCAGGTTATATTAAGCTATGGTTTTGCAATTTGTTCAGCTTCTGTGAATAATTTTAATGGTAATTGCACTAATTGTTGCGAAGCCCCTCAGAGCCAGGAGCAAGAAAGCTCTTGCACAAAACACCTCTCTCCATTTTCCTGACATGCTCTAACTTCCATGCAAACGTGTTGCAAGTCTGACTTGCCACAGCTTTCATAATATTAAAACACCTGCATGTCCTCAATTAATCCTGTTGGCTTAAGGTTGGCTGGTTTCACATAAACCACAATGAAGGTTAACCTGTTTCTTGGTTTGGACACTCCATCAACCCATGGTTACACAAACTGGAAGCAAAAGCTTCTGAACTGGTGGAATGCACAAGGTCATGGTTCTGGGGCTCATTCACATCAGTGTTTAGTGTAGGGTGTGAGAAACCTAAGGCTTGTTGTTGGACTCAAAATTCCATAAATCCCAGCCAGCTTGGCCAGTGGCAATGGGGGAGTGTTGTTGTTTTGCTTGTTTGTCTAAAACACACATATCAGTGATATGGAACCTTTGGCCCACATACCTAATGTGGACTGCCAGGCCTTCCCATTTGGCTCCCAGTGCTATTTCAGCAAAGTCATGCCTGCCTGTCCCACACATTACCAGATGTGGGGCAGGTAAAGGTGGGACTTGGTCAAAAGGGCAGTGCCTGCAAAAGCCTTTGCATGGTAGTTTTTCCCAAGGACCCAATAACCAGCAGATTGTCAGATGTTTGGGAGCTGCTGCACGAAGCGCTTTGCAAACCCTGTGCTCAGCCAAGCTCTGTGCTCGACCTGCTTAGGAAGCGCTGCAAAAGTGGCTCTGCAAGTTCTTTTTGCATTTCCCTCCCGAAAAGGGAGCAAGTTTTTCCCAAAGCACTTCCCCCAGCTCTTTGAATAGAAACTGCATTCTTGGCAGAGGGAAAGATGCTCCAGTCTTAGCATTTCCGCCTCTGCAGAGCCATCAAAGGGTCTCCATCTAGCCAACTGTTAGCTGATCATCAGTGAAAAAGAGCCTCTTTGATTGGCACTGGAAGCACATCTTCAAAGGCTGCGCTACAGTAACCTTTTAATTTTAACAGGCGTCTATCACTTGATGCTATTATAATGTTTGATGATTGACAGATGGGTTCTCTCACCTGTGAAAATGGCTCCCTAGTGGGTGAGGAGATAAAGATCCGGCCCACTGGGCTACTCCTGATTTATATTCTTTAGCCAAAAAAGGATCCCAGAGTAGTTCACAGAAATCAGTAGTGAAGTAATCCCTATTCTCAGGTTTACAATCTGAAAGAGATGAGCGTATGAGGAAGAAGGGGTGGGCAGAGAAGAAGAGAAAAAAGAAAGCTCAAACACCAGTCCAATAATATCTGGAGGACTTTAGGTTCCCCTTCCTTGGTTTAGTATAATGTCTGAACATCTCTTCTATTGATTCTGGCTTCCCACTGCATGTACTGTACATGTAGCAAAATACATGTGTTTATCTATTTAGCATATTCAAAGTACTGACATGTCAAGTAGCCCTTACTGGTCAAGTGGTCAGTACTGAGCACCTCTGGCATGCTGGGCTCTGCACTTAAGGTACAGCTGATGCAGTCTACACCCAGAACTACATTATTATGCAAATAGCCTGACATCAATTGGTTTAAAATATTGTCTCTGTGTATGTATTTGTGTTTGTGTATATTTATATGTCTATATATATCTAGTAGGTTCTCTAAAATTACATTTCTTGTCACTTGGCACAGAATGCCAAACACTACTGGCACATTTTAAAGACTTATTCCAGTCAAAGTACTACTCTTAAGAAGAAAAATAATAATTATGTAGCATGCAAATATTCACTGGCGTTAGCAACATTGCAGTGAGTTAGGCATAAATAGGTTTTCCACTATTTCCATTCCATTTTCATGCAAATGTGCGATAACAGATGTTAAAAATCTTTACCAGTAACTGATTATTTTCTTTCAATGGACAAAATATATGTGTCTCTGTTGCAACAAGCCAGCAGCAAAATTCAGAGCACATGTATTTGGTTCTTTGTGAATGCTAATATCCTGTGGTTTTGGAACATGTGATGGCCTCAATTGATAGCCAAGTCTAGTACGACATTTTATTATGTAGTCCATTTCTCCATTCCAATGGGTATTCTACTGTTTACCTCCGAACTGCTATACCACTTGAATATTTTGCTTACAAAATGTGCTTGAATCATTTCCCAGTTATGGTTTTTTCTTATTGTAGATTTAATATGCATATCCTAAATTCATACAGGAAAATTCAGTATCAAACAATGGAACCTCTACGTAAAGTATTTAGGTCAGTGGGAGAAGGAAAACAGAGGCTGCTATAACTGTTGTGGTGTATTAATAACTGAGATTACATACAATACTAGACTATATATGCCTACACATAAATAATTCCCATTGAGTTCAAAAGGACTTACTCCTGAGTAAGTGGGTATAGGATTATAGCCTTGGGTCCCACTAACATAGGACTTACTTCTGAGTAGACACATATAGCATTGCATTGTTAGTCGTCTTCTTGTTCTCCTTGTTCTGAATAAGTCAGTTTTGTTAAATTTTCCTTACCAAAGTGCCAAACAACCTCATAGCTCTCTAGGTAATCTCTGTCTCATTTATTATTTTAAGGCACCTACTATAAAGGTTCTAAATTGAAACCAAACATTACTGTGCCAGGTTGATTTCTGACTGTTATAAACAATTTATACAGATAATTTATAGACTCTTCTTTTGGTTCTTATTATGCAAAATGTACAAAACCTAGATACCAGAACAGAAAACGAAAAAAGGGAACATGTGAGATTAGTCTCTGTCTAGGAAAGTGTGAGGAGAGTTCTTTCATGGAGGCCCTTTGCTGCTAGAGAAAGAGCTAGCTCTGTTTCCATCGGGCATTTTTAAAAGTGCTTGTAAGGGCTATAGTCTGCAGGTGCATTTAAATGTATCCTTGTCCCACTGATGTGCAAAGTTACGTGGTAGTCCTGATTTTAAAAAGCAAATGTGGTACTCATATGGGACATGCTAAATCCACACCTACCCATGGTTGCCTCCTTGCAGAATATATCCCGAAGGCTGTTTTCTATCAGCCTTGTTCTAATTTGAGATAAAAGGTGAGCTGAAATTAAAGTGTGGGAAAGATAAGCACTGGACATGCAAAGGGGAATCTATATATCACTTGCATACTTGCTAAAGGTAAAGGTAAAGGACCCTTGACAGTTAAGTCCAGTCGTGAACGACTCTCAGGTTGTGGCGCTCATCTTGCTTTACTGGCCGAGGGAGCCGGGATTTGTCCACAGACAGTTTTTCCGGGTCATGTGGCCAGCATGACTAAGCCGCTTCTGGCAAAACCAGAGCAGCGCGTGGAAACACTGTTTACCTTCCCGCTGGAGCGATACCTATTTATCTACTTGCACTTTTTGGGCATGCTTTCGAACTGCGAGGTCGGCAGGAGCTGGGACTGAGCAACGGGAGCTCACTCCATTGTGGGGATTCGAACTGCCAACCTTCTGATCGGCAAGTCCTAGGCTCTGTGGTTTAGACCACAGTGCTACCTACCGTACATAACCTACTGGCTACTTGCTGTTTAAATGAGATTCTCCCAGGCTAGTTTGGCCCTAAATTCCACATTGTTGCCCAGGCAGTCCTGCTCACCCTGGAAACAAAACTGAAAAGATGACCAAAAAAGCAACAAAAGCTCCAACCAGTAATTGTATGGTCATGGCAGAGTGGAGATCTCCATTATCATCTGTGTAGCCACAGGTGCTGTCCAGTAGGTGCATTTGAGAGTTGCACCTTCACATACACAGCTTATCCTAGCAGCAGTGAAAACCCTACTTGCAAATTGAACGTTCAGCTCTCTGTGATGGAGCTGTGACCTTGGGGGAAGACATAAGTATTTCCAAGAAGAATTAAAAAAATAAACAACATGTGCACAGCCTCATTTATGCTCGGCATAGGGACAGTGATGTATTTAATTGGGTCAGGTTTTGCTCATGAGAATCAGTATGCTTTTGAGAGGCACAAAAGTCTTCTAATTCCGGTGCAAAATAAATTTACAAAGCTAAACTTTTAGATAAAAAATAATGCTCCTAAGGGAAACATTTGAGGTGGGGTGCAGAAAAGTATGTGGAAGTTTAGAGGCTTGTTGATACTTACAGCCAGAACTTAATGCAACAGAAAGCATTATTTACCATGTTAAGTAATTTTTTAAAAGCCTCTTAACTAAAGCCAGTTATTTCAGTGTGCTGACATACCAGAGAGGAATGAAATACTGCTCACAGTTTATCTCCTTGGATTGCCATCTGTGTAACATGTGCGAGAGTGGACAAGAGAAGCTTAGGAAATTACTTTCTTGTTGCTAATGTTTTGAAGGCTTGGTCTGATGCACTTCTGTTTTCAAAGCAAAGGAGCGCAATCTGTTCTGCAAGGGACGAACCCACTCTTAATCAGTAGCTGACCAAAATATTATTTTCAGGTTCGTAAAAAACACTAGACTCGAAAGAAGAATGTGGCTTCTCCATCCAGCGCAAGAGGCCTGGCCTGCCTGCATGAACTTAGGGTAGGCTTGGAAGAGGCATGTGGAGCACTGTGTTTGCATTATCTGGGCTCTGCAGAAGGGAATTGGGCAACTTTTTGCTTGAAGCGCTTGGGGCATTGAAGGGTTCAAGGGCCTTATTCTTTCTGGGGAAGCTAAACTGCATTGCTTTCTAAAAAAAATGTGTTGCTGCTCAAAATGGAGCCAGGCTTTCAGAAACATTTTCGTGGTGGTATTTTATGTGCCTTCAATTTCAGCTGCACTGAAGAGAATGAAGGGAAATATCAACATGGACTTATGTGCTCATAGGGCTGTGTATAAATAAAGAGGCCAAGTATGTGTCAGAGTATAAGCAAGTGACTTTTTCCAAGTCTTTAAAAGCATGCTTATGAGATTTTAAATAAATGAATTAAGCTATACCATTCATTGGGACTATTTTGTTTCCCCCTTCACTGGTTTCAGTGCTGCTTTTTATTATGATGATAGTTATATGTTGGATTTATGACAATCTGTTTTTTTTGTATTGATTGATTTTTCATTTGGATTGTATTTATATTTTATTTATTATGAGGACTTGATTAATTAGGCAGCATATAACTGGAAAAACTAAGCAAAATAAATCCAGAGTACCATAGTTCCATGAGCCCAAAGAGACTTTGGAGTTGTTTTTCTTGATTAGCAGCAACCCCAACCCCTGGCCATGCCAGATGGCAAAGCATGTAATTGGAATGAAATGCGAAGAAAAAAGCCAACTGTCTCTTGCATAAGCCCAAGTAGCATTTTTTGTTCTGACCATTATTTGCGTAAGATCTGTGTATTCATCCAGAAACTGTGTCTTAAAGTAACAGCCTTCAGTATAGCTTCTTACAAACAACAAAAATACCTATACTTATTTTTGCAGCTTCCAAATGTTATATGTGGAAGTTTAGTATTAAGGTTGTATTATAGAAAATATGAAGAAATACTCATCACATGCTGCAACTTCCCAAATAGTGGTACTGTGTGTTTTAATACTCCAAATCCCCTTATCAGGGTAGCACCTCATTTGCTGGGAATTTGTCCCAGTTTCTAGCACCAACATAACTGGACTTCTTTCTGTCCCCCCCCCCCTTTTTTAATGGATATTCTGTTCTGATACTGTGTTTGCATGTTGCATGGACCAAGAGCGTAGTTGTATTGGGAATGGTTTGGAAGAGGGACTGTTGTGACGAGGGAAGTTGTAATCCTGTTCTTCTTTTTTGTATTATTGCTATAAAAAACTTAAATTAAAAAAAACCTTGATTTGGTTTTCTGGTAATTAGTAAACGTGTGTCTGTTTTCTTTATGAATATTTCTTACCCATTCCAATAAGAACCTATTCCAATAAATAGGTTTTCCGCATGTTACGTATTGAAGTTCCCCAAAAGCTCATTTCCTCCATGGAGAGTCCTTGCATTGCAAGAAGAGATTTTCTAGCAGAGGAGACTTGTTTCTGTCAAAGGAATGTTTGCTATTCTACAATAGTTCAATGAAGTTCTGAAGCTGCAGAAAACTTGTAACATCTTATTTTGAAAATGTATCCCATGTTAGCTTTGAAACTTATTAGTTTGATTTCTAGGCTTGTGTGCTCGTAATACTGCACTGTCTGTTTTCTTTGTTTAGCTTGGTTTATCTCACTTGGAGGGACGGAGGAGAAATTCACTTTTGTATTATTGTTGTTTGTTATTTATTAAATTTGTATACCGCCTTTCATCCGAAGATCACAGGGCAGTTCACAACATTAAATTGCAAAATGCATAGTAAAGAACAAACAAAAGCAAACCAATAACCCCCATCCCACAAACACATGCATTTAAAGCTGAATCTATCAAAAATAATAATAATAATAATAATAATAATAATAATAATAATAATAATAATATTAAGCCACTCTGGGCGGCTTCCAAAAGAATATTAAAATACTGTGATACATCAAACATTAAAAGCTGTCCAGAATAATAATCAAACTGAAACACAGCTATCCTTTGAAATGTGCACTTATCTGAATTTTGTGATGCAGTCCTCCAGCCAACTGATGTATATAAAATGCTTTTACCAGGGAAAAGTATGTATAAAAATGAAGACAGTGGTGAAAACAACCAACATAAATGCACTGTATTAGGGGAAATTGCTTGCCAAAGTGTGTACATTAGTCAAAACTACATATAACATGTTTTTATTAAGAGAAATTAGCACTAAAATGGTGATGAATTTTCATGAGATTTTTTTTAAAATTGCAAGTTGCTGCAAAATGCGGAGAATGGGGGGAAATTAGAAACTGGGAGAATGAAAATAGACAGATCCTTCCAGCTCTACTCACTGGTCACTACTTGAAGATTCCCCTTTTTGCCTTCTTGGGTCCTGCCTATGAAAAATATTGCCTGAATAGTTTGACAACATGTTTTCCCCATTTTTCTATAATGTAGAAACTGGTTTGTGGTCCTGCAAACTCCTTTTGTTAATCTAGTTCTGCTTTCACTTGTTGTATAATCAGCAACTTCAATACAGATTACTTATTTAATAGTAAATAATAAATAAATGCCTGTTCCGTGTTAAACACAATCACATGTGCAAAGTTGTTTCTGTCGACACAAAACTATTTAGAAATAGGAAAGACTCCTTCTGGCAGCTATGAATCTGTGAAAGAACTATATGAAAACGCCAATGCAAAACTGGTTACTGGAAAGAGTTTTATGGTTTCTCAGAGCCATTTCTATTCCTGCAGTCACTAGCAAATATTCTAAGCTATTGGTTTTCAACTAGGAGGTTGAACTGAACTGAGTCACAGCCTGGGGGTGGGGGGTCATCTGGGGGGTGACACCAGCAGCACTACCACCAGACACAAACATGGTAAAATTAGAAGCTGGGGCCCATAATGCATACTTATGTGAAAGTGAACAGCAGGTCTGAAAAAAGTTGAATTCTACTGTTGTTCTAAACTTTATGTAGACCAGAAAAAATTACAAAGATTATTAGAACCTTATAAAGCAAATATTAAGTGGTTTAGAAATACTTTTTAAATGATAGATTGGAAGCAGAAAAACCCAAAGCAGATTACTAAACTGTGAGATAACATATTTTATAAAATGAATAAGATCCTCCATACATTTAAAGCACATCCAACCCATATTCAAAGCCCATTACTTCCCCCTTTGAATACTGGGAGCTGTAGTTTTCCCATCACATAATTCCCAGCATCCTTAATAAACTACAGTTCCCATGATTCTTTGTATGGTGTGGATCTGTGCAAAGACTGCTTTGAAGCTGAAATTAAACCCAGAAATCAAAATATTGGGCAACAGAAAAAGATTAGGTACTCTTCTTCCAGTGCATTGGAGAGGCTAAATATCTTGCATTACTACACACGATTTACTTGCGTGCTACCACATATACGTGTGGGGCCAGGAAATAAATCAATAAATCAATTCAAACATGGAAATGGCGGGAGAGAGCTGGTGTCAGGAGTAGGTCAGCAATAAAAAATACTGGCGTAAGTAAAATTAACTCTATATTTAAAGAATCCAAAACTGCACAGACCTAGTGATCACAGAAACTCTTCCCAGCAGGACTCGCCCCAATGAGGCAGTTGCGAAGACTGAAGGTCCCCGCCCTCCCACCGTCCTCTAAGGCTCCTCCTCTGGTTCCTTCCCCAGCAACCTAAGGGTCATTTGTTTCGTCTCTGCTCTGCTCTCTTCAGTTTTCTGTGTGTTCTGGGAGACCACAGGAAGCTTCCCTGGCTTCTTCAGAAGCCTACTTCCATTCAGTCTCTAGATCCTGCTCTGCTTCTGCTTCTGTGTCTGGGCTCTGCCACAGCCTCTTCCTGCTCACTAAACCCTGTTACCTCTTCAGGTTCCAACACTTCCTCCTCCCAGTCTGCTCCCTCTTCTCCCTCCGACCATTCATCGTCCCACCACCAATCCCCTGGCTCTGAGCTTTCTTCCCTTGGGGGGTTCCTTAGGGGGTTCCCCAACTGGTGCTTCCTCTGCATCCAGCCAGACCCTCTCCAGAGTCTGAAGAGGGCAGAGGAAGCCCCAAAGAGTCTGGAGGCACAGCAGGGCTTCGCTTTGGCCTCTCAGCCTCTCTACTTAACAGCCGATGAACGTGGTAGCATCCTCCAGCCTCCTGCCAGCCCCAGAGCTTTAATTCCAGTTGTGGATATTTTTGGATACAGTATTTTTGGTCTAGGTTGGAGAGAGAGAACGGTGGAGAGGGCATTTAGAGAGTACTCCTGACTACTCAATTTTTACTTACGCACGTGGCGGCCTGGAACATAACCCCTGCATAAGTGGGGGGGGGGGGACATCTGTATGCCAAGGCACATAGGATTAAATTAGGGAACTATTATTTAATGAACACCATTTGTCAACTTCACCTAAGTGGGTGGTAATATGATTGCACCTCATGCTTTGTCTTCGTCTGCTGTTTTAAATTTTGTTCCCAAAACTACTGAGAGAGGGTGCGACATGAAAGTAGTAGTATAGTAGTAAGGGATATCAGAGGTCAAGGATAGTGAAGAGAGGATGGGGAGAGAGTCAAAACTGGTACAGGTGGGTTTTTGTTTAACTGTATTCTATGACTTTGTTTCTTCTGCAACCTATGGATGTTTGAGCCTTTCTCAAAGAAGGGTTCTGATTGGACTTTATAGCAGAGTTCTTGCATCCGTGAAAGATAGTTCAGTTGGTAGAGCATGAGACTCTCAGGGTTGTAGGTTTGAGCCCCACATTGTGTGAAAGATTCCTGCATTGCAGCAGGTTGGACTAGATGACCCTCGTGGTCCCTTCCAACACTACGAGTCTTTGATTCTGTGATCCATTGAATTGAACATAATCCTATTGTCTTCCTCTTCAGTCCATATGTGGCTAGGTAGGGAATGTGCTGATGCTTCATAGGGAAGCCATATTGATCATATATCCTAACTAAAGTTCTGCAAGCCATATTTATGAGTGATCCAGCAAATAAAAATACCGTAGTCGTTTTCCTTAAACATCATCAAAATGGTTATTATTTGGGAATCATATCAATTTGGGGAGCTACTGTATTGCACTGGGACTGCTTTGTTTATCAAACAAATTTCCTTGTCTGAAACATTAGTCGACTCTGTTGCGAAAACGATCCACTCTTGTCACAGTGCCTGGAACAAAAGTATGGAAACTAATCTGCCTCGTCACCCTTTAATTTATCATATAGATCTGAGTAGCAAAGTCCCTTGCAGACAAAGGGAAGCAGTAAAACATGTTTAACAAGTCCCAGCTATTGATTTGCACAACAAGCAACTTGAATCAAAAGATTAAACATGCTAAAGTTTTTGGCACCCCGAGTAAAAGTTATGCTAATACCGATCACACTCTTCTTGCCTCTGTTGTTTCACTGTTGCTCCGTTGGTAGACCTCCCCAAATCAGACTGAAATTAGTAATAAAAAAGAATCTTATTGAATTGAAGTGGCATAGGTGCATACATACTTCTGTTATTTAAGGCCAGAACTAAATAATTCATCCCTCGAGTCAAGAAGTGACCAATTTTAATACCCTCACAGACTGATTATTATATATATAATGTTATGTTGGTACAAATACCGTATTGGCCTGAATATAAGCATCACTTTTTTCCAAATTCCAACCGTGAAAAGTTAAAGTATGGCTTAAATTTGCGACCTTACAAAAATAGGCTTTTACTATTTCGCTGCCGAAGCAGACATACGGTAAAATGGAACGGGTGTGAGTGGCTGCGGAATTTTAAGAGAGCGGCTTATATTTGGGTATTGCCTTTTTTTCTTTCTCCCCCTTGAATTTAAAAGGTGTGGCTTCTATTTGGGCCAATACAGTAATAGTGTTTCAGGAAGACGTTGAATTTTCTTCTGGTTTCAAAATAGAGAATATATGACTGAATACTGAAGGCTTGCTTGACATTTAAAATTGTTGGCTTTGATAGTGACAGCCTATCTCGCATTCCTGTATCTGTAGCCATGTAATAATAATACAAAACTATAAGTTCTTTACTGACATAAATTTAGTTGATATAAAAGCTGAAGCATATCTATATCTGCTCTTCTCACACAACACTTTGCATTGAATACTTTTATAATGAAGTATGCCATTGCTAAAAGAAGCTTTCTAAGCCATGGAGAAGTTTGGCTTCTGAATAGTATTGGCGTACCTACGGTTTCTTGCCTAAGCAATGGATTCTGAACCAATAGCAAATAGTTAATGGTGTGTTTTGCCCGAGAGTAGAGAGCCTGTGGCCTTCCAGTTGTTGCTGGACTCCCAACTCTCATCAGCCCTAGACAACAAAGTTCATGGCCAGGCATTATGAGACCTCAAGTCCAGCAACATTGGCAAGGTCACATTCCCTGCCCTTGAAAACCCTAAAAAATCCAAGTCTGGTTTCAAGCTATGATAAGGAATTTTCACTTACCAGTACAGATGCTGTGAGCCAAAGGAGGGAAAGTTTGGGGAAAATATATATAATATATGAGAATTATATTTAAGGACAAGAGGTAGAAATTGCCTTGAATTGATTTATTTTTTAAAAAACAAATATTTAATAACTACACAATTATTTTAAATCTCCTATAGTAAATATTCATTTTCTGAACTTACTTTTAGACCTTGGATATTCCATAACGTCTATGCCAGCTGTGAATGGCAAATCTGAAAGCAGCGACAGCGGAGCAGAGTCGGAGGAGGAACCCCATCAGGAAGAAATAACAGAGCTAAAGCAGGTTGAGAAAGGTACAGCTTTATTTCTGAACCGCACCCACCTTTTCATAGCTGTGCTTCTTTCCAGTCTTGCTCAATCAGACTGTGGCTGCTGTGGAACACAAAAAAGCAATGGTCCCGTGTCTCTCTGCCCTACATTATTTTGTAAGAGTGAGCCCTGTTTGGAAACTTCAGATTTCAGAAGAGGCTTGGGAATCTGATTATCAAGATGTAATCCTGCCCCCACTTACCTAGGAGCAAATTCTGAACATGATGGAAAAACATGTGTTGTTGGGATGTAAGCTTTTGTGTACAATTGTGGTTTGTTTTTTTTTAATGGAAAGATCTTTAATAGATTGGTAATAGGAGTGATGAGTGAATGCAGGACATGTAACTGCAGAGATGGAATGCGTGCCCACAATTTAAATACAAAGTAAGACACAAAAAAAGTCAAAAGCAACATGCAGGTAGTTGGACTATGGGTGGTTCAGCTTTTCTTCCTTTTCTTTATTATTTTGTAACCAATGGAAACATTGCATAATGAATTGTGTAGTACAAGTAACTTAACATTGCAATCCAAACCTTAAGTAAAGGTAAAGGGACCCCTGACCATTAGGTCCAGTCATGACCGACTCTGGGGTTGCGGCGCTCATCTCGCTTTATTGGCCGAGGGAGCCGGCGTACAGCTTCCGGGTCATGTGGCCAGTGGGACTATGCCGCTTCTGGCGAACCAGAGCAGCGCACGGAAACACCATTTACCTTCCCACCAGAGTGGTACCTATTTATCTACTTGCACTTTGACGTGCTTTCGAACTGCTAGGTTGGCAGGAGCTGGGACCGAGCAACAGGAGCTCACCCCGTCACGGGGATTCGAACCGCTGACCTTCTGATCGGCAACTCCTAGGGTTAAACCACAGAGCTACCTATGTCCCTTGGTCGGGGCTTAACTGGCTATCAGGCCCAGAGCCACATCCATAGCTCAGCTACTCTCACAGCCTGGTGCAGAAGAGGAAGGGGAACACTTTGAATCGTTACAGCAACGAGGCCCACATTAGGCCCAGTGCTGACATGTCATTGCAGTGGGGCTGGCTTGATATCCAGCAGATCCTGTGCTAGCTCAGCCCCTTGCTGTTATAGGACTTTCCGTAGGCTTTCACCAGTTGGGATCCTGGCAGTGGGGCTTCCACACATTTAGTTGGAGGCTTCCATACCAGTGGAGTAATGCTGCCCACTTCATGGACAGAGACTGTCAGAGATGAGTAGAGTCAGTGCTGGATTTACGTATAAGCTAAACAAAAGCTATAGCTTAGGGCCCCCACTCTTGTGGGGACCCCCCAAAAAATTAAAGGGAAAAAAACCTGGATGTACATTTCCAAAATATAATATAAAAAATAAAAAATAAAACCTACATACAGCAACAGTATTTTGTGTTGTGTAGGCTTCTATGATGTAAGTAAAGGGCCCTGCCTGCTAGGCTGCTCCCTAAAATATCACTGGTTTGCTCATTTCCATATATAGGGTGCCTACATTCTGCATAGACTGGTTGCATGGCAACATGTGCAAATGTCTTTAGATACCTATTAGGTCCACAAATTACCATATAGCATATATTCGGCACAAAAAACAGTGGCAATTTGTTGTTGACAAAGGACAGCTGGACATAGAAAGGGCCCCATTACCTTCAGTAATTTAGGGCCTCATCAAACCCAAATCTGGCCCTGAGTAGAGTTCATTAAATCTATGAACAAATAAAAAAAGCACATTTGTAAAAACTAGTATATTTCATAGTATAAGTCTGTTTGAAATGTTGTCCCCTTATTTATTGGTTTTACAGAAAGTGAGAGTCTGGGACCAGATTTGCCGCCTGCTCAGGAGTTGGACTGTGTTGTCGCCAACGGTTGCTGTGAAGATGTCCCAAATACTGACATTCACAATGGCATACAGACTAAATCTGCTCTGAATGGTATAAATGTGGATGAAGAAGTAAAGAAGAGAGACAAGCGCCTTGAACTACCTCTAATTTCTAATTTTGGGTCTTCTCACCAAGGTGCTTTCCTCACGTGCATTTTTCCAAATTAGTCTATATGTTTGTCAAGCAGAATTTTCCAGTGGTGAAGACTATCCTGGGAATTTGCTGTCTGGTTTGTAAAGATTATTTCCTCACTTTTACCAAGCTGTAGTGGAAATGATTGGAGATTTAAACTTTGGTATGCTTTATAATATATTCTGTAAACTTGTTAATTTTTTTATGCCATATTTACTCGAGTCTAATGCGCCATCGAATCTAATGCGCACCTCAGTTTTCAGAACCTTGAAAAAAAAAGTATTTGCTGGCGAATGTAAATGTGCCATTGAATCTAATGCACACCTTAATTTTCGCAATGTAATTTCGCCAAAAAAGGTACGGATTAGATTTGAGTAAATACAGTATTTGACTGTTGTGTGCCCTCCGTTCATATACTTACTGTGTCTTTGTGTGATGGAGAATCAAAGTAAACTCCTCCATGTACAGTAAATGACACTGAGGCTTCTTCTCTTCTGACTGACAAGTTTCTTCCTCCTCCTCCCAAAGTGGTTGGGAGATTCATGCAAATAAAGTGCTTACACAAAGGGCATCCATGTGGAAAATATAATTGAGAGAGGTGGGGTTCAAAGTAATTAGGATAAATTAACCTCAACAATCACATCTAACGATATTGCCCCATTGTGAATAGCTATTGCAAGCAGTGCTTTCACCTGCTTTATCTTAAGCAGACAACTTACATAATAAGCTTTTTAATATTTGAAGTGTGATCATGTGCTCACTGTTTAAACCAGCCTTTCTTAACCTTGGGTTACCAGATGTTGTTGGACTACAATTCCCATCATCCCTGACCAGTGGTCTTGCTAGCTAGGGATGATGGGAGTTGTAGTCCAAAATCTGGGGACCCAAGATTGAGAGAGGCAAGTTTAGACTGATTAAATATTTATACGTGGACTTTTGCACTGTCATTGTTTTATTCTTGCCCAAATTGGCCTGTTTGCACTTATTAAGTGTTTGGTCATATACCTGTGCACACAGGTGCAAATGAAGATACCGCTGAAGAGGTCTCTGGCATTCAGCACTTGACAAGCGATTCGGATAGTGAAATATACTGTGATTCCATGGAGCAGTTTGGACAAGAAGAGGTACAGTTTATCAAGTTTTGTACTGAATGTGAAAAGGTAACATAAAGTGACCAGAATCCAAAGAGACATGAAATTAGTTCTTTGAACCTACATGATCTTTAAACTTGTTTGCTTGAACAGCAATCCTTTCATGCTGCAAGGCAGACTGATGAAATCAGTTCCTGATATAGCATGAAGATAACTGCTCAAAGCCCAAAATTCCAGGGGTCTCACATAACTGCCTTCTGTAAGCCTAAGCAGTTCTTTAGATTCTGCTAAACAGATGAAGGGTTAGAATCTGGAAGACATAATAGAATGTACCGTATTTTTCGTTCTATAGGACGCACATTTCCCCCTCCAAAAATTAAGGGGAAATGTGTGTGCGTCCTATAGAGCGAATGCAGGCTGCGCCGCTAAGCCCAAAGCCAGAACAGGAAGACGGAGCACTGCGGAGTGCTCCGTCTCGCTGCTCTAGCTTGGGGACGGCTGCGCGCAAACCTCTGCAGGGCAGCAGGGCGCTGCGCTCCAAAGGCTTCAGGGATCTTTGAGGCTGGCGGTGGGGGAAAGCAGCGCTTCCCCCCACCGCCAGCCCCACAAGCTCTGGTGAATGTACCTTGTTTTAGAGGGGGAGAACAAGAAAAAAAAATTTTTCCCTGTTCTCCCCCTCCTATGATCCAGTGCGTCCTATGGTCCGGTGCGTCCAATGGAGCGAAAAATACGGTACATCTAATACAACGCTTCCACAGTCTGTATAATGGTCAGCCTAGGTGTGGCTTTAAATGTGTCTATTGCTTTTAGCATGCTTTTAAAATATACAGTGGTGCCCCGCAAGACGAATGCCTCGCAAGACGGAAAACCCGCTAGACGAAAGGGTTTTCCGTTTTGGAGGTGCTTCGCAAAACGAATTTCCTATGTGCTTGCTTCGCAAGACGAACATGTCTTGCGAGTTCCTGCAGGGTATTGTTCCTTTGTCCCAAGCCGCTAAACCGCTTATCAGCTGATGGCTAAGCCGCTTAACAGCTGATGGTAAGCCGCTTATCAGCTGATCGTTAAGCCGCTTATCAGCTTATCGTTAAGCCGCTTATCAGCTTATCGTTAAGCCGCTTATCAGCTGATCCACTAAGCCTGCTAAGCCGCTAATACTGTAGCACTAATCCGCTAAACTGCTAATGGGCTTGCTTCGCAAGACGAAAAAACCCGCAAGACGAAGAGACTCGCGGAACGGATTCTTTTCGTCTTGCGAGGCACCACTGTATATGCTCCTAGGGGAGCTGATAACTACTCTGTTTGCAGCAAATGAGAAAGGAGAGTTTAACTCTTTCTTACCCTGCTGAAGTCCTTTCAAGCTGCTATTTACTTTAGAAAGAAATCTACGTTTTCCACAACATGCATATTAAATGCAGAGGTGCCCCTGGACCACAACAATAGCCCACAAAAGACTCTAACATAGGTGGTATGTTAGGTATATTAGGTATCCCAGCTTTATGGGAAATACTTTAAGGAAAATATAATAGCTAATTCTCTTAACTTGTAGATATTGGAGTCAACGAAAGGATTTTCAAAACATCCATTACATTTCTCAGAAGTAGACCACAGCAGTCTGCTGGGTGCTTCTGGTTTTCTTGAACTTGGAAACTACAAGACAGACGGTATAATGGTGGCTGCACTTGAAGGAAAAGGTGAAGTCAAGTGTGGTGGTGAGGATGGCAAGGCAAGTGATGGAGGCCCTCACAAAGAAAAGAAAGGTGGTGAAAAGGTGGATTTCTATGGAATCAGAAGAGGGAGAGGTACTGCTGGAATATTTGTTTTGTTATGTTCTTATGTAGATAAGCAAGTCTAGTGCCATACTTTTTATTTTATTTTTGTAATTTACAAAACAAATGTTTTCATAGTCTGATTTTTATATGGATTAAAAATCATGCCTTATTTCTCAATGCTTTCTCTTTCCCCTAAATTTAGGTCATAGAATGCACCCTTTGGGTGATGGCGCCCAAGGTGGACAAATGGGTAGTGGTGGAGATGGAGAACGATGGGGGTCAGATAGAGGACCAAGAAGTGGCCTCAATGAACAAATTGCAGTAGTGCTTATACGATTACAAGAAGACATGCAAAATGTCCTTCAGAGATTGCATGCATTGGAAACACTGACAACTTCACAGGTAAGATGTGCTTGTATTCTATAAAGTGATGTCCAGTGTTAGTCCGATTTTACCTCAGTGCTCCTACTCGGGGCATGACTTAGTTGGAGATCATCCTTATTCTTTCTTTTAAAAAGCTTGATTATTGGAGTAATGTATGTAAGCATGTGTGTAATGTAGTGGAGTTTGTATGTAAGCAGGCTTAATTGCAAAGGATGGATGCTTGGGATCGACCCCTCCATATGGTTATTTGGACCTTCCGAGTCTGGTGATGGGCTATCAGAGGATTGGAGTAGCCGAAGTCTCCAAGCTTTGTGGAAATTTGAAGTGGTATTATTTGCTGTCTGGCTTGGGCAATGGGTTTGGGATGGACTTGCTGCAAAGGGTCAAAAGCATTTTCTTGCTGGAGCATCCACGACTGGAAAGGAATCATCAACAAGAGTGGCGAAAGGGGCAAGAAAGAGACTTGAGGGCCTCGGATACGAGACAACCAGGTTAAGGAGCCGGATTATCGAGGTTAAAAGGACTGACAATCCCGGGTCCAGGGGAGGGAGGTTGGAAGCTGACTGGACTGAATTTGACTTATTATTTTTTCTTTTTATTTTTTAATATTGGGAATGCTTACAAATGTTTGAAGGATGTTGAATGAAATTACATGGCTTAAGTAAGGATTGGTAAATGATTCGTAAAAAGGTAATGATGCAAGAATTTGGTAAATATTGAATATAAGGATGGATGGCAGGGAAGAGGTGGCAAAATCATCACTCCAGGCAGAAGTGTTCCATTTCATGATGTGAGCAACAATGTTACGTTGCAATGTTTCAGAAACCACAGTAGGAATATAGTGTGAAGCTGTGAGTATAAATTTGAAACATAATTTGTCACTGTGTTAAATTTGTGTTTTATTTGCAGGCAGGAACTGCAACCATACATTCAAATAATCAGACTCCCTCACCTGCTAAGGTAAGATCTTACCAACTTTCAACAGAGCAGCTTTGATTTTTATGTTGGCTTTCCTTTGACTGTATGTAGATTAAAATGGAACTTTTCATAACACAATTATCTTAAAAAGAGGTCAAAAAGCAGCGTTTTAAATGCTGTTGCCTTTTGTCTCCTGTTAATTTGATCCATTTGTTTTAGTTATTACCCTGATTAATCTCAAATATTTTTTGCAAGACAGATCTACAGGAGGAAATTTTAAAGCAGTTCTAAATGTAGAGACTAGGGAGGAATATACAAGTGACACAGTGCCCATTTGGGGCAGAACATACAGGTTCCAAATATATAATCTTAGATAGTTCTATGTCTATGCAGACATTTACCAACATCTTATATAACTGGAGAAATTATTTTTTTGTGTGTTATTTTAGAGACCTTCCTGGTGGCCGTTTGAGATTTCTCCTGGTACTTTAGTCTTTGCTGTTTTCTGGCCATTTGCTGCCCAGTGGCTGGTACATGTGTATCTTCAAAGGAGAAGGAGGTAAGACTGTCAATCCTGTTAGATTTGCTAATTTACTCTGCTAAAGCACGAGTCCATGCTGCCCTTTGGATCTTTGGCCTCTCCCTCTCAATTTCCTTTCTTGATTGTGTATAATCTTATCAGCACACAAGGATTTTTTTCACAAGGACCATAAAGATTCCATTTTATATTAGGGATATATCTTTTCACACAGATAGTGTTTTGCTGGAATAGAACACCAGTCAAAGCAGAATCTTATGCCAAGCTGCCTCATGTGTTGCACTTGCATAGTTTGTTGAGTAGTCAGTGCTGTCCAGTGGTCGAGTCTTAACTTTTTTCTGAAGAAAATAATGAAGACATCAGGCTTATTATTAGGTATGAGAGTAATGGACAGACAAATGGAAGATTTGTCCTGATATCACTTGAATTTGGGGGATACGTCTCTTGTTTGGTAGGAATTTAGAAGCGCAAGCTTAATGTGAAATACGTTTTGCCATGAATGTATTCAAACTATTAACAATAAGTATTTTTTTTGTTGAAAATTTTCCACTAAAGTTTTTCGCCAAGCCAAGCCTTGTATATATATTATATATAAAGGGACCCCTGACTGCTAGGTCCAGTCACGAACGACTCTGGGGTTCCAAGTAAAGCTCATCTCGCTTTACTGGCCGAGGGAGCCGGTGTACAGCTTCCAGGTCATGTGGCCAGCATGACAAAGCCGCTTCTGGCGAACCAGAGCAGTGCACGGAAACGCCGTTTACCTTCCCGCTGGAGCGGTACCTATTTATCTACTTGCACTTTGACGTGCTTTCAAACTGCTATGTTGACAGGAGCAGGGACCAAACAATGGGAACTCACCCCATCACAGGGATTCGAACCACCGACCTTCTGATCGGCAAGCCCTAGGCTCTGTGGGGCTCTGTGTTTAGACCACAGCACCACCCGCGTATATATAATGGAGTTGAAGAGCCTTTGTATCTGCTGAATTTCTGGACATTTCACCAACAACGGTCATGTTACAGAAATGTGTAAAGCAGCTTATTCATTTTAGTATTAAAATGAATAAAGTAAAACAGTAAATGGTATTAATCAGGGATGGTGTAATTCTAAGCATTTTAAGGCTTAGAACAAGAATATTGTAAAATGTTTATGGGTAAATGAAAGTGTTGGGGTAGCAATTTTGCATGCAATTTCAACAAAGTCGACAGACTGCTAAGAAGAAATACTTAGGATGGCATTTCAAGTTGGTGTTTTCTTCTCCCCTTCTCAGAAAACAAAACTGAGGATTGAATTCCTGATTTTACTTAAGGACTGCTAACATGGAGACTCTGGAAGGTGAAGTAATTTAAGAGACCTGCAAGAACTGCAGATGCTGGGATGGCTACATCTTTCTTCTATTTTTTTCCTTTTGCACTACCTGGCATACCATACATGAATGGTCCCTTTCTCTTAGGTTACAAATAAATACAACTATCCCATCCAGCAATCACATGAACCCTAAATTAATTGTTTTGGAATGTACTTTTTGGATGAACAGTCTGTAGAGTTGAAGGCTATTACTGCAGCATCTACTGAGAGTGTTTCTTCTTCCCAAAGCTGGAATGAAGAAGTTCCTTCAATTAATGAAAAACAACAAAACAATAATGAAAGCCTGTGAATTGTTACTTTTAACATGATTTATTTTATAATGCCGCAGAAGACTTTCCACATAGCATACAAAACATACAATAAGCTGAGGAAACTTTAAAGTCTGGAATAATCCAAGTATCTGGATTGTATGACTGCAATTAACATTGTAGCTCTGGGAGATCTAATATATAAATTGCTGCTACATAGATGAGGTAGTTTTTTAGGAAACAAATCAAGGGTTTGAAGCTGTAGATTGTACTTCCATGGGGACCATCAGTGCTTCTTTAAAAAACAAGTCAAGCATCTTAATTTGTTAGAACAGCAGTCAGAGTTTGAATATGGCACGATAGAGTCAGAACTCAGTACACAGAATAAAGTACATAAAATGGCCCTGGCACCCCCTAACGTATATTGTCTTATTGAAATTAATGGAACAAGAATGTAAGTACAGTTTATTGTAAATAGTCCTTAATGTTCAGTTTCAGAAGTTGCATAATATTAATTTAGAAGGTGTTCAAAATGCATGTTAAAAACTTACACTGCTGTCCCAGGAAATGTATAGAAACAGGCTGTTGTGAATGGATTGGCTCCAGTGCTAGGGCAATAGGAAGCTGCTGCTGCAGGAAAATCCTGCATCCAATACCTTAAAGGTGACTAAGCTGTGTTACATGTGCAGGCTAGACCTGGTAAAAGGGCCTCCATTATATATTTTCTCACTAGGGTTATAAACCTATGACTATTACCAAATACAGCAGGTGAGGCTTGTATGATTGACTGTTCCTCCATACCAGAAATTCCACATTATTTTAAATAAAAAAAAGAGAGCTTTTCCCTACCATGTTTCTGTGTGGAGGATTTTTTTTAAAATTGGGACAAGCATTCAGTCTTCCCATCTCCTGTTAGAAGTAGTGACAGTCCTGGCACAGATTCAGCTGGTGTCAGTGTAATTTTGCCCCTCGACTCAAGCCAGTTAGCCCCTTCCTGCTCCCATGGCTAATCAGCACTGTCAGCTTAGACCACTGTGTGTGTGTCTGCATGTGCACACATGCACATGTGAATACTCTAAAGCAGCAGTTGGCACCCAAACTTTTGTTGCATTTGCAGCTTAGGGCCATTGCTTTTTAAAACTTTAGGGCAATATTTCTATTGTTTTAATATTTTTTACATACCTAATTGCTGCGGCATTTTCTCATACCCGGGCCCTTTACAAGTGCAAGTCTTTTTCCTTTAAACACTTTCAAGACAATTTTAGCATTGTCACTTTATTAGATTTCTACTTGATTAGATACCTATTTGAATATAACAGCCTGATAATTTCAGTAGTAACATCTCAGACTACAACTAGAAGGGACTTTTCTATAGCAAATGAGAAAGCTAGCAATTAACTAACATTACATTTTGTTATATGATGTTATAAAAATCAACCTAAAGTGATTGCTTTTCAGTTTGTGTATTGAAAAAATAGAAAAACGTATTCTAGACCTGTGAAAAGAGCAGCAACTCCACAGCTGCTTACTCCTTCATGAACCTGCAGTCAACTGATCTACTTTAAAGTAATTTCTGGACTGTGACATTTTTTGCACTGTGTAACTCTTCCGAGTGATGCATTACAGAAAGCTCATGGGCAGTGTTGCATCTGCTCTGATGGCAAGGTCTTGAAGAAAAGCACCTTCATACCTGTTATATGCTATATAAATAATGTAATTACAGGAGTTAGAATTTCTGCCTTGTTTACTAGAACATGATTTTGAAGTTTAGTTTTAAAAGTTAGTTCATCTTAATCTACTGTAAATAACATTTAATAAAGAATGACAGGAGCATTATCAAAGGACATTTTATAACTGAAAGAGTGATTGAATGAATGTAACATAGGCCTGTTTGAAGTTTAAGATTTCAAGGTTCTCAAAACAGTGACCGGGTTGGAATATGACAATAAGAATACTCTTGTCCTAATTGTTCCAAGTTGCTTTATTCTCATCAAGGATGAAGGGGATCAGCTTCAGAAAATACGCTTTCTTAAAAAGAACAGTCTTCCTGCTGTTTCACAGCTGGTTTTCACCAGAACGTGAGGGCACAGCTTAAGGAAGGGGAAGTAGGAGAGCAGTTGTGGAAATAACAAAACTTTCAGTCTTCCCCAAAGGGTGGAGGGTGACAGCAGCATGTAAACTAGGTAGTGTGTCTTCAGAACAGGTAAGTACTCCAGCAGATTGTCAGGTTTTGAGACTCTTTTCTCTAATAAGCCATTGGGGTTCAACTGGTGGGTTGAGAATCACTAGTGGGTCACGGCCTGACCCAGGGTGGGTCACAACAGGAGCGCTGTCACCATGCAAATATATGGTAAAAGATGAAGAAATGGGCCTCCATGTCTGGGTTAAAAGTGGGTCCTGGGCCTGAAAAGGTTGAATATACCTGAAGATACCATCACCACTGATTATATGAAGGAGGAAACTAACTGGGAATTGCAAAGTAGGTAGGCTCTGAGAGCAAGCTAGCTCACAGTTCTCATTTTATTCATTTGCACTGACAGCTCAGTTGTTTCAAAGCATTGCTCCATACATCTTACAGAATACCAGTACACCTGCTGAAAATATTGTGTAATCATTTATTCTGGGCTGTTAAGATCAATGAATAACTTCACACCTTTATCATTTATTAATTGCATTTACTGGCAGCAGTATGTAGGAAGGTGTTAATTGCTGAATTACTCATATTGCCTACAGGTAGAAAACTGGCATTATACAGGTGGGATAACCTCTGTAATGACTGCTAGATAATTCAGATGATAGTTTCATTTTGAACATGATAATATTTTGAATTAAAGATAGGTAACAACACCAAAAATAAAATGACAGTTGACTAGATAGGTAATAGGCTGATTGATGGCATTGGTGAGGACCTAAACAATGTTCATAGGTAAGGTGGGTGGGAGAAACAGACCTTGACAATGACATTAGAGATAATTTAGTACATTGGCAGTTTAAGCATCAGGGCAGGCAGTATACAAATTACCTAAAGTATGTGGGATAGGAGCATCTTCGGGCTTCTCTATAGGCACAGCTTGAAAAGTCAGAAAACAGTTTTGAATTCAGTCTGTAAAGTGGCTGAATTGGAGGCACCAAAATAATCACTATGCACTTAACCTCCCAGGTATGTTCAACAACAAAGCAGCTCTTCCTCCCAACGTTTGACATTTTGTTCAGTGTCACTGTGTTATACCACCATTAAATACGTAATACTTAAAGACTTACATAAGGTGCTGTAAGTAGACTAAAAATATAGTTCAGAAGCTGTTTGGAATGAATGGTTTCAATACAGCTTGTAAGAAATATATATAAATATATATGCAGAGTTAAAAGCAAATCAGGTTTTAAAAAAAACTTAGGTGCGTTAGAAAATAGAGAGTAAAACTTATGTTAAGGAAGCTTCTTAAATGTGCCGTTCTCTGGAAAATAATTCCATTTTCCCGTACTACAAGCTGAATCCAGATACTGTTAGATGCTGAGCATTATTCCTAGCTTCAAAATAGGAAGTATCTGTTTCATCATTTGGCTGTGGTATGAAGGGCATGGTCTGATTATGCAGATTATCCCAGTCCACACCATGAAAGAGGGGGTGAAGTTTCAGCTCTGGAATAAATTTTTTAACAAAGGTTAGATTTCTTTGCATGAACACCTTGCACTTTCCAGGTTCTTTCTCTGATTCTGGATGTCTGCAATGTATTTTTTCTTAAATTTGTCTGACTGTATTTAGAGTCATAAGACTGAAATTAAACGTCTTAGTAAGGGTTTGCCAACGTACTCCTGCCCTTATAGATTTGAAATGTTTTTGCAATGCATTCATCAAAGTTCTCTTTCTACAGTAGGTAGCCCTAAGCCAGCACTTTGTTCCCAGAACTTGCATACTCTAGACAATATGAAGCAGTCTCTAGACAGCAACTCCATGATGTGTGGATTTGATAAACCAGATTCACACTAACAGGAAAAAACAGAAGTAATAAGGCAGTGTGGTGTAGTGGGTAGAATGTGAGGCTGGCTCAGGGAATCTGGGATTCAAACCACTGCTCAACCATGAAGCTGACTAAACAAGCCACGGCTGTATCTCAGCCTATCCTACTCTTTTGAATTGCTACAAGGGTAGAAGAGAGGCAAGAACCACATACACTGCTATGGGCTCCATGGAAGAATAAATAAAATGGTTCTTGCCTTTCACTGGATTTTCATCTTGTGTTGCGATTTTTGTAACCTGGCAGCTACAGTGCTGGGCTGACCATCTTCATGCATAATGACTAGAAATGGCTATAGCAGATAGTCTTCCCTCCAATAGCATATGTACTCAAACTGCAGGTTTCTAAATTGCTAAAGAAAAATCATAATGGTAACATTAAAGAGATAACTAACATATACTAACCCTTGAGTCCAGCTCGCTTACTGCTCTCAATGGTTAAAAGAACTTCTATGGCATTCTGAGCACCATCTGACAATTTCTCTTCATCTTCAGGCCACGGAATATCTAGAAACACACACAAAACATCTCTGTACTTATGCTGGACCAACAACCTTTGAAATTAATTTTGCTCGAAAGTAAGGTAATTTACCCCTTTTCAGAATATTCTGGAATACTTGTTGTGGTGTTTCGTCATTGAATGGTGGAATTCCAGTTAAAAACTCATACAAGCAAACTCCAAGTGCCCACCAGTCTACTGCAGGACCTGAAGTGAAGAAAGTCGACATAAATTGACCACCATGAGAGGTATTATGTAAAGGTGTATTGCCTGGGAAGATACCGAGCACCCAAACACCTGTTATTCATGAAAGCAGCATACAAGGCAGAAATTGTTTTCTAATCACCTTTCCTTTTCCCTTCTGCTATTCTCAATATGTTAATGTTTCCTTAAAACGACGGAAGGCAGAGCAAAGCAAGTCACCTCCCATTCTAAACCACCCTGGGACTTTCAAAGACCAGTTGTGTAAGCAAACAAAAACTCAAAGGTCTGTATTTCCTAGGTTTTAAAAAGGAACCAAGCACATCATTTAGAGCAGTGGTGGGCAAACTTGTCTCTCCAGCTGTTTTTTTGACTACAACTCCCATCATCCCTAGCTAACAGGACCAGTGGTCAGGGATGATGGGAACTGTAGTTCCAAAACAGCTGGAGGGACAAGTTTGGCTACCACTGATTTAGGGCCACAGATTCAAAATAAATTCTGAGTTGACTAATGATTGCAGAGAACAAGTCAATAGTATAAAAATACTGTACTTTTCTGTGTATAAGACTAGGTTTTTTTAACATAAAAATTATGTTTAAAATGGGGGGGGGGGGAAACGTCTTATACATGGATAGTGCATGGGGGGGACGGGATGTGGGATTGGTTTATACCACGAGCCGGAGATTGTCAGCAGCATGTCATTGGTGGCTGCGACAAGGGGTGGTGTGGATTGGCTGTCGCTGCGGCAATTGGGCAGGCAATTGGCTGCTTCTGCCAGCGAGGAGACATATGTTAGGAGGGGCAATCCTCTCCCCAAAAAGCTCAACAACTCTGGGCAATCTCTCCCCATTTTCTTAATTTTTAGTCCGCCCAAATTGGGGGCGTCTTATACAGGGGCTTGTTATCCATGGAAAAGTACAGTAAACCTTTATGTGAATATCTAGTGTAGAAATAGGCACCACAGAAGCTCAGACTCAACAGGAAGTTCTCTCTGCAGTGCTAATAGGACAGCATAGGGCGAACTTCCACTTACTTGCTCTTTGACAGCTTTTAAGGTTTACAAAATTACGCCTAGCATGGAGAAGGTGGACAGAAAAAAGCCCCACCCCCTTTTCATAACACTCGTGGACATCCAATGAAGGAGAATGTTGGAAGAATTAGGACAAATAAAAAATACTTCTTCACTCAGCTCCCCCAGGAGGGCAGTGATGGCCACCACCTTGGATGGCTTTAAAAGAGGATTAGACAAGTTCATGGAAGAGATGGGTATCTGTGGCTACTAGACATGATGGCTTTGCTCTACCAACCATAGCTGGAGGCAACAATACATCCAACCACCAGTTGCTGGAAACTACCCAAGGGGAGAGGGTTCTTGTGCTCATGTTCTGCTTCCTGGTTTCCCACAGGCATCTGGTTGGCCCCTGTGAGAACGGGACACTGGACTAGATGGGCCACTGGCCTGATCTTAACAGGCTATTGGTATGCTCTTAATGAAACTGAATACTGATCAAGTGCAGTCCAAGACCAAGCAGGCAAAGCTGTTGAGACACCACAAGCCATTAAAATGCAACATGCACCCTGCAGCTGCTGCACAGCTAAAGCTCCAGACAGCCCATCATGTCAGGAAGGAAAGATGCACTTGCTGTGAAAACTTGCTTGCACTGCAGATGCTGGTACATTTTCCTGCTGTTTCACCCACCCCCACTGTCCAATGGGTTCTCAGTACACAGCGGTGAAACCACCCAAGAGTATGTGCTTGTGTGCACGAATACAACAGGTGAACTGAATGACCCCAGTCATCAGACCTCAGCAACTTTGGTAATTGCAGAAGTTTCTGCCAGCTGGTAACAAATTGTTTGGTTCATACATTCTATCTGTATTTGAATACTCAACGGCAGATAGTCAGGAGCATACACATGAGAAACCAGCCCATTCATTTAATCAATATGGTAGTTTTCATATGAAATAAAAACTAGGTGTATCAAGTTACCGAAAGCCTCTTTCTACAATTCAGTTTAGCTCTTGATTTCTAATAAATATATATCCAGCAATCAGTGAAGCAAGTAGAATTTAATAATGTGAGAGGATTTTTTTTTTGGGGGGGGGTAGGAATATGCATAAAGCTGTCAAAGTCTAATAAGATCACATCCTCTAGGAAGTATTGAGAAAACTGTATTTCATATTTGATAAAATGGCCACATTTTTCAAGACAAGTTTCCTGATTTTCACTACAAGACAACCTTATATGGTTACAAGTCTAATGGCACACAATTCCCACACTTCTCCATTTATAAATGACACTGTGGCCATAACTCCCAGCATTATTACTTTTCTTCCTGTCCTTTCTATCCTTAGACTCTGCTTCTATATATCCTCAAGCTGTCCTTCTCCCCCGATGGATCTGTGCAGATTACACCAACTTCTTTATCCCAATCTTAAGTGCCAGTGTAGATGGATCCCTCTTGGTATCCCTGACTAGACAAGGAGCTGCAGACAGCACAGGACCCAGTTTGCCCACCTCAGCTCTAGTTTAGTACGTGTTTTGCTGAAACCAGATTGTCCTATTATAGGGAAACTATGTTCAAAAGAAGGATTGTAACTTGGGTATGTTGGTTTCCTCCCGTGAGAAGCCAACATTAATTCCACAGATTTTTCCAGATGATAAGTTATGTGCTATTGCTACTGCATGTTAACCTTTGCAGGACAGACCTCCTAACTGCAATTAAGAGTGGTAAAAGGAATTAGTATGTTTCCACCGCCCACATTAGATTTGTTCTTTAAAATATCACCACCATCATCTCTATGCAGCAGGCTTCAGAAAACAAAAGAATGGAGCACTCTACTAGGATTACAACACGGCATTTGTAAGCAAGAAAAGAAGGACAAGGAAATGTTTTACTTATTGCCAGTATGGTCAGGAAAGAACAATGGAATTCAAGATCTTCCATGGAATGGGTCTTATGCCATATTAAATGTGCTGGACATTAAGATGCCACAGTGTTTTTATTGCTTCTTGTTGCTGCTGCTGTATAGTTATTTATTTCTGCCCCGCCCCTTTCCCTGACGGAACAGGGAAAAGATGCAGCAGCAGAAGCTGATACAGCTATATGCCAAGTCATGCGGATCTCTCACTTTCTTTCATCTTAAACAGTGTGATCAAATTATGCTTTGACTGTTCTGTTAAGTGCTATAATCAAACTTACCAGTGACCTGAACTCCTGTGTGTAAAAAAACAAAACAAAACACACCAGGGAAACATTTTGATAAATATATAAAAAAAACTTCATTACATTGCACTCAGTTTTTACATTTTTCTAACGAGTAACTTTTTTACAAATTTGCCGACACATGGTATTTTTATAAAGACAAGTATCCTAGCTTTGCTTCCTTAAAATGGTTAACTTAATATATAAACACACAATGAATATTTTGCTACATTGTCTATTTATCACATACTAGCAGAGATTAGAGGACGGTTTATAAATTTTGCAGGATCAAATGGCAATACTTGCAAACTATATTGCTCCAGGGTGCAACTCAAGGGTTGTATGTATGAATGCACCTGCTTAAGTTAAGAGTGCACATACAAAAAGCAGCTAGTTAAGGATAACCATATTTTCTTATGCACTTGTTTCTCTCGCATTGGGTCATACCATTTTTCTTCCTGTCATTCTGAACTGGTGCAAATCCAGAAAAACCTAGCCAGGAGAACAAACCAAACTATTAACCCATGGTTTGATCCTGTTTTGTTCCACCCCAATGTGGGAATAAATCATAGTTCAAAATCATCTGCAATGGAATTTAGACCATCCATAATTGTGATTTAATGAAACACTGAAAGCAAAAACTTTCACTTTCCTTCCCACCTGTGCAAAGAAAATTGAATTTAGGAAACTTTTAGGATAATAAGGCAATGAAAGACTAAATAAGGAAAAGAAAACACCCTTAACCCTTAGGAACTTCTAAGGTTAAACACAGATTCCAGTAATGTCTAACAACAAAGTGCTCTCAACTGCAGTGAGCCAGATCTCACTACAAAAATGAGGAAATGTGTGTAACAGATACATGAAATTATACTGCAGTTTGCTTACCATGAGCCTTTGCTAAGAGGAGCTCGGGTGCCAAGTAGTCAGGGGTTCCTAAAATGCGTTCTCTCTCTACTGGAGTAGCTCCTCTTCGGACACTCTTGGGGGTCCTGTATGGTGTACCACTGTTTCCTTGAGGGGTCTGATGTCCAAGAATAGATATATCAAACACAGTTATCAAACAAGCTATACGTTTATACTTTCACACTGGCTGTAGGCTCAATTACTTGAACTGTGGAGCCGAAAAAGCATCCAGCAATGATGGCCTCTCTGAATCTAAGCCTCCTAATGAGGACTTCTCAAGCAAAAAGGTTTTCCAATTGCCTCCTTTTTGTGCCAAGTCTTTCTCACATTCCATTAAGAAATGCCTTCACCGAATATGACCATTTTAAATTGTTTTTATTTTTTATTTTTTTTTTAAAGCAATTTATTGGATTTTACAATAAGAATAAATGTAATAAACAATATAACATTCGTTTTAACATAATTTCACATTTTCTTTGGACTTCCTCACACCTCCCGCTCCCACCTTCATCATTATAACATTTTGTCAGCAATTTATCATCTTATTTAAATTCTTATATCTCTTCGGTATTTCATAATCTTATAGTTCTCATAAAGAGTTAAACTTTCACAGTTTTTCTTATTTTCTTAAAGACTTCTAAGTTAAGTGGTGCTCAGTTATTTAGTCTAGCATCTTATTCAGCATTCAGTCAAATCACAATGTTTTTGTAGGTAGTTCTTAAATTTCTTCCAATCCTCCTCGATTCTCTCTTCTCCCAGGTCACGGATTCTGCCAGTCATTTCAGCCAGTTGCATATAGTCTATAAGTTGCATCTGCCATTCTTCCAGTGTGGGTAGATCTTGAGTTTTCCAATGTTTTGCGAGTAGTATCCTTGCTGCTGTTGTTGCATACATAAAAAATGTCTGGTCCTTCTTTGCCACCCCTTGGCCGACAATACCCAAAAGGAAAGCCTCTGGTTTCTTAGTGAAAGTATATTTAAATACCTTTTTCAGTTCATTATAGATCATTTCCCAGAATGCCTTCACTTTAGGGCAGGTCCACCAGAGGTGAAAGAACGTTCCTTCACACTCTTTACATTTCCAACACTTATTATCAGACAGGTGGTAAATTTTTGCGAGTTTGACTGGGGTCATATACCATCTATAAATCATTTTCATTACATTTTCTTTCAAAGCATTACATGCAGTAAATTTCAATCCATTACTCCACAACCTTTCCCAGTCCTCAAACATAATGTTATGCCCAATATCCTGTGCCCACCTTATCATAGCCGATGTAATCACTTTGTTACAGACAGTGCTTATTTGTCTCCAAAAGGAATGTTTCAAATTTAAAAGGTCTCAATACCCTCAAATTGTTGCAACTTCTAATATACAGTATCCAAGTCATACACTGACAGCTCACTCTTACAATGCTCAAGCAATCCTGACTCTGGGTTTCACCTTCCAATTTGTAATCCAATAAAAGGGGGAAAGTCAAGTGCAAATAAAAGGTCCAAATCTTTAACTTGCTAGTTTTACTTTAAATTGTAAGTTCCATAGATGCTTGGCTGTGTAGAGTTCAAAATCTCTTTCTTTCAGCCTCCACTCCTCCACCTTAGTTGCTTTTTTTTCCAAGTTCAATGGCAGCGGAAGACGGACTTCCTGTTTCCACGTCTCTCCGCTTTCAGCCAAATTCAAGCCAAATTAAACCTTCTCATTTAAAATTTGTAATTCCAAGTGATTCAGTCTTTACTCACGAATAAGTTGTTTTCTTCCAGGTCCGAATTTTAACAGGAAAAGGGATCAGCGCTCACCGGCAGCAGCAGCGCGGCTTCGCTCCGCTGACTGTGAAACGGCTCACAGCGCCGCAACCCCCCTCCACGCTCCGGAGCCCCTTACGAGGCTCCTTCTGCAGTTGGAGGGCTGCTCTTGGCGCCCGCCGAGCCTCAGGACCCCAGGCTCTTGCTGCCTGGGGTTTTCCTCGTTGGGTCTCCGCTTCGCCGTAGCGGACGACCCTGTTTCAGCGGAGCTTCTTCTCCCGTCGGGAGAAGACCGCCATTACCGTTCGCGCCGCCCCCCGGAAGTCAATTGTTTTTAATAATAAATGACATTTGTCTTATCAAGGCCTCTTGCTACACATGTACAGTGAGTGTGAAAGGAATGAGAGATTCTGAATCTTTATTTCTACAATCCATTATGAAACTAGGCCAACCACTCAAGGACAATGATGAAGCTATGGATGTGTCAAATCTCTAGAAGAAATGCACTCATGAAGACTGAAAGATGTGCCTGGGAACTGCATCTCTCCCATAAGATCTACTCTTGGGAACTTCTCACCCTTCTTCAAAGAGTCCACCAGCAACTCTTATTAATTAGTCTTAACCCAAAGACTTCCAGGGATGTATTTTTCAACAATGCCCTCTATGATCAGTTTTATATGCAGCTTTTAGCAGTAATTATAGTTATTATAAAAACATAGGAGGCACTGTTTATGTATCCAGAAAGTAAAACGTGTTCATTTTTAAGGCATGAACATCACTAAGACTAAACTGCACCATTTGACCAAGATGCTCTTCCTAAAACAGCACTGAAGAAAATGCACAACAGCCACAGAGAGAATCTGTCAACAAAACAGATTTACATACATATATAATTGTATTCGGATGCCGCCTTTCCACAGTTCAAACTATGCTCAAGGTGGCTTACAACATTTAAGAAATAAGTAACTGCAACATAACAAAAGTGGTCATAAACAATAAATACAACATCAAAAACACACAACCAAACTGAATAATTTCCACATAAACCATAAGATCTAAAATCAAGATACAGAAACCTCCAACAACAAAAATCCCCAAATAACACGCCAGCCCAAGAGTCTGTTCAGCAGCCTCAGCTTTTGCAGTTGGAGTTAAGTCAGGGCCCTGCCCTCCCAGACCAGGTAGAAAAGGCCTACAAGGCAGTGACCAGATCTTCCAGGACTCACAGCAGTATAAGCATGTGAAAGGGATCGTGCATAAATGGACTAACTCCACCCTCTAGATACTAACATGCATGGTTGACATGTACCACTACCCCAGCCAATGCACAACTGACATCAGTCCAAAAGGAGCTCTGCATAGGTGCACATGCATTGGGCTCCCCAAACTGAAACATAAATTCTGATTGACAACAGTTCATGTTCCCATGGAAAGATCACTATACGTGTACATCATAAAGGGCTGGGGGTTTGGCCATTGTGTGCATTAGCATACAGTGGTACCTCGGGTTAAGAACTTAATTCGTTCTGGAGGTCCATTCTTAACCTGAAATTGTTCTTAACCTGAGGTACCACTTTAGCTAATGGGGCCTCCCACCGCCGCGCAATTTCTGTTCTCATCCTGAAGCAAAGTTCTTAACCCGAGGTACTATTTCTGGGTTAGCGGAGTCTGTAACCTGAAGCGTCTGTAACCCGAGGTACCACTGTATAAAGCTGAGTTAGCCCATTTAAGATCAGAAAGCCTCATCATGTGTTCATACATAAGAAGAGGACTTTGCTTAGTTGCACCCACTGATTTGTCATTTGTGTAAATGGAATCTACATTCAACTAAACTGTCACCAAATGAAAAGAAGAAATGTGTACCCTCTTCTTCAAGTTAACTGCTTCCTTCAGAACCTCCCACAAAGCCTACAACCATTTCACACATAATGACTTCCCTGCGCGGGAAATTATACTGTAATACACAAAACCTATTTCAACACATAAGTGGCGCCCATTGACTGGCAGTAAATTCCCCATGGTGTGGTCATACACATTTTCACCAAAGTACAGACAAGGTACTCACAACTTCTAAATCTGTGTAGGAATGAGTTAGATGTGGAACGGCTAGAGCCTGTTCCTTCTGCCAAGAAATATCACCAGTGATGTATCCATTTTTCTCAATATTTTCATATTGCAAAGTATTGGGGGGGGAAGTTAATTTTTTCTAAATCACTTTGGTTATTTGCCTTATAATCAAGTATTATGTTCAAATACACCATTATGAATCAAATGTTGTTGGAAGAGGAAGGAGGAGGGAGGATCAGGCTAAGGAGCCTGCGGTCTGTCCGCCCCTTTGGGGAAGCTGGATCTGCTGGCCACCTAGCAGCGTTGTCCCTGCTGGGGGAAGTGGAGGAGGCAGGCGAGACGAAGCGACACTCTTCAGTGAAGCAGGAGGAGGAGGAAAGGAAGGGAGCCCTTACGGAGCCCCTTCCTTTCCTCCTCCTGCTTCGCTGATGAGGCGCTGCGCTGCTCTGCTGAACCCAGCAGAGCAAGAGGGAGAACTGCGCAGCACCTCTTGGTCTGCTGGCTTCCCAGCGAAGCAGGATGAGGGACGGAAGGATAAGGGCTCCCTTCCGTCCCTCATCGTGCATCGCTCTGAAGGCATCACAACAAGAGGTGCCGTGCAGCTCTCCCTCTTGCTCTGCTGGCTTCAGCGATAGCTGCGCAGCCTGCATTCGCTCCATAAGACGCACACACATTTCCCCTTACTTTTTTGGAGGAAAAAAGTGCATCTTACAGAGCAAAAAATATGGTAACTCAAAAGGCAGCTCTAATTCTGTCCCTTCAATAAGGGCATTTGACTTGTATCAAGTGGCCCTTTGATACTGCACAATGTTCAATAAGCCTGTTTCGTACCTACCTGAAATACGTTGTAAGGTGCTCCCTTTTGTGCAGGTGTAACAGTCATGGGATAAGAGCCACTGCAAGCAGAGATATCCATTCCTTCTACAGTCATCCAGCTAATTCTCGAAGGCTCAGATGTATTAGACACACTGATCTGACTGTTGTAACTCCGAAAAGCAACCACATTTTTCTTTAAGAGTTTCAGTGCCTTCATCTCCACAGATGAAGAGCAGTTATTATCAGTGTGCATTTCAGTGACATCTTTCAGGTTTTTGTCCTGCTCATGATACAATGGTTTGCTCTCCTGGACAGCATGTACTTCTTCACTTCTTGGCAAGGCATCTGGGCAATAAGGTGATGTTGTTGACATGTTCTCTGTTTTTAGCTCCTCAAAGGTGAGATCTTTAATGCTTCCATCAAAATCAGAAAGGCGCTTTTCCAAGTGACTCTCTGCAGTAGATACTTCTCGAAGGGACAGATCCGAGTCTACACTCATGCTTGCTAAAGGCTTTTCATCATCAATGCACAAGAAACTGGAATTCATGTGTTCCTTTTTCTCATTTTTTTCACAATCTGCATCTAGATCATGCATGAGATTCTTTGCTATTAGAGGATTGGCTGGTTTGCAACCCGTGTTTTGTTCAGTGTAACAGCAATCTTTTGCTTGAGCTTCATTTGTACAGGTCTCTTGCAGGTGTCCATCAAGTTTTAAAGAACAGATTTCAGTTGTTAAACCCGTGCTTTGTTTCTCTGGAATTTTACAGCCCCGTTTGTATTCTGAATTGCTTTTTTTGGCAAGGATCCGTTCTTGTGAAGGGCTGGTGTCAATTGATTCAAAAGATCTTTTGACACCTCGCATCTCCAACATTGTCTCCTTATCTCCCAAAAGGGACAAGTGGTAACTAGATTTTGCAACCTTTTTAGTCAGAGCAGGTTGTTCTGTACAGCCCTTTTCTTCCCATTCTTTATATTCTGAAAGACATTTTCGGCCGAGGTCTTTAATAGCGCTAGTCCTTATAGAAATATCACATGAGTCAAAATGTCCAATCCGTCCTTTGCGCCTGTTCCCAGAGTCATTGCTGCTAATAGGAGAGATGACAGACTCCAGTATTTTCTGCTTTAAGCCTTTAGCATCATTGACAAGCAGAAAATTTGTATCCTTGGCCTTCTCTGGTACATTCTCTTTGCCTGGGGCAGATGAGAGTATATCTTCTGCTTCCTGAAAATCAAGTACTTCCAAATGTATGAAAATGCTTAAACGAATTAATAAATTATACAAACTTATTATACTATTCCCTATTCCTCCTTTTAGTCGAGACCCCCTGTCCCAGGGCAGCTTAACAACATACTGTATATTAAATTTGCAGTAGATTAAAACAAAAACCATACACAATTAAAAGGAATACAACAGCAACACAAAACTGTTTCCCTCCAATTCAAGTGCTTGCAGAAAGGGTTTGGTCTTGGCTGCTTGCCAAAAAGTGAGCAGGTTTCTCTAGGATGAAAATCTAGACACCACGACTGAGAAGGCTTTGCTTTGTGATACATCCATCATACTTCAGATAGCTTCTGGGGTGGAAGGGGGCAGGAGAGAGAATAGAACTGGGCCCTCAATACAGACCTGAGTGCCCAAGAAGGTTTGTATAGAAAGGGGCAGTCCTTAATCATGGTGGTTTCTCATTTGCATTTTCCCAGCCAAAATCATATCCACCATACTAAACACTTAACAGGTGGAATAAAACACTTTACGAACAATGCACTCTGCTGCACATACATCACACTTGAAAAAAGAGCTGTGTAATCGTACAGCAAAGAAGTCCTAGGTGCCTGTTCTGGCGATACTCCTCTTCCCCTTACCCCAAATCTCCTATGCATCATAAAATCAAGGGCAGATCTAAGGTTTCTTCATTCTTACAGGAGCACCATAATCTTTCTATTTAGACCCTATGTGAAAGCAGAACTTGATTTGTTGCCCCAAGAGACCTTGTGTTCAAACCCACACGGTTTCTCCTAGTTCGGGGCTTGTGTTTCTTTACACAGCAGCATGTTTGAAAGAAGGAGAACAGGAGGAGGTTATGTGAGCCCTAGGATTACTATATGCCTACCTTGGAATCTGCTTGTACCTGTACTGAAAAGCCCAAGAAGATAGAAGGTTTAAGGACTGCCCTTCTGGGAGGTTAATTTTTTTAGGCTTTGGAATGTGGTACAATGCCTTCCTCACAGGGTAGATTCTGAATGATTTATTTAGAGGAAAGTTAGAGGAAGAAAAAAAAGAAACCATCAGAAAGAAAAGAAGTTGTCCTGACCTGCACATCTTTTTCCCACCTGGGGCTGCTGCAGCACTCTGACTCCATGCTGGATAATTGGGTGCGGGAATGGCTACTGGCGCTGGAGGTCCCAAACCTTTTCCTGCACTGATGCAGAGTTGGGGTCAGACTCCTCACAGGCATTCCTGGTGTTATAGCCGCAGAATCTAAACCTTCAGAAATAGCAATTCATGTTTTTATGAAGACACAAAAAGCATTGTAGCCAGTTTCATGGCAAATCAGCTCAACAGTGAGGGAAGACTAGAAAAAGTATGTAACTATCAGCTTGCCCTGCCTTACAGCCCCACCCCCCCCGCTCACAATTCCAGAAGAATTCTTGATAATTATTCTTACTGTGACATTCAATATGAATAATAGAAGTACATTATGCAAGTGACAATGAAGCAAGGTCTTATTTCAATTATTATAAAATACAATCAAGGTATAAAAAGCAGTAATATAAATGCAGTCAAAAGATAAAAAGGGGGAAACGGGATTCGTGTGCAATATGGAGTTCTGCCCGGTGGGGAGGGTGTGAATGTGGTTGCTACACTTGGTCGCTACATTACACTGGCACCAAGATTATCTGGAGGAAAGAAACCATCTCAATAAATAATATGAAAGAGAAAAGAAAACAAGGCAGTCAAGGCAGCTAGAATGCCCACCCATCTATCCTGGAGAATAAAACTGCATTCACATCACAGCAATTTGGTTTTTCTGTTGAAGGCTGAGGCTAAGACAAGCCCCAAATCTCAAAAGTTTAAAGACTATTTCAATAAAACAGTGTGAACCCTAGTTCTGTATATCTGAATTTCTTTGGGTTCAGCCACCAGAAACCTTTCTGGGCAGCTTGCAATACAGAAATACCGTATACAGGCAGTGACCATTTTAGGCATGTCCAATATGTGAATGACCACATGCGTGCACACCACACTGAACCTGGAAGTGTCACAAAAGGGGGTGTGGCGATCACACACAGGGCCCCCGGACGTTTGATGGTCTATTGACCCTGTGCCGCCACTGCAATTGCTTTTTCCTGTACCCTGTATCTCATGGGGACACACGGAGTCCAGTCAGTTGTTAACATAAACAAATAATCAAGTTTATTTTTAAATGCAGGAACAAGCTTATGGTTTCAGTTAATTTTTCTCTTGTCAGTTTCTTATTCTTAGTTCCTAACAACTCCAAACTGATTATTCCAACTATCTATCTGACTCCACCTACCAATTCCTCTCACTCTCTCACAATACAACTCTACCAACCCACACCTAAACCTCCCTCTTCCTTCTTCAACTCCCAAACCTCAACTGACTTTCAAAACCTCCCACTCTAACTTTTATTCCCCCCTTGCATTCTCACTGGCCAATCACATCACACCTATTTTAACCCTTTCCTTATGACCCATCCTAGGAGGCAAACGCCACAGGGGGCAGAACGGGGTAGGGTAGAGGCAGAATGGGGTGTTTGCAGGCTTTCTCAATGGTGTTTCAAATACAGGTATACACAATTTCACTTAAATGCACATAACCCCTACATAAATTGGGAGTTGCCTGTATTAATAATAAACACCTACAAAGCACCACCACACACAAATCTCAAAGCTGCACAAAAAGCAGCATAAATGATAATGAATAAATTAAACGTTAAAAGAACCTGGAGCTGGAAGGAGACCACAATATGTTCCATGGCCTATGTTCCAAAAATGGGTAACTACCACCAAGAAGGCCCTTCCCCCAACCACCACCTGCCACATCTCTGATGGCAAGGGCATTCACAAGAAAGTATTTAGACACATGAAGATAGGGAACTCTTTTATACTTACATGCTTTCAGTAGCTTGTTTGACACAGAACTGTAGTCTTTGTGGTTCACGGATAGCGGGGAAACAAATCGTTGAGAAAGCTGAGATGTATTTCCACAAAGAGGGCTTGGACTAGGTGCATGCACTGTCCCTGCCACTGGGGTATACTGTCAAAATGAGAAGCTTGTTCAACAGATACACAAACAACCAGATACAAGACAGTCCATAACATTTTATTATTTCATATCCTATACACACTTGATGTAACTGGATCTTTGCAACAAAAGGTTCTTGTAACATGCTTTATGCCAAGGACAAGGAAGTTGTAGCCCTCCAGATGTTGCTGGACAAGAACTCTCACCATCCCTGGCTATTGGCCATGTTAGCTGAGGTTGATGGGAGGTGGGGTCCACAACATATGGAGGACCATAGACTCCCCATCCCTGCTTTACAGGGAGAAGGAAACATCAGCTGAAATTCAGGGACTGTCTAATACTCCAAAAGATTGAGAACTTTCTCAGGAAATTTATCAGAACCAGGAAAAGAGTTGTGCTCACAGGTTGAGAAACATGCTTTCCATGCAGGAAGTCTCAGGATCAATACCTACCATTCTGTCTGAAACTGCCAGTCAGTGCAGACAAAACTGAGCTTTATGGACCAAAAGTATAAGCCAGCTGCCTATGTTCTAATCATCTGGGAAACAGGAAATTATTTTGTCTACTTACAAAACCCAAGGAACTGATGAGAGACAGCACTTGTCCAGGAGTGCGTGAATAGTCTTGCATAGGTTTAGACATGGATGGTGTAGTGAGAATATCCATCATATTTAGTTCTGAAGAAAGATTAAGAGTATTAGGACCTACTTTATCATTTGGTTTTAAAAAGTATTTTTAGACTGCAGTGAAGCGCATTTAGCTCTAACTTTAGACTTGGCTATAGGCCCCATATGAACAGTAGAAATGGTGATAGGAGCACCAGGTTGGGAAAATGATTTAACATCATGAGCTGGTTTGTACATAACATTAAGCCAAACAATGGTTTAGTGTGAATATGTGGTTCCTGGAGAGAAAATGCTGCAGCTACAACACTCTTCCCTCAGTCATCTTGCTACTGAGCTGCTGCGAGCCAAGGCATCATTTAGCTCATGGTTTCTCTCGCTCCAGATAAACCATAAGCTGCAACAGAGGCTTAGGTTTACAGCAGAGGTGGGAAAATTCTGGCCACCAGGGGGTCCGATTTGGGCTTTGAGGCCAATTTCCCATCCACCCCCTGATGCAGGGAGGACAGAGCTTAATCCTGCACTGGCTGCTGGAGGAGACAAACCACAAGCCCAGATTCAGATAGCACACTGAGCCAAACCATGGCTTAAGCTTATGGGGTACATCAGCAAGAGGTCCTGGGGAGGAGCACAGTGGTCACAATTTCCTCTCTAGGAACCCTCAGACTTGTGCATTTGTGCTAAGCCATGGTCTGACTTAGTGTTATATCTGAACCAGCGCTACATCCAAGTCTTTCCTCCATCCCCAACATCTCCCTTGGATGTCCCATCACCTGAGGGAATTAATTGTGCTGTACTGAATTGTTATAATCTGTGTAAGATGCGCTGGGGATTATCTGATCAAATGGTATAAATCTTAGCACATTGTTTAGCTATTTATACTTGCACTTACTAGTAGAGGTCACTGCAAGCCAAAATATTTTATTCAAATTCCATAAGCTTGAGCATAGTAAAACTAAAAGCAGCTCCTTACAATGTTAGTTTTTTGGCAATGTGGAGAGTTCCAAGCTTCTCCAAATGTTTAAATAAGAAAAAAAAATATAGGCATGTTAAACAGGCTTGTTTTGCATGTAGCTGGCAGCAGTTCCCACACTGTGGCTCTTGGAAAATAACTCTTTGAAGAAATTGCTTCTTTTGATCTACACAGAAGCATATACCTAAGGAAGGTCAGGATTGCTACTGAAGATGAAAAATATATGTGAATCAGATTGAATAAGTTTTACAGGGGAAAAAAACTTTTACTGAAAAAGCACAAAAATACTTACATTACACCTTGCAAATATTTCCCTAAGAGTCACCAGCCTGAAAAACTATTTGACTTTCACATGTGCCAGCATTTAACTTACGGCACATTCCTATGCTTGTTTACCAGGAAGCAAGTCCTGCTATTCAAGGAATCCTACTTGCTAGTGAGTGTTTATAGCAGCTTTCCTCATCCTGGCATTTTGGATGACCATTCCCATCAGTCCCAACCAGCATGACCATTGGTCAATGATGATGGAATCTGCAGTCCAAAACATATGGAGGGCCTCAGGTTTGGTAAAGGCCGGTTTATAGGATTGAAGCAGTTGTCACAAGCAACCTGGAGGAAAAAAATGAACTTCTCCAACTTAAAAAAAATGTCCCTTTCTGGTCACCTGCAGGTGACGAGGCAGACTTGTTACCAATGAATCTTTGTACATCTAAACTAATGCTAAGCATCAATATATATCTGGGAGAATTCCAATCATCTCTTAGATACACACACATATATACATGTGTACGCATGAGATGGGCTGCGGTGTATACATGTCTCACCTCTATTCAGAGTAACTCTGGAGAGACCAAAGTCTGTCAACTTAATGTGACCCTCATTAGATATCAGCATATTGTCTGGCTTCAGGTCTCTGCAGGTATAAAGAAAATGAAATAACATTGCAGCACAGATGCAGGTGGCTTATTGTAACATGGGGCACTATTTTCAGAGGTCACTCCCCACTTCCCACAAAAAGCTATCAAAGGAACATTCATGATCCATGCTAGGTCAGTAGGTCTAAGCACCAAGTAGCTTTGGTAAGAAATAAGACTACTAAGTTTGCATGTGAAGGACACAAATCCCTGTGCTTCAAAAGAAGTATTTGTCCTGTGTTAGTAATATTAGTAGCGTTATTTTTTGCCATTAAGTATGATATAAATGTAATAAATAACAAAAAAATAAAAACAATAAGGAGGTGGTAGTGTAAACTCCAGCAAAACACCTCAACAGGTACATAGGATTTTTTCTTCCTTTGATGAGGTTTTGCATTTATGTTAATATTACTTACCAGAAAACAAAATACCATTAGGAGAACAAGCTAAGTGACATATTTGATTCCTTGAGGAACTGTGGTAAACTGCCAAGGCAACAGCTAGACTGACATTAAAAGTAACATAAGAGGGGAATTCAATTCTGCCTTGTTTAAACACCTGCAGTCTCCCTGGTCTCAACTAAAAGTGGAATGAAATGCAGCAAGAAAGGCATCAAAAACCAATTTTACCTGTGGATTATCCCATGCCTGTGAAGGTAATCAAGAGCCAGTGCTACTTCAGAAATATACTTCACCGCCATTTCTTCATCAAAATAGCCATATATGTGAAGAAGAGATTTAACATCTCCACCAATGAGATACTCCATTACCTGCCAGTGAAAAATGTTACTATAAAAGACATTCATTGTTCTCTTGGGTTAGAGGTAACATCTATTATAATTCTATGCTTGGAGTGTGGGTGAAATTCCTGATTTCCTTACATTACTGTTTTCTAGAATGCATGCCAGTTTCTAGAGAGGCCATGTCAGAAGTCATGATATAGGCAGAAAAGGAAATTAAATTATGGGGATTTTTAAAAGGGCCAAATCAATGATGCCTTAATACAGAGATATACTTGGGGTCTCTACAGCTTGTTTCTTTTCCAAGTTGACTATCCTGAAAAAAGGTCAAAGTTGGTCAAGAAGAGAACAGAAAACAAAAAACAAATTTGAAATGTTTTTAAATGCTACCTTTCAGAGAAGACAGACTTCTCTAAAACTGGCTGGGGGGCATATTTTGGAAGCTACCTTAAGGCACTGTAAGTACTTTACTCACCAAGTAGACATTGTTGGCAGACTGAAGTGAGTAGTATAAGTGCACAATGAAAGGACTTTTACTGAGAGCCAGGGCATCTCTCTCTGCCTGCACCTGATGGACCATATTCTTATTGATCAGGTCAGCTTTTTTTACTACCTGTAAAGCAATACATGAATGGGTTGATAAACAGAGGAGGGAGGAATTCATTGTTTGTTTGCTTTTTAAAATGTTTTCATCTATCCAATATGTCACACTTTCAACAGATACTTACGTTTCCAGCATATCAAACCAAGTAGTAAGAAATAACTGAAAATGCTATTACTGATAACTGGTAAAATAAAGGCATACAAGCTAATACAGCAAATCTGAAACCTAGGGGCTAGTCTCAACTCACTTACCTGAGAATAAGCCCTACTGAATTCAACAGGCCTTCTGAGTGGACCTAGTTAAGATTGCATTCCGAAACAGTAACAGCCAATTGAAGCCCAATGGGTGTCTAGCTAAAGTGAAAGAAAGTGTATATTTGCTTTGGAAATAAATAGCTTGTGGAAATAGTTGTGGGAGGAGGGGAAGGAGGCTTGGAGCATAACTGACAGCATGTGACACCTGTAGGCGGGGCCTCCTTGGCTAGGAGCCACTACAGAAAAGTCTCTGTCTCTCGTCTCCACCCCGAGGAGGCGGGAAGGCACCAGTCAGATGGCAAACAGATGAAAAATATAGAAGAAGAAGGAGGAGGAGGAGGAGGAGGGCCGGATTTAGGTATAAGCTAAACAAGCTATAGCTTAGGGCCCCACTCTCTTGGGGGCCCCAAAAGAATTTAAAGGAAAAAACGTGAGATCAAAAAATATGAGATAAAAAACAAATAAAATAAAATAAAATAAAATAAAACCTACATACAGCAACAGTGTTCTGTGTTGTGTAGGCTCCTATTTTTTATGTGCAAATGGCTTTAGATCCCTATTAGGTCCATAAATTACCTACAATGGTACCTCGGGTTAAGTACTTAATTCATTCTGGAGGTCTGTTCTTAACCTGAAATGGTTCTTAACCTGAAGCACCACTTTAGATAATGGGGCCTCCTGCTGCTGCTGCCCGCCGGAGCACGATTTCTGTTCTCATCCTGAAGCAAAGTTCTTAACCCGAGGTAATATTTCTGGGTTAGCGGAGTCTGTAACCTGAAGCGTATGTAACCCGAGGTACCACTGTATAGCATATATTCAACACAAAAAACAACGACAATTTGTTGTTGACAAAGGACAGCTGGACATAGAAAGGGCCCCATTACCTTCAGTAGCTTAGGGCCTCATCAAACCTAAATCCGGCCCTCATAATAATAGTAATAATAATAACATAAGGAAGCCGGTGGGCTCACCTTGACAGCGTACAGCTTCCCCGCTTTGCGGCCCAGGTAGACCTTCCCGAAAGCGCCTCGGCTGATGGGCTTGACGATGGCGAAGTCCTCGATGGAGGGCGGCTGAGGCGCCGCGCCGCGCCTCGCCCGGGACGAGCCGGGCGCCGTCTCCTCACGCAGGCTGCTGTCCTGGGGCGGCGCCGCCGCCGGCTCCACCGACCCCATCCTCGCCTCCCTCCTCCTCCTCCTCTGCCCGCTCTCTTCCTCTCCCGTCCCCCCCACCCGGCGCGGCCCCAGCCCCAGCTTCGCCCCGCGACAAATTCAAAGCTAAGCTCCGCCCCCCCCAGCGTGCGTACGTACGACGCTGGACGTCAACTGAAGGAAAAAAAGGAGTGGAAACGGTCCGCACGCCGGACGCCCGGCCAAGTCGTAGAGGTAGACTCGAATTAAGAGGTTTTCGAGAAACACTTCCGGCTGAGCATCGGCGTCTCTCGCTCTCCCGTTGGACTTCGAAAACCGAAGGATATTTTCGCTTTGCAACACCACAAGGCGGGGCTTCTGGTCTGATATTCAAGAGACAGGGCGTGTTCGTTTCATCAGATGTCAAACAGATAAACAACTACAGCATATGGCTTTTAGAAGACATCTGAAGGAAGGGGTGTTTTTAATGCTTGATGTTTTACGGTTTTTTTATATTTTGCTGGAGTGGCTGGGGCATATAAATAGTAAAATCATCATCATCTCATCTCTCTCTCCGGAGAGAACCAACATAAGACCAACCACAATCATATCATGCAAGCTTTCAAGTTTTGCTGAACTCTTCATCAGGCTGCATGCTAAACAAAACAATGGGGTGGAGGTGGGGCGGGGAATAGAATAGTCCAGGAGTACTTTATCTTTAAGAGTGTGCGAAAGGCAGAAATTAGATGGGTATTGGTGTCTAATATCACCATGGGAATGGATGAAGCATCACCAGTTCAATTGCCGTATGTCATGCACCTGTTAAAGGTCAAGGAACCTGGAGTGGGGGAGGGGGGAGTTTATTGGAAACTTCTAGTTGTATACGTTTTAACAAAGTGTAAAAGGTTAAATGTCAATAAAATGTTAAAAATAGAGTTTGCAACAATTCAAATGAATAAAGCCAGTGCTTTTTTTCTAGGGGTGCGCAGGGGTAAGCATACCCCTAAACATTTTGTGAATCTTTGTACTTTTGTCCATTTCCTGCATTTATTTCCCCCAGTTTGACTATAAAATGGTGATTTTCTTGAGTCAAAATGAGAGTACCCCTAAACATTTTTTTTAGAAAAATGCACTGAATAAAGCAGATGTGGTTGTTGCAAAATGCACATTTTGCATTTCGTTGTCATTTAACCCCAGCTTTTACCTGTCAGTTGAAGATAACACTTTACGTATTTGATGCAGTGAACTGTGGGTCAATGAAAGCTTGTACCATAATAAATCTGTTGCTGTGTGTGCCATTTTGTATATCATCTGTCTATATAAATATTAGCATTTATAAATTGCTACTGAGTTCGAGGCCAAATGTGGTTTTGGGAGAAGGGCTATAGCTCAATGTTAAGATGTATATACCTTGTATGCAGGCCCCAGGTTCAGTCCCCAGCCTCCACATAGGGCTGGGCCACGGTGAGAACAGCATGCTGGACCTGGACTAGATGGGCCTCTGGCCTGATCCGGCAGGCTCTTCATATTTATTTATTTTTTCGTTTATAACCCACCGTGCCTCCCCATTTTATCCTTACAACAACCCTGTGAGGTAGCTTAGGCTGAGGGTAAGTGACCCATGGGGTTTGAACCTTGGACTCCCAGGTCCTAGTCTGACACCCTAATCACTACACTGCCCTCTTATGTTCCTGCTATGTTCTTTAACGATGATAATAATGCAGGCCGTGCAACTGGGTTGTCTGAGTGAGGTTTCTCGGTAGGAAAAGCATTAGCAAGCAACACGAGCTGCCCCTCTGCGCCCCAAAGCATCTAGTTCTAGGAACCCCAACGGCGCATCCATCCCGCACTCAAAACTCCCCGCTGAGTCTTAAGCGCCGCTCCACGTTGGCTAAGAAAAGGGGAGAGACCTGCGGGTGACCCGGAAGCACTTCTTCCTGGGCCGCCCACATCCGGGCTAGCGGACGAGCGTTCGCGTCGGGTTCGTCGCGGGCTGTGCCGGCGGCAGGAGGCGGCCATTTTCCATGAGAGCGGAGTAGCCTCCGAGTTCCCTTTTCCCTCTGTCCAGGAAGAGCCCGGAAGGGCCGAGAAGCGAGGCCCCGGCCTGAGGCTGCGGAGAGCGGGGCCGGGAGTGGCGACGATGTTTTCCTTCTCCACCACGGTGCAGCCTCAGGTAAAGGCCTCGCGGGGGGAGGGCGGGGAGTCTCGCTCCGGGAGGAGCAGCTATTGTTCTGCGTAGCTACTCGGGCTGCTGGGAGAGCCGGGCCCAAGATGTCGCCGGCGGCGGCGGCGGCCGCGGCTGGAAAGAGATCTGGGGCGGAAGGAGAAGTGGCCGCCGGCTGGCCGGCCACTTAGAGAGAGGCGGGTTTCGCGCCGGCTTTTCTCGGGAGCGAGTCGAGGTTTCGCGACCCTACAAGAAGAGCCCAGCTGGATCCTGTTTCGGAACAGACAGCTTCCTCTCACGAAGCCCGCAAACAGCCTCCGGAGGACAGTGGATTGGCCTAGTATCGAATATCCAGGGCTCTGCTGCTACTGAATATGGAGGTTCTGCTTAGCCACCCGTGTTTAAAATCTCCGTGGGTCGCGGCGCCGTTCTCAATGTTATCACTTTCCCCTTTAAAAAAAGTAATCGGCGCAGCATGTCTTTGGAAATTAAACCGTGACGTATTATTTCCATTTGCCAGTTCGGACGCTGGTGCTTGTGAATTTCATTAGAAAAGGGACAGATTACTGTATTTTCCCGTGTATAAGACTATATTTCCTCCCAAACTTTTTAAGTTTAAAATTGGGGGTCGTCTTATACACAGAATGTTTAAAATACTTATTTCTTAATTTGGGGCTCAAAAAATTGGGGTCGTCTTATACATGGGAGCGTCTTACAGATGGAAAAATATGGTATCCATGCACCTTACTGAGTGACATTCAATGTCATGCAAATAGACTTCTCTCAACCCCTTTCCCTACACAACCCTCCACATCTGCACTGGAGGTCCCCCTCAAAATAATAAAACCTCTGAAACAGGTTTTGGGGGAAGAGCGGGGCTCAATTCTTCCAGTCTGTTTACTCCTAGAAAAACACTATTGAACTTTATCAAATGCTAATAAAATTATGAATCTTCGTTTTAGCCTACCTGCTTAATTGTCTTTTTTCTGAACTAAAAAAGCCCAAGCACTTCAACTTTTCCTTAATAGCATTGTTAGACACACAAGTTCTAGGTAGGCAGGTCTTGGGTTTAAAGGTCAGTTGGGTTGGTGTACAGTAGAGAATAAAGAATTTTATTATCTGTTTAACAAAATTTAGAAGATTTTGTTTAGTTGTCATGGCTAGCAACTGTTGGTAGGCTAATCGTCCGTGAATGCTTTATATGGTTTAAATTGATGTTACGTTGTCATGTTTAATGTCCTAACATCTCAGAAAAGCATCTGCACCCTTACTATCTAATGCTGTACACTGGATGCTTGGGTTGCAAACGTGATCCGTGTGGGAAGCACGTTCGCAACCCGCAGCCCCGCATTTGCGCACGCGCGGGTTGCAATTTGGTGCTTCTGCGCAAGCGCCAAAACCCAGATGTAACCCATTCTGGTACTTCCGGGTTCGGCACAGTGCACTACCTGAAGCGTCTGTAACCCAAGGTATGACTGTAGTTGCCTTTTGAAGAATTTTGTATGATGTAACATTGTCCATGGATGACATTTATTGCATTCCTATGTAGAATGCTTTTTTTGGGGGGGGGGCACTAAATCATGCACTTGAGTTGGGGGAATGTTGAAAGCAAGATGGGACACCAAACAGGTATGTCAAGTTTCCAGTTAGAGTAGTATGTAAAGAAATGTGTTGTTGTTGTTTTAAAAGTCCAGTCGTACCTCTTGTTACGTCAGTCTCCGGTTGCGTGTTTTCAGGATACGAACACGGCAACCCTGGGAGTGTATATTTCCAGGTTTTACCGTGCGCGCATGCGCAGAAGCACTCTGAACTTCGCGTGTGCAGAAGCAGCTCTCTAGTTGCAGACTTTTCGGGGTGCGAACGGCACCCTGGAACAGATCGAGTCCGTAACTAGAGGTACCACTGTATGTTCTGTTTTGTTGAAGCTTATGCACTTAAGCAATTTCTTGTGATCAGAAGAAAAGCCAATGAGAGATGAGCCCTGAAGCAAAAACAGTAGAAATTGATTCTTCTTTGAGAACTGCTGAATGCACAGCTAGACAGAAAGAATACTAAATTACATTGAACCCTGCCTTTTTGTAAATATCAGGAAATTTGCGAGAGGCTGTTTCTCCTAATAAGCAGGGCACTGGTTTCTTGGTACTGAAGGAAATTAACTATTTCCTTGCAATAATATGTTTATTCTTTTAAAAAAGTTGTTGCTTTGTGTTATAGAAAACATGCCCAAAGCATTGTTGTTTTTAAAAAAAAATAGGAAAAAAGATTTGTTGTAAAAATTCAGATTAGATTAACGTAGTCATTTTAAAGATAGTGCTTTCACATAAACTTTCTTTTATACTAGGTCACAGTTCCATTGAGTCACCTCATCAATGCCTTCCATTCACCCATAACTCCAGCTCCATCATTTGCTACACCATCTACCCAGTGTGTACAAAAGGAAGCAGCACCCGAACATGAGGTACAGAATAGTGAGGTAAGAATCTTCTGATAGGAGTGATAGGTTTATTTGTGTTCGTGTATCATTTAGCATGATTTAAATTTGCTTGGTGCCTTACATGTGGCATAAAAAGGAATCTTATAAAGCAAATTTTGATACTCCTTTTAGTATTCTATACTGTGCTGTAACAATCCAGATGGAGTAGTATTATTATATACAAAGCTCTCCACTTAGTTTTGAAAAGATAGAATTTTCTGATATGCAAGTATTCATTTGTGCACAGCTGGTTAAATATTTTTTGTGCACTGCAGTTACAAATATAATGACAATTGTTATTAAATTTATTACCCTGTTCTGCTGAAGTTGCCTTTTTGAGGAATAAGACAACTTTCTTGGTCTCTAAGGTGCTACTGGACATTTTTAAAATTTTTTTGGAAGGATTCTTTTAAAGACTTTTTTAGAACAAAAACTTTTTTTAAGGACTTGATTCTTTTAAAGGATTTTTTTCTGGGAAGAGCTTTTTTAATAATCTCTTTCAAGATTTTATTTATTTTGACTACGGCAGACCAACACGGCTACCTACCTGAATCTAGAGATTTGGGGTTGGGTTGCAGTCCTGCATGCATTTACCTGAGAATAAAGTTCAGAGTTAACATGCATAGGATTGTATTGCCAGTTACAGCAGAAATTATAACTCTTTGAAACTGTTAGTTTATGAGGATAACTGATGTAGAGCTACAGCCCTTCAGTTTGAATTAGCCATGTATATTTTGCAATAAGGTCAATGATAATTTCTTGATGTTTGAAACTGCACCAAATAAAGGCTTTTATTGTACATAGATACTACTTTCATTTGCTTTGAGTAAAGAGCAGTGACTTCAACTTAGAAATTGTATTTTGGAAATTAGTGACTGCACAGTTTAAACAATTGATGGAAATAAGTTGATATTTTGAATAGCCTTAATGATTGGGGCTTGCGGGAATGAAATGGGAAAAGTGTGTGTGTTCCAATCTGCTTCTACTTTGGGGACCCTTTTTAGAATCATAATAGTTGGACATTTCTTCTCTTTTTCTTGTTTTGAGTAATCTGATGTTCTTAAACATTTCCATTCTTCATCTCTTCTTTTTACAGCCAGTACTTAATATACGAGACCTAGGACTTTCTGACTTGAAAGCTAGCCAGTTTGATGAACTAGTGGACAGGCTACTACCTGGCTATCGTGTAGAAAACAAAATCTCTTCACACTGGCAAACATCGTATATATCTGCACAGTCCTTCTTTGAAAATAAGTATGGTATGTCTTAGGATCTTATGGCAGCGAAAAGTTGAATCACTTACTGAATTGAAGCCAAGGCAGCATCACATCCCACCTCTTAATATATGGTTCCAGTGAGATGCTTGCTTTCTGCTTCATTTCCATGCTTATTTCTTCTATGAGGCCTCTGTAATGCAGGGATGGCAAAGACATTTCAACATGAATCCTCTTTCCCTTCTGGGCATCCTTCAGGTGGATGTAGGAGTGTGTGTGTCATGCCTCTGCTGAGCAAGACCAGAGGCAAAAGTGGGCAGAGCAACAAACATGAGTTTGTGCACCACAAAGTAGTTGCACAATTGGGTTATTAGACATAAAACACATATTGATCACATCAGTGGCCATAGTTAAGAGCAATAAGAAACATGCAAAGAATGTGTGCACACCCATTTAATTCTAAATGGGACTGTACCTGAACTTGGACATGTAAATAACCACTTCCCTGATTTCATATGGTGAGTAAGAACTTTCTTAAGGCAACTGAGTACTGGAGCTTTTATATACTTAAATAAGTGATTCTTTTACAGGCTGTTGAAATACTATTAAGTACCAACGTAGTTCAGTGTGGGCTAGTAAACATTTTTGTGGACCTTTTTTTCAGGGCTGCTTTTCATAATATTACAGGGACTGAATAAAATATTATTTGCAGCCTAAGAATGCAAAAAGCAATCTTGTTCCCAAGAGGAAGCTCTGTTAATCACAGCAGAACTCACAGATAAATGTGGATAGGAGCAGCATGTTCATTTGAGAGTGAATCAGACTGATTAACTCTCAAATGAACTTAAAAATGTGAAGTTTAGACTATATGGAATTGGCGGAAATGACTGGCAGAATCCGTGACCAGGGAGAAGAGTCGGTGGAGGAAGATTGGAAGAAATTTAAAGATTATCTACAGAAACACTGCAAAATTAAAGAATGTTAGAGTGATGTTGGACTAAAAATAAGTGGTTTCCAGCTGTACAGGATTTAAAGTTATAGACAGACTAATTAAAGATTAGGATTAAAAAAGTTGAAGGAAATGGAAATTTGGTATTTAAGAGGTAAAATTTTTAATGATATATTATATTAAGATTAAAGATTGGGATTAAAAAAAGTGGAAAAGAAATTGCTGGACAAACAACTTGGACTGGAATACAAAAGAGGGAGGTATGGGGAGGTCCAGAAAATAAGTAAATTCAAAAACGGAAATGGAAAGGTGATATTGTTTTTTAATTGTTCTGTTTCTTTCTTTCTTTCTTTTTTTCCTGTTTTTTATTATGTATTGTGTATTTGTGTATTTTTTTCTATGTTTTTCTGTTTAATCTTTCACTGAAATTTTAATAAAAATCATTAAAAAAAAATAAATTAAAAATGTGAAGTTTATTTAAGTTATATATGTTTTGAAATAGATTTTGGAGACTCATTTTATCCTGTAAAATATTTTAAACCTATAAAGATTTTCTAAAGCCATTGTTTAGCTTAGTGATTGCAAAAAAAAATTAATGTTTTTATGGTAACTTCCTAGGTTTCGCAGATGTCTTTAGTGTCTTGCGCTCATCTTACCTGTACAGACAGCATCCTAGCCCCCTCCAGAGTGTATGTTCAGATCTTCAGCGTTGGCCAGGTATGAAGTAAGAATATTCTTCTTGATTAAATTGATTTATCTGGCTGAAGAACGTAGTATATACTACAAGATGAATCCTGAGTTCCCATCAGTGGAACTCTGCTCATGTGATGCTTATTAGAGGAAGGAGGTTATTCTCCCTGACTAATTCCTGTGCCTCTGAAAAGCTGTTCCAGAGGGTTGGAACTTATCCCTGCTTCACAGGAGGTGGACCTGGAGGCTGAGAATGGGACAACTCTGGATCCAACTCTCTAAAATTACATATTATTTATATGATATAGATGAAAGTATTTAGCATTTGAACATATTTAGAGTATATTATTATCTTTACTCAGTAGTCATAATAATTAGTTGTATTTTTGAAATTTTACTTTCATTGCCAGTGGTTAATGTAACACTTGTAGTGACTGACAGTCAAGCCTTCTCAGATTTCTGTTTCTCACAAGTTTAGAATTCTCGACTGAACTTCATTGAAGGGAAGGGAGTTAGTATATTACCTAACTAGCAATTGCCTAACTTGCAACTGATGCAGGTACTCTTATTTGTCTGTTATTTACGGTTTCTACGAAGTTTGGAGACTCCACAGGAGCTTTTGTACATATGAATGTTCTGTATTTAGCAAGATCTTAGAACGTATACATTTCCAAAATGTCCTTAAAAATTGCTTGCCGGAATAGAGTGAATTGTTGTTGCTATAGGATGGCGAGTGTTGCTATTCTTTTAAATAACATAACTGGGATCCAAAGAGCAGCCTGAAGGGTGCTTAATGGGGGGCTGAATTTTCAAATTTGAACAGCAGCCCCTTCCCTTTTCCCGTGCTGTATTAAGCTGCTTTGAAACTCCAGATATTTTTGTATGTGATTGCTGTACAGCATGGAGGAGTACTGTTTTGGGGGAACTACTCAAAACACAGACACACCCACCCACACCCACACAAAAGCACAGAACCTGGTGTTTGGCTCTTTGCATAGGCTGTGTTTCAGGACTTACACTAAAAAATTAAGTAAGGAAAGAATTTGCATAAGAACTTCTGTTACGTTATCTTGAAACAATGTGTTATGTGTTTTAAGTTTTTATTCAGACACGAGGTTTTAAGACACTGAAATCAAGAGCAAGACGGCTGCAGTCTTCATCAGAACGATTAACAGAAACAGAAAATGTAGCGCCCTCATTTGTAAAGGCAAGTCTAAAGATTTGTGTGTTCCGATCATAACCTCTTCTGATGCCTGTTTTATACAGTGTCTTAAAAAATACCTGACCCATTAAAAATTGGAAGCCAAGTCCCTCTTCTCAGGCGTTTGTAGACTGAAGTAATTGAGGACAGGTAAAAGGTGATTGAAAGGGAGGGATCAGGAAGAGATAAGGGATTTATGAATCATGATGGTAGTTGTTAGAAAGCTGATGTAGGAAAAGATGGGTAAAAGGGATAATTGCTGATAGGAGGTATACAAGCAGAATCCTTCTGAAATACATAGATGACTAACTATATACCTTTTCACATCTAGAATGTTAACAATTTCAGCTGAATGATACTGTAATCCAAGCACTGTAAAATCCAACAGACAAGAATGTCCTGGAGACTGATGGATAGTGAGATTTCACTGTAATTACCGTATTTTTTGCTCTATAAGACTCACTTTTTCCCTCCTAAAAAGTAAGGGGAAATGTGTGTGCGTCTTATGTAGTGAATGCAGGCTGCGCAGCTATCACAGAAGCCAGAACAGCAAGAGGGATTGCTGCTTTCACTGTGCAGCGATCCCTCTTGCTGTTCTGGCTTCTGAGATTCAGAATATTTTTTTTCTTGTTTTCCTTCTCCAAAAACTAGGTGCGTCTTGTGGTCTGGTGCGTTTTATAGAGCGAAAAATACGGTATTTGAATTGCTGCACAGAATTCTAGGTTGCTGTCCAGTTACAGTAATCTGCTTGTACAACAGACTTTCGCTCACACCAACTTTCCATTCCTCCCCACTGTGGCCTCCTGCTCTGGAGGGCTCCCCCGCCCCGAGCAGGAGGGGGTGCTTCAAGGTGAAGGACAGAAAAGGGAAGTCTCGTCACATCCACTGCCACAAGGTTGGCTCTCACCCTGCATGATGCACTTGCGAGCCTTTCCCTTGCAAGTGGTAGCATTACTACTCTAATTATCCATTCATATAAAATGGAAAAGGTCAATGCATGCTGAACCTTAAGAGAGAGGAGAGTGCTCTTCTGCTCATGTTCTGTCCCTGTTTCCCACATGCATCTGGCTGGCCACTGTGAGAACAGGATGTGAGAATAGGTGACCTGATCCAGCAGGCTATTCTTATTATGTGCCCCAAAATCTGACCCCTGATTTAAAAACTAATGCAAGTGTTTTCTCCATCAACTCCTTAGGGTCTCCTACTGAGAGATAGAGGACCTGATGTTGAAAGTGTAGATAAACTAATGAAAACAAAAAAGATACCTGAAGCTCAACAAGATGCCTTTAAAACTGGATTTGCAGAGGGCTTTTTGAAAGCACAGTCACTCAATCAACGTAATGGTTTGTTTGTCTTATTCAAAGTGTTCTGTTTTGTATATGCGGTGTTAGAATGGTGTTACAGGTCACATTACACGGTAAATGAACCCCCTTTGTGCCGTATCCATATATGGTAGAAAAATAAGAATTAGGCAGCAGGTTCTTCATTGTCATTGTCCCACAATGTCATTCCCTTATGAGTTAGTCTAGCTGATTGTCAGTTTCCTTGGATTTTATACCATACAAAAATTGCTTGCCTAATATATATTTTGCTTCTTCAGATTCCATAAGACGAAACCGTTTCTTTGTCCTTGTTCTGATCCTGCTTGGCCTTTATGGTTTGTCGAAAACTCCTTTTTTATCTGGTAAATGCCCCTTTATGGATACTGGTTTGTTAACTTTTCATTCTTCTTTAATCTTTCATTTCCTGTTTTGCTTTGTAAGGCTAGTCTGTTATTTTAAGTCTAGATTAAAATCACAAGTTGAATGAACTCAAAAAGTGGTGTACGCTACTCCAGGTGAAAACATCTAGTGTTCTTTTCTCAGAAAGGAGTAATAGTTGGGAAAATATATCTTAGTAAAATTTGAACAAGAACATTTCATAGGCCTCACTTTTCTTAGGACAGTTGAATAGTTCATTTTAGCAGCCTAAGTAGTTGTGTCTCCTACTGCTTTTCAGTACAGTCGTACCTTGGTTCTCGAATGGAATCCTTTAGTTTCTCAGATCAGACCATTATTTTTAAAGACAGAGTTGTATAGATCTAGTGTGTCATAGAATTACACCTCTGGATAGTTCTTCAACATTCTTCCAACCCAAGTAAGTTCTTGCATTTCTTCCAGAAGCTTTGGCAAAACGTTGGCAGTGAGTTCAGTAATGGGTCATTGAGAGTTCTGCATTGTAGAGATTTGGTGTGCAGGTGATATGATTCAGATGTTGGAGATGGGCGTGGGGGTACACTGCACAAGTCTTCATAGGTATAAATATCTGTTTAGCTGGGACTCAGTGAATGGCCTGATAGTATTTGATGCTGAATCATTACTGCAGCTAAACAGATGTGGGCATAGTCAGTTCTGAGAGCCACACGTTAGAGTACGATACATGTGACCTAAAGAATTTGTTTTTTAAAGAAATGCTTAGTTGAACATTGGTAGGCGCAAAAATTGCTCTGACAAATGATACTGACAAAATGACTTGTCAGTACATTAATCTGTTTTAACCTTTGCTTTTAGTGCGTTTTCGAACAACTTCTGGGCTTGATGCAGCTGTGGACCCTATTCAGATGAAAAATGTTACCTTTGAACATGTCAAAGGGGTAAGTTCAAATGCTTGATGTCCACCAACTATTGAATTGAAATTCATTTATGTAATATATTGATATACCACACAATACTTAAAACAGTTTATAAGCAATTTACAAAAAACAGCAAACAGTGACACACGGAAGCCACAGTGTAATGCAATGCAAAATTTGAAGAAAACTGCAACAGAACGCTATAAAACATAAATCCAAAAACAAGCACAGCAGCACATGTTGAAACATTTTTAGGGTACACAATCCTTTCCTTCTTGAGCCTTCCTCCTGCTTGTGACTGACAAATATAGAAACCACTGCCTGTGAATGCACCCTGAGCTCACACACATCCGCAGACTACTGGCTTTTCCATTCGTATGGATCATGGAATAAACCCAAGATGAATATTGGAGTGGGTCTACCAATATAGTTGGATAGTGGCCTCTCACACTAGCTTTTCTTCCTATAATACTTGCCAATATATGATGTGCCTCTTGTGGCTCAGCTTCTGGCAGCTTTATCTTTGCTGTGCCAGGAACTATTCCATGATGATGCAGTGTAGTGTTGCCAGCGTAGGTGGCTACATTCTCCATTTGCCTCCTGTAATGACTAAATTCCCCTCTGTTGATTTTCACAAAAGAATTACCCGTGGAAAACAAATTCTACAGATGGATCCCTGTTACTTTTTTATAAATCAGACTAAACAAACTACTGCTTCCTTACATGCACCTCTGAGTATTGTGTTTTCTCTTAAATTGTTCCATCATGGTCTTACATGTGATCACAATTGAGGTTTAATTGCTTTTTCCCCTCAGCACTGTACTCTGATAAATTATGTAGGAATTAGTTCTTTTTTCCCTTTTACAGTTCTAGAGGTTTTACCTAGTATATGTTATTAACTGTATGCCTTGGTTTTTCAGTAAATGTTTTATGTTAAATAAACATAGGCCAGAGACCAGTGTAGTTCTGTGTCTGTTGTCCAGTGGGACTTTGGACTTTACTTTCTTAAAATAGCAGACTTCCTCTTGCCACAGGGCAAACTGCTTTGGGAAACATGGGAGTTTCCAGGCCAGCTGACTATACAGCAGGGGGCCTTGTATTTTAAAAGAAAAAAAGTTATACTGGGGGTGCGCACGAGCCTTTGGCTGTGCTTAAAAATAGCTCAGGATTGTGACCATAAGTCTACCTAAAGCTAATTTGGCCAAATTATAAAACCGGTCTTCTAAAAATGTTGGCATAATATATTTATTTTTAAATTTTAATTGAATGAAGGTTGAAGAAGCAAAGCAAGAGTTGCAAGAGGTGGTAGAATTCTTGAAAAATCCTCAGAAATTTACTGTACTGGGAGGAAAACTTCCTAAAGGTAAGTGTGAGCTTTTGATTATTGACAGGTGCTTTCATGGGGGTGTTCATACCACTTGTTACATTGCAGTCCTATTTGATTTATGTCAGGCAGGTAATAATGTGTTGTCCCTGAGAGGGATATGTAACCTCATGTGCCTCTTTCATGAACATCGTTAAAATCCTACAGCAGGTATTCCTCCACTGTCAGAGGCATTCCATAGGATCCCCTCACTCCCCCAACACACCCCTGCATTGTGGGATAAATTATACCAGTCCTGACATACTGGGAAGGAAACAAAAAGAAAAAAGAAAAAAAAGAAAGAAAACTGCAAAGGGAAAGGAAGAATATATCCAAAGCAGGCATAGAAAAAGGCAGTTTGTCTACCTTTGCTGCTACTCTTTTTGGATTGCTCTGCCCTTTGTGTCTTTTAAATTTGTATTTAGTTCACCCTCCCCTTTTGTAACTCTTGTGAATTAACTTTTTTCACTCAGGGGAGTGTGTTTGTTGTCCAGATTTTCTTTATGTATACTCTTTGTATTGGGTGGGGAACCTCTGGCCTTTGGGCCTAATTAAGCTTTGCCATTTGGCCCAACAGCCTAATAACCTGACATCATGTATGATATCAGAACCGGTGTGGGCTGGTAAAAAGGTAGCTGGGCTCTTCCAAAAAGGGCTTCTGAAGTTTACAAAGAGCAGCACAGGGTTCTTTGCAAGCCCTGGGTGATGCTTTGAAATCCTGACAGCTGATTGTTGGGGTTGGAAGCGCTGTGTCACCTGACATTGTGATGTTAGGTGATAGACAGATGGGTGGTCCTGCCCTTATATTAAATACCTGCCAGATCCAGATCCACATCCCTAGCCTGCATCGTTGTCCTCCTTCTAGCTGGGCTGAAATCTGCAGTGACTAGAATCACTTGTTGAGAAATTATAAAAATTGGGGTAAACATGGGTGATAATCAGTTCTCCATATGCTTTGTCATAATTTTATTTCATTCTTTCACCAGGTATTCTGTTGGTCGGACCACCGGGAACTGGCAAAACTCTTCTTGCCAGAGCCGTAGCAGGAGAAGCTGATGTTCCATTCTATTATGCCTCTGGATCGGAATTTGACGAGATGTTTGTTGGCGTTGGAGCCAGTCGCATCAGAAACTTGTTTAGTAAGTACAACTTAGTTTTCCCTTGAACATCGGCTATTTTCATGAAGACATGTATACCTGAAGGAGCATCTCCACCCCCATCGTTCACTGAGGTCCAGCTCCGAGGGCCTTCTGCCAGTTCCCTCATTGCAAAAAGTGAGGTTACAGGGAACAAGGCAGAGGGCCTTCTTGGTAGTGGTGCCTGCCCTGTGGAACACCCTCCCATCAGATGTCAAGGAAATAAACTATCTGACTTACAGAAGGCATCTGAAGGCACCCCGTTTAGGGAAGTTTTTAATGTCTGATATTTTAATGTATTTTTAACCTGTTGGCAGCCGCTCAGAGTGGCTGGGGAAACCCAGCCAGATGGGTGGGGTATAAATAAACTATATTATTATTATTATTAACTTATTTCAGGAGTGTGGATGAACACACTTTGAAATCTAGCAGTTTCTTATTGAATAAATGCTCTTAAGTCTAAGCTCTCTATTAAAATAAAGAAGGCTGTAGCAGGCATCAGGAAAATTCAAAAACATTCTCTTATTATTATCATTATATTAAAAGTCTGAATTCTGTCTGAACAGTTGTAACCCAATATACGTATGTATATATTCATTGCAGTCTGGACCTTTATCATGGGCCCATTGTTTTATCCCTAATTCAGAGAACAGTTGTTTTCCTTTTGACTGTTTTCTAGCTAAAATAGCAGTAGAAACACCGAAAAGCTATTTTTCTGGAAAAGTGCAATTCATGAGGGTAGCCAGAATAAATTTGTGAATCTCATATTAGAAATGTGTGACTAATACAAAATGGTGTTTGTAGTATGAAGAAATAAATTTGACATGTTGCATTCTTAGGGGAAGCCAAAGCAAATGCACCATGTGTTATATTCATTGATGAGCTGGATTCTGTTGGTGGCAAAAGGATAGAGTCTCCAATGCATCCCTACTCAAGACAGACTATAAATCAGCTCCTTGCTGAAATGGATGGGTAAATACTAATTTTCTTTCTGAGCCAAGGGATTATCTGTTATATAGGAACATCACAATAAGGAGAATGAGCGTGGGGTTCATAGGGAGAGGTGTGTAGCCCCCCCCCCCCAGCAGTAAAATAATTTGAAATCTGATATGTCACTTGGAAAGAATATCATAGCCATTTAAGGCATGTTCAGATGCCTGGTATCCCCCTATATAGCAGGGTAGCCAAGCCCTGGGAAACCCCAGATTACTATACTTTATACAGTTTATACTGATGCTGCTATTCCAACTAGTTGGTAAGCCTGCAGCACCCTCTTCTTTCTTTGACCAGGGCACAAAGTGGTTGGTATGCAGGCAAGGATTGTCTAGGTGCACAGCACAGCACACATAGTTTAGTTAGTAGGGATGATGCCTTGGTGGTTACACTAGAGTAGCAGGTCTACTGATCATGCTTTGGGCTGGTGTCACTAATTACAGCCTACCTACAAGCCTGTTTCATCGAGCCATTTGCCTTGATCACTGCTAATCCAGATTTAGGACATGTCACTCACAACTAAGCTTTCAAATTTGCAGCCATAAGATGGCCATGAAAAGAGGATAGATTGTGAGTTCTCTGAATACCAGTTGCTGAGGGGCAAAAAATGGGAGGGCATGCCCTACTGCGAGGCTTCCTAGCAGCATCCAGCTAGCTGTTGTTGGAAATGGGATTTTGATTCACTGGACCTTTGGTCTGGTCTAGCAGGTCTGCTCTTACGTTCTTACTAGTATTCTTCTGGCATGCCTGCAGATTTCCAAACAAATGGATGAGCCCCACTCTGGAGCCTTAGATTGCTTTTGAGTCATGCCCAATAAAGGGCTTGCAGTGTGCGTTAAGCCCTCACTGGACTGCATGGACATTGCTGTACTCATTGTAAGAACAGAGAAACTCTTCACACCGAAGTATATTAACAAAAGCTCTTCTCTCTCTCTCTCTCTCTCTCTAGCTTTAAACCCAACGAAGGCGTCATTATCATTGGTGCAACAAACTTCCCTGAAGCCTTAGATAAGTATGTGTGTGTGCGTATATATGCATAAAACGTAACTTTGCATGGTTTGATTTTGTGCATATATGACTTTGAAAGCGTAGGTCAGTAATAGCTATTAAAATTTACAAGGTACTATTCTTGCATCATGTCTATATTTTTATCTTTGAAGGCAGCACTCAGAAGGACTAGCCCCTTCTAGCTATCATTATCCGGAACAGCAAAAATGACAGCAATGGCAGCCGGAATGTATCTATGAAGTGTTGGTTCATAAAGTACCTTTTGCCTTGGGGGTTCCTGTAATCCAAGGAGGGTTGTGAGGAGGCCATTTGCTTGTGTGAAACAATCTTTAGTAGGTCAGAAATATATTAGCTGCTCACTTTACCCCATCATGTTCTTAACTCTTAAAAAAATAAAAATCTTTTAAGTCATCTGGTTAGCAAGGATCTTAAATATATTGAATCATTCACAGAATTGTTTTTCCTCCCCAATTAGTGCTTTGATACGTCCTGGCCGCTTTGACATGCAAGTTACAGTCCCCAGGCCAGATGTCAGGGGCCGAACAGAGATTCTGAAATGGTACCTGAATAAAATAAAGTATGATGAATGTAAGTATAAATACGCAACTGTTATCTTGGGGGCAGGCAATACAGAAAGTTGTTGTAGAGTGGCTGTAAATTTTAATCTGTTTCTAAGTCGCTCTGTGACCTCTCTAATTTAGATTTGTGTTTTGAGTTCTGAATCGCCTTGAATAAAACAAATCTCTCTGTTCCCCTTTCACTATACTGAGGAATCTGAAATGGCTATAGCTTTTTTCCCCTTTTGGCCAAAGTGGATGAAATTTAGGGCGCATGACCTATTCCAGTGGATTAGGTAAAGGTAAAGGGACCCCTGACCATTAGGTCCAGTCATGGCCGACTCTGGGGTTGCGGCGCTCATCTCGCTTTATTGGCCGAGGGAGCCGGCGTACAACTTCCGGGTCATGTGGCCAGCATGACTAAGCCGCTTCTGGCAAACCAGAGCAGCGCACGGAAATGCCATTTACCTTCCCGCCGGAGCAGTACCTATTTCTCTACTTGCACTTGACGTGCTTTCGAACTGCTAGGTTGGCAGGAGCAGGGACCGAGCAACGGGAGCTCACCCCGTCGCGGGAATTCGAACCGCCAACCTTCTGATCAGCAAGTCCTAGGCTCTGTGGTTTAACCCACAGTGCCACCTGTGTCCCTTTCCAGTGGATTAAAGCATGCTAAATTGCAAGCAAATACGTCCAGGGGCTTTTTGAGAGGTGGGGGGAGTAAAACAGATTTATTCTGCCCCCCCCCCCCCATAATCTAATTGGGTGGTGGTGGATAGGGAATAATGTCTTAATAAAGAAAGCATAACTGTTGATGTGCTTTAGCAAAGACCATTCCAAGCTCTTCAGTACTCCACAGGCAACCTTTTGGACAGCCTCACTATTTTCAATGTCCACAAACATATAGGAAAATATGGAGCTATAAGGTAAAAGTGTAGAAACACAGCAACACAAGACTTTGTAGAGGATCTGATCTGTCGGTTTATTGACATTGTACTTTGATGTGGGGACGGGAGGAAAACCCCAAATTCACTCCAGTTTTTGGCCCACACACAAAACCCCTAGTTATTACATGCTTGTGATTGAAATTCAGAATCTTGTCACCAGTGGGAGCCAGAGTCTTTGATTCTGCTTACAGTATTGCTTGAATAAATCAGTGCTCTGTTCTTGATCCATATTGTGATTATAGTGGCAATAAAATTAAAGTTCGCTTTAATGTGAAAAGCAGATTTAAAGAATATTAATTTCTCAGATTAGGTTGATATAGGACTTTGTGTGTGTGTCTTACTGCAGCTATTGATGCAGAAATCATTGCAAGAGGAACGGTAGGATTTTCTGGAGCTGAATTAGAAAACCTAGTGAACCAAGCTGCATTGAAAGCTGCGGTTGATGGGAAGGATATGGTTACTATGAAGGAGTTGGAATTCTCAAAGGACAAAATTCTTATGGGTAGGCTATTTCTGAATTTGAATTTCTGAATTCAGCGAGGTAAGTATTTTGACCTTGGGCACTTCGTTGGAGTTAAGTTACAAATACAGCGCTTACATGCTACACTGAGGGTTTTTGGGTTTGCAGAAATACAAAAAAGGGGGGAACCCCCAAATAGCCCAGTGAAGACAGAACATGCCCAAAAGCCCTGGAGCTCTGATTGGTGGTTGACTATTGAGAATAAACAATAGCAAACTGTGGGGCGGGGTGAATGGAATGGAGTATTCTGGAACGGAGTATCTTGGCTGGCACCTTGAGAAGAGCATTCCCCAGTGCCGTGTTTTGCTTGTTCTCCTTGGATATACTAATAGCAAAATTTAGTGCTGAGTTATGGCTGTGGAGCCCAGGTGGGACTTCTGAGCATGCGCAGGGGAATCTCAAGGTTTGAAGAAGTAGAAAAAATATTTAGGGAGGAAACAAATAACGGGACAAAAAACCCTTCAGAATAGTTCAGTGAGGACTGAGCCTACTAAGTCTCCACTTCACTGTCTGCATGGTGGTGAGAAAAGAAACAGGGTTGTGGGTGTGAGTGTGCATTATGAGTAGAATGGAGCATCTGCTTGCATTTGGTCACTTTTCAGCTTCTGTGATTTCCTTTCTTTGATTTCAGGCCCTGAGCGTAGAAGTGTAGAAATTGATGATAAGAATAAAACAATTACAGCCTATCATGAATCTGGGCATGCCATCATTGCATACTATACTAAAGATGCGATGCCAATCAACAAAGCTACCATTATGCCACGAGGGCCAACACTCGGACATGTGAGGATTTTGATTTTGTAGAGAATACCCACTTTTGACTAGACTTTGACCACTTTACTGCTTTACTTTTTCAACAGAGCTGATATCAAACACCTGGCAATATATTTCCATAGTATAATGCAATTGAAATGAGAACCTGGTTGGTTGCCGTGGCATTCGTAACGGAGGTTCACCTTCATTACATAGGCGCCAGGCGAAACTTTTTCTCTATAACCAAGCCTTAGGCTGATTAACATCCTGCGGCCTTTTAAATGTGTTTGAGGGGAGGATTTACTGGTTTGTTTTTGTTTTCCTATGTATTATATGTTTTCATTTTGTATCTTTATGATCTGAACCACCCTGTGATCTTCAGTTGAAGGGTGGTATACAAATTTAATTAATAATAATAATAATAATAATAATTGCCATTTTAGAAATGTATTATATACACCCTGCAGTGCTGTCAGTTCAAAAAAGACATCCACATTGTGGATGAAAACATTCATTCATCTGGCTCTGCTGCATTTTGAACTTTGAGACTGTATTGCCCAAATACATGCACAAAATTGTTTCATAGCAGAGTTGGAGGTTTCCTACTCCTGCTGCAGGGGATGTGTGTAGAAGGTCTGTTACCTTTAGTGTACCGTAAGCCAAGATTGGCCATCAGCAAAAAGTTGCTGTTGATTTGTTTCTCACTAAGATACTGCATGACCATGACAGGTCCGGACAGAGCCTGCAGGACTGCAGGTGTCTACTCTTTGGGAAGCAGGTTTTAGTTTGGGGTAGAGAAACCAACAAACGTCTCAGAAGAGTATCACGGCAGTTAGTATCCTCCAACTCGCCTTTGTTTCAAGATTGTCAAAGCAACTACAAAGTGTAATTTACTATTTTCGTGAACTTTAATCTCTGCTCACACAATTTTGTATTAAAGGTGTCTTTGCTGCCAGAAAATGACAGGTGGAGTGAAACTAGGTCCCAGCTGCTTGCCCAGATGGATGTTAGCATGGGAGGAAGAGTTGCAGAAGAACTTATATTTGGGGGTGATTACATCACAACAGGTCAGGAAAACCCTGAAAGAAACAAGATTAGTATTCAAAATGTTTAACTTCTAAATCGGAATTACTTTTGTATAATTTCTTTCGTTGTTGTTCATTTAGGGGCTTCTAGTGATTTTGACAATGCTACTAAAATAGCAAGGCTCATGGTGACTAAGTTTGGAATGAGTGAGAAGGTAAGATCTAAATATCTCCTGTTTGAGTTTTGGATGCTGTCCTCTTTTCTCTCCGCATTGATTAGGAGTCCTTCAGGACGTGGTATCAGATCCTTGTATTAAATTGCTGTTATCCCTCTCTGGATCTTTAGACAGTAGTGTATTATAAAGCGAAATTTACGTTACAAATTGAAAATGTGTATGTGACCAACTCAGCCTTACGGATTATCAAAGATATGAACAGCGTGGGTGAATAAGAAACACATTTTGTCATTTTTTCTTGGAGATTATACTGTGCAAAGCAATTTACAGTATGGACTTGACAAAGTAGTAGTGATAAGTGAGACACTGCTGCTCTCCTGGCCTCCCAGCGCAGGGTCACTGGCACTTACCAAGAGGGGTGGGGTGAAGCATGGGAGTATTAAATTGGTGCAGAACAATGGAGCCAATCTCCCCAAGCTTCATCCCACCTCTTTCCCTCTGTGCTGGAAGTCAGGAAAGCAGCTCCCACCCACAGCACCTCACCAGCCGCTACTGTATATGTTACGCTGCCATGTTCATTTCACAGCACATTTGGGGGGTTGGGGTATGCACATTTTTGCTCTATACCACAGGGAGAGCTCAATCAAGCACCAGAAAGCATTTACTCCTTCTGCCTGCATTCCCTTATATGTTTTGTTTCCTCCTGGTCTGCCCCTTCCTTTCCGTCATCACAGATAGTGAGATTTCTCTTAGATGCATGATCTTTGTAATCTTTTTTAAAAGCAACAAGTTAAGACGATGATTAAAAATTAATAGTGAATAATTTAATAGGATTATCCAGCAAAATGTGTGATCGGTGACGAAGGCTGCAGTCGTATACACTTGCAGGGAGTAAATAAGTCCAGTTGTGGACAGTGGGACTAACTTTTGAGTAGACATGATTAGATTTATGCTGACAAGCTCCCTCCCATCCAGATTTAACGAAGCTGTGATATAGTGCTGGGATACTTCTGTGTACAGCCACAGCTGCTTAAATATCAGACACCTTGAGGGCCTGTTGCAGCACAGTAGATATTATTTGCTGGGATGTTAAATTGCACCACAGTTGCAATGTAAAATGTCTCTTTCTCTTGTCTCTTTCTTTTGCTTTCTATAAGCTTGGTGTCATGACCTACACAGATACAGGGAAACTCAGTCCCGAAACCCAGTCCGCAATTGAACAAGAAATAAGAATGCTTTTAAAGGTAAGAAAAAGTGTGATGGAATAACTGGAATAAATACTGGGTGAATAAAGTTTTCCTTTCCTTGGGTTTCATGTATATATCTAGTAAACCATAAAAATGGCCTAAATTCTAATTCAGTTCATGGTCCTGTTAAAAGTTCAGGAACTTCCTTTAGCACTTACTAGCAATAGAACGTTCTTCTAGCTCCTTGTTGCTAGTAGATTCCTTTTTCATATTCAGTTATTTATCTACCTTATTTTCCCCTTCCATCCATTGTGTTTCTTACTTGTTTTAAACTAAAAGATTTTATGGAGTCTGGTTTCTGCAATGAGTATACAAGAATAAAATTGAAACGTGAATATTTGTGGCTTTATTGAAAATATTAGTTCAGGGGTCAATCTTAAAACAGTTTTTAGAATACATGTCTTCGATTTCCAGTTTCATTGCAAATGATCCTTAATGTGTGTGGTTTTTTTTTATTATGTGATAGGAATCATACGAACGAGCGAAGAATATATTGAAGAACCGCACAAAAGAGCACAAGAATTTAGCGGAAGCATTGCTGACCTATGAGACTTTGGATGCCAAAGAAATTCAGATTGTTTTAGAGGGGAAAAAACTAGAAGTGAGATGATATCTTCCTTGTTAAGCGTTCTAATGGATTACTTGCAAGAATGCAGTAGTCTACTTATGCAGTGTAGCCCGCCCCCCCCCCCCCCGATGCGTGTGTGGTAATAATCACATTTCTTAAAGATAAGCAATTTGTCTTGTGTGCTTTTGTTACATTTTACCTAACTTTTTGTATTTCCATAGAAAGAGATGCCAGGAGCAAAAGAAGTTCCCACAAGTATAGATAATACGATCTCAGGGTTGAATCCCGCTTCTTTGGAAACCTCAAATACTGATGCTGAATAGTATGTTCTTAACATATCTTCCCTAGCTAATTGCTCCATGTGGACTTGGACATGTTCAATCTTGCGGCTTGAGATCCCTTGAAATGCTGCAGGATTTACAAGTTGCAGAGGGGATGACACCTCCATTTAGTCTTAATTCCATGGGCAGTTTATAAAACCATCACTCATCATTTAGGAAAAAAAACCACAGATTTTATTTAGCAGGTCACATAAGACTACAGGAAGCTGGGAACTGGCATTGCTGTAACAGAGCTGCTCCTTGCCCCCCATTGGTCTTCTTATAAATGCCAGGGTGTTGGAATCCTGGAGCACAATAACTGGGCAAAGAAATAATAGGGTTTTCTGTTTGGATGCCTTTAGATCACATGACGGGGTACGGGGACGGAGTGGAAATTAATAGCTATGAAGAATTGCACTGCCTCTTTGGAGTCAGTTGGGAAGACATTTCCAGTTTAGTTTAGGTGGTATGGGGGTGTAACTGCATTGCTCTGAAGGGTGCTATCCTGTTGAATTTTAAAAAATGAGATCGTGTACGGCTGTTTTAAGAGCTCCCATCAATTTTCTTAGAAGGCCGTATTGAATCAGTCGGAGAGTATTTTAGATTCCTCTTTTTGTTCCTTTTAAATCACAGTCCATTTCCCCCAATAAAAATACAATTTTTTAATTTGAAATCTTCCAAGTCCTTCAACCCAGGTTATGAGCACATAGTACCCAAACAGTAAAATGTGTTCAGTTATCTTCTGAAATGTTAAGAGTTGGGCTAGGGTGGAGTGGGAGACAATTGCTAGTAGTACTAGTGTTTTGTGGGAGGATGGGCAGTGGGTGGGTTATTCTCACAACTTTAACCCCTACACTTCTCCATTCAAAATAGGCATTTAAAAGAGAAAAGGTTTTATGCCAGTCAGTGGGGGGAATGGAATAAAGTTGGCAGTGAACTTTCAGACTAGTGCTAACATGACATTGCTGTGAATACAACTTGACAGTGTACTTACTTTTGAATTGGTTTAAGAATTCTTTCAATTCAGCAAATTCAGTGCAACTTTCTTTTTTTGCTTTTCCCATTCAGCTAATCTAGTAACACATGGAGGGACCTCAAGACCCTGTCTTAAAGCAGAATACCAAGCTGCTATGCTGACACATTACAAATATACTCTTTGTAGTGACTTACAGTGAAAGATGTGCAAATAAGGCATGCGTGGCACTTTTTTTAAAGACAATAAAGGTTTGTTTTTAAATATGCAGAAAGCTTTTCCTCATTGTAAATTGCTTTATCTCTGGTTTCCCTCTTATGTAAATTGAGGTGTACAAAACATATCTTAAACCTGTAAATAAATTTGAGAGTTAACCGAAATGTGGAATTTTTTTAGAGAACTGGATTTCCGAAGAATCTTTCGTTCGTTTCCTTCCTTCTTTCAAAATTGATTTGTTTGCTGTTACTTCAGCACGTCAGAGAAAAATAATGCAAGGGGGGAGACAGGAGAGGAAAAAATCCCAACATTCCCTGGCTTCCCATCAGCTGGAAAATGTACCCATGGAAAGTTCCCTATTATACAACAGACTCTGCTCCATCTCAGCAAATTAATATCATATGCCTTTCATGCTATAAATTTGAACTGCATCTGCACACCTAGCTACCATATATGCTAATAATATAAAATTTTAATTAGCAATAGTTCCTACTGATTATCCAGATTTAATACTATTCCTCACAAAAGCCGGGATTCTGAAGTGAGATATCCACACAGCGGAAGTCGCCTTGAGTTCCAGTCACAACAGAGAGACAGCTTAAGGTCCAAAGAGTTTGACTGCTGCAGAAGATCAGGCTTCAGTAATACAGTTCGGGACTTGATATATTCATACACTTTGTAGGCTTTGCAGATAAAGATATGTACAAGTAGAAACTATTTCTGTTGCTCCAGCAATTCAAGACATAACGCAGATTCCGACAGCACTCCCTGACTGACTCTCAGGACAAGACACCGGACAGCTGAGCAGAGATGCCTCCATCATCTATATCAGGCACCCCCAAACTCGGCCCTCCACATGTTTTGGGACTACAACTCCCATCACCCCAGCTAACAGGACCAGTGGTCAGGGATGATGGGAACTGTAGTCCCAAAACAATTGGAGGGCCGAGTTTGGGGATGCCTGACCTATACAGGTGGCACTGGACTGTTGCCATAGCAACTGGCTTGGCTGACCCTGACCCTATTGCCTTATCCTCATACATGGCATGATTTGAGCTCATCAAGGAAATTATGCCTTTCCTCCATGTTTGATTCCTCCAAAAACAAATTCCACAATACTTCAAAGTTATAAGATGTGGAACCGCAGGTAGAGAAATGCATACTACTTCAACATCCCAAGAACCCCCTAGACGTAATAAAAATAAATAAATGCGAGGACGACATAGGCTATGAGATTAACCCCACTCAGTGGACCAGAATGTGGTCTAAACCCCCCTTTAAATCCATATCAACGAAAAGGAAAGAACTCGCTCTGAAACTCACCTACAGGTGGTACCTAACACCAAGGAAATTAGCGCTAATACGCCCAGGAACCTCACCAAAATGCTGGAGAGGGTGCACCTCCACAGGCACATACCTCCACATGATGTGGGAATGCCCCCAAATCCAACTATTCTGGACAACAGCCATACGAGAAATATGTAAAATAACTAGACAAGAATTAGAAATCACCCCAGAACTGGCCCTACTAAACATCTTCCAAGACAATAATGCCCACTCACATCACAAAGAACTCATCACCCACCTACTCTCAGCAGCCAGGAACATAACCAGGCACTGGAGAGGCCTGTCAGGAGTAAGCATGGACCAATGGTACCAAATAGTATGGGAAACAGCCTTACTAGAAAAATTAACCAATAAACTGAAACTGACACGGGGACAAATAGAAGAAGATGCCTTCACCCTGGTATGGCTCCCCTTTATCACATACAAAGCCCAACAAGATGACAGGAATCCATCAATAGATTATGGCTATCCTGATTCAAAAACACCCACCCAACTCACACATGAAAACAAAGTTCACCACAGGCAATCACAAACAAGCAACCACACCCTAGGCCAACCCCAACTTCTCTCACCACCAAAGGAACACAAGCGAATAGCAAAGAGAACCTGCACAAACGACGCTGACACAAAACCCCACACATACATTAAGTAAAATAGAAACCTGCCCACCCACCATGGCCTCCTCCACCTCTTCTTCCCTTTCCTTCCTAATGTAAGACTAATGTCTCAACAAATGAAACTGACCTGTAGAAAAGGTAAATTGAAAAAAGAGACATTGCACATACTTTTGTAAACCAAGAAATCTTGAAAAAAATACATTTAAAAAAAGAAATTTTTAAAAAGAAAATATGACACAAGCGAAACTTGCTATACAGTGGTGCCCCGCAAGATGAATGCCTCGCAAGACGGAAAACTCGCAAAACGAAAGGGTTTTTGGTTTTTTGAGTTGCTTCGCAAGACGATTTTCCCTATGGGCTTGCTTCGCAAGACGGAAACGTCTTGCAAGTTTGTTTCCTTTTTCTTAAAACTGTTAATACAGTTGCGACTTGACTTCGAGGAGCAACTCATAGCATGCGGTGTGGTAGCCTTTTTTGAGGTTTTTGAAGACTTGTGATTTTTGAAGCTTTTCCAAAACTTTTCCGACACCGTGCTTCGCAAGATGAAAAAACCGCAAGACGAAAAAACTCGCAGAACGAATTAATTTCGTCTTGCGAGGCACCACTGTATTGTATATTTTGGGTGCTAATATCACAGCATCTTTGGTTTAACAGAGAACATAAGATATACTACCTTAGGCCCCTACAGATCTGGGATAAGGAGGGGTTCCCACTTCAATGGGTGGTATTTCCAAGCAGGTTTGAACTTTGGCACCAAATTTCTTTTTAAAAAGGCACTGATTATGTATTCCTTTCTCTAAAGCAACCTCCCCCAACCTGGTATCCTCCAGTTTTGCACTACAATTCCCATCAGCCTCTGCTGGCACTGTCAATGGTCTGGGATGGTGGGAGTTGTAGACCAACAACATCTGAAGGACACTAGGTTAGTTAAAAGCTCTAAAGGCACCCTGGGTGACAAAGATGTAACAGCACAGGTTGAAAATTCTCAACATTTCTTCCAGTACATCACCAGTCTCCAACCCAACCCAAATGGAGGCCCATAGTTTACAGCAGGGGTGGAGAACTTCTAGTCCCTAAGCATAATTAGCAGGGGTACATTTTTGTAAACCACTTTGAGGTGGGTTTTGTTTGTTTTTTACATTCGATCAGTATAGAATTTTAATGAAATAAATAATAAGGTCTGTGAGGCCTCATTTGGCCCACAAGACTCTTTCAGCCAAGCCATGCCTGCCCGCCCTACATCAAGTGTTGACCAGGTAAAAACATGGCTCAACCGAAAGGGGTTTTGAGGCACTGTCAATCAGTGGAATGGTGGTGCCTGAAATATCCTAAGCAAACAGCTGTGTTCCGGGCTTTGCAACACCTGACAATCAGCTAATCATTGGGTCTTACGAAGCCCTATGAAAAGTGCTCTGTAAGACCCATGTGGGCAAAAGGGCCACCTGATGTAATCGTGATGTCAGTGGTCCTGCTCACTTTCCAAAGTTGGCCCGCAAGTGGTGGGAGAGAGAACACTGAGGAACAATAATAATAATAATAAATTTTATTTATACCCTGCCCTCCCCAGCCAAAACAGGGCTCAGAGTGGCTAATATCAAATATATGACATATTACCATAAAATCAAGCAATCAATTAAAATACATCCTACCTCCTAAAATCAAGTCAGAATCGGTAGGCCAAGGATTTGAAAACTGTATAAGTGCAATTTATTCAGAACAAAAGGCTAAATTAATTGTAAATAACGTGGTGACGGAAGAATTTAAGATAGAAAAAGGGACACGACAAGGTTGCCCAATCTCCCCATTGCTTTTTATATCGGTCCTGGAGGTCCTGCTGAATATGATTAGAAGGGACCAGTTGGTTAAAGGTGTACAAGTCGGAGCTAAACAGTACAAGTTGAGAGCATTTGCTTAGTATTGATGTTACAGGAGCCAGAATCTAGTACTAAAAGGGTTTTGGAACTGATTCAAGAATTTGGTCAGGCTGCAGGATTTAAACTGAATAAGTTAAAAACTAAGGTTTTAGAGAAAAATCTAACACCGATTGAGAGAGAGAGGTTTCAGAATGAGACAGGTTTAACAGTGGTTATGGCCGAAATATTGGGAAATTTTGGAACAAGAGGGAGATAGACTGAAATTGCAGAGTTTTGAGAAATTAAAAAACAAAGTGCGAGACTGGCTTCATTATTATCAAATGTTCACCAGAAAGAGCCCACTCCTGCCCTCTAGGTAATTAGTTCCATTATCGAACTGCTCTCATTGTAATATTGTCATGTTTACATTAGGCGGTTTCATAATACAGTATTTGTATCTGAGAAAGGAACTCCTCCAGCACTGGAGCTCTGGGCACTGACTGGAAGCTGTCTATTTGGCATTTTACTACAAAAGCCGAAGAAAGTTAAGAACACAGGAATAAAAATGAGACCGTGAACAGCCCCAAACAAGATCACCAGAAACATTATCTTAAAAAAGGTTCTGAAGATGTAAGAGGATGCCATGGAGAGTACAATAACTCCCAAGATAGTGGAAATAGCTCCCTGTGTAACAGGGTAGCCAAGGTGGTACAAAGCATCCACAGCCTTGTCATTCACTTTGTGTTTCTCACTGGCAACAAAATTATAAGAAATATGGGCTGAGAAGTCTACTGAAAACCCTATGCAAATTACAAGGTTAATCATGGATATGGAATCAAGATTCACATTCCAGAAGGACATGAAACCAGCTACACCGACAATAACAGAGGCAATAGCAAAGGTTACCCACAAAGAACAAAGAGGATTGGGAATGAGTAGTAAGGAAATGAGTAACATGGCTCCAGCAGCAATCACAATAGCTTGAACCGTGTCCTGAGCGATCACAAGATATTGATCAAAGTATATAAAAGCTGGATGATAAACCATTAACGGTACCTTGCAGTCCTTAGCAAGACCTCTCAGCTCATTTAAAAGACTCCTCTCATCCACTGCAGTAGTAACATTGACTGTCTGTATGAAAAAACGTGATGCTATTATTTCTGTAGCAATAACATAAACATCCCACTTGAAGTCTGGATTAATCCCAAAAAGGGTGGCTAAATTGTCAATGAAAAGCCTACGGTCATCTATATTGAAAGACATACGTTTAGCGACATCTTGGTAAGTTCTCAACCAGGACACTGATAAATTCTTGTTGACGTAGGATGAGCTTTCTAGTGCATTCATACAGTTTTCAAGATCTGCACGGACAGATGAATCCCAATAAGCTTTGCTTTCAGTAACAACCACCATAACCCTTGGGCCGTATTCTGAAAAATATTCCTTTTCCCATTCATAATACTGGATGACATAAGAATTGTCACTAGCTAGATTTCGAAGATCTATACCTTCTTTGACTTGAGTGCAGCCAAAAATACTACTACCCAAGTACATGAGATAAAGGACTACCACAAGCACTTTGGTCCAGCTGTGCATAAGGAAGGGACCGTAATACTTTCTAAAGAATCCATTCATGGGGTGTTCAGTCTCTGCTCCAGTGGACTCATCAAAAGACCCTCCTACACAGCACATGTTATATGTGCAGCCCTGAGAGTCCTGAGGCTCATTGTTCACTTTCATGAATGTGAGCCAGTGTCTGTTGCTTTCTTCTCGTCTCCCATTTAAAGCAAGAACGGCCCCCAAGAATGTCAGGTTGTATAAGTAGCAGAACACAAAGGCTGTTCCTGTATAGATGCAAAATGCCTGAACGGACTGGAATGGAGTTGCAATTCCAATGTAGAAGGCTAACACGTCTGTGAGGGTTGTGATGGTAATGGATACAGCTGCTTTTCCGTAGGTGTCAGCCATTCGCTCTCTGACACTGTCCTTCACTTTAGTCTGCTGCCAGCAAGACACCAGGATGAACATGTCATCAACACCAACCCCTGAAGAACGGCAAATATATAACATATTAGTTCCTATATGTCATGCGAGAAGAGAAATACAGTGATATCTTGAAACTCGAATGGCTTGGCTCCCCAAAAATACGGCTCCTTAACGCCGCAAACCCGTAGATATGTAAGAGAATTTTCACCCATCATGATTCTTAAATATATTAATGAAAAGCCCAATGGAGAAGTCAGGAGGAATGTGTACATTTGCTCACTTACCAAGGATAAGAAATGGCGAATTTGCAACTGTGACAACAAACGGCACCCCACAAAAGAGCAGCAATCCAAAGCTGCTGACGACAGATAAGCCTGCTGACAGCACCCCAAAAGCTGCAACCCACACTTTTGTCCGTACACAGTCCAGCCTGGAAAACAGATTAAGAAGATTCTAATTCGATTCAGAGTATCACGGTACACGTGCTAATCCCCCCTCCCACTGAACCAAGCTAAACCTGTTAGCACCAAATGGATCGGCTATGCATGCACTGAAGCTGTGTGAAGCTCTGTTTTGAAGCCCTAGCTGCACAAAATATCTCAGAAAAGGATGCAAGCTTCCAAGCTCCCCAGAATGCTTCATCAGCTAGACAGTAAACAAACTAAGGAGGGGGGAGAACAAAGTTGGCTGTTGGTAAGGCCATTGAGTCTGCATTCTTCGATGGAATGTGGGAAAGATGGCAGACATTCAGGTGAAGCTTGGTAGATCTACTACCTCCTCCTAATAAATAATAATAATAATAATAATAATAATAATAATAATAATAATAATAATTTATTTCTACCCCGCCCATCTGGCTGGGTTTCCCCAGCCACTCTGGGCGGCTTCCAACAGAAGGTTAAACATACATTAAAACATCAATCATTAAAAACTTCCCTAAACAGGGCTGATTTCAGATGGCTTCTAAATGTCATATAGTTTATTTCTTTGACATCTGATGGGAGGGTGTTCCACAGGGCGGGTGCTACTACCGAGAAGGCCCTCTGCCTGGTTCCCTGTAACTTCGCTTCTTGCAGGGAGGGTACTTCCAGAAGGCCCTCGGCGCTGGACCTCAGTGTCCGGACAGAGCAATGGGGGTGGAGACGCTCCTTCAGGTATCCAGGACCAAGGCCGTTTAGGGCTTTAAAGATCAGCACCAACACTTTGAATTGTGCTCAGAAATGTACTGGGGGCCAATGTAGGTCTTTCAAGACCAGTGTTATGTGATGGCCACTCCCAGTCACCGGTCTAGATGCCACATTCTGGATTAGTTGGGAGTCTCTGGGTCACCTTCAAAGGTAGCCCCACATAGAACGCGTTGCAGTAGTCCAGTAGATAACTAGAGCATGCACCACTTTGGCGAGACAGTCTGCGGGCAAGTAGGGTCTCAGCCTGTGAACCAGATGGAGCTGGTAGACAGCTGTCCGGGACTCAGAATTGACCTGCACCTCCATGCACAGCTGTGAGTCCAAAATGACTCCCAGGCTGTGCACCTCCTCCTTCACAGACACAGTTGCCCCATTCAAGACCAGGGAGTCCCCCATACACTCTCACAAAATGAAAAGATAAAAATTATTTCCCTTTCCTCAGCAATTACCTTGAGCATGAGATAATTGAGAAGGTTATTGTTAAGGTATACGTGATGGAAAACAAAGGGACCACTTCTTTAGTATTTTTTTCAAACTCTTCTTGTCTGGACAATGAAGTAAAATAAGCCACCTGCCATGGGGGGGGGGGAGAAGAGAAGGTCACATGTTAAATATTTTCTCTCTTAATATATAAATCTAAATGCTCACAAGAGTATAAAGACAGGGTGCAATTAGCAGAATATAAGTGGGACCTGAAATAAATTTTGCAGCATGGAGTGTTCCTGTACAGGGACCCAAGATAGAAAACAATAAAAACATCCTTAAAACAATTCCAATACAGATGTAGACTGGGAAAGATCTCTACTTGCTAAGAGCAAGGTTCTTCAGGAGGCACTTAAAAGACAGCCGATACAGCGTCTGTGTAATATTCAAGCAGTGGGGGGTAATTCCAAAGGACAGGTGTCACAGCACTAACGGCCCAAGTCCTACATTGTGAGGAACAGACCTCCTGATCAGGTGGTATCTGCTGGAGGCCCTCAGTGACTTGACTTGCCATATAAGGGGTGAGGTGCTCTTTCGAATAGCCCTTCCTAAACAGTGCACGACTTCATACACCAAGGCTTCAAGTTAGCCAGCCCTGCCCTCTTTGAGAATAATTCATTTCACTCCGCATCCCATTGGACACTCAACATTCTGAGGCCGTCCAGCAATTCTCAGTCTTCATTAAGCTGCTTGGTTGGGTTGGCTGAACAAAGTCTCTAATGCCTCAAGTCACCAATGTGTGCACAGACAATGACTGGCAGAAGCTTCAGCTTAGCACCACTGTCTGGCTTCAAACTTCTAGAGACAGCCACGAGTTTACATAACTTTTAAACGGGATTAAACAAATCCACGGAGGATAATAATACCGATGGCAACCAGCCATGATGCTATTCCATGTCTCCAGCTTCAGAAGCAGCATGCCTCTAAGTAATGTAAAGGGACTGCTGACCATTAGGTCCAGTCGTGGATGACTCTGGGGTTGTGGCACTCATCTTGCTTTACTGGCTGAGGGAGCTGGCGTATGGCCAGCATGACTAAGCCGCTTCTGGCGAACCAGAGTAGCGCACGGAAACGCCGTTTACCTTTCCGCCGGAGTGGTACCTATTTATCTACTTGCACTTTGACGTGCTTTCGAACTGCTAGGTGGGCAGGAGCAGGGACCAAACAACAGGAGCTCACCCTGTCGCGGGGATTCAAACTGCTCGGTAAGCCCTAGGCTCTGTGGTTTAGACCACAATGCCACCCATGTCCCTTATGCCTCTAAGTACCAGAGTGAGTTCTGTTTAATAGGGTGAGAGGGTAAATACATGCTAATGAATGAAAAGCTGCAACAGACTAACCCAAATGGAATAAAACTTACTGTCTGGAGCAGTTCCTTTACTTTTCTCCTGGATGCAAAGAGGCATATTAATAGCCTTACACTGAACAGTGTTACTGGCTCCAGTACTCAAACCACATAGTGGTGGGGGGAGGGGGGAGGGAGAGAGAGAGAGAGAGAGAAAGGGTGGAACTATTCAGGCCTGGGTAGCACAGATAAGCAGAACTAGTTGCACTAATAACCACCCTAGCTGAGAAAACAGATACAGTACAAATTTTGCTTGGGCTTGTTAGCCGACTCTCATTTTTAGCAGCCAGTGAGGTTCTGCTTTCTGTTCTACAAATGCTAAGGGAGCAGGTCCTTTTTTGTTTTCATTTTTGCAAAGAAGGGGGAGGGGTTCCTATGGGTGAGGAGCTGTGGGTCGAATGATATGCATTTCGAACAAATCAGCCCATCACACTGACATAATCTGGCGGAGGTGTTGCTAAAGGTTAATTCAGGGCACCAAGCTTTTTGCAGTGGGGCCCAAATCTCATTCCCCTTGCTCCCCCTATTTAAAAATATTTTGAAAGCTTTATTTATAGTGCAGTTGGAAGTCCTGCAAAGAATATTACTGTATTCTCCAAACCCCAGTCAACCACCATATTAATTTTCTAGAGGCATCTATGCACATCAATTACATATGCAAATTATATGAAAAATTATGTGCTGGGCCTAGGCTCTGGATCATTTAAGTATTCATTTATTTATCTACATAATTTATTAATTATTTTATATCAAGGGTGGGGAACCTTTTTGACCATATCTCTCCCCATCCTACGGTCCAACTTTGACATGTGCGTAGAGGCAATTGACAGATAAGGTGGTCCTGTCAAAGTTGGCCCACGGGAACGGGGGAAGATGGTGCCCAAGCAGAACTGAAGTCCCAATGCATCAGCTGATGGGCGGTCAGCTGATCTAGCCCTATCTCTACCTGCCCTGTGCCTGACATCACATGTGACATCAGATGTAGGGCAGGTGGGTATGGTTTGGGTAAAATGGCCTTATGGGCCAAATGGTGAAGCATGGCAGGCCAAATTTGGCCCATGGGCTCAAGGTTTTCTGCCCCTGATTTACATCCAAGCATGTCCAAGCTGTGCACAAGTAGTAATTCAGGAAACAGCATAAAAGGATAAAATCCATTTTTAAAACCTAGAGATTGACACAAGGCATAGTAATAATGTGCATCATTTTGAAAGAGGCACTCCTTGGCATTCTTGCGTTGCCAGAGATGCTGCAATAGCTTGTTTACTAATTACTTACTAAAATTAAATGTTTGGCCTCCACTGAATGCCTCCACTTGCTGATGCAGGTGCGTTAGACATGGGGAACCTCTGACCCTAGTGGTTTGACTTCAGATCCTGTTCGCTCCAGTAAGCATGGCAGGCAGCATGCATCAGGCAGACACAGAGATTCATATCGGTCACATTCCGTAACGTGGGAAGCGGCTCCATCGTGCCAGGAGACGCTTACCTGGATGGTTGCGAGGTTCAAGGATTTCACCACGCCCGGGATGCGCTCCAGAAACGTCCGGAGCCAGAGCGCGCTGCCGTTTCTGCGAGAAGCCTCATCCTCCTGCAAGTAGTAGAAGAGGCGCAGCGCTTTGGCTGCCCGGACGGGGCGCGCCGGCCCATCCCCGGGGCCCAAGTCGAGGCCTCCCAGAAAGGGGGGCAGGAAAAGGGGGTTGGCAGTGAGCGGAGGGACGTAGAGCGGGAAGGTGAGGTCGGGCAGCAGCGCCTCGATGCGCGACCCGCCTTGCACCAAGCTGAGCAGCGGGTTGGCGCTGCTGCAGTTGTGGCCGGGGCTGCTCCGCGCGCAGAGCTGGGCGAAGGGGAGCGCGGCGCCGTCGGGGCTGCGGAGCCCCCGCACCGCCTGGTCCAGCGCCAGCAGCTCGGCGAAGGCCTCCCGGGTGAGGAGCGAGCCTCCGCCGCGGGCCACGGCCAGGAGGGAGGCGAAGGAGCCCTCGGTGCTCAGCCTCTCGGCGGAGAAGCGCCGCGCGTCGTCGGTGGGGAAGTGCGCCTGCACGAAGCGCCGCTCGCCCTTGGCGGGGCCCCCGAGCGGCGTGAACTGGCCCTCGATGTCGTTGTCCTCCAGGCTGCTCAGGAACGCGAAGCCGGCGCCCAAAGCGGCCGAGAGCGCCACGGGCACGAGCAGGAAGGGCCACGGGTGCGCGCCCACCTGGGCGCCCAGGGCCCGCAGCGCGCGCGACAGGGGCCTCTCCACGCAGTCCGTGTGGCAGTCGAGGCGCGCCATCGCCTCCTTTCCTGGAACTTTTTCTATTTCTCCTCACAGCGGCGAAGAGAGCCGGACTCAGGACGGAATTAAGACCGTTATCCGAGTAAGCCAGGCGTAGGGCAGCCCGGCCCCACTTAGCACGAGTTTCTGAAACATCTCGAAAAGGGGGAATTGAGCGGGAAAAGATGGTAAAAATGGCCGCTGGGCGGAGGTTCGCCGTCCGGGAAACGCCCATCCGCTAACCGCCTCAGAAGTCGGTTGGGGGGGGGATTCTGAGGGAAACCCCCTTCAGCGAAGGCATCAGTTTCTTGTTTGCAATCTGGCTGCTATGTCTGAGGGAAACTCCAGAGAAAATCCAGAACGAGAGGGCCCAGTGCCTTTTTAAGCCAAGATGCAATGAAAGTGATCTTTTAACCAGTAACCCGTTTAACTGGGAATTTCCTTCTCGACAGTCTTTTTTCCGCAAGGGAGGGCGACCTGCGGCTCTCCAGATGTGCTTGATGACTGGCCGTTCTGGAGAGGGAGTCCTAACATCTGGAGGGCCACTGGTTCCCCACAGTTAATCTAGGTTGTGTTTAGAAAAACAGATGCATATATACCATATTTTTCGCCCCATAGGATGCACTTTTTTCCCTCCAAAAATGAAGGGGAAATGTGTGTGCGTCCTATGGGGCGAATGCAGGCTTTTGCTGAAGCCTGGAGAGCGAGAGGGGTTGGTGCGCACCGACCCCTCTCGCTCTCCAGGCTTCGCGCACCGGGCTCCCACGGCTTGCAGAGAGTTGCCTGTTCTGGGGTCGGGGGAAGCTCGGGTTTCCCCCGCGCCTGGGGGGAAAATAAATCCCCCCCCTTTATTTCCCCCCCAAAAAACTAGGTGTGCCTTATGGGATGGTGCATCCTACAGGGCGAAAAATACGGTACTATATTGTTACAGACCGGAACCATTTGTTATCCTCAGCAAACTTAGCCGCTTCCCTGTTCACCCCCAATTCCAGATCAGTGTGAACTGGTTAATTTATTTTTCCTCACTTCACATAAGCTTTCCTGCTTACAAGGAGGAGCAAGTACTTATTCAGGACATTGAAATTCTGCTACCTATACACACCCTTCGGAGTCCTGTGGCATTAGAGGCATCACCAGAGATCATCCACACATTTTCAAGCCTGTCTTTGCAACCCTAACAACTGGAACATTTCCAGGGGAAAAAGAAGCTGAAAATATAAAGGCGCCAAGTAATGCATTTGCATTTTTTGTGTTTGCACGGCACAATCGCAGTACTAGCCAGATTCCCTTGATTTGCTAGCTCATCATCATTTGGATGAGCTCCAGCCTAATGAAATGCTGGATCAGGGAGAAAGTTGGGTTATTCTTTCAGTCCTTCCAAGAATTTTACTATGCAAGCTGGTGTATCTTTCAAAGACTGTGTTCACACTTCTGTTTACTGTACACTTGCCGCATTTCCAGTGCAGAGTTTTTAATTCATGTTCCCATGACATGTTATGTATTTTGTACTCCATTATAAAATATTGCTGACTGGAGTCCTTAAGCCACTCCTAATTTGTCTCTCCTGCCATCAGCACCCTCAAAGAGAAACAAATCTGACAGTAATGAAGCTGTCCTGATGAGAACAGTTGAAGGCAGAAAGAGGCATGAAACACACTGGCGGGGGGACGACGACAACAACAACTTACCGTATTTTTCGCTCTATAACACGCACCCGACCATAACACGCACGTAGTTTTTACAGGAGGAAAACAAGGAAAAAAATATTCTAAACGAAACAGTGGATGTATGATTTTTGTGGTTCATGCTGTGGCCAGAGACATGTGATCTGACAGTGAGTTTGGACTGGCCCAATGCAAAAATCCTGAGGATCCATGTGGATCCATGCTTTGTAACCACGTTTTTGCACCACTGCAGCCCCAGGCAACAGTGGGTGCGTGATTTTTTTGGTGCAAGATGTAGCCATGGACATGCTATATGATCTGATGGTGAATTTGGGGTGATCCAGTGCAAAAATCCTGAGGATCCATGTGGATCCGTGCTTTGTAACCACGTTTTAAGTGGGGAGGGAAGGAAAAGCACTCAAGGGACAAGGAGCATGCATGGGGTGTGTGGAGAAGGATGCTGCTAATAATGCAGAAGAAGGGTTTAAGGGGAGAAGAAGCAGGCGTGGGATGGGTGGAGAAGGATGCTGCTAATAATGAAGAAGAGGGGTATAAGGAGAGAAGGCTCCTCTCCTCTCCTGCTTTGCTCCTTTAAAGCAAGCAGGCTCTGCTTTTCTCCCTCCTCCCCGCTCACCCTCAGCTTAGCGAGCTGAAAAACTTTGCTGCTATTTAGCGAGCTGAGTGGAGAGGAGAGAGGGACAGAGAGCCTGCTTGCTTTAAAGGAACCAACCGGACAGGAGCCGCTTACACTCGTATAAGCGGCTCCTCTCCTCTCCCGCTTTGCTCCTTTAAAGAAGCAGGCTCTCTGTCCCTCTCTCCTCCCCACTCCGCGGCTCTTCTCCCGCTTTGCTGTTTCAAAGCGAGCCACAGAGGAGGGAAGGAAGGGGAACCATGGATCCTCTGCTCACGACTGCAGCAGATCCCCCCCGCCACCCGTAGGCATTCCCTCCATAACACGCACAGACATTTCCCCTTACTTTCTAGGAGGAAAAAAGTGAGTGTTATGGTGCAAAAAATACGGTAATAGCACTCTGAGGCAGGAATGTGAACACACCCCAAGTATTAAAAAAATTGTATTTTACTTTCAGTTTTACTTCTTATGCACATGACCTGATTGTTTAAGGAACTTGCTTGCTGCTGCATCTGCTGTTTTGATAGTATTTAGCTCCTTCTGATAAAAAAAATTAATGATGGGTGTGCCACGTATAAATATATATATATTTTAAAAGCTTGCTGAAGACCAGCTAGGATCCAGAAGAGCAAAAAGGCACAGTTCTTTAAAGCTAGCACTAAGAAGATTTCACAGAGGTTGAATGAAGCAGTTTCGGAATAAACTGTGGGGAGAAACTGCAGATTCACAAGAGTTCATGAATCTAGAAATGATTATAATTATGTGATTGCCAAGCAAGTTCTGTTCAATGCCACAGTGAAGGGTTTTTGGGTGAAACGTAATTTGGGACACAAGTAAGGCTTATATGAGGGGCTTCGGGATACAACAAATAAATGGCATGGAAAAATAAAAGAAAGGAAAATAATATTCAAGAAATAATAAGACAGATAAGAGACAAAATGAATTGATCAAAAACCCCAAAAATGAAAAAGTAAGCCAAAAATAAAGATCTTACAATCACATATTTCCAACTTATTAAAATAAGGAAGTAGAAAGTAAAATAAAATGCATGAGACAAAATATATTTTGAATTGGCCAATAAAGCCAGCAGGATGCTGGCTTGGTTAATAAAAGAAAAACAAATAGAATCATAAACAAAATAATAGATCAAGGAGAAGAAACTACTGACCCGGAAAAAATTAAACAAAGTTTTATAAATTACTACAAAAAGCTGTATAAAACAGAGTTTAAAGATTAAAACAAAATAAAAAGAGTATTTGTTACAGAATAATTTACTGTCAATATTAGAAGAAGAATATAAATATTTAAATGCCGACACAGAAATAGAAGAAACTGCAATTAAAAAGATGACAAACGGGAAATCGCCAGGTCCTGGCGAAATTTCAATGAGAATCATGTATGTATAGACATAATGTATGGATCACAGAATTTTACATGTACCACCTGCTTCCCCTAAAATATTGCAAAGAATCATGGCAACAGCACAATGATGAACAAATGTGAGTGATCCAGGAGACCACCCAGAAACTTATTAAGAGGTGTATAAATCACCTAAGTAAATACATAAATCTATATTTTAACTGGGGCTGCATTATCTTTCTCTCATGTGCTAAAGAGAGCAAGTAAGGACACAGAGGAGAGCAAAATTTCCAAACATTCCTTGGCTTCCCATCAGCTGGAAAATGTAGCCACGGAAATTTCCTTACTATGCAACAGACTGCCCCAGCTCGACATACTAAAATCATATGCCTTTCATGCTATAAATATAAATGAACCGCATCTGCGCACCTAGTTACCATATATGCTAACAATCAATATAAGATGTTGATTAGCAATAGCTCTTACTGATTCTCCAGATTTAATTCTATTTAATTCTTGTCACCTAGGCAGTCCAGGGCCCCTATGCACACTGCCCAGGCATTCACCCTGGGGAGATCACTAGGTGATGTGACTTCAGACCCAGAGGTGCACTTGATAGTCTCTGGAGACAGATAGATGCCAACAACAGTTCCTCCAACAATAAATTCCACAATGCTTTGAAGTTGTAAAAGATATGGAACAGTAGGTAGAGAAATAAATGTCGTGACAAAATCATTCCCATATTTCTGCTGTAGTTGGTTAAGATAATTAAATAGCAACTATAATTCTCTGTGTGCTTGTTTTTTAAAATAAAAACCATGTTTAGGACTCTCTAAGATGATGTACTTTCAACACATATGGAAAAATCTGCAGGCCTCACTAAAGCTGAAAAGGAAAAAAAAAGGGTTTTGTTTTTGTCAAAATCCAGAGGAAGAAAAATAAAAGCCAAAGCCTTAAAACGGTTCAGAAAAATAAATCTTCCTGAAATCTTTAGTCTCAAAGTCTCTGACAATCTTTAAATGAAGCGAGGTACCAGACTTTGTACGATGAAAGACAAGCTGTGAAGTTTTGTGTATTCAGCAAATATGATGTCTAACACTGAACAGTGATTCCGGATATTGACTACTGTTACGTAGAATTCTTCATCAGCGTGGTTAGTAGCACATTGTTAGTAGCACGTTGTTAGTAGCAGTGACTACATTATTACATGTACAACTCCCATAAACCCCGTTGCCCCGTGTGTCATAACCATGCTGGATGGGGCTGATGGTCATAGAATCATAGAGTTGGAAGAGACCACAAGGGCCATCGAGTCCAACCCCCTGCCAAGCAGGAAACACCATCAGAGCACTCCTGACGTATGGTTGTCAAGCCTCTGCTTAAAGACCTCCAAAGAAGGAGACTCCACCACACTCCTTGGCAGCAAATTCCACTGTCGAACAGCTCTTACTGTGAGGAAGTTCTTCCTAATGTTGAGGTGGAATCTTCTTTCTTGTCGTTTGGATCCATTGCTCTGTGTCCACTTCTCTGGAGCAGCAGAAAACAACCTTTCTCCCTCCTCTATGTGACATCCTTTTATATATTTGAACATGGCTATCATATCACCCCTTAACCTCCTCTTCTCCAGGCTAAACATGCCCAGCTCCCTTAGCCGCTCCTCATAAGGCATCGTTTCCAGGCCTTTGACCATTTTGGTTGCCCTCCTCTGGACACGTTCCAGTTTGTCAGTGTCCTTGAACTGTGGTGCCCAGAACTGGACACAGTACTCCAGGTGAGGTCTGACCAGAGCAGAATACAGTGGCACTATTACTTCCCTTGATCTAGATGCTATACTCCTATTGATGCAGCCCAGAATTGCATTGGCTTTTTTAGCTGCCGCGTCGCACTGTTGGCTCATGTTAAGTTTGTGGTCAACCAAGACTCCTAGATCCTTTTCACATGTACTGCTCTCAAGCCAGGTGTCACCCATCTTGTATTTGTGCCTCTCATTTTTTTTGCCCAAGTGCAATACTTTACATTTCTCCCTGTTAAAATTCATCTTGTTTGTTTTGGCCCAGTTCTCTAATCTGTCAAGGTCGTTTTGAAGTGTGATCCTGTCCTCTGGGGTGTTAGCCACCCCTCCCAGTTTGGTGTCATCTGCAAATTTGATCAGGATGCCCTTGAGTCCATCATCCAAGTCGTTGATAAAGATGTTGAATAAGACCGGGCCCAAGACAGAACCCTGTGGCACCCCACTAGTCACTCTTCTATAGCCTTATGAGGCTTTGCCCTCGGGTGGGAAAAATATTGCGCCTGGGAAAGGGAAGTGGGAGTCAACAGACACTCAAGGAATAGTTTTGGAGAAAAGGGTTTTTATTTCTACCATTCATGAACTGGTAGAAGGAGCAAGTGTGATAGTTCACAAAAAGCATGCACAAGTTCACAGTCATGTGCACAAGCATATATACCCATTTCCAGTTCCCTCCCCCTTTCTCCTCCCTCAGGAGTCCTTCCCATGAGTTCCTCTGAGCATGAACAGAAAGCTGTCTTGGGACTATTGGACTCTTCCCAGGAAAGGGGAATGAGAGTGGTTCAGCATGTCCAAGAAGTTGCAACTAGGATAAGATTCATTTCCCAGGCCTGCTATGAACAGAGCCTATTCATTAGCCTTTAAAAGTAACATTTTGCCTTTTGCCACGGCATCTTGTGAGAAGAGCAGAGAAAAGCTGTTTTGGATTTTTAGAAGACAAAAGGAGTTTTGGACAGTTTTGAGGCCTGGTGTGATTATTGAAGCCTGGGGTGATTTCACAGACAGGATTTAGGTATTCTGTCCCTTCAGTGGGAGTTGTAGTCCCAAACATCTGGAAGGCACCAGGTTCAGAAAGGCTGGTCTAAAGTGCTGTTTCATTTCCTAATTAGGTAAACTTAGTTCATAGGGGCATAGAAAAGGGAATATATCACATGCAAAATCATCCAAGCTTTTGTAATATGCCACATCTAATTTTGTTTTGTTTCCTAAGAAAAGATCCTTGCTTGTTTCATTAATATAGCAGCAGTATGGGATTTTATCACTTCCTATGTATTATATTTTTATCCTACTTCTCCATTTTAAACATTTGTTGCAAAATAATAAAATGCCCCTTTTGATTTGGTTATTAGCAACCTTCTTCACAAAATGAAGGTTCCTCATCTTGTGTCTTTGAGGTGCATCACCAACCAAAGCATGTTGGCATGTTATTATTTTACAAAGATCAATGATTTCATGAGGATTTAGTTTTATGAACCATTTTGAATCATCTTCTTTTGCTTCTTTTGTTTTTGGTGTTTTCCCTTTTACTTTTGCAGCTTTACCTGGAGTGGCTGGTTTTTCCATGTGTGATGGAATTATATCATGAACATGGTTATTAAAAACAAGCACACATAGAATTATAGTTCCTATTTAATAATTTGAGCCAACTTCAGCAGAAACATGGGACTGATTTTCATCACGGATACCGGTATGTGTTTCTCTACCTACTGTTCCACATCTTATTTTAAAACTTTGAAGTATTGTGGAATTTGTTTTTGGAGGAATCGGACTTGGAGGAAGGGATCAATTTCCTTCATCTTCATCTGTCGCCATCTTGGTATAAGGAAACATTTTTTCTATTTACGGATTTATTCTAGGCATAACCAAATTTTGCTTGTTGAACCTTGTCTCATTAGATAAGTGTTAAAGCATTCCGACTCCTTTTGAATTACATTGATTGGTTTATTCCTTAATGATTCGGTCATTTTTGCGAGTTCCAAGTACTTGCTTAACTTTACTTCCCATTCTTCTCTAGTAGGGATCTGTTCACTTTTCCAGTACATGGCTACCAGTACCCCAGCTGCCGTCACTACGTATAGAAATAATATTGTTCTTTCTTTTGGGATATCCTTGGTTAAAATCCCAGGAAGGAATGCTTCTGGTTTTCTGGGAAATGTGAATGTTAATAGTTTTTCCATTTCTTCATAGATCGTGCCCCAGAATTTTTAAATTCCTGGGCACAACTACCAGACATGAAAGAAGGTTCCCACTTGTGATTTACATCTCCAACATTTGTTATTGTGGCTTTTGTTGATTTTCGCCAGTTTTACCAGGGTTAAATACCACATGAACTGCATTTCCATGAAGTTTTCTTTAATTTGGTGACATGCCGTGAATTTTAATTTTATCTTCCATAGCTTCCTCCATTTTTCTAATTCTATCAGATGACCTAGGTCTTGTGCCCACTTTTTCATTACATCTTTTATTTCTTTGTCTTTTAAATTCCAATTTAAGAGTAGCCTATACATTTTTGAAAGTTTTTGTTATTATTTTGTAATCATTCTTTCTCTAAATTTGAGGTTTTGTTATTGAATCCTTTCATTTTTTGTCTTTTTCTAGGGCTGCATATAGCTGGTGGTATTCTAGCCAGGTTATTCCTAACTTTTTTAACTCTTCATGTTTCTTCAATTTAGGGCAGTTGTTTTGTTCTTCTACTAAGTCCCTATAAACTGGCCAGTTATTCCTCGTGTGTTTTTGTTTGTGTGCGTATTGCTGTTGCTTCGATAGGTGAGAGCCACCATGGGGTTTTCAGTTCAGTAGTGGTAGATATCTTTCCCATACAGTGTACAGGGCTTTCCTCACTATATGATTTAGGAATCCTCTATGGTTCCTAACTTTGTCATGTCCTAAATAACCATGCCAACCATAGACATTGTCCCAGCCCTCTATGTCCAATATTTCCGTATTTTTTTAACAACATCCAATCTTTGATCTAGGTCAGACTTGACGCTTCGTAATATAATTTAAAATCTGGGACTGCAAAGCCTCCTCTATCCATAGTCTTCGTTAATAGTTTAAATTTTATTCGTGGCTATCCCCCCGCAAGATAAATTTTGCAAGGTCTTTCTGCCAGTCTCTAAAACATTTAACCCCATTAATGATTGGTATAGTTTGAAATAAAAATAACATCTTTGGAAGTATTGTCATTTTGATTATTGACATCCTTCCCCACCAAGACAAATTTAGCCTTCCCCAGGTCTCCAAATCTTTTTATTTATTTGTATAAGTTTATATTTTTGTTTGTAATCCAAACGCCCAAATAGTTCACTTGGTTATTTTTAATCCTGTTGCTCATTCTAGTTCTTTCTGCTCTTTTTTGTTTATATTTTCCACTAATAATTTGGATTTATCTTTATTTAGTTTGAACCCCGAGACTTTCCCAAATTAATTCATTTTTAAAATGGTTTCCTGTATATTCTCGGCCGGATTTTCAGTGGTTATGATGACATTGTCTGCGAAGGCTTTAAGCTTGTAATACCTATTTCCTAAATTGATACCTGGTATTTTTGGTTCATTCCTTATGGCTGTTAATAAAGTTTCTTGTATAGTAATAAACAAAAGCGATGACAGAGGGCATCCTTGTCTTGTTCCTTTTTAAATGTTGAACTCTTCCGTAATTTCATTATTTATAATTAATGTTGCTTTCTGATTGGCGTATATAGCTTTGATTCCGTTAATTATCTTGTTTCCTAGTCTCATTCCTTCGATAGTTTTCAATAGGAAATCCCATGAAGCACTATCAAAGGCCTTTTCAGCATGTAAGATTGTGTGATCCATACATTATGTCCCTGCTTTCCCTAAAATATTGCAAAGAATCATGGCTACAGCACAATGATGAACAAATGTGAGTGATCAAGGAGCACCACCCAGAAACTTATTAAGAGGTGTACAAATCACCTAAGTAAATACATAAATCTGTATTTTAACTGGGGCTGCATTATCTTTCTCTCATGTGCTAAAGAAAGCAAGTAGAGACACAGAGGAGGGCAAAATTTCCAAACATTCCTTGGCTTCCCATCAGCTGGAAAATGTAGCCACGGAAATTTCCTTATTATGCAACAGACTCTGCCCCAGCTCAACATACTAAAATCATATGCCTTTCATGATATAAATATAAATGAACCGCATCTGCACACCTAGTTACCATATATGCTAACAATCAATATTCTACTAAGTCCCTATAAACTGGCCAGTTATTCCTCGTGTGTTTTACATGTAATAATGTAGTCACTGTTACTAACAATATTTTTTGAACAACATATAAAGTCAACTACAGGTGGTATATGAGCACTGTTCCACAGCATTTGATATTTTCATTTACATACATTCATTCTAAATATGATGGGGTATGTACTCTTTTTCATTACTGTTTGTATTATAATTTATAATTTTTGTAAAGTGGTATGTGCATGCAGGTCATCGTCTGTAAAATTTTATTTTCAGTTTAGGAAGCAATTCTATATCCTCCCACCACGCTGACGAAGAATTCTACGAAACAGTAGTCAATATCTGGAAGCACTGTTCAGTGTTGGACATCATATTTGCTAAATACACAAAGCTTCACAGCTTGTCTTACATCGTACAAAGTCTGGTACCTCGCTTCATTTAAAGATTGTCAGAGACTTGAGACTAAAGATTTCATTTAGTACTTGTTATGGTTTGAAGGAATTCTATAAAGATTGTTTATTGCATATGTACATGGTCATCGTGTTGCCTAGACATTGCTGACATACTCTTTGCAACACAGGGGTTTTGTTTGGTTACTTCCAGATTTTTCGGGCTACAACTCCCATCAGCCCCAGCTAACATGGCAGTGGGGTTTATGGGAGTTGTAGCCCAAAACATCTTAAGAGCATCAGGTTGGGAAAGACGGCTTTAAACTTCAGCAAACTACAGGGATTTAGTACAGGGAGCAGGAGACTATCTGACTTGACTAGTCCAAGCCTTCTCCCTCGCCACAAGGCAGGCCCACTTACCAAATACCCCAACCAACTCTTACCAGAAAGACCACAGCCTGCCACAAGGAGAAAATAGTTGCACTGCATGCAGAAAGCTGCTTATAAGGCAAAAAACCCAAGGTGAAATCTTCCAAATGTGAGTGATCAAGGAGCTGTGTAGGAAACCTGCTTGAATATGTTACACCTATTATCCATCTGCTATTTTTGTGCCCTTGATTGTTAATATATGTAGGCAATCCATTTTTTTATTTTAAAAAATGTTATTACAGTCTCATATATTGATAAGAGTGTTGTGAGTGCCAGAACCAAAAGGACATTTAGGCAGCCACAAAACAGGTGTTGGCACTCCATAATGATGAGTATTGCCACAAAAAACCCTATATGCAGAACAAACCAGGAGAGCAGTAACAAGTCAGATTAGTGAGCAGAAGAGCAAGATTCACATTAATATCATAGAAGCCCTATTAACTACATATATTGTCCAAACATACTCCCAAAGAGCTGAATGTTTTGTCCTAGGACAAACACTTAGTATTATATAGGTGTAAGGCTTACTGGATTTTCACTTTAAACTCTGTAAATCCTAATGGACACAATGATTTAGCCTCATACTTGTAACATCTTTTTGCAGTTAATCACATGAGAAGGTATTATCACAGCAATTATAAACTATGGCTCACAGAAGCTGAGTTTATTCTGTTTCGCCCTATGTATTATTTGAGTGAAATACTTCATCTTATAGGGGACGCGGGTGGCGCTGTGGGTTAAACCACAGAGCCTAGGACTTGCCGATCAGAAGGTCGGCAGTTCAAATCCCCGCAACGGGGTGAGCTCCCGGTGTTCAGTCCCAGCTCCTGCCAACCTAGCAGTTCGAAAGGACATCATAGTGCAAGTAGATAAATAGGCGGGAAGGTAAACGGCGTTTCTCTGTGCTGCTCTGGTTCGCCAGAAGCGGCTTAGTCATGCTGGCCACATGACCTGGAAGCTGTACGCCAGCAAGTTGAGTGAGCAACACCAGAGTCGGCCACGACTGGACCTAATGGTCAGGGGTCCCTTTACCTTTATTTACTTCATCTTAGGTAAGTGCTCTAATTGTGTTTGTGTAGATGTGTGTGTGTACACACACACACATAGATATCTGAATGTATGGAGAGGGAAAGATAGTATGTATTATTATGCTGTATTTACATAGCACATTGGACTTAAAGCTAAGAATTCATCAATGCAAAAATGCTACGTGGTAAAAAGAATTTCTTTTGGTCAGATGACAAAGCATCATATTTTTTTTGGAGAAGCAGAAGTCTGTATTCAATTGGAAAGCAAAATCTGAAAGTTGCACTCCGTGGGAACTTCCCAAGCATGATGTAATGGAAAGGTTACCATGACAAAATGATAAGCTAGCCAACTCGAAACCTTTATAAATGAAAGATGCAAGGAAATCTCAGCAGTTCTAGCACTTATAGAACCTTAGTATATGAGGACTTGCCCCCACTATGGTTATAGCTACTTAGCGAACTTCGATGTATACACAGCACAGAAGATTTCACCAGCAAACTTCAAAAAGCTGTGTACATTAAAACAACTGGAGGTGAGTCTGAATAGCCTACTGTTCTATGTATTGATGACTTTGATTGTTGTACAAGTTTACTTTACATAAGAATATTGTCTGTTCCTTCATTTTTTTTGCATTTTTATTTTAATGTTTGCAGTTTACAAGTATCTGGGACCCAAATAGTTTATTTGCTGTGGGCATGCTGGGTAAAATTTTGAAATCCTTTATATTCTAATAGCAGCACAGCTTCCTCTATTCTGTCCTTTGCATACCTCATACCTTGCAGAAGGCCTGGTTGTGCTGGATGTGGCATGCAATTTGCACCAAATGTTGTTTGAGTTCTTTTTTTACAAAATGTGGCCATAGAGGTTGCAATAGAAGAGGCTATCTGCTGTTTTACTGCTACAAAAACAGTAATAATTCCAGTTAGCTTTATATACACTAGTGGCTAAAATTGTGGAAACCTTTTTTAAAAAGCATATTTCCGAGGTTTGATGGCTCATAATGTAATGAATGATATGGTTTGAATGGACCGAAAATGGTTGAAGACCACCACCACAAAATAGATGCTGTTGATGAACTAATAATGAACTGTGTTGATCAAAAAGCTAGTGGTATGTGCATGTTCTGGCCAAGTGAACAGTACACGCAAAGAAGTGTAAAGACTGGCTATACTACACTAGTTACAAACAATGAGTGTTGTAACATGCCAAAAACATGCCAAGGATGAAGGACTGCCAAGAACATGCCAAAGAAAGGGAGAAATGCCAAGATTCAGATAAACACCAAGAAGACTACTGTATTTTTCGCTCTATAGGACTCACCGACCATAAGATGTACAGTGGTGCCCCGCAAGACGAACGCCTCGCAAGACGGAAAACCCGCTAGACGAAAGGGTTTTCCGTTTTGGAGGCGCTTCGCAAAACGAATTTCCCTATGGGCTTGCTTCGCAAGACGAAAGCCCATAGGGAAATCTCCGGGACCTCTTTTAAATGCTAGCGGTGGGGAGCAAAGCCTTCCCCCGCCGGCCTCCCGAAGCGGCCCAGGAAGGCTGGCGGGGGCCGAAAGGCTTTGCTCCCCACCGCCAGCATTTTAAAAGCAGTCCGGGATAGCAGGGAAGCGCTTCCCGCTATCCCGGACGGCTTTTGAAGGCAGGAGAGGTCCGCGAAGCCTGGGCGCGCTGATCTCAGCGCGCGCAGGCTTCGGCATGCCGGCAACTCTCCGCAAGCAGCGGCAGCGCTGCCGCTGCTCGCGGAGAGGTCCGCGGAGCCTGGGCGCGCTGATCTCAGCGCGCGCAGGCTTCCGCATGCCGGCAACTCTCCGCAAGCAGCGGCAGCGCTGCCGCTGCTCGCGGAGAGGTCCGCGAAGCCTGGGCGCGCTGATCTCAGCGCGCGCAGGCTTCGGCATGCCGGCAACTCTCCGCAAGCAGCGGCAGCGCTGCCGCTGCTCGCGGAGAGGTCCGCGGAGCCTGGGCGCGCTGATCTCAGCGCGCGCAGGCTTCGGCATGCCGGCAACTCTCCGCAAGCAGCGGCAGCGCTGCCGCTGCTCGCGGAGAGGTCCGCGAAGCCTGGGCGCGCTGATCTCAGCGCGCGCAGGCTTCGGCATGCCGGCAACTCTCCGCAAGCAGCGGCAGCGCTGCCGCTGCTCGCGGAGAGGTCCGCGAAGCCTGGGCGCGCTGATCTCAGCGCGCGCAGGCTCGGCATGCCGGCAACTCTCCGCAAGCAGCGGCAGCGCTGCCGCTGCTCGCGGAGAGGTCCGCGGAGCCTGGGCGCGCTGATCTCAGCGCGCGCAGGCTTCGGCATGCCGGCAACTCTCCGCAAGCAGCGGCAGTGCTGCCGCTGCTTGCGGAGAGGTCCGCGAAGCCTTGGCTGGACAGCTTTGAAGGCAGGTGGGGGACAAAGACTTTCGCCCCCGCCAACCTTCAGAAGAGGTCCAGGACCTCTTCTGAAGGCTGGCGGGGGCAAAGTCTTTGTCCCCCTGCCTGCCTTCCCAGGGGCTTTAAATTGCCCCGGACAGCGGAGAAGTCCTCCGCTGTCCCGGGCAATTTTAAAATGCCGCCCGCCAGCATTTTAAGATCGCCCGGACCGCGGAGAAGCCCTCCGCTGTCCCGGGGTTTTTTAAAATGCTGGGGTGGGTGGGAAGAAAAGCCCTTGTCCCCCCCCCCCAGCCTTCAGAAGAGGTCGGGGGACAGACTGTCCCCGGACCTGGTCTGAAGTCGGTTTCCCTAGGAACGCATTAATTGATTTTCAATGCATTCCTATGGGAAACCGTGCATCGCAAGACGAAAAACTCGCAAGAAGAAAAAACTTGCGGAACGAATTAATTTCGTCTTGCGAGGCACCACTGTATCTAGTTTTAGAGGGGGAGAACAAGAAAAAAAATATTCTCTCCCTCTCTGCTCAGCGTCCCTTCAGTGAAGCAGCAGGAGAAACGGAGCCCCTTCCATTTCTCCTCCCGCTTTGCTGAAGGGGTGCTGCGCAGAGAGGGAAAGCTGTGCAGCGCCTCTCCAGCGAAGCGAAGCCAGGAGAACAAAAGGGATTGGTGTGCACCAATCCCTCTTGCTCTCCTGGCTTCAGTGAAAGCAACGTGAAGCCTCTGTAGCATAGCAGGAGCTCCCGGAGGCTTCGGGCGGCTATCCCTGAAGCCAGGAGAGCAAGAGGGGTTGGTGCACAATGACCCCCCTTGCTCTCCTGGCTTCAGCGAAAGCAACGTGAAGCCTCCGGGAGCTCCCGCTGCGCTCCGGAGGCTTTGCGTTGCTTTCGCTGAAGCCATGGAGCATGCATTCGCTCCATAAGATGCACACACATTTCCCCTTATTTTTTGGAGGGGAAAAGTGAGTCTTATAGAGTGAAAAATACAGTCTATAAGATGAGACTTTTCAGATGGGTCTGTGTGTCAGATGCAAATAGGATTCCGCTGTCTGGTCACCCATAGCTTTTACTGAACTGAGTGCATATTCCCTGTCTTGTTATATGTTATGTTTGTTAACCAATTAAGCAGTATTATATAGAAATTCCAATATATATTGGTTGTCTGAGGTTACTTGCATTTTCCTAGGGTGCACTGGGTCTCATCTATGTTAAACACCTAAACAGATAAAAGAAATTGGCTCCACCTCTTAGTGGGGACGCGTTGTGGGCGAGCCACCAAGCCTTCCCCCTCAGCGTGGGGGCAGGACCGTGACCCGCCTTACACTGGGGAGGCCTGGCCATGCCGGTTAGCCAGGCGGCCAATCAGGCTGCTGGGGGCCACTTTAAACAACGGTGCGGCGCTGAATCGCCCCTTTTCAGCCTCATGCTGCAGATCTCTCGCCTTCCCACCCTTTGTTAAGGTTGCGTCATTGGCCTTGCTATGGACTTCAGTTGGTCGCCGTTGGGGGGCCTGGTAGGAATTATTCCACTTGGCAAATTGGCACTGGCCACTTGACTTGGTTTTTGCCTACCTCGTAGCAATCGTCACAACTTTTAGGTGGTTAGGCATTGGAATAGCAATGTGGGGGGGGGGAGCCATCACCTGCCCCTCCGTGCTCAAGGGTATTCAGTTAAAGGAATCTGGGGGTATGGATCTCGTCCGAAGCCCGGGGAGGGGCTAGGGCCATGCTACGACCCCAGTGGGAACCCAGGGGGTGCTCAAGTTGATCCACATCGGTGGGGCTCCCCCTACTGGTGGTTTACCCTTACCAGACTCCCTGCAAGGTGGGCAGGATATAGTCTGTTGATGCCAATGCCTAAGCCACTACCGCTCACATTCTGTAACCAATAAAGTTGTGGCCTAAATTTTGCCCATTAACATTAACCTAAAATTCTGTGTCCTTGTGCCTTTATTCTCATGGGGGTGGCTTGGGGCTTTGACACACAACCTATTTGGTCATAATGATAACACCACTTTGTTTTGGAGTAATACCATACAATTATATATAAATGGAAAGATAATTTAATGAAGAATGCAATGCAACAAAGTTTATTCAACTATTTGTATTCTATCAAAAGTTATAGCCAAATAACCAGAAAAAGGAAGCACAACTTGCTTAGGTTGATATGCAGTAGCTTTCCTTCATTTGAATGTAGCCAATGAGTATGAGTGTTTAGAGAGCCAATCAGGTGTCATCTTGTTTTGGTATTGCTGGTGGGGGGGGGGGAGAGCGGTGTTATGAGCCATGAAACCTTGGAAATACACTTTTCCCAAAAGGTTTCCACAATTTTGGCCACTAGTGTAGATGCCTTAATATTTTACATTAGGAAGACGGGAAAGCATCTGACAGGTCAGACTGTCTGTACATCTGTCCCAGTATTTTTTAACTAGCTGGCAGTAGGCAGCCGGCACTCCGCAGTCTTTCCCATCACCATCTGATGGTTTTGGCCTGAGATGCTGATGCTTGAACTAGGGACTTTTTGCATGGAAGGCATATGTGCTATTACCACTCAGTTATAGCCTCTCCCTTGTGCTCTCTTATTGGGGGGGGGGGAATGCACTAGGAAATAATTAAGGAGCCCCTACTCCCAGCTGTTATTTAAAAAGGGGAGATGGGACAGATGAAGATGTATTTAACATCATGTCTACTTTGGCCCCCAGTGGTAACTAGAATATATTGGCTCCATCTAAATGTCCACTTTCTGGCTGGTGCTTGCCTTTAATTAAGCCAATAATGATTGGTCATTGACATTATGTTCCCTAAGGATTATCTCCAAATGACCACACAGAAATCATAGAATCGTATCATTGTAGAGTTGGAAGGGATCCCAAGGGTCATCTAGTCCAACCCCCTGCAATGCAGCGCTCACCCTGTTGGGGAAACATATTTTAATTTTAGATGTGGATTCATTGAACTAATTATTTTATACTTTTCAGAATAAAAGTAAAAAAACTGATGGACACTAAGGATGAAATTGCCATTGTGGGGATCGGATGCAATTTTCCTGGAGGTGAGCACTGCTCCTTTAAATTACATATTAAGTTTAAGTCAATGTGTAGTGGGTGCTCCCAGAGATCTTTATATTAGAACTAACAGGGAATATGATTATACAGTACTTCTAGTGCAATGATACAGCAGCATTCATATAGCAGCTTTTTAATGATCATAATCGGTATCGGCTCACGTGGGAAGGCTGAATCACGGATGCACACTTCTGATATATAGTTCTATGATAAAATAATATAGAATCATAATATCATAGAACTGGAAGGGGCCAAGAGGGTCATCTAGTTTAACCCCCTGCAACGCAGGAATCATTTTGCCAAACATGGGGCTCAAAGCCATGACCCTAAGATTAAGAGTCTCATGCTCTACTGGCTGAGCTATCATGTTGAGTTATTTACTCAGAATTTTTTAATTGTCTTATACAATGGAACTTTGGTTTTTGAGCATCTCGGAAGCCAAACGATTTGGAAGCCGAATGCCAAAAACCCGGAAGTGAATGCTTACGTTTTCGAATGCGCCTCAAGTCGAACGGCTCTTCCAGAACGGATTACGTTTGACAACCGGGGTTCCATTGTAGTTTCTGTCAAACGAATCACACCAAAATAATTTAAGTTTCTATTTTAATAAATAAACTATTGGGAAGTAAATTCCAGCTATCTAAAATAATATATTTTCAACAGGTGAAGGAATTGATAATTTCTGGCGAGTTCTAGTAGAAGGCAGAAACTGTGTTGTAGAAATACCTCCGGAAAGATTTGAAAGCAAAAGCTGGTATGATCCAGACAGTCACAAACCAGGAAAGACGAGCACAAGACATGCCGCTTTTACCGAAGAGTAAGTGTTAATGCTTAATCACACGATGGTGGAAAATAAACTGTGAATCAGCTCCAAGGAAGCAGAACACTAAACTGTTTTTAATATTTTTTATTGTAAAGTAATTTGCCTAAACGTACACATTTGGTGTATGTTAAGGAAAATAGATAATACATTTCAAAGACACTTTTCTACGCGTGATGCCAGTCATTTTTTCATAGTAAGCAAAAATGGTTTTGGAGCTACAGGCTTGAAGCAGTTTTGTTTTAGCTTAATATGATTGTCCCATGGACGGTACAATTCCAGATGAGTTCAATGGGCTTTGCTCCCAGGTTAACTGGGTATAGGATTGCAGCCTGAACTACATAACTATTTAAGTCAGTTTATTTGGAAATAGAATTTACTGCAAATTACACAGTGTGTAAATTATTTTCAGAATCTGTGGCTACAGCATGTGGGTGCGTGAGATGGTGGACACTGGCTTAAAAGTAGCTTTGAAAAAGAATTGGATCATAGAAATTTGTCCATCAATGACTATTACTCAGGATAACTAAATGGAACAGCTATGAGTTTTTTGTTTTGTTTTTAATCCACAAATTTAAACTGTTTCAGTTTGTATTTTAATAGATGTGCAGTTGTTTCTTGAACATCTTAACCAGAATATTTTTTATATAACCTGTTTACTCATGGAGGTTTTTATTGTATTTCCCTTAACCATATGACAAATTCCATTTTATCTCATTTTTTGGCAATTAAAGTGTCTATTTGAACTGGGCTATCAACTTGTTTTGCTGCATCTACTTGTTTTATATATAAAACAATGAATGAATGAATGAATGAACTTTATTACGGTCTCAGACCAGAATTAAAAAAGCATAGATAAAATAGCAGTTAGGATTTTTTAACCGATAATTGTTAGAGCAAATGAGGACAAGGAAACGGGCATAGGATAAAACATTTGGATTAAACACGACCTAAAAGCAGCATTTGATACAGTCTCTAGAACCAACACGCAAACACAGCTCTTAGAGTCAGGTGCAGCCGCCTAGGACATCTAACGGACCCTATTAATACCTTCAAAGTGTAGCCTTATGAGGCTTTGCCCTCGGGTGGGAAAAATATTGCGCCTGGGAAAGGGAAGTGGGAGTCAACAGACACTCAAGGAATAGTTTCGGAGAAAAGGCTTTTATTTCTACCATCCATGAGCTGGTAGAAGGAGCAAGTGTGATAAGTCACAAAAAGCATGCACAAGTTCACAATCATGTGCACAAGCATATATACCCCTTTCCAGTTCCCTCCCCCTTTCTCCTCCCTCAGGAGTTCCTCTGAGCATGAACAGAAAGCTGTCTTGGGACTATTGTGGACTCTTGGCACCCTTCCCAGGAAAGGGGGGGGGGTGAGAAGCCAAGGGGTTTTCAGCATGTTCAGATATGTTTCAATCTCTTGTTCTGGCATGGTTCCCGGACAGAAAGTAAGTTGCAATGTGGTTCTTTAGCAAGGCCAGAAGACATGAGAAAGGCCTGAGAAACAATGGACTGTTCTCTACCTTTGTTACAGCAGAGCGGAATGTTTCTGATGCTTAGCTGCTGAGAAAATGATTTTGAAAAGTTTTGAGAAGCTTTGAGCCTGCTTTGGTGGGGGGTGACTTCGGGCCTAGGTGAGGTCACCTGTCCTCACTTTCCTTCAAAAGGAGTCAGGCAAGGGTGCCTATTGGCCCCTCTACTATTTAATTTCTATCTAAATAACTTAGTATCTGGCACTCAATGACTCAGAACTCCACCCGCCGAAGATTGCAAATCGGCATATTTCGGTCCTGCTATATGCCGATGATGCGGTAATTCTATCTAGAACCTCCATTGGACTCAAAAGAGCACTAAGAAAGCTTGCAACATACTGTGAAACTGAATGTCTCAAAATCAACTATCAAAAGACCAAGATACTCGCTTTTGGGGAAAAACCAAAGCTTAGAAGCTGGGAACTCCAAGGCCATAAACTAGAACAAGCCACAAACTACAAGTACAGTGGTGCCTCGCAAGACGAAATTAATTCGTTCCGCAAGTCTCTTCGTCTTGCGAGTTTTTCGTCTTGCGATGCACGGTTTCCCATAGGAATGCATTGAAAATCAATTAATGCGTTCCTAGGAAACCGCCTTCAGACTCAGGTCCGGGGACAGTCTGTCCCCGGACCTCTTCTGAAGGCTGGGGGCAAGGGCTTTTCTTCCCACCCCCAGCATTTTAAAACCCCGGGACAGCGGAGGACTCTCCGCTGTCCGGGCGATCTTAAAATGCTGGCGGGCGGCATTTTAAAATCACCCCGGGACAGCGGAGGACTTCTCCGCTGTCCGGGGCAATTAAAAGCCCCTGGGAAGGCAGGCAGGGGGACAAAGACTTTGCCCCCGCCAGCCTTCAGAAGAGGTCCTGGACCTCTTCTGAAGGCGGGCGGGGGCGAAAGTCTTGCTCCCCCGCCTTCAAAAGCCCTCCGGGACAGGCAGGCAGGGGGAGCAAAGACTTTCGCCCCCGCCCGCCTTCAGAAGGTCTTCCCTCCCCCGCCCGGCTCGGAGCACCGCTCCGAGCCGGGCGGCGGCGGGAGGTCTTCCCTCCCCGCCCGGCTCGGAGCACCGCTCCGGGCCGGGCGGCGGCGGAGGTGTTCCCTCCCCCGCCCGGCTCGGAGCACCGTCCCGAGCCGGGCGGCGGGGAGGTCTTCCTCCCCACCGCCCGGCTCGGAGCACCGTTCCGGCCGGGCGGCGGCGGAGGTCTTCCCTCCCCCCGCCCGGCTTCGGAGCACCGTCCCGAGCCGGGCGGCGGCGGCAGGTGTTCCCTCCCCCGCCCGGCTTCGGAGGAGCCTCCGAGCCCGGCGGCGGCGGGAGGAGGTGTCCCCGCCCCGCCGCCAGGCTTCGGAGGAGGTCCGAGGACAGTGGGGAAGACGCGCTGCGCTTCCCCGCTGTCCCTGAGATTTCCCTATGGGCTGTCGTCTTGCGAAGCAAGCCCATAGGGAAATTCGTTTTGCGAGCGCCTCCAAAACGGAAAACCCTTTCGTCTAGCGGGTTTTCCGTCTTGCGAGGCGTTCGTCTTGCGGGGTACCACTGTATCTAGGAATGGTGGTACAGGCCTCAGGAACCAACAAACTACACATAAACTCCATCGGGAGTTCAGCGGAAAAAAACGCAAATTGTATCCTTAAATTCTTCAGAGCACAAGGGGGCTTCTTCGTCCCCACAGCTCTAAAATTATACAAGGCCAAAACTTTGGCACAACTACTCTATGGTTCCTTTTTGGGCCCGCCTTCCTCTGCTTTCTCCCCACTTGAGAGAGTTCAATTTATAAAACAATGTCCATAAGTTATCATCCAATTTTGAAAATAACTGCATATAAGCAGTGAACACCTGAATACCACTTGTGAGGTAGCAGAAGAGGACTTTTGCCTTCCTACCCTGCTCAAAAGCTTTTCAGAAGCATCTGTCTGCCCAATATTGCAAATAGGATGCTGGACTAGATAGGCCTTGATCCTAATGGCTGCTTAACCAGTCACAGGGTGGGCGGCTTGAAAGCCAGCCACAGCAAGGTCCTATCCCTGGGGAGCAACGCCTGAGCAAGGTGGTCGGCCATTGGGGAATTTCCAGGCCGGCTGCCAGGGATATGTGGGCTTTCCTGCCATCTGTTTATTTGAATTTCATTTTCTTCAGTGTTTTGATAACAGCTGAAACTAGTGTGGAATCTGAAATATTCAGGCACGTGCAACGTTATGACTAGGATCCAAAATCTAGAAGAAAGCCTCTTCCTTTTGTGGAAGGCCTATTTCTGATTCAACAGAAGAGAGTAGTCCTAACTCTAAATAAGTCCTTTCATTTGCAAGAACTCTTGCACAAGACTTTGCACTAGCGCTTTTCAAAACCTTTGAGTGCCCCTCTGTATTCTAAAGCTTGTATCTTTATTTACCATGTGTTTAATATAGCCTTTTGCTAGTATAAAGGTTCAGAACAGCACCCCTACATTTTCTCCCTCTACTCATGGTACTTTGGATCCAATTCTACAAATATTTATGTCCACTATCCTAAGCCACTATTAAGTAGTGGCTCCAAATATTCTTCTATTTTCATTCTACCTTCCCCAAGAACAAATGACCAAATTATTAAAGCCTTTTCTTTTAAAATGATTAATGGAAATAATTTTCTAAAAGTCAAAATATTTGATTGTCTTATTAATGAATGTGCCATGAGTTGGTTGCATATTATTTTCTCCTACTTACAATGTTATTATCTGACTTCTGTTTTGTAGGTTTAATGCATTTGACAACAGACTTTTTGGAATTAATGATGTGGAAGCTGAGCGTATGGATCCCCAGCAGAAATTACTCCTGGAATGCACATATAGAGCACTGGAAGATGCAGGAGTCCCTAGAGAAAACATAAGTGGTTCAAAAACAGGGGTTTTTGTTGGTGAGATGATAATTTGAAGCTTAAAACAGTTGCACTAATTTAGGAGCATAGACTGGAACATATAGGGCTGGTCTACATAATTCTCTTAGATTGCAATCCTATACACACTTAAAAAGGTAAAGGTAAATGACCCATGACAGTTAAGTCCAGTCGTGAACGACTCTGGGGGTGCAGCGCTCATGTCTGCAGACAGTTTTTCTGGGTCAGGTGGCTAGCATGACTAAGCCACTTCTGGTGAAACCAGAGCAGCGCACGGAAATGCCGTTTACCTTCCCGCCGGAGTGTTACCTATTTATCTACTTGCACTTTGACGTGCTTTCGAACTGCTAGGTTGGCAGGAGCAGGGACTGAGCAATGGGAGCTCACCCCGTCACGGGGATTCGAACCCCCAACCCTAGGCTCAGTGGTTTAGACCACAGCACCACCCACGTCCACGTACTTACTTGGGAGTAAATCCCATTAGCTTAGATCCTACTCAGTTATGAATAGAATTTTCCTATTGTGGTGGTGTGTTAATGAAGTCTTATGAACACTTAAGGTTCATTTGCAGATCACTTAAAAACCCCAAAAAAGTGATTGGTAATGGTGAAATAGCTCCCAAATATACATCAGAACATTTGAAAAATGGGTTCAACATACCAATATTTATTGAACAAATGAACTTTAATTGATGTCAACAGGTAACACATGCTAATGTAATTCAGCCCACTGTTAAAGGCAATTGAGAGTATCTATTGCTGACTACACAATATTTTTGAAGAAAATGTGAAGTTGTCTAGACAGTAAATATAACTGTGCTTAAGAGCATTACAAGCTAAAGAAAGTTTAAACTGATATAACTCAAGAAACAAACATGTAACTATTGGTTACATGAACAGCACTGTTGATGGTGATTAATCAGTTACATGATTTGCAGTTTTAAAAAATAAAGTCTAGTGTATTAAGAGAGCTGTTGGACTTTATGATCATTAAAAGAACTTCTGTGACTATCAGCTGCTTTGAATAGAACATGTAAATATGGATTTTATAGTAAATAAAACACATAAATAATACTACGCTATAAAGCACCATTTATGCAGTATTTCCAATATTCAGTTCAAATTTGAGGAATAATACAGTTTTCATATTATTAGTGATGTATGTAAAACATTCTTGTAAAACATGATCATTTGTACAGCAACCCTGTTAGGTAGGTGAACTGCATTCAGATTTTATATACTGGAGACCTGCGGAGAGATTAGCAGAGAGCTAGGAAATGCAATTTATGGTGGATTTATTTTTTTTAACCCTAGTCTCACAACTCAAAGTCTATCCACTTAGCTGATCAGTACTCACAAACCTGAATAGCTGCATAGCATTCCCTTACGAAGATGACTCATTGAAAAGCCTAATCTTGTTGTGTAGATTGAAGCATGTTGTGTGTGGCAGATCTAGAGCAATAAATGCAATCAAGTTGTTCAGAATGAATACTGTACTCTCAATGTACTATGCTGGTAACACAGTACATCTTTGGTATTCACAGGTATGATGAATCAAGACTACAGGCTAATGAATGGCAGAACCCCCACTGAAGCAAGCCACTACGATGGCACCGGGACAGCAATGAGCATAGCTGCTAACCGGATTTCATATACATTTAATCTGACTGGGCCATCAGTTGCCATCGACACGGCTTGCTCCTCATTTTCTTATGCTTTGCACTTTGCTTTGCATGCAATTAAACAAGGTAATGAGATCTAATAGTTTTCCACTCGTTCATATTCTTCCTTTCCTCTAAGGACCTCAAAGTGGCAAACAAGTCCCCACTGCACGCGATATTGCCTCTTATATTGCCTCTTATTCCCTATTTAGCAGCATCAGTTGCAAGGCACAGTAAAATATTGGAATATGTTTCTGGAAAGGCCTCCCCACCCCCACCCCCCGCCAAACCCCCAGCCTTCTGAAGGCCACAGGCACTCACAAATAAGACTGACATATTTCGAAGTATAATTCTGGGATTTATCTTGGTCTTCCTTACACTATGCATATTGTGGACCAGTTATATTATGTCATGTCACACAGGGTGCATTTTGTAATTTAGGTATGTTGCCTCACAGACCATAAACTCCAGTAGGCAAGCACTGAGTGGAAGTGAGAGAGAAAAGAGCTTATAGGAATGATGTGGCTAACCGTAAGTTAGGAAAATAATATTATATTAATTTAGTGACAAGACGTAGACATTTGCTTTACTCACACTAGAACATTTTAAAGAGAACAACACATTTCCCCTCACAAACAATGAGAGACTTACTGTTGCGTGTTGAGACCCCGAAACCACCCCTTCATTGATGAATAAGACACAAGGGCACAGGTATTAGGTTAAATGTTATTGGGCAAATTTAGGCCACAGCTTTATTGGTTACAGAATGTGAGCTTTATTGGCTTAGGCATTGGATTGACCCGACTACACCTGACTCCTGCTCGTCACACAGGGAGTCCGGTAAGGGTCAACCACGGATAGGGGGAGCCCCGTCCATGCAAACCAACTCGAGTTAACCCAGGGTTCCTGATGGGGTCGTGGCATGGCCCTAGCCCTGCCCCAGGCTTCGGACAAGATTCACACCCCTGGATTCCTTTAACGGAATGCCCTTAAGCTTGGAGGGGCAGGTAAATGTGTATGTTTGTATACCGATGTAATCTTTTCAGAAGACTAAATACTGAGCCTTATGCTGAACAGAAATGCATTCATTACTGTATTTTACCCTACAGGAGACTGCGAAGCTGCTCTTTGTGGAGGAGTGAGCTGCATAATGGAACCACAGGTCTTCGTCGCTCTTAGTAAAGCAAAGATGCTATCCCCTGAAGGAGTCAGCAAACCCTTTTCTATAAAGGCCGATGGCTATGGAAGGGGAGAAGGTTGTGGAGTTATTTTGCTGAAATCGTTAAAGAAGGTATGAGTATAGACACGGGATTCACAAACTCCTGACTCTTAATTCATTAAACCTAGGAATTATGTCTAATTCTATTTATAAAATAGTCATAGCTGGTAGAATGTTCACCATGTCTCATAATCTTTGTTATAAGAGAAAGAGCATATCATAAAATGTTAACTGAGTCATATTGCACTGGCTGTGTTTGCCATCCCTATGTTTCACAACTTTAAGAAGCTTTACCTCTTTTCATCTTCTTTAAAATAGGCGCAGGAAGACTTCAGCAAAATATGGGGTGTCATCAACGTGAGTGCAGTCAACCAGAATGGAAGATCCGTCACACCGATCACTAGACCATCTCAAGAGGAACAGGAGAAGTTGCTGCTCAGCATCTACCCAGAGCGTGTTGATCCATCTGTTGTGCAATATATTGAAGCACATGGCACAGGGACACCTGCAGGAGATCCTGTTGAGGCAGAGAGCTTAGGTAATGTCATTGGTCAAAAGAGGTCTCCTAATCTGCCCCCTCTCAAGATTGGCTCCGTTAAAGGGAACATTGGGCACACAGAGTCAGCTGCTGGGGCAGCAGGCTTAATCAAAGTTCTTCTCATGATGCACCATGGGAAGATAGTCCCATCCTTGCACTTTTCAGAGAGCACCAGCAGCATAAATACAGGGAAACTGAATCTCTCCATCCCAACAACAGTGGAGAAGTGGGAGGAGCCTGGTGAATATGGCAGAGTTGCTGGGATCAACTGTTTTGGATTTGGGGGCACCAATGCCCATGTGGTTGTCAGACAGTTTAAACAAACCCAGGTTATTTCTCCAGTCCGAAGGCCTGTCGAATTATTTGTCATTTCGGCAGCTTCAGGAAATTCTCTCAAACGGGCAATGGAAGACACAGCTAGGTACCTTAATACCAGTGAATCAGCGACACTCCCAAATCTGGCCTACACATCTGCTTGTAGAAGAAGCCATATAAACTACAAGTACAGAAAAGCATTTGTGGCATCTTCACTACAGAAACTAGAGCAACAGCTTTCCCCTGCAGTTGAACTGGAAACAGCTCCGCTGAAGAAACCACCACAATTAATTTTTGTATTCTCTGGTAATGGTCTGGATCTGAAAGGGATACCTGAGATATTGCTAAGGACTGAGCCAGTGTTTAGAGACAAATGCAAAGAAATAGAAAGGCTGTTTCTAGAATACCTTCCCACAGGAATCCTAAAATCAAAAGAAAATGAATACAAAGATTTCTCCAGGCCTGAAGTTGCCCAGCCCTTACTCTTTACACTGCAGGTGGCCTTGGTTACACTCCTGCAACACTGGGGCGTTAAGCCAATTGTTGCTGTTGGCCATTCAGTTGGCGAAGTAGCTGCTGCCCATTGTGCTGGCTTGATTTCCCTGGAAGATGCTGTCAAAGTCATCTACCACAGAAGCAGGCTACAGGCTAAAGTCACTGGAGGCAGAATGCTGGTGGTTGGCAACATTCCCGTTGCAGAGGTGTCAGCAGCCCTTGGAGCATATTCCGGGAAAGTCTGCGTTGCAGCGTTTAACAGTCCTTTGTCTTGCACATTATCAGGAGATGAAGTGTCTATCCATGCCATTCAGAAAGATCTGGCTGAGCACTTCAGTAAAAGAAACATATTTCTTCATGTTTTAAATGTGCCAGCTGCATATCACAGCCAAATGATGGATCCAGTACTAACTGAGATAGCAGACAATCTATCAGAATTAAAGAAAGGGAAGCCAGAGATTGACCTAATCTCGACAGCAACAGGGAAGGCCTTTTCAGATGGTGATTTTGTTACAGGCACCTACTGGGCCAGACAGGTTCGGGATCCTGTTTTTTTTGCAGAGGCTATAACAGCTGCAGCAAAAAGCAGAGATGATCCTGTATTTGTGGAAATTGGTCCCCAGCGTGCACTGAAAAGATATATAATTGAAGTATTAGGGACACAAGCTAAAGTTTTTCCTTCCTTGCACCTTGACAAAGAATATATGACACTTCTCACACTTGTTAAAGGCCTTTTTGAATTGGGTGTCAATCCAGATTGGGAGAACATTTATGCAGGATATCAGGGTGTACCAGCAGCCTACCCCAGGTATCAATTTGATCATAAGAAGCTCATGTCATTTTTAAACAGGCTCCAGCAGCCAACTCAAACCAAGCTGAACGCAAACCACCTGTCAATTCATAATGTCAGCAACGGCAGTTCAGAATTCAAGCATTCCATATCTCAGACAGTGACTCCCTATTTGTACGAGCACAAGCTCAATGGTGTTGCTCTGGTTCCTGGTGCCTTTTTTGTTGAACTTGCTTTGTCAGCTGTGATGGCTAGCTCAGGAAGAAAGGAGCCCTTAAGTTTGTGTCAGATGAGCATGAAGTTTGAATCGCCTTGTGTTTTAAGTGAAAATTCTCATGATTTGAAGCTAACAGTAGTATCACAAAAGGAAAAAAAAGATTTCAAAATACTGTCCTCATCTGGTGCGGTATATGCATCTGGACAGATCACATGGAACCAAGAAACCTTTCTTGAAGAAAATAACATTTCATATAGACATGTTTTTCAGCGTTGTAAATCAATTGTCAGAAAGGATGAAATATACGAAGCATTATCTCGTTTTGGATTTCAGTATGGTTCGGTATTCAAGCAGCTAAGTGATGTGTTTTATTGTGAAGAACTGAAGGAAGCCATAACCATCATTAAGGTGAACAAGCAAACCAGGGAAGAACTGCACAAGTCTTTTATTCATCCAGTGATATTAGATTGCTTTCTGCAAATGATTGGTGTGATGACCACAAAAATCAGGAACAACTGTACAGGGTTTCCTTCCAACATAGGCAGCCTTGTAATTGTCCGACCTTTGGAAGAGGAAATGATGATATATCTGAAAACAAGTAAGTCTACTGAGAACTATTTAGAATTTTGTGGATGCTTCACAGATAAACAAGGCTCTGTTTTGGTTGAGATTAAACGTGTTGGGATCACTCTTCTGAAGAGAATGTCCAATAGTCATGATGCTTTCCTTTTTGAAAATCAGTGGAAAGAGGTAACCCCTTCCCGGATTATCCAAACCTCTGGAGATGCACCCAGAGCTGCAGTGTTTGCTGACAAAATTGGAGTTTCTCAACAGCTCAAAAAATATTTACATAAAGATTCTAGGTTTTTGATGTATGAAGACTGGGAGCAATTACTGGTGTCAGGAAGCGCAAATTCAGCTGCTCAGGACAAAATTAGGCTAGAGGTACATGACTACAGTGATGTTTTGTTTATGTGGGGAATTCAAAGATCAAATGGAGAAAATCCTGAGAGTGTTGTTGCAAGCTTATCCAAATGTTGTGAAGCTTTCCGGCAACTTGTCGTTGCATTGAGAGAGAAGAACAGTCATGGTTCCATCAAGATAATTACATATAGAGCAACAGGCAGGACTGTAGACCACATTAACCCTGGCTTGGCTTTGTATGGGATGGTAAGATCCTGCATTCTTGAAGTTCCTGAAATCACATTTCAGATTATTGATATCGGTTCAACAAGTACAATGGACATAGCAGTTTTAGCAGATGTTTTAGTAGAATATGAAGCAGATAAATATGCTGAAGTCTGGATTAATCAGGGGAGAATTTACACTTCTGAAATTAGATGTACACAGGTTGATGACAGGTCCTATAATGATCCTTCTCAGTCTCTTCAAGAATCTGAGCTGTCAACTTTTTATACTTGTGAGCCTCATGAAGTAAGACATCTATTTGCCGAGCCAGCTGACCACATTGATATTTCTCTTAATAATCACAATGTTGAAGTGCAAGTTGAGAAAATAAATATCCATTCTGAAGACTATTATCCTGTTAGTGTTTCCAGCTGTAACTTTGGAAACACATTATACTGGAATTCACAGACCATTGATAAATACAGGTTCTTGGCTCTGGACTACAGTGGAACGGTGGTTGCAACAGGCAGTGATGTAAAAAAGATCAAAGTGGGAGATCATATTGTTTCATGCTACCCAGTGGCTGCATCTTCAAGAATCAGGATTCCAGAAGCAGTGTGTTTCAAAACCCAGAAATTTCCATGTTTTCAAACTGTACCTTGTGTCTCCTTCTTCAGGATAGGATGGGAAATTTTGCACCAGATGTTACCAAAGATGAAACGGAATAGATTTTTAGGCATTATTTCTGATGAACCACAGTCGGTTTTGTGTAAAGTGCTTGCTTTGTCAGCTCAGGAACTGGGCTGGAACACCTTATGTACAGCACTTGACAGCAGCCTGGAAAAAAGAGTAGCTCAATGTAACACCCTTGTCTTTCTGCCCTTCCTAGAAAGATTACCGAAAGATGTCTTAGCCCGTCTTTCACATCTTCAGGATGTTGTGGTAATCGATGGCAACCACCATTCTGAACACTTGCGATCTCTAATTGGAAGCGGTCATGAAAACTTTCAAATTCATATTCTCAGTCTTGCAACCATTTTTCAGAAATCATCTCTGAAACATTCCCACAAGCCTTTCAGTGAGTGGTTGAAATCAATGCAACGCAGGCAATTCAAGGACTTGCCTTGTTCCGTTTTTCAGCCGACAGAAAACAGTGAGAGCATAGACACGATAACATCCTACTTTACCTGTAAGGCTGTCTCATTTGCTGTGCTGAAAAGCAATGGGCAGAACAGGTGTATTTCTGACATACCAGTGCGTGAAGCAAAGCGGAAGATGTTTAAGCAGAATGCTGTTTACATAGTCATAGGAGGACTCACTGGGCTTGGCTATGAAACTGTTAGATTTATTGCTCAAAATGGAGGAGGATGCATCGCGATCCTTTCAAGGAGAAAGCCCAGCATTGAAAAGCAGAAGGAAATAAGTGATTTGCAGATTCAGAACAAGTGGTGCAATATCATCAGTCTGCAGTGCAATGTGACTTTTTGGCCTGAGGTTGAGAAAGCAATCAGTTCAATCAGCAAAATCTTTCCAAAGTGTCCAATCAAAGGTGTTTTCCACGGTGCTGTGGTTTTGCATGATGGGGGCATTGAAAATTTGACGCTCTCTAGCTTTGAGAAAGTTTTAAGCCCAAAGGTTGCTGGTGCCATCAATCTGCACCACGCCACTCAGGGACAGGTTCTTGATTATTTTGTATGTTATTCATCTGTAGCTTCCTTCCTTGGAAATGCATTGCAAGCAAACTATGCTGCTGCCAATTCCTTCCTGGACCTTTTCTGCCAATTCAGAAGAAACTGTGGACTGTCAGGACAATCCATCAACTGGGGTGCCTTGAATCTGGGACTACTGGACGGTAAAAATCAACTTCAAAAATTGGTGGAATCAAAGGGTATATCAATTCTGCAAGTGGATGAGATCCATGAGAATCTTAAAACAAGCTTAACTCTGAACCACCCTCAGCAAGCTGCCGTGAAGCTGAACTTCAAAACAATGATCAACAATTACTATCGTCAAATTCCAGCAATCAGAAGTCGCCTGCATACAATTATGATAGAACATTTTGGCAGTCAGGCTGAGCTTTTTGAACAAGCCACGTCCAAGGATTTAGCTGCACTAAAATCTGAAGACTATATCATATCATTGGTGAGTCAGCTCACTAGTACAGATCCAAGTGACATTGCAATGAATACACCCCTTTTGTCCCTTGGCATAGATTCCATGTTGGCCATGACTCTGCGCAATCTCATTTATCTAGAACAAAAGGTTGATATACCACTTGTGAAAATTCTTGATCCTCATAGCACAGTGCCTAGTTTAGCACTGCTTTTAGAAGAATGTTCTAAGGAACCTGGGGAACCCAAGTGATTCCTGAGGGAAAAATGAACTGTGAAGTAGAAACCTGAAATATCTTTTCCTAGCTTCAGTGTTGATTTTATTTGCGTCATTTTTAAAAAAACTAATTTTTCTATTAATAGTGACCCTCTACAAGAACCATAATTTGGATTAACTAAATAGATGTAATTATAGTCTTAGTTAGTGCCAGCTGCTATTTCATCACAATCATTTAAATCTGCTGACAGTTAAGCTTTTCATGTGAGGACTTATCCATACTTACCTTGTGCCCCACTCTTTCCAGACACAGGTTTGTGCTTTAAAGCTCTGTCTCCAAGCATGTGTGGTTTTTGCCCTGGAGCTTTCCCTGCAAAAATCCACTCTTTAGCTCTCAGTCGGTGCAAATGTCAATTCAGGCTTTCAGTGGGTTGAAGTTTGCTCTGATTGAGTGCTAAAATGCAGGTTTTCATGGGGAAAGCTCCACAGCAAAAAAATAAAGGGGTGCTGGGACATGGAGCTTTAAAGTACAGCATGGAAAGAGCAGACGAAAGGTTGATAAGCCCAGAGAGTCCTGAAACAGCTTACTCTGAACCATTTTGGGGCATTCTTGGTTTGCCCTTCCTAATGTTTTAGTATGCTTAAGACAAGTAAAGTGGTTTACGGGGATCACTTGCCCTTTATGAAAGGGTGCAGAGGCTGAGCTTAAGTTTGAACATTAAACACAGGATTTTAAAACGAATGTAAAATGTGTTTCTGATTTTTTTTTAATCTACAAGTCATTTGCTCCACTACAGTATGTTTTGTATGTTTATCTTCTCCCTTTTGAAAACTGATCAAGGAAATTCAAACAACCATTACAATACATAGCATTTTTCACTGTGATCTCACAGTTTCCAAGGGAGACACGACATAGTGCTTTGCTTCTGCCTCTCCTGGGTCTTTTAAAAAGTGAACTGAGCAAAGGGCTGTACAGTGGTACCTCGCAAGACGAATGCCTCGCAAAACGAAAGAGTTTTCCGTTTTTTGAGTCGTTCCACAAGACGAATTTCCCTATGGGCTTGCTTCGCAAGACGAAATGTCTTGGGAGTTCTTGCGAGTTTGTTTCCTTTTTCTTAAAGCCGCTAAGCCGTTAATAGCCGCTAAGCTGTTAATAGCCGCTAAGCCGTTAATAGCCGCTAAGCCGCTAATAGCCGTGCTTCGCAAGACGAAAAAACCGCAAGACGAAGAGACTCGCGGAACGGATTAATTTCGTCTTGCGAGGCACCACTGTATTTGGAGTTCAGTCCTCACTGCCATTGGCTGCCTTCATTCCCAGGTCTGTATGCAGTATAATTAACATTACACTTTATATTTTGCAGACTTTGGAGTTTAGTTAAGTACCATATTAGTTAACTTTGCATATCATGATTAAAATTGTGAAATACATATTCTCCCCCCCCCGATTTTTAATATGGAAGATGTTTTTACCTTCATTACTACTTTGTACTTGCATATTTTATAATTTTATGCTATACAGCGAAGTCTTTTTGCTTTATTACTACTTTGCATCAAAAATAACCATTATTACTCTTTGTGTTCAAATAAATTACCTTGTTTTTAATCAGTTAATAAAAGTGTACTTGTTTTTAATCAGTTAATAAAGTGTACTTTTATGTGATTAAATGGAATATTTATTCTTAATACAAAAAGAGGGGTGTTATTTCAGAGATTTGTTGAAGGGGGACAAGCCTCTCAGCATGTTTTAAAGATTCTTTGTAGGTATGTTTAATATTACTTTAGTAAGAATTCTTGCATTACAAAATATATTTCATTTTTTTTCAGCTGATACATATAGATTCTTATACATGTGAGTGTACAAGGAAGAAATTTATGTTTAGTGCCAAACAGGGATGGGAAACCTGCAGCTCTTCAGCTATTGCTGGACTCCAATTCTTACCTGCTCCAGCCAGCAGGGTCAATGGTCAGGGCTGATGGGAGTTGAAGCTCAGCAATGCCAGGGTGGGAACCAGCTCCCCATCCTTGCTGTAGGACTTGGGAGCTGACCATGGCCCTAGTGGGGATTCCTTCTGCATCTCAGTCAGGGTACTCATTCCTGAGGGTAGCTCATACACTGAAGCCTCTTAACAGTGAGTATGTCCGTTCCATTACAGTGGATTTGATAATGGTTTACCAAGTTTGTAACATGCCCTGAGTCCTCCTTTATAATGGAGAAAGGCAGCCTAGAAATGGAAGAAGTCACATTGTGTCATTGATACCCCAAATGTGGGTGGAATAAGGCCTACTTACTGAGGACAGAGTGCAGCAGGGCTTATTCTAAACTACCCCCCCACTGCAATAGTAGTTCCCCCTCCTCAAACTTTTAGTAAACAAAAGGAAGGGAAAGGAAGGGGTGGACAAATGAAAATTATCAGCAAAATAAAGGAAGAAATAGACTACAAGGCTGAGGAAATCATTGGTGGCAAGGAAAAGATAGGTACATAAAAGAAGAATTCATTGGATGCCAAGATACAGGTTTGGGGCAAGTTCTCTTTGGTTCACTCATGTGCACAACTGCACAAAAAAATATTTCACACTCTTCCTCTTTTTCTTCTTCTACACAGCACAAAATGTGTTTAGCTGCATGTTACAATAAATCATGCATAAGTTACAGCACACAGATGACTTGATCATGGCCAGATCAATGTTTTCTAAGACATGTTCCTGTAGATGTCTAATTAAGGCCCAGCCAACCAGTCATTTCTAGTAAAATGGCTTGAAAACATGTAAACAATATAAATATACAGATAGACTGTTCTGATATGACCATAGCTGTCAACTTTCAGATTTGAAAATAAGGGATCAGCAACCTCGAAAATAAGGCATCAGCAGCCTCACCTGTCCCGGCGACAGACTACGGGATATCTAACAATCCGGGATAGCAGCGGGAAGCAGCGGGAAATGGCGCTGGAATAAGGGAATTTCCCACAAAAAAAGGGAAGGTTGACAGCTATGGATAGGACTGACATTTTTTGTTCCACTGAGCATCATAGGAGAGGTATGTTAGTGAACATTGGCCTTATTAGTTAACTTTTATGTGCACAGAAATTCACCCCTAAATGTTGAATAAAAACACCCCAGACACTGAATAAAAACAACAGAGGATATGCAGTGCCTATGTACTCTGTTCTTGATGTTACCAGAGAGATCTGTGCAGCTGCATAATTTTTGTGGTAGTATGAAGATTTATAAGAGTGGAGTGGGGGATATAAGTTGTTTATCTCCTTTTTTGCTATAAACCCATATCTCATCACATATTGCTCTAATTAATTTCTTCATTTTCTGACACCCTGAGTAAAGAATTACTTTAAAGTGTCAGTACTATTTGTAAACTGATAGGTTTATGGTACTTATGCAACCAAAAAGTCCCAAGTTCTCAGAAAAGTACTTTTATACAAAGCTAGTAAATGCATATTAATAATGGTGAATACAACCACAGAAACAACGAAAGGGGGGGTGCACTGTGGCCAACAGAAAATACCTGTATACAAACCTGACACTTAGATTTGCATGGACAGGCGGAGTCCCCCAAACCCTGCGCGGCCCCTGTGTGGAATAACGACTCAAAACAACGTGCTATGGGATTAAAATTGGTCACAACTTTATTATGTTTCAGATAAGTGTAGACCTTGGCTCAGGCATTGGGCATTTATCCCTCCCAGTCCCCCACCGGGGATCTGGGGAACATCAGGGTTATCCAGAGTGTGGTGGTGGGGGGATAGGCTGGCTCTGGAGAACATATGTTCAAGCAGAGATAACCCCACCCCCATTACGCCGCCATCGCAGGGGAGAGCAATGATGACTCTAGACGTACAACCAAAGCCTCCCCTCAAAACACCTCCTTTAACGGGGAACCCTGGGATTGCCACTGCAAAGAGAAGGGGGGCGTGGGTCACCGTTACACGCCCACCCCCATTTAGGGAAGATAGACTAAAGGATTCCGCCCAAGGCCTGATACCACCAAAGTTGTGACGTTTTGCTACAGGAAAGGCAAACCTGCCAATGCAGGATAATTCCTTTCCTTCAACAGCAACCTTGCCGTAGCAGCGCCCGCGTACCTGTGGAGAAAAGGCTAACCGGCAAAAGAAATCTTAACTGAGGGTGGGTCGGGTGGGAGAAGCTCTGGAGCCAACTGACAATTCCCAGATAAGATTCTCCCCCTATTGTGTGGGCAGGTGGTCCCTCCCCCTACCTGGCCTGATAACCTTGGCAACGCCTCCCCAGGCGGGATTGGGCAGCTGGCTGAGGTAGGCGGAGAACTCAAGGTATCCCACCTGGGGAAAGCGAAGCCAAGCCCATGCTAATGGTGCCACATAGGGTCCAGGGGGCTGCGCACGACCACGCAAAGGGCGCCCCCCATTTAATGTGGGGAGCATTCATTCTGACAACAAGCAGAGACTGAAATGGAACCTATAGGTTTCTTTGTGCTGTTCCAAGAGACTGAGGCTATGTACACATTAGTGGCTTAGACTCATAGAATTATAGAGCTGAAAGGGCTCTTAGGGTCATCTAGTCCAACCCCCTGCAATGCAGGAATCTCAACTAAAGCATCCATAACAGATGGCCACCCAACTATAAAAGTTTGCCCTACCACCGCTGCATTTCAAGTCACAGTTGCATGTTTCTGTGCACACCAGAGATGGGACAGAAATGTCTTTATCCAATGTGCATTACCTGTTTGGTCTCCCCATGTCTGCAACCCCTCCCCCTCACCACTTCTAGTCATGAAGCTGTCATCTGCACATGCACAACGTTGGTCTCAAATGCGCACACCTCAGCTTAACTGCGAAGTGAATATGGCATTTTAACTAAGTGGAAGCTGGTTTGAGGGAAAGCAGACCAAACTACAAAAGTGGCTGGGTGGGGTGGGGGGAAGGAGGTGGCCTGTGTGTTTCTCTGTGCTTGTATGAATTGATGTTTGTGGGGTGTGGGGCAGAATGGATGAATAGGCTGGGAGTCGCAGGGAGGAGGGTGGGGCAGGGAGAGGGAGGGAGAACAAGCAGGGTCGGAGGAAGGGGATGCTACGGGGGCGGGTCGGCCCGGGTGTCACCACTGAGGGGGTGACAAAATGCCGGGCGGCACTCAGCGCAGGGCCTGCAGTGCACCCGAGCCACACGTCTCCTGGGAGTGACGCAGTGGCTTGGGCGTCCACAGGATCAGTGCTGCCCCAAACAGTCCGCCCACCACCTCCCCCTCAGCTGTAGGGTGGCTGAGTGGGAGGAGGCAGGCAGACTCCTTGGAGGCCCCGCAGGCGACTGTCCCTGCCCCCATGGGCAACTGGCCCCACCCTGTGGTCACGAGCGCTGCTCCAGGCGCCTGATTGGCTTGCTCCACCGCTGAGAGCAAGCATGAGGAGGGAAATAGAAATGGATAGTGGCTGACTGCTATGTGAGTCCCCCCACCAGGGGCGAAACTAGGCTTTATTTGACCCAGGTCAAAGACCCAGCTGGGCACCCCCCATGCGCTTTTGTGCACACACACACACACACACACACACACAGGCCGGGAGCCTCAATTGTGTCCCTCTGGAGGCTTCGCCTGGGGCAAACAACCTGGATAGTTCCCCCCTGTAGCTACAGCTCTGCCCACCACCACCACTTTGCCCCAAGGGATGCAGCCCTCAATCCACAAAAGTTGATTACTTCTTATTTTAAAAACACACAGGGACATGACTGGCAATTATGCATTTAGCATCATATCTAGTTTGACACTGAGGAATGCTTTCGGTTGGTAAGGGGACTGGTCAGGGTGGAGATGGCATATACAGTGGTACCTCGGGTTACATACGCTTCAGCTTACAGATGCTTCAGGTTACAGACTCCGCTAACCCAGAAATAGTACCTTGGGTTAAGAACTTTGCTTCAGGATGAGAACAGAAATCGTGCTCCGGCAGCGTGGCGGCAGGGGGAGGCCCCATTAGCTAAAGTGATTCTCCAGGTTAAGAACAGTTTCAGGTTAAGAACAGACCTCTGGAATGAATTAAGTACTTAACCCGAGGTACCACTGTACTGACAGCTGGATCTCTTTCTGTAGCTCCCTTAACATATATGAGTTGCAGCAACTGACCAGTAAAACCAATCTTCCTATTACAATATGGGACACTTATAATTATGATAGTGTTATCCACTGTGCTAAAAAGTAAGATTTATTTATCTTGCCTAGGATCTCATTATTCATTTGGTGGTCTGAGGCTGTTACTTCTGCCACGGCAATTTTATCTTTCTAAATCTTATTCATGTTTCATTAGCTTCTGTGATCTCTGACTGTTGAAAGACAGTGTACTAAACCACGTGCTGTTTACTTGCCAATTAAGCATGATGCCTGTTCTGGTATAACCAGACAGCCTAGCCTGAATGCGTCTAGAAAATATGAAGAACAACTAAGGGAGCCATAGACTTTTGTACAGAGACTAAGGACTGGGGATTCATTGACAGTGTAACTGATAACTGATCCTTATAAAGAGCACATGGAACCTGGGAAATCCATGCCTAAGGTAGGTGTTATTAAACAGAGGAAGTATTGGTTGCAGAAACAAACAAAATGGAGAAGTGCATAAAAAAAGAAGCATGGGCTTTATATATATGTGCTTGTGTTTGTTGTTGGTATATCTTAAATATGTAAACTGAATGCTTCCAAGTTGTTCTATATACTACTATTGTACATTATGTGTATGTCTTTCAAGCTTTTTGTTTATGTGAGTATCCGCTTATAAAGTTTGGTGTGTGTGTGTGTGTGTGTGTGTGTGTGTGCGCGTGCGCGTGTGTGTGTGTGCAATGTAGATTGAACAATTCAGCCTTTTCTCCTTGGAAAAGATAACATTCCGTTCTGTAGCTGATTAATTTGAACGTAACTTTTATTGACAATGTTTTGGAGAAATGGGAACCCAGGACCAGTTTGCCCCCATCACACATAGGCGGTGTATATATCTCTAATGCATGCACACCTCAAGTTATCTGAAATCATAAAGTCATTGAGCAGTTAATATTTTACTTGTGTGTTGCTAACTGCTTATAGAAACTTACACAATGTGCTTTATTTACACCTAAAAAGTTATTCAGCTGCTTTTTTTCAATGTGCCCAGGATGCTTTTATTGAAAATGGTTCAGTATTAGTTTTTCCATAATAAGATCTTCTTTTCGTTTTATAGGGAGGCATAACAATTGTTTCATAATTTCCATAAGGATATTGGGCATGATCCAGCCAAACTGAGTACCGGCACCTTTTTTTTCTTTAATAAAAGCACTGGTCTTAATGCTTAATGATATACTTAGGATAAATATGCATATTTGCAGGCATGTGTGTCCCAGAGAACATGTGTAGAGCAAGTGGAATTACCCCTTAGCTGAAGCATGTTACTTCAGGAATTTCAAAGCCTGGTGCCTTTACGTATTTATAGGTGCCAGGTGAAAACATTCCTCTTCACCCCGGCCTTTTGAACTGTGTGGGGCCAGAGCGCCAGCTCCTTGGGGCCAAGGCACTAGGGGGGGCCTGGTCTTTTTTTTAAGGAGCTGGGCCCCCTCACTGGTCAGATGACTTTCTCAATCCGAAAAAGGTGAGAGGCGGGGGTATTGCTTTGTTTGTTATTACATTATGTACTTTTGTGTTTTTATATTGTAAACTGCTCTGTGATCCTTGTAGGTATATACATTTAATCAATAAATCAATAAGTAGGTATATACATTTAATCAATAAATCAATAAGTAGGTATATACATTTAATCAATAAATTATTCCGCACTTTCCAGTGCAATTGCCCATCCCCTTATCCCAAAATTCTACCTTTTCTGGTGTGTGTGTGGGGGGGGATTGTTTTTGTTGTGCAAGAGCACCATATCAACTTTAATTGTGCAGCCTGAATTTTTTGGTATGTGACTGAAGCCTATCCAGAAATAGCAAATCTGGAATAACCCCTGGTACAATTTTACAAAACTTTCCAGAGGCATCTGATTAGCCACCGTCAGAAACAAAATGCTCTTCTGAAAACATCTTATTTGTGTGGTAACTGGGAGGATCCTCAGGTTCATTACGCTGTGACTACATTGTTAGTCATCAGTTAATGGAAGAGACTCTGTGCATTCCATCTCAAAGGGAGGATGCCTCCGTCCTCTGCTCTTGCCGTAGCAGAACTGCTGCATTCCTAAACTGTTGGTAGCTGTTTCTGCAAACTGGTTCCGATAATCATCTCACGCCTTAATGTACTGATACTCAATTACGATTTGTCATTATAGAAAAATTATCCTGGGCAGTAAGGAATTAAAATTGTTGTTTTAAATGTCAATAGCACAATGCAGAAATAGACCAGGTTGAAATTTCTGCAAAGGGCAAAGTATAGGCGCTTACACAACAATTGCTTAACATTAACATAAACAGCCTGTTGCAAACAATGCAAGTGTGAAATACTTCACAGAGGGATGGGATGTGAGTGGGATATTTTTATTTTTATTGGACTTTCTTCGATAGCTCCTAATAAAAGAGAAAAGCTCATTTTACACAGGAACATCTTTTGTAAGGAGTAAAGTGAGTGCAGCTGCTCAATTTATATACAGTGGTACCTCGGGTTACATACGCTTCAGGTTACATAGGCTTCAGGTTACAGACTCCACTAACCCAGAAATAGTGCTTCGGGTTAAGAACTTTGCTTCAGGATGAGAACAGAAATTGTGCTCCGGTGGCGCAGCAGCAGCAGGAGGCCCCATTAGCTAAAGTGGTGCTTCAGGTTAAGAACAGTTTCAGGTTAAGAACAGACCTCTGGAACGAATTAAGTACTTAACCCGAGGTACCACTGTATCTAGGCCAGCCAAAACAGGATGTTTATAAACAGAAGCTGGAAAGAATTGGGGAGAAAACTCAAAAAGCTGGAGGCTTACTCCGTCTTATAAGAAGAAGTATGAAATCTAACCCCATAAAGACCAGATGACTACATTCCTCCCCAAATGTAGCTTTCTGCCCTTCAAATAATTGTCTCACTTGATGACAACCTTTGTCCACAACAGGATTCTCCTTTGCTGTGAAGACTTAGCCATCTCTGGCTTCCTTTTTATTAAAAATTCATCCTGATTTGTTTGAAGGGAGATTATACATTGGCTTTTCATTAAGCTTCCATTGTGATTTGTTTGCAGGGAATAAATAAATGAGGATGGATCCTGGGGTGGGAAGCATATCAGTAAAGTGGTACCTTGGTTCTCAAACTTAATCCGTTCCAGAAGTCCGTTCCAAAACCAAAGTGTTACAAAACCAAGGCGTGCTTTCCCATAGAAAGTAAGGCAAAATGGATTAATCTGTTCCAGACTTTTAAAAACAACCCCTAAAACAGAAATTTAACATGAATTTCACTATCTAACAATACAATTGATCCATAAAATGAAAGCAATAATCAACATACTGTACTATAAAATAAATAAGTTTTGTAGATGATAAAAATTAAAATTACTTTTTTTTCTTACCTTCACTGATGATTGTCATTGTTTGGATGGGGGTGTGTGTGTTATCCATTTCTGCACTCACTCACTCACTCACTCACTCAGTAGCTGAACTGGGTTCCACACAGTCACAAAAACAAATTAACCGAAAAAGCCTCATAAACAAAAACGCAAAAGAAATAGCAAAAACAGAAGTACCAAACTTAATCTGTTCCGGAAGTCCATTTGACTTCTCAAATGTTCAAAAACCAAGGCGCAGCTTCTTATTGGTGCAGGCGCCCCAGAAACAGCAGCCGACAGCCACATCGGACGTTCGGCTTCCAAAAAGCACTTACTTCCGGGTTTTTCGGCATTTGGGAACCAAGGCGTTTGAGTACCAAGGCGTTTGAGAACTAAGGTACCACTGTAATAGAAACATTTTATTTTATTTTAAAAAGGTTAGATGTTAAGTGAGAGGCGCCAGGTTGCCCCCCCAAGACTGGTGTATGTGTGTCAGTGTGTGTTGCACCAGACTCCCTCAACATTTTGGGGGGGGCGCTGGGCGCCTTCAAACAAATATTGAGGGGGCTGAAGACGCCTCCACCCCCTAGAATTGGCGTACCTGTAGTACGTCAAGTGTAAGTTACCTCACGCGCTCTAGAGCACTTTCCCCATTATACTCCTTATTAAAAAGAGGTTGTTGTTGTTGTTGTTTAGTCGTGTCCGACTCTTCGTGACCCCATGGACCAGAGCACGCCAGGCACTTCTGTCCTCCACAGCCTCCCAGAGTTTGGTCATAGTCATGTTCGTAGCTTCAAGAACACTGTCCAACCATCTTGTCCTCTGTCGTCCCCTTCTCCTTGTGCCCTCCATCTTTCCCAACATCAGGGTCTTTTCCAGGGAGTCTTCTCTTCTCATGAGGTGGCCAAAGTACTGGAGCCTCGGCTTCAGGATCTGTCCTTCCAGTGAGCACTCAGGGCTGATTTCCTTCAGAATGGATACGTTTGATCTTCTTGCAGTCCATGGGACTCTCAAGAGTCTCCTCCAGCACCATATCTGTAGTATGTCAAGTGTAAGTTACCTCACGCGCTCTAGAGCACTTTCCCCATTATACTCCTTATTAAAAAGAGGTAAGAGGGATTTATTGTTTCGCCGCCCTGAGAAGTGTGAGGGGAATAAAGGTCTCTCGGCAAGAACCATTGACAGGATCCTTTGGGGTGATGCTATGACTGTTTAATGGGGCAAGATTCTGCTTTAAAGGTAAAGTGGAAGGTGGGGCCTTAGAATTCCCCTCAGTACTCACAGTCTGCCCCTCAGGAGAGTCTTAAGTCTCAAAACATTGACTTCCTCTTCAGCAGCCAACTCATGTATGCGTATCAATCTTTATGGAACTGCCTACTTTTCTTACACAGGATTTGGATGTCAGTCCTCTTTCTTTGACCTCCACAATATACCTTGAACTTTCCCTCCATCTGTGCTTGGTTGCCCAGGTGACCTGTAGGTTGCCGCCTGCTGTTCTGTTTGTTTATTGCAACAGGATCAAATCTGAATCTCAATGTACCTCAGAGATTGGTACTGTATAGATATATAGTACACACACGCGCACACACACACACACATTTATGAACTGATCTGCTCTTCATCGAAGAATATTACTCTGCGGTCATCACAAAGGGTTGCTTATATTTCAAGGAGTAGTCACCAATTAAAAATAAATACTTACAACTCTGCCTTCTTTTCCACAGGACGATTGCCTTATTCAGTGACCAACGCAAGTAGAAAAATAAAATAAAGATGGCGTCTGAGAATGAAATAGCTATTGTGGGTATAGGATGCAACTTTCCTGGAGGTAAGTCTTTGAGGGGGGGGGAGTGATATAAGAAAGTTATCCATGTTTCTTTCACTCTTTTTATTGTTCTATGGCATAAAGCTTTCTCGTGATTTAAAGTAAGAGTAAACTAAGAACTCAGCACTAGTTATTGAGAGATACCAATACAGTGGTACCTCGGGTTACATACACTTCAGGTAACATACGCTTCAGGTTACACACTCCGCTAACCCAGAAATAGTGTTTCAGGTTAAGAACTTTGCTTCAGGATAAGAACAGAAATCGTGCTCCGGCAGCGCAGCAGCAGCAGGAGGCCCCATTAGCTAAAGTGGTGCTTCAAGTTAAGAACAGTTTCAGGTTAAGAACGGACCTCCGGAACGAATTAAGTACTTAACCTGAGGTACCACTGTATTTAAACTCTTGCTAGAAATATTTTCAATATGTCCCTGTCATGAACATGGAGAAGTGAATGTCTGTGATATTGTGAAGTCCACTGCAAATTCAGGTTTGTTACATGACAAATCTTGGAATTTTGCATCTCATCAATACTCTTTAAATGTATGATCTAACTTCCACAACAAGCAGAATAGCACATATCAATTTAATTATGTATTTTGCCTTCCTGAACTTGGAATATGCTAACCTAAACCTTATGCCTTCACAACTAGATGGCTCTCATCTGCGAGATGCCATCCAAACAAATATGGTAGCAGCTGAATGCAATTTTCATAGGAACATCATGCAGAAAAATTACAGACAGTATGATGAGATTATGTGATTTAGGAAAAGGTCCAATTTTCTATGAAATTTGACATTTTGTAGCACTTGAAATGCAAATTTAATTTGTATCGCATTTCGAAAGTTGGATTTCTCATGTAAGTTCAGATAAACTGAACAAGACAGGTTTGACATTTTGAAAATGGAAACAGTATATTTTAATACATCTAAAAATGTATATTTAAATCTTCATGCAACAGGTGAAGGAATTGACAGTTTTTGGAAAGTGTTAGAGAATGGCAGAAACTGCACTACAGAAATACCTCCAGAAAGATTTAACATTAGAGAGTGGTATGATCCAGGTGACGACAAACCAGGTAAAATACGTACAACTCGTGCTGCTCTTCTTGATGAGTAAGTCATATATTTTGCTAATAAATCCTTCAGACTTTCTAAACTTGCACATTTCCCCCTTGAAATGACTCGCTGGTGTAATATGTGTTATTATATGAACCTTTCAAAATATCTCTTAAAACTAACAAGCTGCGTTATAATGAATGCATTTCCACACTATGGTAGCTGCTTTGGGTGCAAATCTTATGCTGAAATTGTACACTATATGAACTTCACAAAAAAAGGTGATGCCATCATAATACTAATGTCCCTCCACATTCTGCTCATCAGCTACAATTTCGAGTGTGGGTATTAATCTCTTTTCCAACTACATGATCGGAAGGCCTTGAGGGCAGGACCCGTGCTGAGGTGGTGTTGGTGAGCAGCATGAACAGAGGCACATTTTAAGCCTCTTTGAGTTCTTTTTTTTCTGAAAAAGTGACTAGTTAATAATCGCCACAACAATAATAAATTCATTATTATCATTATTATTTCCTTACACTTTATACCCCACCTTCCATCATGGAATCCAAGTTCCAGGCATTCACCAACCCAGGTACATCTGGACCTGCTTAGCTTCAGTAAGGAGATGTCCCTAAGTGCCTTCAGACCAGATGTTGTCTCTATGCTCCTCCAAATGTCCCATAAATCACAGCCAGTGTGCCCAACAAATGCCTCATTCTTTTTTTTTTAAATGATATTTATTGAGAATTTAAAATTACAGAAAGAGAAAGGAAAAAACAAGAAAAAAGAAAAGGAAAAAGGTAGACAAAAAGAGAGATTAAACAATATAAGTCAATAAAAACAAAAGTCAAAAACAAAACAAAACACACAATACATCAGAATCTAAAAACAAAAATAAACAAAAAATTTAAAAGCAAATCCAATATTCCCAAATCTTTATCTTTCATTAACTTGTTTCATCCACCTCCTCACACCTCCCTTTTTTGTATTCTAGTTATTAATTATCTCAGCAAATCCTTTCCATCTTTCACAATATTCTGTCATCAAATTACCTTAATCTATTTTAACCTTATCTTACCATAAAAACCCTAAAGCTTAAAACTTAAATCTTATTTATACCTAATTCTTTTTAACAAAACATATTTATACATAATTCTTTTTAACATTTCTACTAAAGCCAAATAGTTTCATTCCAACATTTTTCTAATACTCATTAATTTTACAATGATTTTCTAAATGAATTTTTAAAACTTTCTTCCAATCTTCATCCGTCGTCTCTTCTTCCTGGTCTCGGGTTTTGTCAGTCCTTTCTGTCCCATCCATCTAGTCCATCAACCTGGTGACCTTCTATCCGAGGCTCTTAAGTCTTTTCCATGTCCCTTCTGCAGGTCTTCTTCATGTTTATACCTGCACTTTACTTTATCTTCTGCTGATCTTATTCTTAATTTCCTTCCTTTCTATCGGGGAGACTCCAACTTGACAATATCTTTATCCCTTCTCAACAAGTCAGCCCATTCTCCATAGTCGACACTGGAATCCAAAAGATATTTGAAAGCATGTTTCAAAGTCCCTCCAAGGTTAAGGGCCCCCACAACTCCAAACTCCCCCGGCCCAAAGCCAGATCCGAAAAGTCAAAACATCCCTGCATAGGGGGATCTATCCAACTTCCCATCTCCAGACCAAACAGTACTCCATCTCTCCAAATCTGACTTTCTCCAGGTTCAGTCATCAAAAACAGCAACTTATGTTCCTGCAAGGCCGCAGCTCTCTCCATTTCTGGTACTTGAGGTTCAGCAACTACCTCCTCCTTTATCTTCTTCACCACTTGCTCTGTCAAAGCACATTCCTGGATTAATTCCTGAGTGGTTTGTATATAAGTATTCACCGTTTGTCCAAAATTTCCAACTGCAACAGTCATCAAATCCATCTTCTCATGTAGCTGTTCCAGTAAAGCACTTGTCTTGCAAAAAGCAAGCACTAAAGCTTCTTCTGGGCACATTCTTGTTCAAGGTCGGTGTCTAGTTCCCACGATCTTTTATCTCTACAGCTGTAGAATTCCCCAGATCGACTCCAGCAACAGTTTCACAAGCTCCCTCTAGAGGAAAAAATTTCTATTTGTATCCGTCTTTTTAAAAGCAGATCTAGCAACAAAATTCCTTTCGTTTTCCAGATATTTTGTTCCTTTTAAGTGCAAAAGGGAACATTGGAATCAATATGTTTCTCTTTTTTAACTATCTGTCAAAAACGTTTTATCCACAGTCAATGAACTTCCCCAAAGTGTCTGTCTCTGACACCCCGCTCCTAGGATCGAGACGGTGGAAATTTATCTTTCTTTACTCTCTCTTCTGCAGGTTTAAACAGTCTAAAAAGATCCCCCCCCCCTTCTCCTGCTTCCAAGGGGGGGGTTTAGTGATTTTAGCTGATGGAAATTTAGTCCTTTACAAACGACTTTCCAGACTCTAGCTTGCAATGTCTTTGCTTCAATCTATTTACAAAAGCGGAAGGCGGACTTCCTGTTTAGACCTTCCCGCTTCGGTACCAAATTAAAAAGTTTCTTAATCCAATTTTCCGTTCTACTCACGGGCAGTTGTTTAAAATCCAATTGTCCACAGGAAAAAGTCAGCGCTCTCCGGCAACAGCAATGCGGCTTCACTCCGTGAAAAGAGCAGTCGATTCGAAGCACCGCGCCATTCACCCCACGTCGCTCCGGATCCCCGAAATCGGGTTTCCCCGCGAGTAGGGGAGGCGCAAAAGGTGCCAGCTGAATCCCACGTCCACAGGCTTCTCCCGCCTGTGGTTTTTAGTGGGTCTCCGCCTCGCCGCGGCGGTCCAGACCCTAGTTCTCACGAAGCGGATTCCTCCTGGTCAGAGGAAATCCGCTATTGCCGGAGGCGCTAACCCGGAAGTCCAACAAATGCCTCATTCTTGCTTCAGATCTTGCCCTGGGACTAAGGCAGCTATAACTCATTTTAGCACTGTTGTCTCCCACATGAGAGTTATCCTTATTCCCAGTGCTCTTTTTCTAGAAAAAGAGGTGGTGGAACTCACTATGAACACCTCTCTTGTCCTCTTATAATGGCAATGGCGCCCACCTGAGTGCCAAACTGAGTTCCAGTGAGTTCTGGTGAGGGAGGGGGAGCCCTGATTATACTGCAGTGCAGCTTTTCCTGGTGCAACAGTTTCAAGCCATGGTGTTTCACTGGTATTTCCACCAGCTTCATACACTGGTACCTTGGTTTAAGAACAGCTTAGTTTATGAACAACTTGGATTTAGAATGCTGCAAACCTGGAAGGTGTTTTGGTTTGTGAACTTTGCCTTGGAAGCAGAACATGTTCTGCTTCCCGTTGAGTGTGTTTCATTTGTAAATTGAGTCCCTGCTGCTATGGGAAAGCACACCTTGGTTTAAGAACAGACTAAGGTACCACTGTCCTATTTGCTGTGTCCTATCTTGACAATTTATGTGCTGGAAGCTGTACGCCGGCTCCCTCGGCCAATAAAGCGAGATGAGCGCCGCAACCGCAGAGTCGGTGACGACTGGACCTAATGGTCAGGGGTCCCTTTACCTTTACCTTACAACATGTAGTATTAGGCTTCAATGAATTTTAAGTATATCTTATCAGAGCATGTTGGATTAAGCAGTATGTGAATCACACCATATATCATGTCATACCTCCATTTAATTTTTTTAGATTGAATGCATTCGATAACAAGCTGTTTGGCATCAGCAATGAGGAAGCTGAGCGTATGGATCCTCAGCAAAAGTTACTCATGGAATGTACCTACAGAGCGCTGGAAGATGCAGGAGTCACTCCTGAAAACATTAGTGGTACCAAAACAGGGGTTTTTGTTGGTAAGATAATAGTTATGATGCAGAAGATTTTGTATATTTACATTGCACACCATATATCTGCTTCAGAGGGGGCCACACAACGATTGGTAACACCACATCTATATGGGCGTTTACACCTGACAATTCCAAATAAAATGATGTTGGAAGACCCTAGATAATTGCTTTGTCAGAATTGACAATATTGGATAATATTGTTAGGCCTTTAAAATATGTCTTTCCAAGTAAGCTCCTAAATTCCTCTATTCCCCAGCAAAGGAAAAGGCCACAAGTTTGGTAATTTAAAAATTGGTTTACTTACAAACTCATCAAATATCAGCTTCATGTGCTTTTCCATACGTTCATCAGAAAACATTGCACAGGCAGGAAATCTTAGCTTAGTTACAAAGTGGTAAAAGTTCCTAGATTTATTGGAATATGAACACAAGGGTGGCTGGTGAGAGTCATATGGCTGAGCTGGAGCAAGCAGCTCAAACCTCCTCACACACTGAGTTTCTCAAGTAGATGGGACAATAAGCCTGATTACCTATCTCATCAAAAGGTTAGGGGAAGTGACATAGCTAAGCTTGGCAGGAGAGCTCACTCTGTGCGATACTCTTCCCGATGCTTTTTAACATCTTTATGCGCCCCCTCGCCCAGCTTGTCCGGAGTTTTGGGCTGGGTTGCCATCAGTATGCCGATGACACCCAACTCTATCTGTTGATGGATGGCCATCCTGACTCGGCCCCAGACACACTGACCAGATGTTTGGAAGCTGTGGCTGGATGGTTACGTGGAAGCCGGTTGAAGTTAAATCCTTCGAAGACAGAGGTCCTCTGGCTGGGACGGGACGATATGGGATTGGGGGCAACTCCCATCTCTTGCGGGGTGCAATTAGTGCCAGCACCGTCCGTTAAGAGTTTGGGTGTAATCTTCGATACCTCTCTATGGAGGCGCAGATTACAGCTATAACAAAGGCGGCATTTTTTCATCTCCGCCAAGCTAAGCAGTTGGCCCCTTATCTCTCTCGCCCTGACCTAGCCACTGTGATCCACGCGACGGTCACCTCCAGACTGGATTATTGTAATTCGCTCTACGTGGGGCTGCCCTTGAGACTGACCCAGAAACTCCAGCGGGTGCAGAATGCCGCAGCGAGACTCCTTACGGGGTCTTCACTGCGAGATCACATTCATCCGGTGCTATACCAGCTGCACTGGCTCCCGGTGGAGTACAGGATCGGGTTTAAGGTGCTGGTTTTAACCTTTAAAGCCCTATACGGCCTAGGACCCTCGTACCTACGGGACCGCCTCTCCTGGTATGCCCCACAGAGGAACCTACGGTCTGCAAATAAAAACATCCTGAAGGTCCCAGGCCTCAGAGAGGTTAGGCTGGCCTCAACTAGAGCCAGGGCTTTCTCGGCTGCGGCTCCAATCTGGTGGAACGCTCTGTCACAAGAGACTAGGGCCCTGCGGGACCTGACATCTTTCCGCAAGGCCTGCAAGACAGAGTTGTTCCACCAGGCCTTTGGTCAGGGCCCAACCTGACTTCCTCCTCTGGCAACCTGCACAGAACTTTGCTTAACGGTTGCCATTAATTTGATTTTAATTAATTTCTATAATGAAATGTTTTAGAATGTTGGATTATTTGATTGTTTGATTATTTGTTTGTTGTTAGCCGCCCTGAGCCTGGCTTTGGCTGGGGAGGGCGGGATAGAAATAAAATTTATTATTATTATTATTATTATTATTATTATTATTATTATTATTATTTTTAACCCCTTCAGGCACTAATTAAACTTAAGCATGTTGGTTGTGTGCGAGGCTGGTTATCATATTTACTGTGAAGGGAAACTGAGATGGGGAAACACATGCTGCTTAAGTGCCTTAGAAGAAGCACAGAATAAAAGTGAAATAATAAATAATTGTAGGATAGGAGGTGAAGGATAAAAACCAGTACTAGATGTAGATTTGAGTGTAAATTGACCTTAAAAACAAATGTTCTGTATTTACAGGCCTGATGAATCGAGACTATGAATCTATAACCAGCAGGGCAGTTGCTGAAATAAACCATTATGATGCCACAGGGGCAGCAATGAGTACAGCTGCTCATCGGATTTCATACAGTTTTAATTTGACTGGACCATCAATTGCCATTGATACAGCTTGTTCATCTTTTCTCTCTGCTTTGGACCTTGGTTACAAAGCCATTAAACAAGGTATTCTTGGTTACTAGGTTTCTTATGTATACCATTAACCGTGATTCCCAAACTCCGCCCCCCCCATAGACTACATGAAAACTGCTGAAGGTCTTAGTGGATCACTAAATGATTTTTCTGTGTATTCTATCAACTGTAATGCACTGTGCTAGGTGCTGCATGGTTTTTATTTGTACAGTGGAACCCCGGTTGTCAAACACTTCGAAAGTTGAACGTTGCGGCTTTCAAACGCTGACAACCCGGAAGTGAATGCTTCCATTTTTGAATGCGCCTCAGAAGTCAAATGGCTTCTGAGATGCATTTCTCAATTTTTTCAGTGGATTTTGCTGACTGGCAATTGCGCCTCAGTTGTCGAACGTTTTGGAAGTCAAATGGTCTTCCAGAACGGATTATGTTTGACAACCAACGTTCCACTGCTTATGCCGTGCCTGATCCAGGAGAGGCTAGTTTAAAACTTGGAGATGAGAGACAAAGATATGCCCAACAAAGGACTTTGCAAGAGAAAGCACCATGACGACACAGATGGTATCAACACCTCGTGGCTATCTGAATGAAATATCCGTTTTCCCCCTTTCATGATTTCAGCTCGTTTTGTTTTTCTGTACCTTTGATATAGGAGACTGTGAATCTGCTATCTGCGGAGGAGTAAATTGCATCATAGAGCCTTGGAAGTTTGTAACTCTGAGTAAAGCAAACCTTTTATCACCAGACGGAATTAGTAAACCCTTCTCTAAACATGCAGGTGGCTATGGAAGAGGAGAAGGATGTGGCGTTCTTTTATTAAAGCCACTGGTAAAGGTAGGGTGTTTATACTGAACTCTCAATTTCCCAAATGTCCCAGGGATGTTCATTGGGTCTAGTGTGCTTTGGAAAGGAGAACACCAGAGACTTGCTGTCTTTGTAATATTTGCTTTTTAAAAAATATGCCCAAGCAGAACCTAAGTGGAAGCAAACAGGCATTCCTTCAAGGTAGCACTGATGCTACTCTATCTCAAATCTCCAGAAACAGTTCCAGAAAGATTCTCTGCCTATGTCACTAAGCCTTCAAAATGGCCATCTACCTTTGGCTGCTGTTTCTTGGCATGATCCCCTGAACTAGAGGTTTTAACCTCTGAATTCTGATTGGTATCTAAATTAGAAGTTATTGGAGAGATTCCCAATTATCATGAGACTCTCTTCTAAACAGATACTATTTATTTATTATATTTATACCCTGTCTTTCTTCAAATGAACTCAAGGTGGCATACATTGTGTCTACCCTGTTATCCAATGACTGAAAGATGGTCATTGATCTAAAGCCACACGATTAGATTAATGACTGAAAGCGGATTTGAAACTTGATCTTCCCAGTACTAGTCTGACATTCTGATTACACCAGACTGACCACTTAATTTACTCACTAATGAAGTATTCCAAACTATTAACCAGAAAACAGTCCAACAAGAAATAGTTAGCCACATAATAATTACAAATTTCCCCAATATACCTCAAAATAAATGGCTGGAATAACTTGCTGCTCTTGTAGTGTAAGTAATGCTTAAGAGTAATACCATGGAGCAGGAAAAAAGTGAATTCAGCATAAAGTTGTATATCCTACTGCCCTGCAGTAGGTAGTTTGGGATCATGGACTTTGGTAATTATATCACCAAAGCAACATGTCACGGGAAGTTACAGATGAGGAGAAGATTCAGTGTTACTGAAAGGTCCAAACACTGCTCTCAAACAAAATCGATCAGTGCTGTCGCTCTTAAAACAAATCTAAATATAATCATGCTGCAATAGTTACTTAATGTTTGATAACATCGTGTATTCCTTTGTCCACAAATAGGCACAGGAAGAATTCAACAAAATATGGGGCATCATCAGCATCACGGCAATCAACCAGAATGGAAGTTCTGTTGCTCCAGGCATGCGATCATCTCAAGCAGCACAAGAGAAGTTGTTACTTAACATTTATCCAACATATATTGATCCTTCAGCTGTTCAGTATATTGAAACAAATGGTCTAGGAAGCCCTACTGAAGATGCCACTGAAGCAGAGAGCTTAGGCAACGTCATTGGCAGAAAAAGGCCTCCAGATTTGCCCCCTCTCAAGATTGGCTCCGTGAAAGGGAACATTGGGCACACAGAGTCAGCTGCTGGGGCAGCAGGCTTAATCAAAGTTCTTCTCATGATGCACCATGGGAAGATAGTCCCATCCTTGCACTTTTCAGAGAGCACCAGCAGCATAAATACAGAGAAACTGAATCTCTCCATCCCAACAACAGTGGAGAAGTGGGAGGAGTCCAGGGATTTTGGCAGAGTTGCTGGGATCAACTGTTTTGGATTTGGTGGGACCAACGCCCATGTGGTTGTCAAACAATTTAAACAGGCCCAGGTTACCCTTCCAGCCAAAAGGCCTGTCGAATTATTTGTCATTTCGGCAGCTTTAAGAAGTTCTCTCAAACAGGCGATAGAAGACACAGCTAGGTACCTTAATACCAGTGAGTCAGCGACACTCCCAAATCTGGCCTACACATCTGCTTGTAGAAGAAGTCACATAAACCACAAATACAGAAAAGCGTTTGTGGCATCCTCTCTCCAGCACTTACAGCAACAGCTTAATTCAACTGAAATGGAAACTGTGTCACGGAAAAAAGCTGCAGAATTGATCTTTGTGTTCTCCGGTAATGGCTTGAATTTCAAAGGGATATGTAGAATCCTGCTGAAATCTGAGCCCGTCTTCAGAGACAAATGTATTGAAATCAAGCAATTATTTCAACAGCTTTCACCCACTGGAATTTTGAATTTAACAGAAAGTGAGCACAATGATTTGCCCAGGCCTGAAGTTGCCCAGCCCTTACTCTTTACTCTGCAGGTGGCCTTGGTTACACTCCTGCAACACTGGGGCGTTAAGCCAATTGGTGCTGTTGGCTATTCAGTTGGCGAAGTAGCTGCTGCCCATTGTGCTGGCTTGATTTCCCTGGAAGATGCTGTGAAAGTCATCTACCACAGAAGCAGGCTACAGGCTAAAGTCACTGGAGGCAGAATGCTGGTGGTTGACAACATTCCCATTGCAGAAGTGTCAGCAGCCCTTGGAGCATATTCAGGGAAAGTCTGCGTTGCAGCGTTTAACAGTCCTTTGTCTTGCACCTTATCAGGAGATGAAGCATCTATCCACGCCATTCAGAAAGATTTAGCTGAGCACTTCAGTAAAAGAAACATATTTCTTCATACTTTAGATGGGCCAGCTGCATATCACAGCCACATGATAGAACCGGTACTAACAGAACTCTCAGAAAGCCTATCAGAATTAAAGAAAAGGAAGCCAGAGACTGAGCTAATTTCGACAGCAACAGGGAAGGCAGTTTCAGATGGCGATTTTGTTACAGGCACCTACTGGGCCAGACAGGTTCGGGATCCTGTTTCTTTTGCAGAGGCCATAATGACATCAGTAAGAGGCAAGGACAACATTGCATTTGTGGAAATAGGTCCTCAAAGAGCTTTGCAGAGATACATCGTTGAAACATTAGGGACGCAAACCAGAGTTTTTCATTCTTTGCAAACGGATAGGGAATATGTGACTCTTCTTAATCTAGTGAAAGATCTTTTTGAATTGGGATTGAATGTGAATTGGCAGCATTTTTATGAAGGTTATCGAAGTGTACCATCAGCTTATCCCAGGTATCACTTTGATCATCAGAAACTCATGCTGCATCAGAAAGCAAACAGCAGAGGTGTAAGCTCAAACCATTCTTTAATTTGCAGTACAAATAAGGATAACTCAGAATTCATTTGTTCTATCTCTGAGGCTCTGAAACCACATTTATATGAGCACAAGAACTACTGTGCTGCATTAATTCCTGTAGCTGTTTTGGTGGAACTTGCTCTGGCAGCTGTGATGACGAGCTCAAGGCCAAAAGTACCCTTAAGTTATTGTCAAATGAATATATTTTTCCCTGCACCATGTGTTTTAAATGAAAATCTCCATGCTTTGAAGATAAAGGTTGAGCCACAACAAACAGTGTCAAAGTTCAGAATACAATCAGGTTCAGCTCATACAGTTTATGCTTCGGGACAAGTCAGAAAGAATCCTGAAACATCAATTGAAGAAAAGAATATTTCCTTAAAAGACATTTTTCAGAGGTGTAGATCTGCTGTTAGCGAAGATGAGGTTTATGAAACATTGGCTCAGTCTGGATCCAACTATGATGCTACTTTCAGGCAGCTAAGTAATGTATTTTATTGTGAAGACTTGAAAGAAGCTGTGACAACTGTTACAGTGAAGAGAAAAACAGTAGAAGAAATGTACGAGTATTATATCCATCCAGTCCTTTTAGATTGTTTTCTGCAAATGGTAGGTATTCTGGCTGCAGTTACGTCCAATAACAAAGTAGTTCTACCTTCTGGTATAAGTAGTCTTGCAGTTGCTCGATCATTGGAAGAGGAAATGATTATATATTTAAAAACAACCAAGTCCACTGACAATTTCTTAGAGTTTTGTGGATGCTTCACAGATAAACAAGGCTCCGTTCTGGTAGAACTGAGATGTGTTCAAATTAATTTGGTGCAGGAAATTCCCAGGAAAGAAAATGAATTGTTGTTTGAAAATCAGTGGAAGGAAATAACTTCTGATCAAGCAATGCATAATCTGCCCAAAGCACCTCGAGTTGTGGTGTTTGCTGACAAATTTGGAATATTGCAGCAGCTCAAGAATTACTTACATAGCGAGTCTAGATTTGTTGCGTATCAGGAATGGGAGAAATTGTTGGCAGCTAAGAGAACAGATACCTATGCACAAAGTAAGATTAATATGGAACTGCAGGGATATGATGATGTTCTGTTTATGTGGGGCATCCAAAAACTGAATGAAAATTTGCCAGAGAAAGTGGTGAAACATTCAGTAAGATGCTGTGAGGCATTTCGCCAAGTTGTTATTGCATTAAAGGAGAAGAAGTCCCATTGCTCCATTACAGTAATCACTTACAGGACATCAGAAAGGAAAGTAGACCATATAAACACTGGCTTTGGTTTGTACGGCATGGCTCGAACATGTATGGTTGAAGTCCCGGAAATAACGTTTCAGATTATTGACATCAGCTCTACAAATGCAATAGATATCTCGGCCTTAGCTGATGTTTTAGTAAAATATAAAGCACAGGATTATCCAGAAGTCTGGATTGATGAGGGACGAATTTATAGTTCTGAAATTAGGCGCACACAGATTGAACCCGCAGCCTTCAATACACCTTCCCACCCACTTCAGAACTCAGACTTCTGCATTTTGTATACAGGAGATCCATACTGTATGAATGATCTGTCAGTTAAAGTTGCCAATTCACGTACTCAACTTGGCAACCACAGTGTTGAAGTTCAACTTGAAAAAATAAGCATCCACTCAGAAGACTATTTCCCTGTTAGCATGTCCAGCTGCAAGTTTGGGAAAACGTTGTATTGGAATTCAGATACTATAGATAAACACAAGCTATTAGCTCTAGACTTTACTGGCACTGTAACAGCAACAGGTAGTGAGGTGAAAAAGGTAAAAGTGGGAGATCATATTGCTTCATGTTATCCGGTTTCTGCAGCGTCAAGAATTAATATTCCAGAAACAGTTTGTTTCAGTACTCAAAAATTTCCATGTTTCAGAAATATACCATGCACTTCGTTCTTCTGGGTAGCAAGGGAGATTTTTCATCAAACGCTGCCAGTGCCAAAACATAATGAAGTATTAGGTATTGTTTGCACTGAGCCTGAGTCAGTTTTGTGCAAAGTGCTTACTTTTTCAGCTCAGGAATTAGGTTGGAAAATAATAGTTACAAACCATACAACTGGTCTATGGCAACGTGTTAATCAGTGCAATGCCCTTATTTTTCTACCTCCACTAAATGGACTATTTAAAGAGGGCCTAAGCTGTCTTTTCCATCTCCGAGATGTTGTACTGGTTTATGGCAATGAGCAACCAGAATGTTTGAGGTATCTGGCTGGGAGTGATCATGAAAATATCCATATTCACACTGTCAGTCTTATCCGCATTTTCCAGAAAGCTTATCTGATACGATCTCAGAAGGAGATGTATTGTTGGCTGAAGTCAATGAATATGAAACAATTAAAAGATATCCCATATTTCATTTTTCAGCAAGCAGGAAAGCATCTGAGGCCTGATGCTGCATCCTATTTCAACTGCAAGAATTTCCCAGTTGCAGTACTAAAAAGTGATGAGGAAGACAGCAAGATATCAGACATACCAGAGACTGAAACAGACAGGAGAATGTTTAAGCAGAATGCAGTTTATATAGTCACAGATGAATTCACTAGGCTTGGCTTAGAAACTGTAAAATTTGTAGCTCAGAATGGAGGCAGGTGCATCGTGCTACTTTCACAGAGGAATCCAAGCACTGAGGAGCAAAAAGAAATAAATGCTCTCCAGGATCACTGTGAAGGGAGCAGAATAGTCAGCTTGCAGTCTAACATTGTTTGCAGTTCAGAGGTTGAGAAAGCTATCAAGTCAATCAGTAAATTTTTCCCAAACTCTCCTGTTAAAGGTGTATTCCACAGTGCTATGGCTTTACATGATGGGCTTCTTGAAACCCTCAACATGTCTAACTTTGAGGAAGTTTTAAATCCAAAGGTAGCAGGGGTAATCAATCTTCATCGTGCCACGCAAGGCAGGGAGCTTGACCACTTTGTATGTTATTCTTCTATTTCATCGTTTCTTGGAAACGCAACACAGTCAAACTACGCAGCTGCCAATTCCTTCCTGGATCTCTTCTGTCATTACAGAAGAAACAGTGGCCTTCCAGCGCAGTCCATTAACTGGGGTGCTTTAAATCTCGGAGCCTTGCAAGATCAACAACACTATCAAAATTATAGGTTACAAACGAAAGGAATAGAGGATCTGCAAGTGAACGAGATTCATGAATATCTAAAAAGAAGCTTAATTCTGGATAAACCTCAGCAAGCTGTGTTAAAATTGAATTTTCAAACTTTAGCTGATCATGTTTTATCTCAAAATTTGTCGCTGAAGAGTCGTTTTTATGAACTTGTTTCTGAAGAAACAGGTAGTAATCCTGAGCTTGCTGGTGAAGCTGGATTCAAAAACTACTCTCTAAATGAGCCTGTAGATTATGCAATCGCACTTTTGAAAAGCCTGGCTAAAACAATCCCTGTTGATCTTTCAATGCATACGCCACTTTCATCATTGGGTGTAGACTCTACATTAGCCTTTGTTCTACAGAATCGTATCTTTACGGAAAGGAGAGTGGAAATACCTCTCACGAAACTACTTGATCCTCAGTCCACTGTGTCAACTTTAATCTTATACTTGAAAGAAAATTCTGACACAACCGATTCTCATGGAGCTGAAGGTACTGATGTTGGAAGCTGGTTGTAGAAATGCATTTCCAGTAATTATACTAAATTAATTATCAGTAATGGCTTAGTGTTCAGGGTTTGTTTTTTGCAGTTCAAAACCTCAAAACCCCTTGATCGCCACAGTACTACTAGTCCCCAAAATGGAAACCTCTCTCTATACAGGACACGTTCTGGCCATGCCTATCACCACAGTCTGACGGGTAAGACGTAGGCACAGTAGGTGGCTTGTGGTAGAAGATATAAATGCATATGACAAATGGAGCAAGTCCAATGTCTTTTCAGTTCGGTGCACAATACAGAATTTCTGTTTAGCTACAAATTTCTGATTTTGCAAAACAGACGTATCTGTATGTAACACCGCAGGCCAACACAGACCTACCTGGCATGAAGCTCAGTTGAAAAAAATGGTGTTTATTTCTAAGTAGGCATGTAGAGTGTTGCTCTGAAGGCGTGCCTATGATTACAGCCCTCAATTTCTAGCATTCAATTATTTAAGTACAATTGATTTTTATTTTTTTTACTGTTATTTGCTAGGTGGAATATGAATTATATGGGAAATGTATTGATTGTAACTTTAGTACAGATAATTAATTTGAATGAAGATTTATAATGGGGTCTTTATGCAAAACATATCCTAATTTGTATTAATAAACTCTTGTGTGGTTCTAATATTTGTATTGGCCTAGGAACAGGAACAGCAATGCTTGTGGATGTGTGGAAATCAAAAATAACTTCAGGGCACATGTATTGTGGGGGAATTCTGTATTCGGAATTATGGAGCTACTGTATGTACTTTCCTTACTTGTAAGATAAGAGAGGGAGGTCCAGCAGCAGCTGTTTTAACCAGCTGTCATTGAAAATCAAGCCTCCACATCATGTCAATTGACTGAATTCAAATTCAAACCACAGAAAAATTGTGTGTGTACACAAGACAGGAATTCAGAAGAGGCCAAGAAGACACCATAACGGCAACAAAATGGGACAAGGACCATTTTCAAAGATGCTACAAAGATTAGAATCAGATTTTTAGATGATGAGACAGAAGGTAGACACAATATGCTTGGAGAACACAACCAAACTCTCCCTCCTCCGTCCCAGCCGCAACATTCAAAAACACCCTCCCAACTCACACATGAAAACAAAGTTGACCACAGCCAAAACAAGCAACCACGCCCTAGGCAAAACCCAACTTCTCTCACCACCAAAGGAACACAAGTGGATAGAACCTGCACAAACGATGCTGACACAAAACCCCAAACATACATTAAGTAAAATAGAAACATCCCCACCCCACCCACCATGGCCCCCTCCACCTCTTCCCCCCTTTTCTTCCTAATGTAACACTAATGTCTCAACAAATGAAACTGACCTGTAGAAAAGGTAACTCGAAAAAAGAGACATCGCACATATTTTTGTAAAGCAAGAAATCTTTAAAAAAATACATTAAAAAAAGAAACAAAAAAAGAAAAGAAAATATGACACAAGCAAAACTTGATATATTGTACATTTTGGGTGCTAATATCACAGCATCACAGAGAACATAAGAGATTCTACATTAGTAGGCCCCTACAGATCTGGGATAAGGAGGGGTACCCACTTCAATGGGTGGTATTTCCAGGCAGGTTTGAAACGTGGCTCAACTGAAAGGGGTTTTGAGGCGCTGTCAATCAGTGGAATGGTGGTGCCTGAAATATCCTAAGCAAACTGCTGCGTGCAGGGCTTTGCAACACCTGACAATCAGCTAATCATTGGGTCTTACGAAGCCTTATAAAAAGTGCTCTGTAAGACCCATGTGGGCAAAAGGGCCACCTGATGTAATCGTGATGTCAGTGGTCCTGCTCACTTTCCAAAGTTGGCCCGCAAGTGGTGGGAGAGAGAACACTGAGGAACAATAATAATAATAATAAATTTTATTTATACCCTGCCCTCCCCAGCCAAAACAGGGCTCAGAGTGGCTAATATCAAATATATGACATATTACCATAAAATCAAGCAATCAATTAAAATACATCCTACCTCCTAAAATCAAGTCAGAATCAAAGTAAAATCCAATCAGATGGCAGCCTGCAAGGTAGGGATGGGGACCTTAAATGCTCACCAGAAAGAGCCCACTCCCGCCCTCTAGGTAATTAGTTCCATTATCGAACTGCTCTTATTGTAATATTGTCATGTTTACATTAGGCGGTTTCATAATACAGTATTTGTATCTGAGAAAGGAACTCCTCCAGCACTGGAGCTCTGGGCACTGACTGGAAGCTGTCTATTTGGCATTTTACTACAAAAGCCGAAGAAAGTTAAGAACACAGGAATAAAAATGAGACCGTGAACAGCCCCAAACAAGATCACCAGAAACATTATCTTAAAAAAGGTTCTGAAGATGTAAGAAGATGCCATGGAGAGTACAATAACTCCCAAGATAGTGGAAATAGCTCCCTGCGTAACAGGGTAGCCAAGGTGGTACAAAGCATCCACAGCCTTGTCATTCACTTTGTGTTTCTCACTGGCAACAAAAGCATAGGAAATATGGGCTGAGAAGTCTACTGAAAACCCTATGCAAATTACAAGGTTAATCATGGATATGGAATCAAGATTCACATTCCAGAAGGACATGAAACCAGCTACACCGACAATAACAGAGGCAATAGCAAAGGTTACCCACAAAGAACAAAGAGGATTGGGAATGAGTAGTAAGGAAATGAGTAGCATGGCTCCAGCAGCAATCACAACATTTTGAACTGTGTTCTGAACGATCACAAGATATTGATCAAAGTAAATAAAAGCTGGATGATAAACCATCAATGGTACCTTGCAGTCCTTAGCAAGACCTCTCAGCTCATTTAAAAGACTCCTCTCATCCACTGCAGTAGTAACATTGACTGTCTGTATGAAAAAACGTGATGCTATTATTTCTGTAGCAATAACATAAACATCCCACTTGAAATCTGGATTAATCCCAAAAAGGGTGGCTAAATTGTCAATGAAAAGCCTACGGTCATCTATATTGAAAGACATACGTTTAGCGACATCTTGGTAAGTTCTCAACCAGGACACTGATAAATTCTTGTTGACGTAGGATGAGCTTTCTAGTGCGTTCATACAGTTTTCAAGATCTGCACGGACAGATGAATCCCAATAAGCTTTGCTTTCAGTAACAACCACCATAACCCTTGGGCCGTATTCTGAAAAATATTCCTTTTCCCATTCATAATACTGGATGACGTAAGAATTGTCACTAGCTAGATTTCGAAGATCTATACCTTCTTTGACTTGAGTGCAGGCAAAAATACTACTACCCAAGTACATGAGATAAAGGACTACCACAAGCACCTTGGTCCAGCTGTGCATAAGGAAGGGACCGTAATACTTTCTAAAGAATCCATTCATGGGGTGTTCAGTCTCTGCTCCAGTGGACTCATCAAAAGACCCTCCTACACAGCACATGTTATATGTGCAGCCCTGAGAGTCCTGAGGCTCATTGTTCACTTTCATGAATGTGAGCCAGTGTCTGTTGCTTTCTTCTCGTCTCCCATTTAAAGCAAGAATGGCCCCAAGAAATGTCAGGCTATATAAGTAGCAGAACACAAAGGCTGTTCCTGTGTAGATGCAAAATGCCTGAACGGACTGGAATGAAGTTGCAATTCCAATGTAGAAGGCTAAAACGTCCGTGAGGGTCGTGATGGTAATGGACACAGCTGCTTCTCTGTAGGTGTCAGCCATTCGCTCTCTGACACTGTCCTTCACTTTAGTCTTCTGCCAGCAAGACACCAGGATGAACATGTCATCAACACCAACCCCTGAAGAATGGCAAATATATAACATATTAGTTCCTATATGTCATGCGAGAAGAGAAATACAGTGATATCTTGAAACTCGAATGGCTTGGCTCCCGGAAAAAAAAGGCTCCTTAACGTCGCAAACCCGTAGATATGTAAGAGAATTTTCACCCATCATCATACTTAAATGTATTAATGAAAAGCCCAATGGAGAAGTCAGGAGGAATGTGTACATTTGCTCACTTACCAAGGATAAGAAATGGCGAATTTGCAACTGTGACAACAAACGGCACCCCACAAAAGAGCAGCAATCCAAAGCTGCTGACGACAGATAAGCCTGCTGACAGCACCCCAAAAGCTGCAACCCACACTTTTGTCCGTACACAGTCCAGCCTGGAAAACAGATTAAGAAGATTCTAATTCGATTCAGAGTATCACGGTACACGTGCTAATCCCCCCTCCCACTGAACCAAGCTAAACCCGTTAGCACCACATGGATCGGCTATGCATGCACTGAAGCTGTGTGAAGCTCTGTTTTGAAGCCCTAGCTGCACAAAATATCTCAGAAAAGGATGCAAGCTTCCAAGCTCCCCAGAATGCTTCATCAGCTAGACAGTAAACAAACTAAGGAGGGGGGAGAACAAAGTTGGCTGTTGGTAAGGCCATTGAGTCTGCATTCTTCGATGGAATGTGGGAAAGATGGCAGACATTCAGATGAAGCTTGGTAGATCTACTACCTCCTCTTAAGCCTGCATACACATGATACCTAATAACAACAACAACAACAACAATAATAATAATAATTATTATTTATTATTTCTACCCCACCCATTTGGCTGGGTTTCCCCAGCCACTCTGGGCGGCTTCCAACAGAAGGTTAAAAATACATTAAAACATCAATCATTAAAAACTTCCCTAAACAGGGCTGCCTTCAGATGTCTTCTAAATGTCATATAGTTGTTTATTTCTTTGACATCTGATGGCAGGGCGTTCCACAGGGTGGGTGCTACTACCGGGAAGGCCCTCTGCCTGGTTCCCTGTAACTTTGCTTCTCAACAGTGAGGATACCGCCAGAAGGCCCTCGGCGCTGGATCTCAGTGTCCGGACAGAGCAATGGGGGTGGAGACGCTCCTTCAGGTATCCAGGACCAAGGCCGTTTAGGGCTTTAAAGATCAGCACCAACACTTTGAATTGCGCTCAGAAATGTACTGGGGGCCAATGTAGGTCTTTCAAGACCAGTGTTATGTGGTCTTGGCGGCTGCTCCCAGTCACCAGTCTAGCTGCCACATTCTGGATTAGTTGGGAGTTTCTGGGTCACCTTCAAAGGTAGCCCCACATAGAACGCGTTGCAGTAGTCCAAGCGGGAGATAACTAGAGCATGCACCACTTTGGCGAGACAGTCTGTGGGCAGGTAGGGTCTCAGCCTGCGTACCAGATGGAGCTGGTAGACAGCTGTCCTGAATTGACCTGCACCTCCATGCACAGCTGTGAGTCCAAAATGACTCCCAGGCTGTGCACCTCCTCCTTCACAGACACAGTTGCTCCATTCAAGACCAGGGAGTCCCCCATACACTCTCACAAAATGAAAAGATAAAAATTATTTCCCTTTCCTCAGCAATTACCTTGAGCATGAGATAATTGAGAAGGTTATTGTTAAGGTATACGTGATGGAAAACAAAGGGACCACTTCTTTAGTATTTTTTTCAAACTCTTCTTGTCTGGACAATGAAGTAAAATAAGCCACCTGCCATGGGGGCGGGGAGAAGAGAAGGTCACATGTTAAATATTTTCTCTCTTAATATATAAATCTAAATGCTCACAAGAGTACAAAGACAGGGTGCAATTAGCAGAATATAAGTGGGACCTGAAATAAATTTTGCAGCATGGAGTGTTCCTGTACAGGGGCCCAGGATAGAAAACAATAAAAACATCCTTAAAACAATTCCAATACAGATGTAGACTGGGAAAGATCTCTACTTGCTAAGAGCAAGGTTCTTCAGGAGGCACTTAAAAGACAGCCGATACAGCGTCTGTGTAATATTCAAGCAGTGGGGAGTAATTCCAAAGGACAGGTGTCACAGCAATAAAGGCCCATGTCCTACACTGTGAGGAACAGACCTCCTGATCAGGTGGTATCTGCTGGAGGCCCTCAGTGACTTGACTTGCCATATAAGGGGTGAGGTGCTCTTTCAGATAGCCCTTCCTAAACAGTGCAAGACTTCATACACCAAGGGTTCTAGCCAGCCCTGCCCTCTTTGAGAATAATTCATTTCACTCCACATCCCACTGGACACTCAACATTCTGAGGCCGCCCAGCAATTCTCAGTCTTCATTAAGCTGCTTGGTTGGGTTGGCTGAACAAAGTCTCTAATGCCTCAAGTCACCAATGTGTGCACAGCCTATGACTGGCAGAAGCTTCAGCTTAGCACCACTGTCTGGCTTCAAACTTTTAGAGACAGCCACTAGTTTACATAACTTTTAAAATCTATCCATTTGCTCATGCTTTGAGTCACTGAGAATATAAATCCAATATTGCATACATGCGTACATACATATATATGTGCAAAATTCATGAAAGATTTAAGAATTTTACGAGCAATATGGGCTTTATTAATAAATGATGGCTATTTAAGTACCTTTCCTTACAAAGTACTTAAGAGAGCTTCACCGAGGATAATAATACCGATGGCAACCAGTCATGATGCTATTCCATGCCTCCAGCTTCAGAAGCAGCATGCCTCTAAGTACCAGAGTACTAATTGCTGAGAAACAAGAGCAAAAGAGGGATACAATCCTCATTTGTGGGTTTCCCATAAGCATCTGCTTGACCATTATGGGTGAAAAGGATGCTTTGGTCTAATCCAGCAGAGCTCTTAAATTATTGTGCTCACCAACTAAGGGCCTTGGATCCACTTATTTTAGGACTAGTCTCGAGTTGTACAGAAACTAGTAGCACTGAGAACTAAATTAACTTTCAACTTGGTGTTCCCAACCTCTCTGTTAAAAGTTTATTGGAGCAGGAAGAGGAAAAAAGAATTCTGCGGGAAGCAGCATGGAACTGAACAATTGTCTCTTTATTTTCCCCTTTATCTGGGGTGGGCAGGGCAGGGAACAGAAGCCGTTAGTCTTCCTGTTAGGCCTGCCAGTAAAACTAACCAAATGTTGAGGATTGTGAGGGAGAAACCCCATTTCTGCTGAAAGATACATCTTCCATATATTGTTTAAATGTGCATATTATACCCCACCTGATATTTATAATAAAAAAATTGTCCAAAGGAGGCAGGATAATTAACTTTAAAACAAAGATAGCCTTTCAATAAAATGTCAGGCATTGATGTCTGGTTGGATGCTGTAGCAGAAGGCGTAAGTTCAAAGCAATGAGTTCTGTTTAATAGGGTGAGAGGGAAAACACATGCTAATTAATGAAAAGCTGCAACAGACTAACCCAAATGGAATAAAACTTACCTGTCTGGAGCAGTTCCTTTGCTTCCCTTCTGGATGCAAAGAGGCATATTAATAGCCTTACACTGAACAGTGTTACTGGCTCCAGTAGTCAAACCACATAATTAAAAAAGGTTTTTTTTAAGGGAGATAAAGGTAAAAAAAAAAAGAGAGACAAAAAGAAAGGGAGAAACTATTCAGGCCTGGGTAGCACAGAGAAGCAGAACTAGTTGCACTAATAACAACCCCAGCTGAGAAAACAGATACAGTACAAATTTTGCTTGGGCTTGTTAGCTAACCCTCAGTTTTAGTACGCAGTGAGGTTCTGCTTTCTGTTCTACAAAGGCTAAGTGAGCAAGTCCTTTTTTGTTTTCACTTTCGCAAAGAAGGGGGAGGGGTTCCTATGGGTGAGGAGCTGTGGGTCGAATGATATGCATTTCGAACAAATCAGCCCATCACACTGACATAATCTGGAGGAGGTGTTGCTAGAGGTTAATTCAGGGCCCCAAGCTTTTTGCAGTAGGGCCCAAATCTCATTCCCCTTGCTCCCCCTATTTAAACATATTTTGAAAGCTTTATTTATAGTGCAGTTGGAAGTCCTGCAACGAACATTATTCTCAAGACCCCAGTCAACCACCATCAGGTCAGATCCTGATTCTCCCCATCCTATGGTCCAACTTTGACAGGTGGGTAGAGGAAATTGACAGATGTGTGGTCCTGTCAAAGTGGGCCAATGGGAGTAGGGGAAGATGGTGCCCAAGTAGAATTGAAGTCCCAATGCATCAGCTGATGGGTGGTCCTTTCTGCTGGGATCGGTGGTATGTGCAGCTGATCTAGCCCTATCTCTACCTGCCCTGTGCCTGACATCACATGTGACATCAGATGTAGGGCATGTGGGCATAGTTTGGGTAAAATGGCCTTATGGGCCAAATGATGAAGTTTGGCAAGCCAAATTTGGCCCATGGGCTCAAGGTGTTCTGCCCCTGATTTACATCCAAGCATGTCCAAGCAGTGCACAAGTAGTAATTCAGGAAACAGCATAAAAGGATAAAATGCATTTTTAAAACCTAGAGATTGACACAAGGCATAGTAATAATGTGCATCATTTTGAAAGAGGTACTCCTTGGCATTCTTGTATTGCTAGAGATGCTGTTTTCTAATTCCTGTGGTGACGCACATTGTTTACTTACTAAAATTAAATGTTTGGCCGCCACTGAATGCTTCCACTTGCTGATGCAGGTGGGTTAGGCATGGGGAACCTCTGACCCTAGTGGTTTGACTTCAGATCCTGTTCGCTCCAGTAAGCAGTAAGTAATGCATCAGGCAGACACAGAGATTCACATCGGTCACATTCCGGCTCCATCGTGCCAGGAGACGCTTACCTGGATGGTTGCGAGGTTCAAGGATTTCACCACGCCCGGGATGCGCTCCAGAAACGTCCGGAGCCAGAGCGCGCTGCCGTTTCTGCGAGAAGCCTCATCCTCCTGCAAGTAGTAGAAGAGGCGCAGCGCTTTGGCTGCCCGGACGGGGCGCGCCGGCCCATCCCCGGGGCCCAAGTCGAGGCCTCCCAGAAAGGGGGGCAGGAAAAGGGGGTTGGCAGTGAGCGGAGGGACGTAGAGCGGGAAGGTGAGGTCGGGCAGCAGCGCCTCGATGCGCGACCCGCCTTGCACCAAGCTGAGCAGCGGGTTGGCGCTGCTGCAGTTGTGGCCGGGGCTGCTCCGCGCGCAGAGCTGGGCGAAGGGGAGCGCGGCGCCGTCGGGGCTGCGGAGCCCCCGCACCGCCTGGTCCAGCGCCAGCAGCTCGGCGAAGGCCTCCCGGGTGAGGAGCGAGCCTCCGCCGCGGGCCACGGCCAGGAGGGAGGCGAAGGAGCCCTCGGTGCTCAGCCTCTCGGCGGAGAAGCGCCGCGCGTCGTCGGTGGGGAAGTGCGCCTGCACGAAGCGCCGCTCGCCCTTGGCGGGGCCCCCGAGCGGCGTGAACTGGCCCTCGATGTCGTTGTCCTCCAGGCTGCTCAGGAACGCGAAGCCGGCGCCCAAAGCGGCCGAGAGCGCCACGGGCACGAGCAGGAAGGGCCACGGGTGCGCGCCCACCTGGGCGCCCAGGGCCCGCAGCGCGCGCGACAGGGGCCTCTCCACGCAGTCCGTGTGGCAGTCGAGGGGCGCCATCGCTTTTTCTCTTTCTCCTCCTCCCAGCGGCAAAGAGAGTGAAGAGAGTTCAGACCGTTATCCGAGTAAGCCAGGCGTAGGGCAGCCTGGCCCCACTTAGCACGAGTTTCTGAAACATCTCGAAAAGGGGGAACTGAGCGGGAAAAGATGGTAAAAATGGCCGCTGGGCGGAGGTTCGCCGTCCGGGAAACGCCCATCCGCTAACCGCCTCAGAAGTTTGTTGGCGGGGAGGGAGCGAGGCGATGCTGAGGGAAACTCCGTTCAGCGAAGGCATCAGTTTCTTGGCTGCAATGTGACCGCTATGTCTGAGGGAAACTCCCGAGAAAATCCAGAACGAGAGGGCGCAGTGCCTTTTTAGCCAAGATGCAATGAAAGTGATCTTTTAACCAGTAGCCCGTTTAACTGGGAATTTCCTTCGTCTCGGCAGGCTTTTTTCCGCAAGGGAGGGCGACCTGCGGCTCCCCACTTCTGTTTACTGTACACTCACCGCATTTCCAGTGCAGAGTTTTTAATTCATGTTCCCATGACATGTTATGTATTTTGTACTCCATTATAAAATACTGCTGACTGGAGTCCTTAAGCCACTCCTAATTTGTCTCTCTCCTGCCATCAGCACCCTCAAAGAGAAACAAATCTGACAGTAATGAAGCTGTCCTGATGAGAACAGTCGAAGGCAGAAAGAGGCATGAAACACACTGGCGGGGGGACGACGACGACAACAACTTAATAGCGCTCTGAGGCAGGAATGTGAACACACCCCAAGTATAAAAAGAATTGTATTTTACTTGCAGTTTTACTTCTTATGCACATGACCTGATTTTTTAAGGAACTTGCTTGCTGCTGCATCTGCTGTTTTGATAGTATTTAGCTCCTTCTGATAAAAAAAAATTAATGATGAGTGTGCCACGTATAAATATATATATATATTTTAAAAGCTTGCTGAAGACCAGTTAGGATCCAGAAGAGCAAAAAGGCACTGTTCTTTAAAGCTAGCACTAAGAAGATTTCACAGAAGTTCAATGAAGCAGTTTTGGAATAAACTGGTGAGAAATTGCAGATTCACAAGAGTTCATGAATCTAGAGATTACTATAATTATGTGATTGCCAAGCAAGTTCTTTTAAATGCCACAGTGAAAGGTTTTAGATTTTTTTATTGTACAGAATGATGCTTGTGCCGGATTTCAGATACCACAAGAATATAAATAGATTTCCTGCTCATATGACATACTAGTAGATATACTTAGGATGTGACATAGGCTCTGAACATACCAGATTTTTAATGTGCATGTGGCTTGCACAGCCCTGACTTTTAATTGCACTCTTTCTCAATGTTTTCCATCCACAGCTGTGGATGCGCTACTGTTCTCTCCCACCCCCCAAGAATTCCAGAACCCTGTGGTCCACTGTGGGCATGCCTGCAGGTGTTTGTTTCCCTGTGCTTGCAGTCACTTTATATATATGTTTATGTATATGCACGTTTTCCAAAATATCAAACATGTATTTTTTCCCTCCTTACTGTACTATCCACAGGTCAGTAAAATCTATTTACTCTTAACCGTATATCATTTATGAACAGGTTAAAAAGCACTAGTTCCAATACAGATTCTTGGGGAACCTTTCTTAGTACATGACTCTCTGGACCAGCCACAATATCTCAACCTGATTTATCTCACAGCATTTTTGTGAGGATAAAATGGAGAAGAGGGGGCCATGTATGCCACACTGAGCTCCTAGGAAGAAAGGTGAGATATAAATTTAGGAATGAGTAAATCCCTCCATTGTGAGAATTGTCCATTTATTCCTCCTCTGTGCTTCCAGCTACTGATGCACAACTACTAAAATTGCTCAGGAGCCTTGGGTGAGGGACTTTGTCAAAGGCTTTTTAAATATCCCAAGTGTACAGTGCTTACTAGATAACCCTGAGGGATAGCTCAGTTGGTAGAGCATGAGGTTGTGGGTTGTAGGTTCAAGCCCCACATTGGATGAAAGATTCCTGCATTGCAAGGGGTTTGGACTAGATCAGGCATGTCCAACAGGTAGATCGTGATCTACTGTTAGATCACTGGACGTCTGTGGTAGAGATGGGTCCCCCTAAAGCTCAACAAGTTTGGCTCCTCTAAAAAAAGCTCACCAACTTCGACCTGAACCGCAAGAAAACGGGGCTTTCCTCCTCCCTAAAAAAAGCTGAACAACTTTGACCTGAACCCTCCCAAAAGGGAGTAGATCACTGCCAGTTGTTTACTTTGTGAGTAGATCGCAGTCTCTTGGGAGTTGGCCACCTCTGGACTAGATGATCCTACTGATCCCTTCCAACTCTATGATCCAAGCTTCAAGCAAGCCCCATGCACAAGCTTATTAACACTCCCAAGGAACTGTGAAAGATTAATGAGACACAACTTACTTTTGCAAAAACCATGTTGATCCTGCTTTGGAAGATTTGGGTTTGCATATTTTTGATTAACTTTAATAATGCTTTCCACCCACCAATTTACCTAGAACACACGTTAAACTAAATGGCCTACAATTTCCTGGATTCCCTCTGGATCCATTGTTTAAATTGTGTGCTACATTGGCCACTTTCAAGTTCTTAGGAATGGAGGCCAATCTTAGGAACTCGTTACATATTATTTGTTAGGTTAGCAGTTTCACGTGTGAGTTCTTTAAGAACTGTCACTGTTGGGCTAAAGTGGGGGACTCCCATTCACATCCCCTTCCGGTCATGAAGTTCATGGGGTAACCTTGGGCCAGTCAGTTTGTCAGCCTAACCTACATCAGAGGGTAGGCTGGAAAGATAAAACAGCAATGTGGTGGAAATAACCATTGACACCACAATGAGGAAAAGTAGGTGTTGTTTTGGAAAAAACGCCCCCAAAGGTATAAAAGTAAAAAGCAAGGGAAACTAGTCCTATACCAAAATTAAATTTAAATTAAATTAAATCAATAGGGTTCATGTGGAGGACAGCAAGGCTCACTTTAGATCCTCACCCTTGAGCAATGCCTACAAGTAATTACAGTGGTACCTTGGTTCTTGAACTCAATCCGTTCTCGAAATCTGTTCGACTTCCAAAACGTTCGCAAACCAAGGTGCGGCTTCTGATTGGCCCCGGAAACAATGCCGACAGCTGAAATGGACATTTGGCTTCCAAAAAACGTTCGCAAGCCAGAACACTTCTGGGTTTGTGCCATTCGGCAGCCAAGGTACCACTGTAATCCTTGCATGGACATTGGGGTGGGAGTCACTGACAAGAGGTGAGGTTTTGCTCTGCTCCACGTATTAGCTCTATGAAGGTCATGCAATTTTCTGATGAGGGCTACAGTCTGCAGTGGGGTAGCCCTCCATGTGCTGCACTTCAACTCCCTTCAGTCTCCAATTCCCATCACCCCCAGCCAGCATAGCCACTGGTCAGGGATGATGGGAACTGTAGTCCAACAAACATTGTGACTGCACTATGTTGGCTGCCCTTGGTCTCCAGAATGTGTGAAATGTCAATGGATGAAATATTGCTTCATATGAGCTATGGAGACAAAGATGTTCTCAATCGTATTTCTCTTTGTATCATACAGTGGAAGAAAGATTCGGAGAATATCATAGGCATCAGTGCAGTTCTTACTCCATTGGCCGATTTATAAGCGTTGCTGTGCAATGGATTCTGGCGATCAGGAACCCTTCACCGTCACAACAAGCATGCACAAATACTTGGAACAATGCTTGCTGGGACTGGGACAGATTTGTCCGCAAGTCCAACATGGTGGCTATGGGGGATGGCTATGGTTCAGTGGCAGAACGTGTATATTGCATGCAGAACGTCCCAGGTTCAGTCCCCAACTGGGAGAAAACAGTGTCTGAAATTTTGGGAAGCCACTGTCAATCAATGTAGACAATACTGAGACAGATGGGCCAATGGTCTGACTCAATAAAAGGCAGCTCCCTATGTTCCTATGACCAATGTTTTTCATATGCACATTCAATGGTTTTACTTATAATTACAGTATTATATATTTATTTATACCCCACCTTTTTTCCTGATGGGACTGACGGCGGCTTACATGTAAAAAGGAAACACTAAAGAAAACAATTAAACATTGTTAGAAGTAAAACTACACACATATATAAAATCTATTAAAACCACACAAATAATTACAATAAAAATAGCATGGCACCAGCCCTCTCATTAAAAGCAGGCAGTTCCCAAAAGCCTTTTGGAACAAAAGCGTTCACCTGCTGGTGGAAGGACAACAAGGAGGGAGCCAGTCTAACGTCTCTAGGGAAGGAGTTCCAAAGTCTGGGAACAGCCACCGAGAAGACCCTCTCCCTACCAAGTGTGCCTGGGAAGGTGGCAGGACTGAGAGAAGAGCCTCTCCCAAAGATGTCAACATCCAGGCAGGTTTGTATGAGGGAATACGGTCTTTCAGATAGCTTGGACTAAAGCTGTGTAGGGCTTTAAAAGTCATAACCAGTACTTTGAATTGTGCAAAGAAGTCGTGTGCTCTCCGGTCTACGATCTGGCTGCAGCTTTTCGAGCCAGTTGAAGTTTCTGAGCACTTTTCAAAGACGCCCCACATAAAGTGAGTTACGGCTTTTTCATTTAAATGCTAAATAGCATGGGGGCAGAATAGAACCCTGAAGGACCCCATAGGCCAGGTATGGCCAAACTTGGCCCTCCAGATGTTTTGAGACTACAATTCCAATCATCCCTAGCTAACAGGACCAGTGGTCAGGGATGATGGGAATTGTAGTCCCAAAACATTTGGAGGGCCAAGTTTGGCCATGCCTGCCATAGGCCAACAGCCAAGATGTTGAACAGGAGTCCTCCAGGACCACCTCCTGGGTGTACCCATCCAGGAAGGACGGTGCCACTGTAAAGCAGGACCTCCAAGTCCCAGCACAGAGATACCATAGTCCAGAGCTTTCCAAACTTTTCACGTTGGTGACACTTTTTGGACATGCATCAATTTGCAACACAGTAATTCAGTTTTACTAGCAAACCGTAGGTTAAACTAACCCCTTTCCAGCCCTGGCAGGAGCGTGGGGAGTGTTCGCGTGACACACCTACACACTGCAGCCAACACACGTGTTGCAACGCACATTTTGGAAAGCTCTGCCATAGCTGATGGTATCAAAAGCTGCGGAGACATCAAGAAGAACTAAAAGATCTCGCACGCGGTAGCTCTCACATTTTCAAGGATCCTGTCCACATCCTTGGGCTGTAGAGTTTGAAAAGTCCAAAGCAGAGTCCAAAGTTACATCCACTGGACCTGTATCAACTACAGTATCCGAATCTGAAGAAATCAGAGAGGTTTTGTCAACAAAGTGTTGAGCAAATTGTACACAGTGGTCACATGGACCAGACTGTAAAAGACCCCGGACCACTTGAAACAGCTCTGGTGGATGGCTCGTTGCTGATGTAATGGAGGCAGAGAAAAAAGATTTAATGGAGGTTTGTCAGCGATGCATGAGCTTCTCGTTAAGGAACCCTACCAAACTTACAACGAACTTCATAGTTCCACAGAATGTGAATTGAAAACCATTTCAAAAGCTACTTGCGTGACTAGCACAACTGTATTCTAGGTCAGGGGTCAGCAACCTTTTTCAGCTATGGGCTGGTCCACCATCTCTCAGACCATGTGGTGGGCAGGACTATATTTTGAAAACAAAAACAAATTCCTAGGTAAAGGTAAAGGTACCCCTGCCCGTACGGGCCAGTCTTGACAGACTCTAGAGGCCAGGAGCCAGCGCTGTCCGCAGACACTTCCGGGTCACGTGGCCAGCGTGACAAGCTGCATCTGGCGAGCCAGCGCAGCACATGGAATGCTGTTTACCTTCCTGCTGTTAAGCGGTTCCTATTTATCTACTTGCACCCGGGGGTGCTTTCGAACTGCTAGGTTGGCAGGCGCTGGGACCGAGCGACGGGAGCGCACCCCGCCACGGGGATTCGAACCGCCGACCTTTCGATCGGCAAGTCCTAGGCGCTGAGGCTTTTACCCACAGCGCCACCCGCGTCCCAACAAATTCCTATGTCCCACAAATAACCCAGAGATGTATTTTAAATAAAAACACACATTCTACTCATGTAAAAACATGCTGATTCCTGAACCGTCCGCGGCCAGATTGAGAAGGCAATTGGGCCGCATCTGGCCCACGAGCCGTAGGTTGCCTACCCCTGTTCTAGGTGGTATTTACAACTGCGTATGCCAAACTATTGTAAAAGGAGTGAGGGAAATGGACTGTGATTTTCCAGTGGCAAAATAAAACAGTTTGAGTATTACAAAAATACAATATATTTGAACGGAAGCAGCATCTTAAAACAAATGGCTGTAACAAATTTGTAAAATTTGCATTTATAATGCTGACCTCTGCTGATTCCCCACCCCCCAAAAAACATTTGTCATCACCGTCACCAGCCAGATTAACAGACTGATCCTAAAGATAGTGTAAGTTGTAGCTGAACTGGTGCACAGGGCAACACACTGCGATATAGCTGTCAAGTTACTCAGAAGCCTTGTTCCATCTTGAGATGAAGCACAAAACTGAACTTTATTTTCCTGTTCAGTCTAGTCTTCTTCCACAGTGCCATCTAGTGACACTTGTGTTCAAACAGCTAACTCCTCGCCCTCCCTGAAGTTAGCACAGAAAAGTAAACACAATAAATAAATAAACTGAATTATTTTAATAGTATACATTACAATTTTTGATGAAGGTCTGGAGAGATCACCTCAGCTTTCAACTTCATTATGTCCTGTTGATAGTCAGCCCTGTTTCACATGAGAATTGCCCCTCAGTGCTTTTAAGGGTTGAATCTACGGCACGGATTTCAGATCTTCTCTTTTGACAAACCTCACATCAACGATCCTGTTTTCTTTACCGATGATGATGAAGTCTGAACTGGGGGGCACTCCAGAATACAAACTCTCCCATTTAAAAAGGGTTTACACAAATACTATGAGAGCCCAGATCGTATGAGATTTGGGCCTGGACTTAATTTGCCTCATACAGGGACCCGCACTGCAACCAGCTAGACTTCTCCCTTTGCCACACTGCACCCCCTTATCTAGGTGCCTGCCATGGCTCTGAACCCAAGGCACAGCTGGGATACCAACACAAAAGAGGAGAAGCAAAGTGCTTCTGTAAAGGCAATCGTCTCAGCATGTTGTTAAGCTCCTTACAGGCACCCAAACCATATTTATCCCATTCTACTCTTATCTGGGGCGCACCATTGCTATGGTGTCTGAACCATGCCATCATAAACAGGCAGGTAGTGTTTTTGGAGTCTGCAGATGAACCCGAATGGTTGATTTTAAGGAATAATATCCCCAAAAAAGAATGTTAAAAACACAGGAATAAAAACGAGACCGTGAACGAGTCCCAACACGATAACCAGAAACATTATCTTAAAAAAAGTTCTAAAGATGTAAGTGGATGACATGGACAGCACCAGGATACCCGCAACGGTGGAAACAGCACCCTGTAAGACAGGGTAACCAAGGCGGTAGAGAGATTCCACTGCCTTGTCGTTCACTCTGGGTTCCTCACTGGCAATGAAGGCATAGGAAATATGGGCTGAGAAGTCTACTGAAAACCCTATGCAGATAACAAGGCTGATCATGGATATGGAGTCAAGGCTCACATTCCAAAAGGCCATGAAACCAGACACACCAACAATAACAGAGGTAATAGCAAAGGTTACCCACAGGGAGCAAAGAGGATTGGGGATGAGCAGCAAGGAAGTAATTAACATGGCACCAGCAGCGCTCAAAACACTATGAATGGTGTTCTTAATTATTACATTGTATTGATCAAAGTATATAAAAGCTGGATGATAAACCATCAGTGGTAACTTACAGTCCTCTGCAAGCTGTCTGAACTGGTTTAAAAGTTCCTTCTTCTTCTCTACATTGGTAATATTGATGGTCTGTACGAAAAATCGTGACACTGGAATTTCCATAGCACTAACATTAACATCCCACTCAGATTCTGGATGTACTCTAAACAGGGCTGATAAATTGCCAATAAATGAACTTTGGTCATTTAAATTTGAAGAAATGCCTTTTGCAACAGTTTCGTAAGTTCTCAACCATGACTCTGAAAGATCCTTGTCCACATAGGATAGATTTTCCATTGATTGCATGCAGTTCTCAAGATCTGCACGGACAGATGAAATCCAATACGGTATGCTTTCCGTAACGATAACCATGACCCTGGGGCCATACTCAGAAAAATATTTTTCTTCCAGGTCATAATATGGAATGACATAAGAACGATCTACAGCTAGATTTCGGACATTTATTCCTTCTTTAAGTTGTCCGCACCCATAACTACTACTTACCAGGTATGCCAGATACAGGACTGTCACAAACAACTTGGTCCAGGTGTGCATCAGGAAGGGGCCATAGTAATTTTTAAAGAAGCCATTCATGGGATGCTCAATCTCTGCTCCAGTGGACTCATCAATAAACCCTCCTATACAGCACCTGTTATACATAGGGCTCTTCGAATCTTGAGGCTTATCCATCACTTTCTGGAACGTTAGCCAATGCCTGTTGCTTTCTTCTCTTCGGCCATTAAGAGCAATAATTGCCCCAAGGAAAGTCAGGTTGTAGACGTAGCAGAAAAGAAAGGCTGTGCCTGTATACAAGCAAAATGACCGAATGGACATGAAGGAACTTTCAATTCCAATGTAGAAGGCTAAAACGTCGGTAAGTGTTGTGATAGTAACAGAAACAGCTGCATCTGCGTAGGTGTCAGCCATCCGATCTTTGACACTCTTCTTCACTTGAGTCTTCTGCCAGCAGGACACCAGGATGAACATGTCATCAACACCAACCCCTGAAGAACAGGAACTATTGATCATGCCAGTTGCAAACATGCCACAGGAGAAACGTGAATATATAGATATATACAAGAGGAACACACCTAGTCATTTTTTATTTACAGATTAGTAAGTTATATTAATATTGCAATTCTATATATAAAACAGAGAGCCCTGTGATGCCTTAATAACAAAAGACTTCCGTTGGAGACAATGGCAAGCTTTCCTCCAGACTTCACTGTAGTTACGGACAGGATGCCATGAGCTAGACAGATACACCCAGCCTGTGTTCTACCAGTTCCCCACTCTGGTGCACACAACTGGAACCTTACAGTGCAATACTATACCTCTCTACTCAAAAGTAAAGGTAAAGGGACCCCTGACCATTAGGTCCAGTCGTGGCTGACTCTGGGGTTGTGGTGCTCATCTTGCTTTATTGGCCAAGGGAGCCGGTGTACAGCTTCTGGGTCATGTGGTCAGCATGACTAAGCCGCTTCTGGCGAACCAGAGCAGTGCACGGAAACGCCGTTTACCTTCCTGCCGGAGCGGTACCTATTTATCTACTTGCATTCTGACAGGCTTTTGAACTGCTAGGTTGGTAGGAACAGGGACCGAACAACTGGAGCTCACCCCATCACAGGGATTCGAACCGCTGACCTTCTGATCGGCAAGTCCGAGGCTCTGTGGTTTAACCCACAGCCCCACCTACTCAAAAGTAAGTCTCACTAAATTAAATGCAGCTTACTCCCAAGTAAGTGGATATAGCTGATCATAGTGCAGATCATAGAACTGGAAGGGACCCTGAGGTTCATCTAGTTCAAGCCCCTGCAATGCAGGAATATGCAGCTGTTCCGTAGCCTAAGAAGATTAACCATGACAGAGCACCATAGAGCAGAGCTTTCCAAACTGTGTGTCGCGACATGTTAGTGTGTTGGTTGCAGTGTGCCGTGCAAATGCTCCCAGTGCTCCTCCAGGGACTGGAAAAGGGGTTAGTTTAACCTACGGTTTGCTAGTCAAACTGAATTACTGTGTCACGAAATGACGCATGTCTAAAAAGTGTGTTACAAGTATGAAAATTTTGGAAAGCTCTGCCATAGAGAAACTAGAATTCTTAGCACAGTTCAGGAAAATAATAGATGGGTGAAAGTTCTCTTTCATATTTAGATATTCTCATCAAAAGCCCACTGGATAGAGCATGAGGAATGCATACATTTGCCCACTTACCAAGTATAAGAAAGGGTGAATTTGCAGCCGTGATAACAAATGGCATTCCACAAAACAGCAGTAATCCAAAGCTGCTGACGACTGATAATCCTGCTGACATCACCCCAAAAAATGAAACCCAAATTTTTGTCCGTACACAATCCATCCTGTAAAGCAGATAAAGAAGAACATATCAAGATTCAGAGTTTCAATGTGTATGTGCCAATTTACGCCCTTTGAGAAATGGAAACTGGCAGAGGTATCAGTACTGGATTACCCAATAAGCAGACTAAGCATGTGTTTAGTGTACCAATGATCAAAAGCCACTCTAGGTAGTGATAACACCGTCTCTTCAGTCTATGTGTGGGCTTCGCTCTGTCTACACTGTAGAAACTTGACCAGTAGACACCCAAAAAGCATGGAAAACAGATTTAAAAGCATCTAGTGGAATATGGCATTTCATGGTACATGTGCCAATTTGCTCCCTCCTGCGTATTAAAGATTTGCCCATGTTGAAAAAGAGGGATGTTCCCTGCAGAGCCGTAGCTAGGTGATCTTGCGCCCCTGACAGAACCGTCCAGATTGCACCCCTTAGCCATGGACAAATTAGCTCTTCTTTCCACCTCTCTCCAACGCCCCCTTCCACCCATTCAATTCACCTTTTATTTAAAACCATTTCTTATAAGGCAATAATCAATATTTATATTTATGGACACATTTTTAGCCTATTTTGCACCACCCCTAGCTACGGCCCTGGTTCCCTCCCTCTCCCAAGAATTATGGGGTGAGAAGTTACCTTGCACATGATACAATTGTAAAGATTATTGTTAAAAAATACGCGATAGTGGCCAATGGGATCACTTTGCCAGTAAGTTTTTCCAGTTCTTCTTTTTTTGATACTGAGGAAATATAGAATACCTGTCAGGTTAGGGGTGGGGAAAGAAGGAAGAACATAGAGTGTTAAATAATCTGTCTCTTAATTTACAGCTTAATGTTCTCAAGGGCTAAGAATAATCATAAAATGAATAGTTATTATTATTGCTCGTTCCTTCATAGTATTTTTGTGTGTGTGATTACTGATGAGCTCCAAAACATGGCAACTTAATTCCAAATTAAAGCGTGTTGCATGGCGATCTAAAATAATAATAATAATAAATTCACTTGCCCAGTTTTCCCAAGATGAGTTTCATTTCAGAGGACCCTCCTACAAGTGTCAATTTAGGAGCGGCTGGAAGAAAGCCACTTACCCGGATGAATTTGAACTTTAAGGAGTCCAGCACGCCGGGGATGCGCTTCAGAAAGGCCTTCAGCCAGATCTTGCTGGCCTCGCGCCTCGAAGACACGTCATTCTGCAAGAAATAAAGGAGGCGCATCGCTTTGGCCGCGCGCAAGGGGCGCGCCGGGCCAACTCCGGGAAGCAGCTTCTCCCCACCCAGGAAGGGGCCGAGGAAAACGCCGCCTTCGGCGATGGGGAAAGTCAGGGTAGGCAGCAGCGCCTCGATCCTGCCCGGGTCGCCTTGCACGGCGCTGAGCAGCGGGTTGGGGCTGCTGCACGTGGCGTTCCCAATGCGCGCGCAAAGGCTGTCGAAGGAGACGCCGCCGAAGGCGATCCTCCGGAAAGCGGCGTCCAGGGCCAGCAGCTCGGCGAAGGCCTCCCGGGTGAGGAGCGAGTCCCCGTCGGCCACGGCGATGAAGGAGGCGAAGGAGCCCTCGGTGCTCAGCCTCTGCGGGGAGAAGCGCGCGGCGTCGTCCGTCGGGAAGTGCGCCAGGACGAAACGGCGCTCCGCCTTGGCGGGGCCTCCGATGGGCGTGTACATGCCTTCCAGGTCGCCGAGGTCGTTGCGGGGCAGGTACTTGAAGCCGGCGCCCAGCCCGCCCGTCAGCACCAAGGGCACGAGCAGGAAGGGCCACGGGTGCGCGCCCACCAAGCCGCCTAAGTCCCGCAGCATGCGCGACAGGGGCCTCTCCACGCAGTCCGTGTGCAGGCGGCGCAGTCCCCGGGCCGCCATCGCCTGCCTGCTGCTTTCCCCGCCGAGACAGCCGCTTGCGGCGTCGGGGCCGGCTGCTCTGAGCGGTGGGCGCCGGTCTTCCCGTCGCAGGGTGGGCGTCGCCGTCCGTTGCCGGGCGGGCGTTATTTCTCCTGACGTGGCTGCGTTCCACGCGCCCGCCGCCGTGGCCTCCTGCTCGGACGCCCAAGGCCCAGCGGGCGTCGTATCAGAGGGAAGCGGGGCTGGCCCTCGGCTGCCCTTGCTCGGGCTCGCGTTCCATCTGGGAACGCCAGGGCTGGATTTAGGTTTGATGAGGCCCTAAGCTACTGAAGGTAATGGGGCCCTTTCTGTGCCCTTTGCCAACAACAAATTGCCGCTGTTTTGTGTGTTGAATATATGCTATATGGTAATTTACGGACCTAATAGGTATCTAAAGCCATTTGTTCTCACACCTTGGTGATGTTTCCAAGAAAACGTTCCCTTTAAGCTAACTCTGTAGGCACCTTCACATTTCTGATGGTAAAGGTAAAGGGACCCCTGACCATTAGGTCATGACCGACTCACTCTGGGGTTGCGGCGCTCATCTCGCTTTACTGGCCGAGGAAGCCGGCGTACAGCTTCCGGGTCATGTGGCCAGCAGGACTAAGCCGCTTCTGGTGAACCAGAGCAGCGCACAGAAACGCCGTTTACCTTCCCGTCGGAGCGGTACCTATTTATCTACTTGCACTTCGACGTGCTTTTGAACTGCTAGGTGGGCAGAAGCAGGGACCAAGGAACGGGAGCTCACCCCGTCGTGGGGATTCGAACCGCCGACCTTCTGATCAGCAAGTCCTAGGCTCTGTGGTTTAACCCACAGCGCCACCCGCGTCCCTCATGTTGAACATATGCTATATGGTAATTTATGGACCTAATAGGTATCTAAAGCCATTTGCACATGTTGCTATGCAACCAGTCCATGCAGAACGTAGGCACCCTATATATAGAAATGAGCAAACCAGTGATATTTTAGGGAGCGGGCTAGCAGGCAGGGCCCATTACAGTCATACCTCGTGTTACGTTTGCTTCATGATATGTTTTTTCAGGTTGCGTCCCGTGGTGACCCGGAAGTACCCGAAAGGGTTACTTCCAGGTTTCGCCGCATGCGCAGACGCGCAAAATGACATCATGCGCAGAAGCGGCAAATGGCAACCCGCACGTGCCGCTGCAGTTTGCGTTTTGCTCATGTTGCAAACGGGGCTCCGGAACGGATCCTGTTCGCAACCAGAGGTACCACTGTACTTGCATCATAGGAGCCTACACAACACAAAACACTGTTGCTGTATATAGGTTTTATTTTGTTTTTTATCTTATATTTTGGAAATGTTCAGGTTTTTCCCCTTTAAATTTTCTGGGGGCCTCCAAGAGAGAGGGCCCCAAAGCTATAGGTTGTTTAGCTTATACGTAAATCTGGCACTGGGGAATGCCCTTTGGCCAAACAAATCTGTTGGAAATGGTGAAAATATTCGCAGAGGCGATACCAGCAATGAATGTTTCCATCCCCCAAGCACAGTTACGTGCACGATGCGAGTCGACTTGTGAGTTAAGCGGTATAAAGCGTGGGATGTAAAGTGCTGATGGGTTAAAGATGTGGTTTAATAAAGAAGATTTACTCTTAGCAGGTGTGTTGGTGACAACCACAGTGAAATAGGAACAGTGTGTTTACACCTTTGGGCCAATAACATGCCTCCGCTTTTGGGAGGGTGTCTGTCCTGGAACGACAAAAAATTAAAAGGAAAAGTACTGCAGATGTAAGTAAAACACACCAGTTTAGAGAAGGACTTGACCATTGGTCTGATTTGATACACTGGGCAAAATATATTGGATATAATATACAACTTAACTTGTGGGGAAAGTTGCAGAAAGTGGGTTTAAAATTTACGGCTTGTGCGCTGAAAGAGAACTATATGAAAATGATGTACCGTTGGTATTTGACTCCTATATGATTAGCAAAATGTATAAAAACACTTCCAAGTTATGCTGGAAGTGTAAGGAAAAAGAAGGCACGTTCTACCACATGTGGTGGGCATGCAGATTGGCAAAAGAATTCTGGGAAATAATATATAATGAACTGGGGAACAAAATGTTTAAGACAAACTTTGCCAAAAAAACCTCGAATCTTTCTTATTGTGAATAATAGGAGAAATAACAAAGGACTTTAAAAGATTGTTTATGTATGTGATGACAGCTGCAAGAATGCTTTTTGCCCAGAAATGGAAGGAAGAGAAGGTCCCAACCAAAGGGAAACCATTATGATGGACTATACCAAAATGGCAAAAATGACCATGAAGATCAGACACTAAGATGACAAGAAATTCAGCAAAGAGTGGGATTTTTTTTTAGAGTACCTTAAAGATCATTGTCCGGTCACGAAGAGTCGGACATGACTAAACGACTAAACAACACAAAGATCATTGTAGATATTTTAAAACTTTAGCAGGATTATTGTAACACTTATAATGTAATAAGACTACATTTAAGAAAAGGATTTAAAATGAGTTTGAAAAATGTAATAAGATGCAACAGAAAAATAGATAAATATTGGAAAGCAGGGGGTGAGGTGGGGGGAAGTCTGGGGATTCAAGAAATCTCAGGTGTGAAAAAATTGAAAATGTTTTAAATGTATAAGAACACTGTTAAAAAATGAAAATTTATATATATAGAGAGAGAGAGACAGAGAGAGAGACAGAGACAGAGAGACCATTGGTCTGATTATGTGAAATTAGTAATAAAAAGTATTGCAAGAAAGACCTCAGTGCAACAGTAGCCTCTTTCTCTTGTGGCTCACATCAGTTATGCATAATCTGTGGATTTAAAAGGGTAAATAAATTATGTGAACAAATTTGGTTTGTGTTCACCATTCCTGAACCTGAGTTAACACCTGAATGGAGGGAATTTCTGTATCTGTGTCCGCTCAGAGCAGAATTCTTCGGAGGAATATAAGAGAGTGTTGTGTATGTGCAGAAATTAGCCTATTGTCCTGAGGTAAAATTTACTTTCTGCCTTCCATCCATTTTGCCCCGGCCCTGCCCACCACTGGCGTGTGCTCCCCCACTCAGAATGTCGTCCAGAAGGGAAGCTTTTCTACTCCCTATTTACATTGTATACTGCAACAATGAATAAAAGTAAAGGTAAAGGTACCCCTGACCCTTAGGTCCAGTCGCGGACAACTCTGGGGTTGCGGCTCTCATCTCACTTTACTGGCTGAGGGAGCTGGCGTTTGTCTGCAGACAGCTTCCGGGTCATGTGGCCAGCACGATGAAGCTGCTTCTGGCGAACCAGAGCAGCGCACAGAAACACCATTTACCTTCCCACTGGAGCAGTACCTATTTATCTACTTGCACTTTGACATGCTTTCGAACTGCTAGGTGGGCAGGAGCTGGGACTGAACAACGGGAGCTCACCGCATCGCGGGGATTCGAACCACCAACCTTCTGATGGGCATGCCCTAGGTTTAGACCACAGCACCACCCGCATCCCTGCAAAAATGAATACAGTACTGTAATATTGAAGTTTCACACTGCCCTGTCTTAACATGGAAATTCCCTTCTCACAAAGAAGAAGAGAATCCAGATTCCGTGCTGTTGGAATTTCCCTGCTGCCAAACTTCACATTGACTGTCCTGTGTCTTCTACTTATGGGAAAGAATTCTGGACCGGGGGAATCTCAGAATACAACCACCTCCAGTTGAAAAGGGATTTCTTGATTTGCCTCTTAGAAGCATTCATACCACCACCATCAACGCAGACAGTGCTCTCTCCTTTCCATACCGCATCCCCTTATACATATATTATATCGTTTCATTTCATTTTGCCGCTGCCATGACTTAGAACCTGAGGAACAGCTAGGGCAAGAAGCCAGGAGTTTCTGCTAAGATTAAAGGGCAATCGCCACAGCATGTTGTTACAGAATGAGTTGAAACAGTCACCTGAGCAATCTCTATCCCACATTAATTTATTTTGGGTGTACCATACTATCAGCAAATGACTGAAATATGCTTTGCTTAATAAACATGTATTGTTTTGGAGTCTTGTAACAAACCACAACACATTTCAAGTGAAAATTTTACACCAAGTAATGTATTTACATAACATAAACAGGAAGATTAGATAGCTATGGAACGTAAGGAACAACTGAACATATTCCTTCAATTTAACAAGCTATTTACAGGCAATATAGATTGATTATGGTTTTTCCTTCCATGTTCACAATCACTAGTTCCATTTTTCATTCTAAAACCTCAGTTTCCCCATAACATTTCCTTCTAGAAAATGGAGTTCCTCAATCTTGTTTCCATATGAACAATGTTTTCCTTAAACACTGGGTGATTTTTCAATGCCCTTGCTATCGTTTTGGTCCTCTTTGTTTGAAACTTCACCACAAAACCCAAAGAACGTTAAAAATACAGGAATAAAAACGAGACCGTGAAGAGACCCGAAAAAAATAACTAGAAACATTATCTTAAAAAAGGTTCTAAAGACGTAAGTGGATGACATGGGCAGCACCAGGATGCCCACAATGGTGGAAACAGCGGCCTGTAGGATAGGGAAACCAAGGCGGTAGAGAGCTTCCACTGCCTTGTCGTTCACTTTGGGTTTCTCACTGGAAACAAAGGCATAGGAAATATGAGCAGAGAAGTCTACTGAAAACCCTATGCAGATAACAAGGTTGATCATAGATATGGAGTCAAGATTCACATTCCAGAGGGCCATGAAACCAGTAACACCGACAAAAACGGATACAATAGTAAATGTTACCCACAGAGAGCAAAGAGGATTGGGGATGAGCAGCAAGGAAGTTACTAACATGGCACCAGCAGCAATCAAAACATTTTGAATGGTGTATTCCATTATTACAGCAAATTGATCAAAATATATAAAAGCTGGATGATAAACCAATAGTGGCGTCTCACAGTCCTCAGCAAGTTGTCTCATTTGGTTTAAAAGATTTTTCTCATGTACTGCAGTAGTAACATTGACGGTTTGTATGAAAAACCGTGATGCAACTATTTCAGTAGCACTAATATTAACATCCCACTCATACTCTGGATTTGCTTGGAAAAGAGTCTTTAAGTTAGTCATAAATGACGTACGGTCATCTAAATTTAAAGATGCCCCTTTTGCAACCATTTCATAAGTTCTCAGCCATGACTCCGATAATCTCTTATCCACATAGGAGGACTCCTCAAACAACTGCATGCAGTTCTCAAGATTTGCACGGACAGATGAATTCCAATATGGTATGCTTTCTGTAACAGCAACCATGAGCCTTGGGCCATACTCAGTAAAATGTTTTTCTTCTGAGTCATAATACGCAACGACATAAGAACGATCTACAGCTAGGTGTCGAACATTTATACCTTCTTTAAGTTGACTGCACCCGTAAACACTACTAACCAGGTATGCCAGATACAGGACTACCACAGACAATTTGGTCCTGGTGTGCATCAGGAAGGGGGCATAGTGATTTCTAAAGAAGCCATACATGGGATGTTCAGTCTCTGTTCCAGTGGACTCGTCGAAAGCCCCTCCTATACAGCACCTGTTATACATACGGCTCTTTGAATCCTGCGGCTTATCCATCACTTTCTTGAATGTGAGCCAATGCTTGTTGCTTTCTTCTCTTCGGCCATTAAGAGCAAGAACTGCCCCAAGGAAAGTCAAGTTGTAGATGTAGCAGAACACAAAAGCTGTGCCCGTATACAAACAAAATGACTGAATAGACACAAGGGAACTTTCAACTCCAATGTAGAAGGCTAAAACGTCGGTAAGTGTTGTGATGGTAACGGAGACAGCTGCCTTTGCATAGGTGTCAGCCATCCGTTCTGTGACTCCCTTCTTCACTTTAGTCTGCTGCCAGCAGGACACGAGGATGAACATGTCATCAACACCAACCCCTGAAGAATAGAAAAATATTTAACATACCAGTTCCAAACATGCCATAGGAGAACAATATGGATATTTACTAGGGAAACACACCTAGTCATTTACTGACAGTGGTACCTTGGTTCTCGAATGCCTTGCGACTCAAACGTTTTGGCTCCCGAATGCTGCAAACCCAGAAGTGAGTGTTCTGGTTTGCGAACATTCTTTAGAACCTGAACATCCGACGCGGCTTCCGATTGTCTGCAGGAAGTTCCTGCAGCCAATCAGAAGCCGCACCTTGGTTTTTGAACAGTTTCGGAATCTGGAATGGATTCCATTTGAGAATCGAGGTACGGCTGTATTTACAAATCGGAAACCTACTTTTCTTTATAAAATGATATTTGAGTGCTTTACAAAGAACGTTCAGGAATTTATAACAGCAGGGATGGAAAAGCATTGGCTTGCGTAAATGCACTGCACACAAAGCAAGCTTTCCTTGTTCCACACAAGTTTTCATTCTGGCCACATTCCCCTCCTGTAGGAGGAGCAATCAAGTCTAGATCTGCCCTTTGCTAATAAATGTTTTGAAGGCATGTGATGAAAAATGTTTGCATATGCCCATTGATAGCATCATAGAATTATAGTGTTGGAAGAGATTGGAAGAGACATCTGGCCCCGCCCCCTGCAACACATGTGATATAAAACTTTTCTGCTTATGCAATTTCAAATAAAAAAACAAGAATTAGCATTAAATTCTCCAAGCGATCACAGATTTATATGGAATTACTGCCCAATACCTACTTTAGGCACACCCATCAAAAGCCCAATGGATAAGAAGGCATGAGGAATGTATACACTTACCAAGTATAAGAAAGGGTGAATTTGCGGCTGTGATAACAAATGGCACCCCACAAAACAGCAGTAATCCAAAGCTGCTGACGACAGATAATCCTGCTGACATCACCCCAAAAATTGCAATCCAAATTTTTGTCCGTACACAATCCATCCTGTAAAGCAGATAAAGAAGAATTATGTTTGGGTTCAGAGTTCCGTGGTAATGTGCCAATTTGCAGCTTCCTTGAACAAAATGACAGTGCCACACAGCAGTTGCACGTATTTCTTACAACTGTAAGAAATAGAAATACTCTAGGGTTTAATAATGATGGAGTTCACAGATGGCGAATACTTGCATTTTTAAGAAACTTATCTTTATGATTTGTAAAGGAAACCTTTGTATGGGTTAACACTTTATTATCTCTTTGGAACTGTGCTGTACCTTTGTCCTTTGGTTTTTACGGGCTGTGACGTTTCATAGGTTACATTTTTAATTTGTTTTATTTTTGTTATTATTGCACTTTTTATTATTAACTTTTATTAAATGTATATACCGCCCTTCAACCCAATGATCACAGGGGAGTTCACAATATAAGAACACAAAAATACATACTAAATCAAGAAAATATTATGTGGGGGTGGGGAGGAATAAACAGAAACAGTAACTTTGAGAAATTGAAACTGACAGAGAGTGAACAAGCCACTCTAGCTATTGAGAACATTGCCTCTTCCGTCTACTAGTGGGCTTCACTCTACATAGTAGGCCTACATTTGGGCCAGATCTCTGACTCCATTTTGCTGCAGTGTTTTTCATGAGACTTTCACTTCATTTGCTGAGTGACACTTTCCCAATTAGCTTTCAATACAGTGGTACCTTGGGTTACAGACGCTTCAGGTTACAGACTCCACTAACCTAGAAATAGTACCTCGGGTTAAGAACTTTGCTTCAGGATGAGAACAGAAATCGTGCTCCAGCAGTGTGGCAGCAGCGGGAGGCCCCATTAGCTAAAGTACCTCAGGTTAAGAACAGTTTCAGGTTAAGAACGGACCTCCAGAACGAATTAAGTTCTTAACCGAGGTACCACTGTACTGGGATTTCTTTAAGCAGATCTATCCATCTACAATACTTCACTTAGCTAGTGCATATTGCAGATCTACCTGTGATGGTGGGGTGGGGGGGGGACAGGGATTTTCCCTCCCTCTCCAAAGAATTAAGGTGGGGAGATTACCTTGCACATGATACAATGGAAAAGAATATTGTTAAAAAATATGTGACAGAAACCAATGGGATCACGCGCTTGGTAATTTTTCCAAATTCTTTCTGTCTGGATTCTGAGGAAAAATAGGTCACCTGCCAAGTGAGGAAAGAAAGAATAAGACAAACTATTGCATAATAGATCTCTTAAGATGTAGCTTAATATTCTGGAGGGTATCAAGGCTGGCTAAGAAAAATCATAAAATGAATGGTTATATTGTAATTTCCTTCACTGCATTATGTAAACAACAACAACAACAACAACAACAACAACAGTTAGTTGGAAGCTCCAGAAATGGCAACTTCATTCCATGGAAATACTTTTTGCACGATAATTAAAAAAACTCTCTGCCCAGTTTTTTCAAGCCTGTTTAATTTCAGCAACCCTACATGTGTCCACTGAGAAGTACATCACATTTTACTTCCATGTTTAGCGGACATAGGACTGAAGCCTAAAAAAAGAATTCTTCTTCCATATTAGTTTAATATAATCTAAAAGGTTGAGGGTGGTCTGATTTAAAGCTCTGCCTTTGCTCATTCTGGGTATGGAGGGAGGGAAGGTTTCCAGTGGTCGCTCATCTTCCACTGCTCCCCTTCAGAGCACCAAGCCATTCTTTAATAAAGGATATGCATATTTTTAAAATGTGTATTTTTGAGGTTAGAGTCATGGCACCCACGTGCATCTTAATCATAACGCTGGACTCTGATCTCAGGCCTGAAGAGCCCTCTGATGTCTATTTACCTGGGCCCCACAATATTTTATTGAAGTTGGCACCCTTGGCTGTAGGCATATAAATTCGATATTATATTGTTATGCAAGGGGAGGGTTGCATCCTGCAGGTGCTAGCTAGCCCCATCCTAACATATAAGTCACAGAGTCAGCGCAGCTCTGAGCTTCCTCCGCATCCCTTTTCCGTCCCGGCTTTTGGATGGCAAGGCTGGGGCAGGGCCTGTCCTCCTGCTTCTATTGCCCTAGGAGCCTTTCGGGCGAGGAAAGCCAACCCACGCTTGAGAACCTCGACGGCTTTTTATCAAAACTAAGGGCGCAACTGCGGAGCACAAGGCAGCGCCGTCGCAAAGCGGTCTGCCCGGAGCTGCGCGCCTCCCGAGACGTGCACGCGCGGCGCTTACCCGGGTGAAATGGAGGTTCATAGTGCCCAGCACGACGGGGATGCGCTCCAGAAAGGTCTCGATCCAGACCTTGCTGGCCTGTCGCTGCGAAGCTCCGTCCTCTTGGAAGAAGTAGACGAGGCGCATCGCCCGGGCTGCCCGGACGGGGCGCGCGGTGCCATTTCCCGGGCCCAGCACGACGTCGCCCAGGAAGTAGCCCAGGAACACGTGGCTCTGGTAGAGCGGGAAGGTGAGCGCGGGCAGCAGCGTCTCTATGGCGGCCGCGTCGCCCTCGACGGCGGTGATCAGCGGGTTGGGGCTCAGGCAAGTGTTGTTCCAGCGCGCGCAGAGGTCCGCGAAGTTTCGCTCGCCGGCGGTCATGGCCCGCACCGCCGAGTCCAGCTCCAGCAGCTCCGTGAAGGCCGCCTTGGTGAGCACCGAGTCGCTGCCCCCGGAGGCGGAGGCCACGGCGATGAAGGAGGCGAAGGAGCCCTCGGTGCTCAGCCTCTGCGGGGAGAAGCGCCGCGCGTCGTCCGTCGGGAAGTGCGTCCGGATAAAGCGACGCTCCGCCTTGGCGGGGCCCCCGACGGGCGTGTACTGGCCCTCGATGTCGTTGGCCTCGCGGCTGCTCAGCATCACGAAGCCCGTGCCCAGCCCGACGGTCAGCGCCACGGGCGCCAGCAGGAAGGGCCACGGATGCGCGCCCACCAAGGCGCCGAAGGAGCGGAGCGCGCGCGACAGGGGCCGCTCCACGCAGTCCGTGTGGCAGCCGCGGGGCGCCATTGTCCAGGCAGCCGCGACGTCCGGGCCGCCGGGCGGCTGCTCTGCGTGGTGCGGCCGCTCTTCCCGGCGCGCCGTCGGAGGGTGGGCGCCGCCGTCCGTTGCCCGGCGGGCGTTATTTCGCCAGGCGGTGCTGCGTTCCAGTTCCACGCGCCCCCCGCCGTGGCCTCCTCCTGCTCCGGCTCCCAAGGCGCTGCAGACTTGGACGGGAGGGGCGGCAGTGGGGGGTGGACGTCATATATGGGGAAAGCAGGGCTGGCCCTCTTCGGCCCCTGCTTGGGCTCGCCTTCTGTCTATCTAGCAATGTCCACTTTTTGTGCAACAAATCTTTTGCGTTGTTGGAAATGGGAAAGATATTCGCAGCAGGAACTGAAGGTTTCCATCCCAAGCACAGTTAGAGTCGACATGAGTTAAGCTCTATAAACTTTGGGTGTAAAATGCTGATGTATTAAATATGAGATTTAATAAAGATTTTCTCTTAGTAAATGTATTGGTGACAACGACAACGCAGTAGGAATAGTGAGTTACACCTTTGGGCCTGACACCCAACCTTTGGGGCGGGTGCATCCAAAAGTTGTTAAGCTTCTTTTAGGGAGGTCGCCTACAAATCTGCCCTCTGCCTACCCTCTAATCCCGTGCTGCCCTCTGACTTCATGCTGTCCATTGCAGACCGTGCACACACATACACGCCCCCCACCCCAAGCGACAGCTTAGACACTGACACACAGGATGAGAGGCCAGGAGTTTCTGCTAAGATTAGAATGCAAGTACTGCAGCATGTTGATACAGAATGGCTTCAAACAGTCATCTATAAATAGGAAGATTAGTAGAAAGGGAAAATGGATCATATTCCTTTGGGTTGACAAGCTATATCTAATTTCAAGGCCTTCAGAGGAGAGATGGATTGGCTTTAGCTGCAGGTAGCTTTGGTGTACCTTCCCATATTGACACTAGGTAGTTTCATAATGTTGTCATCTAAAAGCCAAGTTCCTCAATCATGTTTGCATATAAACAGTTTTTTCCTTAAACATTGGGTGAATTTTCAGTGCCCTTGCTATTGTTTTGGTTCTGTCTGCCTGAAAATCCCACCACAAAACCCAAAGAATGTTAAAAATACAGGAATAAAAATGAGACCTCGAAGAGACCTGAAAAAAATAACTAGAAACATTCTCCTCAAAATGGTTCTAAAGATATGGATGACATTTATAGCGCAAGGATGCTCACAATGGTGGAACAGCTGCCTACTTGGACTACTGCAATGCACCCTACGTGGGGCTACCTTTAACAGACAACAAGGTTATCATGGATGAACAAGGTTGATCATGGATATGGAGTCAAGATTCTCATGCCAAAGGGACATGAAACACATGAAACCAGTAACACTGACAATAGCATATGCAATAGCAAATGTTACTCACAGAGAGCAAAGAGGATTGGGGATGAGCAGCAAGGAAATAAGTACAGTGGTACCTTGGGTTAAGAACTTAATTCATTCTGGAGGTCTGTTCTTAACCTGAGACACCACTTTAGCTAATGGGGCCTCCCGCTGCTGTCGTGCCGCCGCTCTGTGATTTCTCTTCTCATCCTGAAGCAATGTTCTTAACCCGAGGTACTATTTCTAGGTTAGTGGAGTCTGTAACCTGAAGCATCTGTAACCCGAGGTACCACTGTAACATGGTTCCAGTAGCAATTCCAATCATCCCATGGCTGCGGAAGTAGCTGCCCCGTTAAATCTGCTCAGTTTTTTAGTTCCTCGTCATTATAAATCTGAACATTTAGTTCACCATAAGCAAATACTTACTCTCTTGTTATGAATAAATCTGGCAAAGAACTAAGAGTTGTATTTTCATTCACCAAAATGATTGTATTGTCGGTGTGCATTCGATGCAAGAAAGACTACCGGTAGTTTCAATTCACAAGTGAAGATGCTGTACCAACACTGCTTCAGTCTCTATTCAAATAGCAGGTAGTGACATAAATTGCATGCTGTGCTCTCTTCTGATCTCTTTATCTAATGCTTTGGTTGTAGCCCAGAGCAATTATTAGCAATTGCACCTTGTAACATGAAGAACAGATATATCTCAAGAGAGGGAGATTTGACACTCCTTGGAGAAGGAAATTGTATGTGCTTAAAGCTATCTTGTGTATGTATTTAAAAGGGATTGTTTTGAAATTTGTCTGGCTTTGGGATGCAAGTCATATATAAGGTTTCTCAATCACCTCATCTGTTAGCTCATGCCTTACAGCTGGGATGGGGGACCTGTACCGATGTTGGTGGACTCAGATTCTCATCCGCTCCTGCCAGCATGGCCAGTGGTTAGTGATGTGTGGTGGCAGGAGTTGTATTAAAACCACTCTCTCAGATATGTAAAATTAAATTGGCCACACGATGGCACCAAATACTCAGCTGTAAAAAACTGATAGTCATTCAGAATAGTCAGGATTGTTGACCACCCTTGAAAGATTAGTTTGTTGACTTACTTAGTTTTTAAGTTTTGTTCTCACACCTTGGTGATGTTTCCAAGAAAAGGTTCCCTTTAAGCCAACTCTGTAGGCACCTTCACATTTCTGATGGTAAAGGTAAGGGGACCCCTGACCATTAGGTCATGACCGACTCACTCTGGGGTTGCGGCGCTCATCTCGCTTTATTGGCTGCGGGAGCTGGCATACAGCTTCCGGGTCATGTGGTCAGCATGAATAAGCCGCTTCTGGCAAACCTGAGCAGCACACGGAAATGCCGTTTACCTTCCCGCCAGAGCGGTACCTATTTATCTACTTGCACTTTGACGTGCTAGGTTGGCAGGAGCAGGGACCGAGCAACGGGAGCTCACCCCATCGCGGGGATTCAAACCGCCGACCTTCTGATCGGCAAGCCCTGGTCTCTGTAGTTTAACCCACAGCGCCACCCACATCCCTATTTCTGATGGTACATCTGCTGATATTCCTAGAAACACACCTGCCCAGGAATTTCAGACGCATACCTTCTAGCTTCAAATATTGCTCCAGTCTGACAAATTCTAGTTTCTTGTACCCATGGCTTATTTCATGTGGAACCGTTCACACGACAAGATAGTTCCATGGGGATGAACATGAGAATGCAAAAGAAAAATCACTTGAACAGAGAGAGAACTGAGTAGTCCCTAACCCTAACCAGACTTACTAAGGAGCAAGCTACTATGAGCAAATTTATTCATTTATTTATCAAAGGTATATCTGCTCTTTCTCCCAAAGGAGTCCAAGGCAGCAGCATTAGAACTGCAGAAAGTTAGATTTGATTGCTGTTTTGGCAAAGGTGGAGCTTTAGAAATTATCTTCTTTGAATAGTAAGCACTTTTACTGCAGCTACTATATTATTATACCATCAGCTTCATGAAGTGTAAGATCTAGGATCTGAAATATATGTCTGCATGGATATGATTGGCTGCAAGTACCTGGCATCTGTGCACGGCATCCTTCAGGCAGCACTATATGTTCATTATGGTAAATACCATTGTAACATTTGTGGATCAATAGCAAACGTGCAGGTTTGAGGGAACAATCCTAAGCATAAAAAGCAAAGATAGCTGTGTTCGTCTCTTAAATAAAAACTCAAAAGTCCACACACAGGTAATGCCTTTAAAAACAACAAAAAACAAAGCCTTTTTAAAAACAACAAAAAAGGGGCAAGTTTTCAAGTTCTCAGGCAAGACGTTAGCACAAAGCAAGGTGTGGCGAGAAGCACCCTAAGCATAAATTAATCACAAATTACACATGAATGTAATGCTACTGTTTGTTCTGTTTGCTGCCACAATGTTTTCTGAATGCTGGCGGTATATTTTGGCCAGCAAAGAAGTAAATGAGACACGGCAGGACGTTCTTCTAAGTAATCATGCTTAGGATTTGACTTCATGTACAACATTTCAGATTTGTGATCCCTCTATGGGGTATTACCATGAGAGAAGCAGAAAAGATAGATAAGTAATTTTTTTCAGAGTGACTTTGGAAATAAAAATGGCTTATCCAGACATTTCCAAAATTCCTGACATGGTTCCAAAAGTCGGAAGGTATATTGCGTTCAATAGTTTTCCAGAAGAGAATCCATAATACACTGCTAGAAACAAAAATGAAAAAGGTACTGCTGAAAGCATGTTGGGCATTTGAGCAAGGAATTATTAGGCTGTCGGGTGATTGTTAAATTATCAGACTGGTGAAGGGTGCCATTGAAAGGGTCACTGGGAATGATTGATTGCACCACTTAGCTATACCTTGGTGGAATAGATGGCTAATATTTTATTTTATAATATTCTTTTTTTATTTCTAATTATTAATTGGCAGAAGTCCCGAAACAATAAAGAACACGACCAAATAATATATGCGCTGCACAGGAAAAACAAAGCAAGCTAATATGCACATTCTATTACAAAACTGTGCTTTGGTTTTAAATCATTATTAGCCACTTTAAAGAAAAGAGGAATGCTTCCCTGAGATCGCAACCACAGTGCTTTGTTTACGTAAAACGTTGCACTACGTGTTGTTCTCCCCGATAACATCTCTTCAATATTTCTTTAGAGTTTAGACATGAAACTATTTTCATGTCTCTAGGAGAGATGTATTTTCTTCTTGGAACTTTGATTAGAGTTAATGGAAATTTGCTTGTGTGTAAGAATGTGGTTGGCAGGGTCCCCCTTGCTTGTTTAAAGTTTAGGCTAAGGATTCAAGTCAAAGAAGAATAGTTACAGAAAACACACAGAATGAGTGGGAAAGAAGCCAAACACCTTAATCTTTGAATTTAGGTCCAGCATAATCATATGAACACAGTGGCTCGGTTTGCATATCAGGGTTGAACCATATTTAATGGTTTACCATGAACATAGAGATTACTTCTGCTTTTCTCCTTCCACAGCACGTACGAGTAGCTTAGCACTACATCTGAACCGGGGATCGTGGTTTGACTTAAACCAGGAACGTTAAGCCAAATCTGTATTTCAAATAGTAGTCTGTTTTGAGAGAAGCAAGCTATGATCCATGTTTCACACAAAACACTAAGCCAGGCATCGTGCTTTGTTGCTTTTGCTTGCTCTGTTTTATTTATTCCGTGTTTTATCCTTCCATTTCTCCCTTTTTGAGCATAGGATGACTTAATAAAACACTAAAACAACCACCCAACAAAAATAAAACAGCCTTACAGTTACAGAATAACAATAAAAATGCAATAGAACAGGAGCTGTAGGACCACAAAAGTTAGAGGAGGAAGTGGGAGCCATCTGTGCATTCACAACAACCCATTAACTATGGTTTACTGTGTTGTGTGAACCCAGCTGAGATGTGAAGATTACAAATGTACAGGGCAATATTTCCCAACCTGGTGCCCTCCAAGCGCTTTAGACTACAACTCCCATTTTCCATGCCTATTGCCCATGCTGGCTGGGGCTGAAGGGAGTTGTAGTCTAAAACACCAGGAGAGCAAGGCTCACCACATAAGGAAAGGGGAGAGAGGTGTG